GAAACTCCCCTTATAAAATTTTTAAGAATAAATCATTGATATTCAAACAATAAGGTTTGCTTAGCTTTTAAAGAAACTATAATGAAGATTTTACCCTGGAGCACATGTAGGTGTTGTGAAATCTCGCTCATCTCCTTTACATTTAGCTAGACTTAGTGCTGCATGTTTATAAGGTGTATTGTAATGTTTTTATTCGGAAAATGGGAATGGAAATAAATCTAATATTTACATGTATATCTTGTTAAAATTTTATAATTTAATTTTGGTTGTATTCTAGCCTCTGATTGGTTAATATCCAAAAAAGAACACAGGTTAAATCTGTATAACCTGGTTTGGTATGGGGACACGCCCCCATGACAACCAGCTGAATCATCTGTATCCATGCAATCCTGTCATCTCCAACCTCGGGGTTCATAGCAAATTCAAAATTTAATAACTGTACCTTTAACTTCAGACAGTAGCTCGATCTTAAAACATGTAAACAACAAAATGGCTGCTAGGCATATATATTATAGTCTCTAGGTCCCCTCACTTCTACGGTTGTATTATTGAGCGGTATACTTTGAACTAATAAGAAGCACTGCAATTCTACACTGTCAGTTGTATAATGATTTTAAAATTAAATTATAAGGAATGACTCTAATTTTTAGCGAATTTATTTCGAGTATAACCTGGTTTGGGTCAGTTAACGCTTTATAATCCGCTTCGCGGAGTATATAGCGTAAAGTGACCCAAACCAGGTTATACTCGGAATAACTTGGTCAAGAATTAGAGTCATTCCTAAAATATCCACCTATTGGTTAACGTTATTTGCCGGAAAGGTATCCTCCAAAAACCCCGGAAATGTAAAAAAATAAATAAATAAATAAATGTCGGAAATGAAAATTAAAAATGTCGGAAATGTAAACAAAAATATCGGAAATGCAATGCAAAATTCTGGAAATGAAATGCAGCGCAACGTAGATCCTTCGGTATTGTTCAAATCATAGCCCCTAGGACAAGGGTGGGGCCAAAATAGGTTTACAAGCCTCAATATATTGTGAATTACATTAATTGTTGAAAAAATGGATTTCAATTTGGAAATGACAATAAGAGGGTTTCATTTAAATGATTTTATTTATATATTCATTTTTCATGAAAGAGAAAGTCGACCAAGGTGAGCATTGCGGTCAATGGACTCATTGTTTGTCACGTTTTGTTTTTATAAAGTTGCATTCGATCAACAGTTTGACACGATGTGCCATCCTGCATTAATTTTTATTAAAAATAAATATTTCGATTTAAACTGGAAAATATGTTCTTTAAATTAAGTGAAGAAGAATCATTTTGCCAATGCTTTAACGGATCTTGTTTAGGTAAGTACAAGTGTACAAATGATATGAAGGATATGGCATGTTGCTTCATTTTCCGCTTATGACTCTGTCGCTTATGTTTCAAAGTCGTCAATACTTCGCAGTTTTTTTTAATTTATTTATTTGATCAAATAAAGAATGGAGGAGTACAAGGTGAGTCCAATTCCCCACTCTGAAAGAAGACATTTCTCATTTCTAAAAGTTCATAAATTGTTACATTTTTCAAAAATTGTTTTGTCAGTATCATCTTTTACACATTTGATTCCTTTATTTTATTGAATAAATTATTAATAAATAACACATTTTTTTAAGATATGTGAAAATTAAAAAAAAACTGCTTCACGCTTTATTCGAACCCTCTTCAAACATAAAGGTTAACGCTAAGAAATCTACGTGTCAGCGATGTGTATCAGTGTGATTTAAATAAACGAGTTTGTTGAAGCGTTTTCAGAAATGTTCATTTTTCTTATAGAATGGGTTCATATTTCATTTTTGTTTGAAATATGAAATAGATTTTACATTTACTTTTCCGTCATTTAAACGTCAATAAAGAATGGAGACTTGACCCATTCATGTTAAAAATTCATTTTTTTTTATTGCTCTTACAAACCCATGCCTTTAAAACAGATTATCAATTAATAAGTCGTTCAGTAAAAAAAATGAATCGAATGTGTTGAAAATAACATTACTGAAAACATAATTTTAGTAAAATACAGTTGAACTTCGGTATCTCGAACACTGATATCTCGAATACCATGGATATGTCGAAGTGATTTGGAAGTCCCAATCACATATTCCTTTAGTATTTTATCCCCGATATCTCGAATCCTCGGATATCTCGACGTTTTTTCTCGGTCCCATGGAGTTAAAGATAGCGAGGTTTGACTATATAACTTTTCCGTGAAATTTGAAAACTGAGAAATATATTGTCTCAGTCAGCGGGGGCGCCTTGTACGCCCTCTTTCTTTGAAGTATTTTAGCTTAAGTTAACAGCAGTTACTTTTCAATTAAAGTCCTCAGTTATTTGAATGTCTGGGAGGGGAACAGACTGGAAGAGTTTAGTTCGAGGGGTCGACAAAACGCATTTTGCCCGAGACCAAAGACAATATTTTTTTTATATACCTTTTAATCTTTTTTACATACTTGTATCTTTTGCTGGCTTCCATGATGTAAATTTCCTTTACCCGCACTTCGGTTAAACTCTGTCAATTCTGTCACTGTCGAACACCAACGAATGCAAAAACTTTCCCCAAAGGACTGCGAACGATAGTATTGTTTCTCTGCCTACCTCCAGATCAATTCATATTCTAACTTTTTTTTAATTCATATCAACTTTCATTTGAACTATTTATCAAAAAAAATATAAAAAAAAAAGACAGATAACACTATAATTTTGGAATTTTGGTAAAACATGCTTTTCACCATAGAAATAAAAATCCCCCCGTGAAACAAATATTGTTTTACGGGTATTATATTTTTTTTCTTATCTAGCAAAACTTTTATTGTTTCACCGGGGGTTGGGACAGGACGAGGAGGAGGCATATGTTTCAGGCCCATAGGAAGCAATTTTAGCTGAGGGAGAAGGAATTAAAGTTTTAAAACCATTTTGATATTTTATCAAAAAAAGGATTTAACTACATTTTGTAGATTCCGAACTTGTAACCATCATTTACCAATTGAAAGCGGACGCTGGCTTAATATTCCAAGACAAGACAGAATTTGTTCCCATTGTAAAAGAAATCGGATATGAATTTCATTATATACTAATGTGCAGTTCACTACAAAAAGAAAGAATGCTATGTTTAACAGAAAACATATAAGATTTAAGAATGTAATTAGTTTTAAAAACATCATGAATAGTAATAAACAATGCTTTCTGAGAAAAATGTGTTCGTTTATAAAGAAAATAAAATATGCTCCCCGGCCCAGAATTCCCATACTTTACATTTAACGCAACGTACTAATTTTTGTTCTTTATTATTTTGCTATTGCTATGTATTAAATCACCCATGTGTTGTAAGTCTCTATATACTATTGTAAAATGGCGAAGAGATTCAGATAAATGATTGATTGATTGATTAATGTTAAACGTTTACAGTGCAACAGAATAGAAAACTGCCCACTCGATAACAATCATATATTTTTTTTATTAATATTTCCACTTTATTTCAACTTACCATCTTCACGTATAACTATTAAAACCCGAATTTTACTCATAATTGAATGAGTTTGCTGTAATTCAGCAGAAAGAGAGAGAAAAAATAATGCCAGTGATATTGTCTGAAAGTTTTAGATATTTTTTAGGTTGTTATAATATGTAAGTAAACTAGAGTATTCCAAAGAACGATTGTGTCGCCTGCTTTGTAGCCTAATGCCTGACCTATAATGCTAATAGTCAATAAAAAAAACTGACCACTCTTAGATTTATCTACATCATTGATGAAGCTACAAAGCAGGCGACATGCGTTCCTTGGAACACTCTAGTGTATTCTTAATTGGTGTCATACTTCTATAATGTTTGGTTTAATCACAGGAGGTGCGCTAGAAAGATGTTACCTGTTGCTGTTTTCCTATTATTTGGCATTATATCGACTGTGCAAGGTGGTCATTATCACTTGAACGGAGGAAGTGGTGAAGAATTTTTTTTTATTCTGAGACGTTAGGCATAATGATATATTTCTCTTCATTCTTATAAGAGAGAGAGAGAGAGCTGTTTCAGATTATTTTCGACTTAAGTTACATGTAACCTATTAAATACAATATATATTTTAAATAATATTATTCAGGAAAATTTAAAAGTCGCAAATGCCAGAGGTCTGATGATGGGGTGGTGAGGTTGTATTATATCTTCAATCATCTTTGAGTGAAATGGCAGTAAACCAAACCACAGCCTTGCGTTTTTGGAATTCTTAATTGATTCATATACCTAGTATATATTTTTAAAATGATTCGGGGTTGCTATAAAAAAATATTCCTCGACTATTACGGAAGCCTTACATATAGTCCTAAGACAACAATGTAATTGAAGTAAAAGGTTAAAGTGCCCCAAAAGTTATATTGCTTTATGACTTCAATAGTTAAACATAAAAGTGCATATTGCCGGTACATGTTTTTTTTCTTATTGGCAATTGAAAAGTTTGAACTTCTCATGAATAATAAAAAATATATAAATTATTTACAGTGTAATAAGTACAAGTACTTGAAATCAAATTTGTATTAAAATTCATCAAATTTAGTTTGGAAGGGTTGGAGTGCATGTTTATGAAAACAGTTGCACAAGTTTTGCATTTCTGTTTTTGAAAAACCCAAAAGTATAATGGTAATGGTAATGCATTACTTAGATAAAGTAATGGTAATGTAATGCATTACTTTAAGAAATCAGAGTAATGGTAATGGTAATTTAATGTCCAAATTCTTGAAGTAATGGTAATGTAATGCATTACTAGTACTTTAAAATGTAATTCGCCCCAAGCCTGAATTGTGCAATATTGACATGGCTTTGTTTTCATTGATAAGATTTGCAATAAATAAATTTATAAATTTAATTCTGGCATTCAAAATACTATATATATTATTTGTTATCATGAGCTGTACATGAATTAATATAAAAATAGTAATGTTTTCTGAAACAGAATTGTATTCTTTCAGCCCTTCCGGCCATTGGTTTCAGCGCCAAGCTTTCTCGTGATATCCAGTTAGGAAACGGACAAGCGGTAAAATACGACACAGTGATCACCAATAAGGGTAATGGTTACAATAAGTGGTCAGGGCATTTTACAGCCCCACTTAGAGGACTGTATCTGTTCTCCTGCACCATACTGGCTCAGCATCCGTACTCCGTACATATTGAACTAATGAAAAATGGATCCAAAATCTCCACCTTATATTCCACCACCTCTGGTCAAAGTTCACAGTCCGTTGTCCTAATTTTACGTAAGGGAGACACTGTTTGGACACGACAAGCCTGGAACGGACGGCGTCTGCATGATCATGTGGGGTACAACATGTTTACCGGAGTCCTGATATCAGAAAATGTCTAATGGTTTAATTGACTGGAGATTTAGTTCATACTTGTAAATAAAATCATTACAATTTAAATAAAATCGGAATTATGGATATAAGTGTGATTTTTATTTTTTTTAAATTTAATTCATTAAGCATTTAAGCTTCAACTAAATTTGTAAAGTTGTTGAGCACATTACACCTACAATATGAAATATGGAGATAAGGAACGATAATCAAGATCAAAAGTCCATTGAAGCAATACAAATCTGGAGCAGAGCAAACATGGACCTCTAAAATCATCAGAGGTAGGATCAGGTGCCATGGAGGAGTGATCATCTCCTGTCGTGTCACACCCGTCGTGTACTCATTGTCATGATCGGACAAACGGAATAATCCGTAGACAATTCAGTGTGTAAATAGTGGCCTAATAATTAGTATGAAAAACAATTGTCAGCATTCGACTTAATGATAGATTGTATTTGCTGACAAGGTCATTGTATCGACCATAGAACTTATTCTTGTTTAATCAACTTGTTAGTCAATAGTTTGCCCCGTTTTAGAAATTGTTGGTGTGTAGGGCATACTCTTGCATATCGAATCAACTGGGAGACATAAACTCCATATGCAGGTGATAAGGGTATATTGCCACATAAATAAGGGAAGTCGACGATAGAAAAGTTGAAGTCATCACGTTTATCACAAAGTTTTGTTGTTATGTTACCATTAACGTCTTTTTTCTAGTAAAATATCCTAATATGAAACAGATGTGTCAGACTCTGTGGAATATTTCAATTCAAGTTCACTGTTCAAGTCTTACGTTTTGATGTTATTGATTTTGGTAAACATTTTTGATTTCATTTTGTTAACAGTTCCTTGGAATTTTTAGGTAGCCACATCTGATTTACATCACTTCTCGACTATATTTAAGGGGTAACTGTCTAGTTCTTTTTTAAAGGTTTTATGATATGATCAGTTTGTCCACGTGATGATTTGCATCAAACGCCGATGTTTGATCATCATCATAAACCCAAAAAATCAGACAGTTTTTCTTTATATTTACATTTTCACTTGATCCTTGATTCAGTAATACAGCACTGAGTTCACAAAATGATATCCTGGCTCTTATATGATATGAGTATAGTGGCATAGTGGAAAACCTCAAATATCTGTCCCATATTTAATAGGAGGTTACAATGACACTATGCAATAAAGATTCTGTGAAAATCTGATCAAACAAAAAATAGGAGTTGCAGAATGGCACTGTGTAATAGTCTGTGAAAGTCCGATTAAATTTTATTCAGTGATATAGAAGAAGTTGCGGATAATAGCTGGGTACCCCCATGTTACAGAAAAAATGGCAGTGTCCATATTTTGCTACGGCAAACCCAAAATATCTGTCCGATCAAAACAAAACATAGGAGGTGCGCAATGGCATTAATTTATGTAATGAAGATTTGTACTTTGAATGTTTTCTGCATAGTTTTTTATTATTATTTTTTTTTAAAGGAAGGAAAATGTATGCAGATATCTTTTGTTCAAATCTTATTCTGAAAGTCTTTAATACATTCTAAAACCAAATTAATTTTTATACCACCCGCTTGAAAAGCGGGGGTTGAATAATGATGGGAATGTCAGTCCGTTACTCTTTGAGGTACACATTTCTTATCCGCAACTCCTCTTATACCACTGAATAAAATTGAATTGGGCTTTCACTGAACATTTGTTACATAGTGTCATTGTGACCTCCTATTTTACTTTTTTCTTTGGACGCATATTTCGGGTTTCCAATAGCAAAAGATAGAATTCTTCCAGTCTTTCTATAATATTGAGGGGTACCCATCTCTTATCCACAACTCCTCCCTATACCACTGAATAAAATTTAGTGATACCGGTACTTTCCCAGAATCATTATTTACATAGTGACATTGTGTTTAACTTTATTTCCTGTCTCCCATAGCCAAACATGAACTTGCCATATTCTAATTATAAACATATGGGAGGCGGGGGTATCATTTTGTGAGCTCAGTGCTCACAGTACCTGTTGTATTTTAACATTTTAGTTCTTCTGTTTTCTTCAATTGTTTATATTATAGTGTAAAAAGCTATCATTGCAAGACATTACAGATCACTTCCAATTTCTTATCATGGTAATAAACATTAGCATCTAAGGCTAGATTAAGGATATGCACAACGTACATGTACTTCACAATTAATGTACCTCCCCCCCCCCCCCCGATAATTTTCCAAGATATCCTTAGTAATCATAATACCATCACGTGTTCTTAGATATCAGCATGCATTCCCAGGAGTTGTTTTTACAGATATCAAATGATGAAAATCATTGCATTTTTAAAAAAGAAAAATTAAGGGATAAAAGTTTCAGTAGATATTATTCCCAAAACTTGAATCATGTACTGCCTTACCAGGCATTATAAATTGCACAAAGGTCCTTCAATTATTGTAACTATTAAATTATTCTGGGAATATGAAAGTAAAGTTCAAAACTACCTCGATTTCTCTAAAAATGTAATTATTTTTTGTACTTTTATGTTTATGGGTATATAAATGTTAACTTTTTACAAGATAGTTTCTAAGACTTCAAAGAACCTAGAATTATATTGAGATACATGAAATGAAAATTATTGCACGAAAAGATTTCAATTTCAAGCTTCATTTTGAAACTTTTTAAATTTTTTAAAAAGGTTTATATGTCAAAACAACATTTTTGACCTCGGAGGTTATCCTGCAACATCCACGAAAACTCGAACTTTATTTCTTAATTACATTACTAGTATATCTACAAGAATGAATATGCGTAACTGCATGAATATGTTTGCACAGTGAATTGATAAATTTGCTATTCTGAATACGAAAATTTTCAATCGAGGACTGCATCAAGATTGCTCTAGAAAGCAGATGGGTCAGCATCCTAAGACTGCTTTGTTCATCCATGTGTGAAGGAAATAATTTAGAGATACTCTTTAGTAAACAAGAGGCCAAAGGGCCTTAACGATCACCTGAGTATAATGTAAAGATCCATAGATTAAGGTAGTCCAATCCTCAGGTTCTGAAAATCAACAGTTACGAAATTGAAAATGTTCACAAAAATGTCTCTGAAGTTTACCAAATAATGTGCATTTATCCATGGTATTTCTTCAAAGTTCATCATTAAGATTAATCATGTTATATAGGGAAAATTACCAAATTTCAAATATATTTTAAGACAAGAGGCCCAAGGGCCTTAACGGTCACCTGAGTACAACAATTTAAACTGATAAATGAAGCTTTAATTGTTGCCCAATAGCAAGAAAATTAGTACGATTAAGATCAACAAAATAATTGGTCTAGTATCTTTCTATCTGTCCCCCATTTATCACTATTAAACTATTTAAACAAAATGTCTACATGTATATTATTACCTCTCACATTGGCCTCACTTGGCCTTTGAAGAACATTTAAGAAGATAAGTTATTTTTGTTTCATTTTTATTCCTCTATTATTTCCAAGTCTACCTGATTATTAAAACTATGAAAGTACTTTTTATATTATACAATAAATGTTCTTGCATAATTCTCTTATTCTATTAACCTTTCAAATACATTATCTACAGTGAATAATTATCAAAAGTGAATGGCAAAGGGGAATCACTTCACTCAATAGAATACAAATTAATAGAGCCCTGGCCAGGACCAGAACACTTGACTTAATGGTCCAGATGTTGAAAATTTACAAATTTGGAAGAGGTACCCTCATCATCATAACTATGCAATTAGATGAAGATTTTCAAAGAATTCACACATTTTCACTATATTATCAAATAGAGCCCCCCCCCCCTTCAGAGAAACAACAGAACCCCTGGGACCACAAGTTTTAAAAATTTTGTAAAAGCATCCTTGCTCATCATAACTATACACTTGTTTCTTTGCTTTATAACCAGGAGTAGAAAAAAATATTTTGAAAGAAATTATGAATTTTCACTATATAATCAATAGAGTCCCCCCCCCCCCCCTACACCAGAACCCCTGACCCAGGGGCCATGAAATTCACAATTTTGGAAGAGGCAGTCATGCTCATCATAACAATGTACTTAGTTTATTTCATACCCATGAGCAGAGAAGAAGATTTTCAAAGATATAATGCATTTTCACTATATAATCAATAGAGCCCCACCCTAAAGCCAGAACCCCTGCCCCAGGGGCCATGAAATTCACAATTTTAGAAGAAGAACCAGCTATGTTCATCATAACAATGTACTTAGTTAATTTATTTAATACTCATGAGCAGAGAAGAAGATTTTCAAAGAATATGATGCATTTTCACTATATAATCAATAGAGCCCCGCCCTAACACTAGAACCCCTGACCCAGGGGCCATGAAATTCACAATTTTGGAAGAGGCAGCCATTCTCATTATAACTATGTACTTAGTTACTTTATTTCATACCCAGGAGCAGAGGAGAAGATTTTCAAAGATTTAATGCATTTTCACTATATAATCAATAGAGCCCCACCCTAACACCAGAACCCCCGACTTCTTCTCTGAAACCGCTGAACCAATTTCAGCATATGGCATCTATGTGTGAAGGGGAACAAAATTTGTGAATTTCATGGTCCCTGCCCCCCTGAGGTCTTAGGGGTGGGCTAATACCACCAAAATTAATGCAATCTTTAAAATCTTCTTCTTTACTCCTGGACATTAAGCAGTCAAACTGTTGGCATGATTGTAATAAGTATTGAGCCCTCTACCAAAATTGTGAAATTTATGGCCCCAGGGTCAGGGGTCCTGGTGCTAAGGCGGGGCTATATAGATCATATAGTGTAAGTGCATTATTTCTTTGAAAATCTTTTTCTCTACTCCTGGGTATTATTGAAACAAATTGAATACATAATTATCATAAGCAAGGGTGACTCTACCAAAATTGTGAAATTCATGGCCCCAGGGTCAGGGGTTTTGGTGCTAGGGTGGGGCTATATAGATCATATAGTGAAAGTGCATTATTTCTTTGAAAATCTTCTTCTCTACTCCTGGGTATTATTTAAACAAACTAAATACATAGTTATGATAAACAAGGATGCCACTTCCAAAATTGTGAATTTCGTGGCCCCTGGATCAGGGGTTCTGGTGTTAGGGCGGGGCTCTATTTATTATATAGTGAAAATGCATTAATTCTTTAAAAATCTTCTTCTCTGCTCCTGGATATTATTTAAACAAACTAAGTACATTGTTATGATAAGCAAGGATGCCTCTTCCAAAATTGTGAATTTCATGGCCCCAGGGTCAAGGGTTCTGGTGAAAAGGGGGGGGGGGCTCTATTGATTATATAGTGAAAAAGCAAAATTTCTATGAAAATATTCTTTCCTGCTTCTGGTTAAAAAGCAAGGAAGCTAAGTGTATAGTTTTGATGAGAAAGCGTGCTTCTTCCAGAGTAGTGAATTGCATGACCCCTGGGTCAGATGTGCTCAGTGGTGTAAGGGTGGGGCTCTTGATAATATAGTGAAAATGCATTACTCTATTAAATAATCCTGTCTACTCCTTAGTGTTAAGCAGATAAACAAAGTGATTACTTATGATGAGCAAACTTCTGGTCCCAGGGTCAGAGGCTCTGGTGTTTCTCAGTGGGGAGGGGGGGGGGGGCTCTATTGATAATATGGTGAATATGTAGTAAAAATGCATTATTTCTTTAAAAATCTTCTCTGCACCTTGGCATATCAGAGGCAAAAAGAGTAAGTTTTAATAAGGAAGGGTATTTTTACCAGGTTTTTGAACATCTGTACCATTTGGCCAGAGCTCTATTAATTTGTATTCTACTGAAAGGAGTTATTCCCCTTTGCCATTTACTTTTGATAATAAATCATTGTAAATATGTACTTCAAAGGTTAATAGAAGAAGAGAATTATGCAAGAATTTTTATTGTATAATACAAAAAGTACTTTCATTGTTTTAATGATCAGGTAGACTTGTAATATAGATAAATAAAAATGAGACAAAAATAACTTGTCTTATTAAGGTATGTCACTCGTGAAATTTGTTATTTCAAGGATTTTTTGAGAAGTATATTTTGGATAAGTACTCATATAGTATGTCTCAAAATCGCTGAGAAAATGGGGGGTCAGTGTGCATCTAACTGAGCTACGGTACAATTAAGTTGACCTTTTTGCACTTAAATTGTAACTCGTTGGTTAATCACTTTAACCGTTATCATATTTTATCAGATGTCACCATGGCAATAAACATAATCTTATTTTACGTAAAATAGTTTGAATAATATTTATCATTGAACAAATCATGCAAATTAATGCGCGTAAATTATTGTGTGACCTTTTTGCACTAAAAAAGTCTCATATTTGGGGTATTAAAAATCTAAATAGGCAATAGAATATTTTCTTGTATCAAACTTTTTACGACTTAAGTGCTGATCGGTCAAAAGTATCGAGTAGTTTAAAATAATGAAAGAAAAAGCTGGGGTCAGTGATGTAAATTTTGAAATATTGGTCAAAATATGGATTTTCTGGCGAAAAACTGTAAATTTATCTCGACTTCTTTAATATATCTTCATTTTTTGGCAAAGTTTGTTGAGCGAAGGTGTAAATTTTGTTATAAAAATATAAATTGAGACCTATATTTAATATTCCAGGCATATCATAACGGAAAATATTCCCTGAGTAAAAGTATGTGAGGCTTAAGTTCCAAGATATTAAATTTAATAAATGTGTAGATTTGCAGAATTTTCTGCTTAATATCCTTCCACCACAAGAAATAGTCCCTTACAAATCTTGCTTCTTTATGAATTTTTGAGCAGTTTTTTAATTGAATGTTGAACATTTTAGATTGTTTAATTGAAATATGTTATATAGATTGAATTGTAATAAATAGTTTTTAAGTAAGAGGTTCTGACTGAACTTTTCTAAAAAGCTGATGAGTGTCATACCTTAAATGTTCATCAAAGAGCAAGAGAGGCCAATGTAAGAAATTTCAACAAAGAAATAAAATAGTACAGAAGCACTGATAGTTTGTTAATATACTGTATGATGATAGTGATAAATGGGGAACATATTAGAACCTAATTTATGAACTGTTAATGAATACTAGACTAATTATTTTGTTGATCCTGATCACCCTATTTTTCTTTCTTTTGGGCAACAAAGCTTCACCTTTCAGTTCATTTTATACTCTATGGATCCTATAAATTGTTGTATCATACTCAGGTGACCGTTAAGGCCCTTGAGCCTCTTGTTTCAAGATGATTCCTCTATATCCTTATGCAAAACTTTGACTATCTGTTGTGCCCCCAACCCCTGGAGGTCATAATTTGAACACACTTGATTCTACAATACCTAAGGTTGCTTCTGTATAAATATGACTAATACTGACTTAGTTGTTCATGAGAAGATTTCAAAGATATTTCCTATGTAATGGTATGATCAGGTTCTTACAAGGGATATAAAGATTTTCCTTTTACTCTCTCTGAGTTAATGATTGTAATGATTATTAAGACAGCTCTGTCTGAGGGTATATCACACAGTACTTAAATGTTCTCTTATCTAGAGATGGGGACTGGGTAATGCACTACTTAAACTGTGTTTCTCCCCTAGGTTCCCATTGATAGAACCAGTTGTCTTGATCTTCTTCAGATTTACTACACCCAGAACTTAACATCAATTCCCTAAGATACTTGTCAATGGTGTTTTTTATACCTTTATTTTGCTCTTACCTTTAAGGTTTTCCATCTTCTATCCTTAAATGTCCATCACATACATAATACTCTGATATTAATTTAAAGCATTTTACAGTAGAAAAGGATTTACCAAGAGAAAGTTTCAAAAATGTAATTAACTAAGCAGTAAGTTCTTAACAAAGATTGCATTGAAGTCTATGGAGCAATTTTTAAAAAAATAGAAATCAAATAATAAAAATATCAATAAATACTGTAATGGAAAAATGCACTAAAACACATTAGAAATAGAATGACTTTTTTTTACCAGACAAGTTTTTTTTTAAAATTGATTTTTTTTTTATTTATTAAAAACAGAGGGAATAACTCTTACCAAAATTCAAGGTCATAAATTAAGACACATCCCACCCTTACATGCTAATACATGTAGTAATAAATGAGAATTTCGCTTTCGCCCTAGACATAAGTGGGCAAAATTTAAGACGGGATGAATTCAAAGAAAAAAGTATAATTTCTGTAACAAAACTGTGACTGGGCGAAATTAAAATGGAACAAAATTGTTTGCAAGTGTGAAAGGGCGCAAATAACACAGGGCGAAAATAACCCTGTATACAGTATCTATTGTTTTGTTATCCCTACTGTTGATAACATTACTATAACCTTCGAATGAAAAGTTTTCAATTTTTAATACTTTGAACATTAAAACAATGCATTAACTTGAATTTTTATGTACTCTCTATTATTTTTTCCTGATTTTTAACAAAAATTCTACAGGCCTTGGCCTATTGTTCTATTCAAAGTGATCCTTTTACCCAAATGTAAATACCCTTTTTTCAAGGCAGAATCAAGGGATAACCACTTTCTACTATTCTGAGACCAATATTTGCAAAGAATCAAAGTAAAGTTCTTTATGACAAATACACTGTGAATTTATTGTAAGAAAAAGCAATGGTAAAATGCACAACAATTACACAACAACAGTTTTCACTGTATTTGGCCAAGGATTATTTTCTAACAGTACTTCACAATCACAGGTTCCAAACAAACAATGCCTATGTGCTGCTATGAAGGAAATTACACATACATTGACTCCAACGCTGTCGAGTAAAACTTGAAATTGTATAGTGATTATCTGGATTTCATATAAAAACAGGCCTGGTTATGTTTCAAATCTTAACAAAGAAAGTCCCTCTTAAATCTCAACACAATAAATGTACATCATAAAGACACAGATTTCCTCTCTATTCATATCCTCAAGCATACTAAAATGATTGTTAACTTATGTACATTTAAAAACTTCCGTACACTATGACATTCTCTAATAACAATAACTGTAAAAAATAAACAAACCAAAAAAAAAAAATCATTAACACCAAAGCTTGACCTCTATAGTCAAATTCACTTCTATCATTTAGAGAACGGTATTATGCTCAACTTTATTTTTAAATATTCTGTTATGATTTGAAAGATACAGACAACCGTCTGTTGTTAAACAGGGCCCCGTTAAGTGCCAAAATGGCCCCTTCTGCCTCGTGTAAATTCTTCATGGTGACAAAGCCATACCCTTTACACTGGTTCCTTATGTGATCCATAATTACATTGACTTTTGTCACAGTTCCAAGAGGAGCAAATAACTGCCATAATGTTTTCTCTTCTGCATCATAACCAATATTGTACACAAACAGAATATGACCCCCCATATCTCCACCAGCCATAGTATTGGAGTATCCCCCACTCATTGGATTGAATCTCATGCGTGTGTTGGAGCTTCTCATTGGACCATGAGGTCCTCCACTATATGGATTACTGCCTGGAGTTGGGTATCGAAGATTGGGCTGATGGACTTGTATTTGGTAAGGGGCGCGACCCTTCCTAGCATTTATGTCTGCAAACTTAATAGATAATGAGGGATATCCTTTCAACAAGGTTTGTCCATTCATTGCTTCCAAGGCTGCTGCAGCTTCTGACCGTTTGGTGTAATATACAAAGCCAACCCCTTTGGACTCATTTGTGGATTTTTCCCTTAGCAAACGAACTTGAATAATTTCACCATACTGCCTGAAATGCTGTGTCAACTCCTCCTCTCCAAATGACCTTGGTATGTTAGCAATGTAGATATTGGCCCCCTTACACTCGCTGTCGTTTTTCCTGGCATGGCTTACTTTGATGGTTTTATGGTCCATTTTCTGACCATTCATCTCATGAATGGCACGCTCTGCATCCTCTGCATTTATGTAATCCACAAAACCGAAGCCATAGCTGTAGTTGGTGGCTTTGTCACGGACAATTTTGTAGGATTTGAGTGGCCCAATCTTCTCAAACATCTCCTTAAAATCCTCATCAGACAGGGTTTGTGGGAGATAGTTGACGATAAGATTCGTGCTGGGGTCCGACATGATCCTCCTTCATTAGCCATGGTGGAAAAAAATAAATAATGAAAAAAAATTAAAAATAGGTTTCCTGGTAAATCAGAAAGAAAGAAAAACAAAATATAAGTTAAAAATGCACAAAGGAAACAAAACACAAACAGAACAAAAATAATTCACAACTCTGTGGGTCAGTCTAGATATTGTATCTCCTTCAAAGAAATAAATTTTCAAAATTTAGGAAAGATATCATAATTGAATGAAATAGCAGAATTTGTTCTTTTTGTTTTACTTTAAACTTAATATTAATGGTTCTTCAATATTCATGGATATAAACATAACTGTAATATGAATCAATTTTTTTTTCCTTTTTTTTTTTGGGGGGGGGGGGGGGAGGAATTGAGATCAATGTCATATTCATGATCATCATATATGCTCTAAAATCTCAGTATTTGATTAAAATAAAACTGCATATTCATGAATGACAGAAAATACTCCAACCTAAAACTTGACCTACATACCCATTAACATCATTGTCAAATATGAAATGTCAGTAATCGTAAGAGTGGTTTTTGAAAATCAAATATGGATCAATGCCACATTGTCAACAACAAAAAAATATATTGTATTTAAATCAAGTAATCTTTCTCTGGGCTGCAAATATACTGGCAACTCAAACAGTCTTAATGATCTTGAGCCTTGATTATGAACCTATTATCAAGAATCAAGGTCACAATTCACTGTCTGTTAAAACAGAAAAAAGCAATTTATGAAGTACGTTTTGAAGTCAATATTCTCTTCTTTTGCTACTGGGAAGAGAAATTAATTGGAATTATGGTACATACATTTTATTTTTCTGAATTTAAAACTTGAACAAAAATAATCTACCATTACTCTTATTAAAGAGAAGATATCATTTTAAATTAACCTTAATTTAACATTTAAAATATAATTAATATTGAAGTAATGTATTCTATCATGCCTCTTGAAACACTCTACAACATTTACCTCACTGTAGGTATTACTCTATCCAGAATCTCTAAAGCATCCAAATCTTCCTGTCTATAAAAAAAAATATATATATAAGGCATAGTAATGTTTCAGCAAAGTGCATCATTAAACTTTCACATATGATTTGACATTCCATTTGATATAAAATGTATTCGAACTCTAGCGAAGTTTTTTTTTCATGTATCCAAATTTTTTTCTTAATAGACTTGTTTTAATTTAAAATAAAAGTAAATAAAAGATGCATTAAAATCTGTAAGTATATATCCAATAAACCAAAAGTCTTTCTAACATTATTCAATCCGCATCCTGTAATTCAATTAACCTACATTACACATTTACAAGTATTCTCTGTTTCTTCTACTTGTAATTTCCACATATTTAATTAAACTCGTGACTTAATGGGTGTGTCTCAGTATTAAGGTTTAATTAACTTAAAACTTTAAAAAAGCTCTATTAGTCATTCATATTTCAGAAACCAACAAAATTCAAGTATCGATACTGGTAATAATCTACTGGTAATAATAATTTTTAAAGATTTTTCCTATATATATCCATGTAAAACTTTTGACTGCCCATTATAACCCCATCCTACCCCCAGGTGTCATGATATGCACAAATTTTAATCTACACTATCTAAGGATGGGTCCATGTAAATATGACTAACCATGGCTTTTCTTTCTAAGAGGATTTTTAAAGATTTTTCCTGTATATACCCATGTAAAACTTTGACTGCCAATTGTAGCCCCACTCTAACTCCAGGGGTAATGATCTGAACCAATTTATATTTATATTACCTTGAGACTTCCATATACAGTTAAACTTCGGTATCTTGAACATTGATATCTCGAATACTATGGATATGTTGAAGTAATCTGGAAGTCCCAAACACATATTTCTTTAGTATTTTACCCTTGATATCTCAAATCCTCGGATATCTTGAAGTTTTTTCTTGGTCCAGAGTTCGAGATAACAAGGTTTGACTGTATATGATTTTTTTATGATTAATTTGGCAGTTACTTTCCGAGCTACTTTTGTATTCTTCAAAATTGTTTTGGACGAATCCGATCCAATTTGCTAGATTGAAACTATATGGGACATATCCTAACTGTGGTGAGAGTCTGTCCAGACAGTTATTTTCAGAGCAAAATCGTTTTGGATGGATCCACTCTGATTTGCTACATTGAAATCATGCATATGGGACATATTCTAACTTTGGTGGGGGTCTGTCCCGAGACACAGTTACATTATTCTAACTACTGGATTACCTGTGGCAAGACCTTTCCAAAGTACTCTGATTTTGGACCTCATGATCTTGAGGTTTGACCTACTTTTCAAAAAATTTAACCTTTAATTGCCATAACTTTTGAACCAGAATCCATATGCATTACTTGTTACAAGACCTTTTAGAATGTACTATGACCTCATGCCCTAGACCTCGAAGTCTTTCAAAAACTTTGCTGTATTTTTTGCATAGGAAATGCATATGGCTTCAAAATTTTCAACATTATTTTTTTCATGGTGGACAGACAAGGCAAAACAGACAAAATAGCTACAATATGCCGTAGATCACTGCACCCCCAACCAATAAAACTCCAAATGCAGGGGATCACAATTCTCTGAATTTGCTTGTTTTGTCTTTTATATGTACTCCACCATGTGTACATAAGTTATACACTCCTCTTTACACCATTTGCAACTAAGCTTTATCTTGATTCCCCATCATGATAGAAATGTTTATTGTTGTGAGGGCTTGTCTATTGAAATTGCATCCATGTTCATTAATAAAATTTTTATTCCCATGCGCAAGTTTTGTTCTTATTATTGAACTGAGGCTTACCAAACAGCCCATTAATTAATTACGTATAGGTAGACAGCCAGATAGACGAACAGATAATTCACTAATGTTGCCAGGTATATGGCCATAGCCGTCCTAGGTACCTTCTCTAGCAAGTCAACTGGTGCTCACAAGGCCTGGCATGCCCAAATGTGGCATGGCTTGATAATGAACGGGTGAACAAGAAAGAGCTGCCTTACAACACATCCTCTTAAAAATTACACAGAATAATAAATCAATATACCTAGGTTCACAATATAAATCAACCTAATTAATACTCTCCAGTGGATCTCAATGGGATCGCAGTTTACTGAAAAATTAAACTGGTCTTCTTCTTCGTCAGTTAATTTATGTCTTAGTAATATGTACCATTACATATTCGTTAAAAGATACCGCCTCGTTAAGTTTTGTTTATACTTCGTTTCGATGTAATTCATATTAAAAAATAATGAATGTTTTGTTTTTTATTATCAATAATCTCGTAAATGATAAGGCCCGATTCTATTACATGGATATATACCTAGCCCCTACGATCTGTAGTACAAGTTAACATTTGCTTCTAACAGGTTTCTAGTAATTTCGACTCGCGCCAAGTTCTTGGGACCTAATGGGGGGGGGGGGGGAGAGGGGGGGCGGTGTCGAGGAATCTTGCTAGTATTTGTGTTGAATCGAGGGTCTGTGTGGTCAGTCTCATTACATGCAAATGAGTCAATACCTGAGAGAATAAGTGCTTTTGGTTTTTAAAATATTTTGATATTTTTACATTTAAAAAAAAAATGTCCTGATTTACATTAAGAAATACCTTATGTACTTTTCACACACACACACACCCACACACACACACACACGCACACACCCACACACAGATCATTTATACATTTTTACGGCTGAGATAGAGTGTGAAACACTCAAGTACCCTCTTGTACCAATAAAAAATTCACGACTGTTACCAAGACTACAAGACAATCTGTATTTTATATCATTTCATATGGCCATTAAATTCTTTTTAACATAAATCACAAGAATAACGATAATTCTGAATAATTACAAGCGACAGTACACATTAATAGTTAAAAATACTGAGAAAATGAAGAATTTATATCATTTGCTATTAAATTAACAAAACTCAAAGAAGCTTCTTCTAAAAATAATTAGCTTGTTAACCCTGAATGTTTTGTCTTGATTTATTGCAACTGATGCTAAAAGTATCTGTTAGGCCACAAATGCATTGGTCATCTGCCTTTTTATCGAGAGGTAAAACATACTGGTACCTCCATCGCCGCAGTATGATATGTTGACAAAAATATTTATAAATCAGCAAAAATAACGAAATATTCTTTTTAAAACAATGACATTAATAATTAAACATTTTTTTTCAAAAACACAAACATAAAATTGCATTATATACTTTAGAAGTCAAGAGAGGACATGACCACCACTACTCGGTGAACCTGCAACAAAATACCGATATATCGGTACACCGCAATGTACAAGAAATTGTACCGCACGATATGGTACAATAACTGTATAGCTTTTTACCACGATATATTTAACATTTAAGCAATTTATGTTGTTTCCTCTTAATTTAATCTGGCAGATAAAAGGGATTTTCTTTATTTACTAATGCTGTTTTTATTGTGTTCAGAACTTATTTTAAATAATGTTATAATAAAAAGTATTGAGAAATAAAAACGGTATCACCATACGATCAGATCGAACATAAATGCAGGTGAATGCATGGGTGGTACATGCATTAATTATACAGAATGGAAAATGTGGTGTTAACACATTCAATAAATATAGCAACGGTTTCAAAAGTTGGGGGGGGGGGGCAACCTTCCAAAAAAATCTGACAAGCAAAAAAAAAACAAAACAAACAAACAAACAAACAAATAAACAAACTACGAAAGCCCATTGAGCTCATTTTCGTAGATAAAAAAAATATATTTTTCGCGTTATAACGCAAAACTTTCGCGAACAAAAGCGTAACTTTCGCGTTATAACGCGAAACTTTCGTGAATAAACGCGTAACTTTTGCGAATAAACGCGAAACTTTCGCGTTATAACGCAAAACTTTCGAGAATAAACGCGAAACTTTCGCGAATAAACGCGTTACTTTCGCGAATAAACGCGAAACTTTCGCGAATAAACGCGTTACTTTCGCGTTATAACGCGAAATTTTCCCTGTAAAACAGAGACATAAATTTGCATAAGTCTACAGTTTGTTTTACTTTTTAATGATCTAGTTTATTCATTACAGTGAAAAACGAAAGACTATTTTGAACTTGGATTATCACGAGCTGAAATTTTATGTTTTCTCGCCATTGAATGTGTCTTTCCTCTTTCTAAATCTTTTTTGCCGTCACATTTTGTCTTTCTCAATGCTGTTCAATACAAGTGTTGAAGCGTATAGTGGAGGAGCGAAAATACAAGACTAATTTTAATTAGATTGAACACTCTATATAGAATTTGAAATAAAAGATCTCAGAAAATTGACAACAATGAGATAAATTTGTATTTCACGGAACAATTGTGTCACATCACATGAGTAACCTAATGTGAAAATTGGATGTCAAATATTCGTATCAAATATTTCATCTCCGATAGACTCACTGAAGTAATACAACATTGTATTTAAAGGTTGCACCATTTGGTCATACCATTACTTACGAAAACATTGACAATTTATTCAAAGAAAGCAACGAATGGAGATCTTCCTGAGAAAAAAATTAGTCTACAGAATTTCTTGGATTCAACAAGAGAAAAACAAGAAAATCTTTAAAGGAATATTCATTTAATTAATTAGTAGGGTTTTGAGATTAAATGCAAAATCAACACTAATCTATCCATTTCTCGCATAAATTCTCTTTTACATCTTCTGAAGAAATGTCATTTATAAATTCACAGAAGTCCCCCTCTACGTTCGATCATGTTTTTTATCTGTCAGTCAAGATCACAGGTTCCTGAGTAACATGACTATATATGTATAATTTCGCGTTATAACGCGAAAGTTTCGCGTTTATTCGCGAAAATTACGCGTTATAGCGCGAAAGTTACGCGTTTATTCGCGAAAGTTACGCGTTATAGCGCGAAAGTTACGCGTTTATTCGCGAAAGTTACGCGTTATAACGCGAAAGTTACGCGTTATAACTCGAAAAATATATTTTTGTTACCTACGAAAATGAGCTCAATGGGCTTTCGTAATAAACAAACAAACAAACAAAAAATCAAACAAAACAAAAAAATCCTGAAAAAAATCTAAACTGTCCAAAAGATTAGGGGGGGGGGGGGGGGGCTGACAAGCAAAAACAGATCTCAATAGTTGCCCAAATCTTGGAATTTGTCAGTGTTCGAACTTACAGCAACAAAAAGTGGAAGGGGGTGTAACGTAGAATAACGTAGGACGGACCCGCCCCCCCCCCCTCCCGCATTCTACTGGCCTGCCGAAACCTCCTCGGTTCAAGAGTGGTACTTTTACTTTTTCTTGTCACGAAGTTCGAGGGGGGGGGGGGTGTCCTAATTTTTCAAATAGTTTTTTTTCTCAAAAGAGCTAGAGGATCTCAGGTAGCACAAAACATTTTCAAAACATTTTATTGCAGTTATAAAAAGGTTTTTTCAAAACATTTCAGAGTAAACATTTTAAAAATGTTTTAAAAACATTTTTCTTTTCCATTGTAACATTTTAAAAACATTTTTAAAATGTTTTCAAAAAGGTTAAAGTAAAATCTTTAAGGAACATTTCTAGAAAATGTTTTTGAAACGTTTTAAAAATGATTCCAAAGGTATGTCTTTTTTGCATATATTAAACAGTGTCATATTACGTTATATTACGTTATAAAAATGTTTTTAAAACATGAAATAAAACATTCCTCTTCTAATATATATGAAATATAGTAGTGTTACGTTTCTAAAATATTTCGAAGGAACGTTGTCAGAACGTTTTTAAAACATTCTTAATATTGCATATAGTTTAATATTTAAATGTTCCAGTGTTGGTCATGAAAATGTTTTTAAAACATTGAACAAAACGTTTTTTCCTATGACAACTGAAACATTTTATTTATAATTCATGCAACATTCTATAGAAACATTTTCAAAATGTTTTTAAAACATTTATATCATTGTTGATATTAATGTATTTGTTTATTTTCAAAGTATGTTGTAAAAATGTTTTTAGAGCATTTACTATAACGTTTATCCTTTTAAAGACTAAAACATTTTATTTAGCACTGATGCAATATTTTGTAATGTAATTTTCAAAATGTTTTGAAAATATTCATGACTAACCCAATTTTACTGAAAAAAAATATATAGAATATCCAAAGAGGACTGAAATTAAATGAAGAATTGTTTTTAAAAATGTTCCGAAAAGAAAACATTATCCCTGTATTTTTCTTTTCTTTTTTTTTTTTTTAAATTCTTATTGAGTTGACAGACATGTAATCAATACAAAGTTCACTGAATAAACTAAAGATACTCTAATTTAAAAAAGAAAATAAAATAATAAGCAAACTGATTACAATAATTAACACAGCATGATTTTTGACGATTTCGTCTGTTTGCATCAAGGCAGCAGATTAGGAGTGGCCTCACTGGTCAGTTTCAGTGTCATGATAACCTTGTTATGCAATTCTCCTGCTGGGCAGCGCGTTAGAGTGTTTAGTGGTTTGCAGCTTATCTAGGCCAAAATTTGAATTCTGGTAAACAGGCTGTGCGCGTTTTCTTGTTGCTGATTTTCAAACAAGATTTTTGCATCATATAAGCCAGAAGAATTAGCGCTGGATTATTAAAACCTGCTTTGTGAGTATAATTTCATAAGAAATTTCAAAAGATTATTTTTAAAAGTGACTTCTCTGTTACCAGTACATCATTGTATTTTTGTATGCATGTGTAACAATAACAAAGCTATTATGTATTTGAATTGAATACTTTAGGCAACAATAAATATTCCTCCTTGTCTTATGTTGATCATAACTCAAAATATCTTTTTATTGAAACATGAAATCATATTACAGTTAGATGACAGTTCCATCAACAGACTTGAATTTCATTCAAATTGCCACATTTGAAAGAACAGCCCCTGGATGAGAAAGGGAATTTTTTTGTACGTAAATATCATTGCTCTTCAATAGTATTTGTGTGTTTTAGTTATGAACATGCAACAACTCTAATTCTTTTCATTAATGCAAATGGAAAAATTTCATGTGATTTTATGATTCAAAAAATGTTCTTGTATATTTTCATTACTTAAAGATATGATGTAGACGGATGACTTAACACTATTATCTCTATGTTTACAGGTTCTGCTTTACAGAAAAGAGCTTCTTGTTTAATTCTTTCCGAGGATAGAGTTCTTGAACTTTATCAATGTGTGCGATTCCATTTATGAAATAGATCCGCCGCTCTGTAGAACCTACATATGTACATGTAGATACATGCTTTTGCGGGATCGTAAATGATAACAGTGATCCAGACCTGTTTATTCTTTTTAGTATGAAGGATTTATGTGATTCTGTTGTTTTAAATTCAGTGAATGGATTTTTTCTTTAAAAATACCTGTTGGGTTAAAACAGAATACAGTAACTCAGAACTTGTACCGGAAATGGAACTAAAATATGTTTTTCATATTAAATAAGGATTTGTATTAAAATTTGTAAAAAGTGAATTCATTCAGTTGTGATTAATTCTTTGAGAGTTATAATTAAGATGAAATGTATGAAAAGTGCGTTTAAAATCATACAAAATGATGTTGATATCATTTAATGAAAACGTTAGGTGACATTTCAGGAAAAAGATGTCATTGCAACATTTGGGTAAAATGTTTTAAAAACGTTTTAAAAACCATACAAAATCACGTGAATAAAACATTTTCAAAAATGTTTTAGTAACATTTAAGGAAAATGTTCTGATAACATTTGCTGAAACATTGTGCTAAAATGTTTTAAAAACGTTTAAAAAACCATACAAAATCACGTGATTAAAACATTTTTAAAAAATGTTTTTGTAACATTTTAATAAAATGTTCTGATAACATTTGCTGAAACATTGTGCTAAAATGTTTTAAAAACGTTTAAAAAACCATACAAAATCACGTGATTAAAACATTTTTAAAAATGTTTTTGTAACATTTTGAAAATGTTTTTAAAACATTTTAAAAATGTTTTTGTGCTAGCAATATATATATATGGAACTGCGGTAAATGACGAACTACAGTATATGTCCATAAGTGACAGGCACATGGTATCGTTATTAAAAGGGGGTGGGTGGAGAAAATATTTGACAACTTACCGAGAAAAAAGGAAATTGTCCAAACTCCAAAATTCTACTGTGTGTGTGTGTGGGGGGGGGGGGGGGGGTTACGTGTTCCAACTTTCTTTTTATTAAAACATTACCATGATTTAACTATATATACTGCAACAAAAAGTGCCCCCCCCCCCCGTAACAAAATTTTCACATTTTTTTCACTGAATTAGTTAAATATTGTTAAAATCCTCTTCCCCTAAAATGTTAAGAAAATTGCGAGAGTAATTCAGAAGTCATTTTTGACGGAAAAATTCTATATAATTTCTAAGTAAATTTGTGCCATAAAATTTCAAATTTCAGTGCAAATATCACCACAATGCATTTTATTATATCCATGAAAATGAGCTATAAACAGCGTTGCCAAAAATATATTTTTTTAAATGAAATGGTGAATACTCTCTAGTAAATGACTGTTATAAATTGAATTGAATTGTTATACTATAGACTGTAGTACATGTGTAGGGGGGCGAAATCCCTGGCAACCGCCTGAAAGGAGTGGAATGCATTTTCATGATTTCAGATTTGGATTGGATTGGAAGTGAAAATTGGCAGAAAATACAAAGGCTTGGTTAGTTTTTTTTTCAGTTTTAGACCGGTATATAAATTAAAATATGAATATCAAATGTAGTCGCTTAAGGATAGATCTCCCAACACCAGAACACATGTCTATAGCTGTGACCACGAGGTGACCACAGAAGATTACCCTCTAAAGATGTGGAATATGTGCTCTCAATGGAAGATCATGCTTTAGATAGTTTTTTCCAAGTGTCATGTGTGAAATAACGTGCCGATCTAGGACATCCCACACAGTCATTCTCTATATTTTCAATCGCATATTTTGGACCCTACATTGGCTCATATTTGAGAACAAATGTGTCATTATATGGTACATTTAGTCTGTGTCAGTGTGATATCGCATAATAGACCTATAACTCTATAACCATGCACAGATTCCTTTTCTTTTTTATTGTGTGTATGCAATAAATACACACTTGTTTAAATGCATGTAGCTCGGTTCATGTAGCTCTAGCTCTTGGATCATGCATCCATCCCAATTTTTTTTTCTTAACCAATGAGCTACAGTTATGTGCAGGGTCTTGAGACAATCCGAACAAATTCGTGTATAATGTATATTAATAGCACAATATACTATGTACCCAATTTTGTTCCGATTGTGTTAAGATTCTGTGCAGTTATGCAGGTAGCATATACTGAGAGTATGCACATTTCTATATAATCTAAGGATTGTCTCGGAGTTAATTTTAGTCTATAAATATCCACGTGCCCTTATAATCATCATTTCTGAAACTAAAAAAAGAGATGTTTGATTTTTAGTGTATTCATTAGAATGATTGTGCAGAACACTATCTGTGGAATTTTTTTTTTTAAAAATACCACAATTGCTATACCAGTCAGGGGTGGGACTGAAATCCATCATATTTAATAATGACTGATAATTGACATTTCTACTAACTACACAATGTACATGTTTTTATTATTTTTTTGAAGATATGACTTGTTTTCATCATATTTCTATTCCCAAGTTAATTCTTCCAACCCATTTACTACAGTAATAGGATATAGTACACTATCCTGCCATGGACACATTGTGTAGAGAAACATCTGGACAAACAACTGAAACCAAAATAAATTAGTGCACCCCGCAAAACTATTAAACAACATAATTAAGTGCACCCAGACCTACTAATTTGATAAAAAATGATGAAATACAGTTATATCTATTTTTAGAAGTAACTCTATATTTTAAAATAAACTCCAAATAGTTATGACTGTTTTTCATTATTATTCTAAAAAATGATGAATTTTAGTCATTATTAAAAATCAATTTTATGACTAGAAATCATCATTTTTAAAAATGATGAATTTCAGTCTCCCCCCTGACTGTATACCCACATTCATTCAATGATTAAAGGGTTTGGGGTAATAAAATCCTCAGTAAAATAAATTTGGAAGTAATGAGGCGTTTTTGCAATGAATTAATTGTTATTTTCAATCAGTAAGCTCACTGAAAAAAAGATAAAATGCTGGTTGCAAATGCACATCAATTAGTTCTGTATTTTCAATAAAGTCTGAGAGCATGGATTAATACACATTTTACATTGAAAAAAAAAGGAAACGTTCCAACTCCTAGTCTTAGGTGTATGATAGAATACGTGTATTGCCATAATTTTTTTTTTGCATCTCAAAGTTAACTAACCTTTGATATTCTCTCTGCATTTTTTTTTTTTATTTAGGCTGTTTTATGAGACTTTGAGGAATCAGTTTTTTTTTCATCTTGCATTTTTTTCCGATCAGCAGACAGGTAATTTTTTTTTTTAATACACATAGCCACTTATTTAAAATCTGACGACAAATTAGAAGTGCTGTAAATCACACTGTATTCATAAGAATATTATTTGTATACTATTTTCAAGTTGCAACGAGAATGCTCAATTACTCATGATTAATAATGTGATGTAATTCTTATTACCTATTGTATAGAGGATACTTAAAAATTTTCTCCAGCAAACAAAACAAAATAGTATTGTCTCTACAAAATAAATTGAATAAAATACAGGTGATTTACAGTACATTAAGAAAAAGAGTAACTGAAATTATCGTGTTTTCAAAAGAGCATTTTGAAAATTCTAAATGTAATATAACATTTTTTTTTTTACTTTTTTTTTTTGTGGCTGACATTTGGAAATCCAGACTGTGCCAGAATGGAAGAAGAACAAACAAACCTGATCATAAATTACCTTCCTCAGTCAATGCAAGACGAGGAATTTCGGTCCCTGTTTGAAAGCATTGGACCAATCAAATCCTCTAAAATTGTACGAGATAAGAACACAGGGTATAGCTATGGCTTTGGCTTTGTTGATTATCATAGCCCAAAAGATGCAGCAACTGCCATCAGCCAATTAAATGGATACCGTGTTGAACACAAGGTTCTAAAAGTGGCATATTCTCGCAGAAATGAAGAGGAATCCAAAGGAACCAAGCTTTACCTGCAGAAATTGCCCCTTCATTACACTGAGGAGGAAGTCACAAATTATTTGTCATCATATGGCAATATTGTTCAAGTTCGAGTTGTTACAGACCGTGCAACAGGCCAGTCCAAAGGGATAGGGTTCATTTTGTTCTCAAAAAGGTCAGAGGCAGAGGCAGCCATTACTGATCTAGATAACAAAGTGCCTCCAGGTGGAACCCAGCCAATGAGAATCAAGTTTGCTGATGACAATGCCAAAAAAGTTAAACCACCTCCTCAATATGACTATTACTCACAGCCTCCATATCCAGTGCATGGGGGGTATGGGGAGGGAATGGAAGGGTCTCGGGGTCCCATGAGAAATCCAGGGAGTCGGTTCAGGTTTAACCCCATGGGAAACAATAGTAACTACAGTGGGGCCTATGGAGGGACAAGCAGTGGGTATGGGGCCGACTATTATAGTCCTCCTTCCCAGGGCGGGGGATATGTCTTGTTTGTGTATAATATTGGTCCGGAGGCTGATGAGAAAACCCTCTGGCGCATGTTTTCTCCTCTTGGAACCGTTACTAAAGTCAATGTTATAATGGATCATCAGAAAAATCAGTCTAAAGGTTACGGTTTTGTTACCATGCCAAATTATGAGGAGGCTGAATATGCAATCCTCAACATGAATGGATACTGCTACAATGGAAGAGAATTGGCCGTGTCATTTAAAAGCTAGACTATCTTGAACTGTCTTAAAATTTGACTACTTTTATTAATTGTTCTTGGGTCATTCATTTATTTGTGTTTTTCATAGATTTTAATCAAGTGTATTAGTATTTTGTTGAATTTAACAATTCATGCTGTTTTTTCTTGATATACATGATTTTTTTTTTGATACTGAAAATGTTGCATTTAATTTTTTGTAGTTTTTGGTGTCCCAGTTGTCAGAAAGAAGTGATTTGTTATAGAGGACAAGGCTTTATACTGGTAAGCACAGGTTATATATTTGTCAGAAGGAAGTGATATGGTAAAGAGGATGGGAATTTATAAAGGTAGAAACTTGATAAAATGTCTTATTTATCACTTGATATAAATAAATCAATTAAAAATCCAGCATTAATATTTTATTGTAAAAACAGTCCAGAACATTTTCATATTTCAATTTCAATCATTTTATGAACAAATGATGTAATTTTTATATCACACTGTCTAATAATTTAAAAATATGTGTATACTATGGAAAGAAATCTTGTTTTCTTTTCTTTTTAAGTTTATATGTTTTTTTTAACATAAATCATTAGATTTCTGAAACTGTCTTGAAATTTTGGATCCCAAATCAATGCTAATTGTACCTACATTTTAGCTCACTTTGCCCGAGGACAAAGTGAGCTTATGCCATCACTTGGTGACGTCATAAATTTTTAGCTTACCCTAGTCAACTTTTTTCTGATCAAAGGGTGTCTGGTGTCCATCAGTATCGTGTTGTTTGTCGTTCTATAACTTTTTGTTATTTTGAAGTGTGGACCAATTTCAACCAAACTTGCCACAAAGCATTCTTGGTTACAGAGGATTCAGTTCCAGATGAACAGCCATACCCTCTGTCGAGGGGAGATGATAAAGAAATAGACAAAATATGGTGGGGTCATTAATAAATATTCTTCTCAAGAACCACTGGACCAGAAAAGGAAAAATTTTATGAAAGTTTCCTTAAGCCGTATAAAGGGTACTTTTGCTTCTTTGTGAGCATTTTAAAATCGCTAAAAATAAATTTGCATAAATTTTTCACCATTTGTTTACCATAAAGATTATATAGATAACTCTAATAAACCACCAGGAGAATTAAAAAAAAAAATGTTAAAAATTATAGTGTTTTGGAATATTTGGAATATTTTCACAAAAATTATGATATACAGAATAAAACTTAATATACAGTGTAGTGTAGTTTCAAGTTTCTTTAAATCAACCTCTGGAGCTAGGGTGGGGTTGCAATAGGGGTCAAGTTTAACATAGAAATATATATGGAAAATTATTAGAATTTCTTCTCAAGAACAGCTGTGCCAAAATTGGTCCACCAACCTGAATTAGTCGTATGAATGTGAAAGCATCATCAATTATCATTTATTTGGTATCATGTCATCATACATAAAACAAATGTACGTAATTATACATAATTCTTTGAAAGACAATATTTGGGAAACATAACATTTATAAATAGATTTGTAGATAAATAAGATATTCAGATAACTACTTTTTTAGAAATATAATTCCACTGTGACTAGATTGATACCATGATACCCATTAAAGCTCGAGAGCTTACTTCCGATGGGGTCCTATCTTAAATAACATAACAATGCAATGTTTCATTATCAAAGCACTATAATTACATTTGGCACGATAATTTTAGCACTGTATTGCTTAAAGATCAAACTTGGATTAACAACATTGATAGTTATATTAGTATCAATATAATAATGAAATATTTTATAAATTAGTAGTGAAACATATCTTTTTCATCTTTTAGAATGCCCTTTTGAAACTTGTCTCTTAAAAGCACTCTTTCCTTTGGTACATTTTGGTACATTTAATAGAAGATGGTAAAAAATTCCAGTCCTTAATGCCATTGTAATAAAAGTGTCTGCTTGACATGCTTTCACATGAAGTTTAAAAAATCTTCATTCGAGGATACTCTGGTGTTGCGTGTAGACACTGCTGATCTTAGAGTAAAATTTTCTGACCTCTATAATATGCTGCACAGCCATGGTAGATGTTATATACATGGTTTAATCTGAGTTGTCATACCCAATCTTCCATATTTAAAAAATTTAGTGAACTAAGCACTTTATAGTTTATGGAATGTAAAGGAGATATAAAATGTAGTATATATCTTACCATTTTGTTTTGACATACCGGGGTATTTGTAATTTCTTTTTCAAACTCTTTCAAGTACATGTAATGCATACTAGTATTCAATTTTGATCAAATCATGGAGTGGGATGGGGCCACAATAGGGACATTTTCAGATTGATAGCCTATTATGTCATTGTATCATGTATGTTATTATTTGTTTTGTAGTGCAGCATTCTTTCTGATGACTGGGTACAGAATGAGTTTCATGTACGACCACTATCAGAGAACTTGTGTACTGTTTTTAATACATTCTTAAGTGTCACTTGTCTAGGGTTGAGGTTGTTAGGTTGTGTAAAGCAGGATTTGACACACTGCAAGAATTTCTTCAGTCCTGTTTGCTACTTATATTATCTGTTAGATGTACAAGCTTAGAGTTGACACTTCTATGAAAATAATATTCTCAAGAGTAAAAAATTAAAATATTTAAACTTCGTTAAGAGTTGTAATTTTTTGGTGAATTATTGAATAAAGTGGACACTGAATAATGCACTATGTTAAAAATTTCCTTCGGAGGAAGAAAATGTAGAATAATTTCCCTACCTCTCTATTCATAAGCATACATGACAGAGGTTTAACTTATTGTGGTGTGTCAGGCTCTGTAGGAATTTTTTTCCTGTAATTGGAAAATATTTTATATTTTGTTTTTCATATTTAATACTTGTAGTTTTAAATCACACTGTCCTTGAGGAAAAATTGCAAACTTAAAGATGTGAATTTGCCAAAATGACAGTTGCTTGATTATGCATTAGTTCTTGCTTTGGTATAATGAACTCTTGTGCAGTTGCTGTATTAAAGCATATTGATGTACAAGTAATTAATAAAGTTGACAGTATTTGTTCAGAAGTTGCCTTGTCCATTATTTTTAATGAAGTTTTAATCAAGGATGTTTATTTTCAAAGTAGACAGGTAGACATCTGTGAAAATCAAACAAGAGAACTGCAGAGCAGAGCATCTCTATCCAATAAGGACTATTTACATATGTGTAATAGAGACATGTTTGTGCCTCCGAATGGATTTGGACCCAGGACCTCTGACATGCTAATCCAGTGCTCAACCGATCAAGCTAAAGGGTTAACCCACTAGCTCAAGCTAGTATTATGCTGTGTATTTTATACTACCACATAGGCTTTTTGTTTCACCATTAGCATAGATAGTTTTTTCTTCATCCTCCTGATAAATATACAGGACATTGATTATGATTTCAGTAATACAGCTCACTTGTCTTTAACATCCTTAGACCTATAAATGATGGGGTTTTTTTCTGGAAATGTCAAGTGCTTGTTTTCCAAATTTGTCCACATTTTCAGATCTTGTCAATGATTTGACCATAGCATAGATAGAACGTTCTATCGTTAAAATGATATTGTCCTACGGACCCAGTTTTGGTGAGGGCTTGTCCCGAGACAGATTATTTTAACTAACTTTAGCACAGAATCAGTTGTACTCCGGCCACTTTGGTCAAACAATATCACTTGATTCCAATCACAACTCTAGAAAAAAAAAAAACACGACTTTTGATAGTACTATAGGCCAAAGATTTGTGAGGAGGATCAGAAACCCTTGGCTAGCGAAGATGGTGTAACGCTTAATCAGGAGCTCTATACTGTGTCCATGTGTTCAAACCATAGGCGCTCCCCAGCTTAATTGTTAAAAAATATGTATCTACTATCTATAAACATGTTTATAGTATAGTAGATATATATTTTTTAACAATTAAGCTGGGGAGCGCCTATGGTTTAAGCTAGATAGGATGCAAAATCAGAAGGCTTTATTTATCACCGGCTTTTGTTTTTTCTACCATGCATGGGACTAGGAATTAGGAAACCGAATCAAATTATTGTTCAAGGTTGATTTCTTTTTAACATTTTGATCCCCAAAGTCCCCCTGCAACATGTTAGTGTTTTGAGAACACATTCTATAAAAATTGAGTTGGATAATTACACTGCCAGTCTTAACATTGTGACGGAACTATAATAAAAAAAAAACTTATCCATTTATTCATTCACTAATAAAAATTGTAAATGGCACAAACGGAACATATATATACAGATTTACAACAATCTCATCTTCACAATGTGAAGGTTTTGTGATATCCATTCCTCTACACGGGAACAATATCACAAAACCTTGACATTGCGAAGATGCTACAATCTGGAAGTACGGGGATTATTACAACTGAGGAGAACAGACAGATGTCATCAATTTGAGCATTAAATGTACCTTGTTTTCTTCCGAATGCAGGATCAATAGTGGTCATAATAATTTATAGCACTACAGGTTTTTTTTTTTGGAATGGTTTATCTTGTATATTTTAATGAAAATCAAATTACAGAATTTTACAACATTTGGGTGTACATAATTTTTTAAAAGTCTTTTTCGATTATTACATATTACACTGCACTTCCAATAGGTAGTGAAATTCATCTCCAATTTGATTATTAATGCATTAATAACACACTCCTTCATTTATCTGAACATGCAGTTATTCATTTACTTACCACTATTGGAAGACTGTGGTTACTTGATTTAAATTTTGCAAAAAAAAAAAAACCAAGATGTGTTCGTGAAACACTGATGCCCCCGTAGAACAGCTTATGGCAAAGGTTAAATTTAAGTTTCTCAAATGCAAGTCAAACTCCAAGGTCAAGGTTAAGAGATAAAAATGTTACCTAAAGAAATAACTAGTTTCAATGATATACCTGGAAAATATGAAAGACCAAGTATCAACCATCAAAAGTTATGCTCAAGGTTAATGTTTTCTAATAGCGAGTCAAAGGTCAAAGGGTCAAAATAAATGGTACACAGGGGAATACCTTGTCATAAGAAACACACATGCAAAATATAGAAGTCTTAGCACCAACGGTTCAAAAGTTACGGCTAAGGTAAAGGTTTTTCAAAAGTAGGTCAAACTCCAAGATGAAGGTCAAAATGTCAAAATTGTTGGTATCCAAAGAAAGGTCTTGTTACAAGGAATATACCTGTGGAATTTGAAAGCCCTAGTTCTAACTGTTCAAACGATTTGGCTAAGGTTAAAAGTTTTATAAAGTAGGTCGATCTCTAAGGTCAAGGTCAAAATATTTTAAAACCTTGGAAAGGTCTTTTACGATGAATACACGTGAAATATGAGAGTCATAGCTCCAACCAATCAAAAGTTATAGGCAAGGTTAAATTTGGGTAAAATTTTGCAAAAGTGGCTCAAACTCCAAGGTCAAGAGGTAAAATTTGTTGGTACCCAAAGGAAGGTCTTTTCACAAAGAATACATATGTGAAATATGAAAACCATAGCTCCAACCAATCAAAAGTTATGGACAGGGTTAAAGTTTTTGTGGACAAACGGAATCTCCGATTACGGAGGCATAAAAAATCTCAAGCTTTTTTTTTTCCCCATTCAAACTTTATTTTAGAAGGGGAATATTAATATCACTAAACCATTTCTTTGAGCTTTTAGTTTATTGTTATAGTAATCCAGTTAATGCAATGAAAACTTTGACCATTCCAAACATTACTCATGCATATATTACAATAAAGTAATATTTTAAAATTACATGTACTTTTTCCCCCCTCCCCCAAAGCCACGATGAATACACATGTGAAATATGGGTGCCCTAGCACCAACTGTTGAAAAGTGATGACCAAGGTTAAAGCTGGTAATTTTTTTGCAAAAGTGGGTCAAACTCCAAGGTCAAGAGGTAAGGTCTGTTGGTACCCAAAGGAAGGTCTTGTCACAAGGAATACATGTGTGAAATTTGAAAGTCATAGCTCCAACCAATCAAAAGTTATGAGCAAGGTTAAAGTTTTTGTGGACAAATAGATAGACAAACGAACGGACAGGGCAAAAACTATATACCCCCGAATCCTCGATTACGGGGACATAAAAAAAAATCTTAAGTATTTTTTTTTCACATTTAAACTTTATTTTAAAAGGGAATATTAATTAATATCACTAAACCATTTCTTTGAGCTTTTAGATAATTGTAATATAGTAATCCACTAAACGCTATGAAAACTTTGACTATTCCAAACATAACACATGCATTTGCAAAATTATTTTGTTAATAACATTCTGATTGTACACACAAGTACTCTGAAGTTGATATTAAAAGACGATTGAGTTTCTGATTGACAATATCTGTGTGATTTTTGGAGACCGGGTCTTCCAACAATCTATTGGAATTCTGCGCCCCGTTATTAGCAGACCTATTTTTGTATTCATATGAAGCAGAATTTGTTCAAAATCTTATACGTGAAAAGAAGAAAACACTTGCTGTGGCCTTCAACTCGACATTTGGATATATCGACGACGTATTGTCAATTAACAATGGTTATTTCCATTCTAATGTCGATACGATATATCCCGGTGAGCTTGAAATAAAAGATACCACAGAGTCTGACACATCTGTTTCATATTTGGATATTTTAAGAAAAAGACGTTAATGGTAATCTAACAACCAACCTTTATGATAAGCTTAATGACTTTAACTTTTCAATCGTCAACTTCCCTTACTTATGAAGCAATATACCTTCATCACCTGCTTAATTAAGGGGTTTATATCTCTCAGTTGGATCGATACGCAAGAGCATGCTCTACGTATCAACGATTTCTAAAACGAGGTAAGTTATTGACAAACAAGTTGATGAAACAAGAATATCAACAGTCTCATTTAAAGTCGTCATTTCGTAAGTGCTATGGCCGATACAATGACCTTGTCAGCAAATACAATTTATCATTAAGTCAAATGCTGATTAACGTTTTTCATACTAATTGTTAGGTCATTATTTACACACTGAATTGTCGACGGATTTTCCCATTATTTCACGATCATGACAAGGAGCACACAGCGGGTGTGACTGGTCGGCAGGGGATGCTCACTTCTCCATGACACCTGATCCCACCTAAAATGTTTTATAGGTCCGTGTTCGCTATGCTCCAAAATTTGTATTGGTTATTGGAATTTTGAGCTTGAATACTATTTGTAATCTACATATATTTCATGCATATATTACAATAAAGTTACATTTTATATTTACGTGTACTTTTATCCCCCCCCCCAATTAAGATCCCCCTCACTCCGCAAAGTATTCCAGTATCCTTAAGAATATATAAGAGATACATGGATTACTGGTCTTTTGGTATATCTTTAGTGAACATATAAATAAATAATTCTACACAACTTATTTTAGGAATGACTCTAATTCTTGGCCAAATTATTCGAGTATAACCTGGTTTGGGTCAGTTTACGCTTTATAATCCGCGAAGCGGATTATAAAACAGCGTAAACTGACCCAAACCAGGTTATACTCGAATAATTTGGCCAAGAATTAGAGTCATTCCTTATAATTTAATTCTAAAATCATTAAACAACTGTGGGTGTAAAATTTCGTCGTTGCTTCTTATTAGTTCAAATTTGCCGCTCAATAATACAACCCTAGTAACGGAAGTAATGGGTAGCGAGGGGAGGTAAAAACTGATACATAGTCCTAGCAGCCATGTTGTTTGTTTACATGTGGTAAGATCCATGTTACTGTTTGAAGTTAAAGGTACATTTATTAAATCTGGAATTTCCATGAATCCCGAGGACTGGAAATGAGAGGATTGCATGGATACAGACGATTCAGCTGGTTGTCAGGGGGGTGTGTCCCCATACCAAACCAGGTTATACAGAAATAATTTGTGTTCCTTTTTGGATATTAACCAATCAGAGGCTAGAAAACAAACAAAATTAAATTATTTTCATTTATTTTCATATTCATTTAGAAAGAACATCCCCCTTCCCCGAAAGATATTGTTGTTTAAATACGAACATGGATAAGTCGTTTCCCCATACTCCAGAACATTTTAGGTATTTGATTTAAAATACCCATGGTATATTTCAGAAGTCGTAAATGTAGACTTTCAGTTACATGTATCAATATTTTCAAAGGCAGATCTAGTGATAATAAAAATTGATGTCGTACGTTGCCTTTTGTGCTCGATCACATAGATATTTCTTACCCTTGTAAAATAAATCCGATCTTGAGAATAGAATGCCAATATACACTGTAGATAGGTCCTTGACAGTTTCTATAATTTCATCGTTGTTAAGGAGCTGGTATTTTTCACTAGTTTGAAAAAACTAGATGTGTTTGTGAAACACTGATGCCCCCGTATGACAACTTATAGCAAAGGTTAAATTTTCTCAAATGCAAATCAAATATGTTGGTAATCAAAGTAACGTCTTGTCTCGAGAAATATACCCCAGCAGCAACCATTGAAAAGATATGGAAAAGGTTAAAGTTTTTCAGAAGTAGGTCAAACTCCAAGTTCAAGGTCAAAGGGTCAAAGTTGTTAGTAGGATTACATATGTGAAGTATGAAAGCCCTAGCACCAACCGTTCAAAAGTTATAGCCAAGGTTAAAGTTTTTCAAAAGTAGGTCAAACTCCTAGGTTAAGGTCAAAGGGTTAAAGTTGTTGGTATCTAAAGTAAGGTCTTGTCAATAGGATTACATATTTGAAGTATGAAAGCCCTACCACTAACTGTTCAAAAGTTATGGCCAAGGTTAAAGTTCGGTAAAATTTTGCAAAACTGGGTCAAACTCCAAGGTCAAGGTCAAAAGGTCAAATACATGTATGATGGTACTTTAAGAAAGGTCTTGTCACAAGGTGGAAAAGGTTAAAGTTTTTCAATAGTAAGTAAAACTTCAAAGTCAAATGGTCAAAATTAATGGTGCCCAAGGAAAGACCTTCTCACAAGAAATACACATGTGAAATGTGAAAGCCATAACACCAATCCTTCAAAAGTTATGGCCAAGGTTAAAGTTTTTCAAAAGTAGGTTAAACTCCAAGGACCGTACACGGTAACTTAGTCGGTAGAGCGCTCGCTTCGTGATCGGGAGGTCGTGAGTTCGAATCTCGGCCGCGACTGACCTAAGTCGATAAAAATGGGTAGCAACTGTTCCTTCGCCATGCGCTCGGCACTTTGAAGTGAAAGTTGCGGGTCCTTCGGATGAGAGCTTAAAAACCGAGGCAGGCGTTGGCACGATAAAGATCCCTCACTGCTCAATGGCCCTGAGAGCCGAGTAAAGGTCAAAATTTGAAGCCCTTCACCGGTATATGGTGACGTCTCTATATGAGTGAAAAAATTCTCGAATGGGACGTAAAACAACATACAATCAATCAATAAACTCCAAGGTCAAGGTCAATGGATTACAATTGTTGGTATTCGATGGAAGGTCTTCTCACAAGGTATAGACATGTTAAATAGGAAAGCCCTAGTACCAACCGTTCAAAAGTTATGGCCAAGGTTAAAGTTTTCCAAAAGTAGGTCAAACTCCAAGTTCAAGGTCAAAGGGTCAAATTTGTTCATATCTAAAGGAAGGTCTTTTACAAAGGATTACATATGTGAAGTATGAAAGCCCTAGCAACAACCTTTCAAAAAGCTATGACCAAGGTTAATGTTTTCCGAAAGTATAGGTTAAACTCCAAGGTCAGGGTCAAAGGGTCGTAGTTGTAGGTATCAAAAGGAAGGTCTTGTCACAAGGATTACAAATGTGAAGTATGGAAGCCCTAGCAACAACCCCTCAAATGGTTAAGGCCAAGGTTAATTTTTTTCAAAAGTAGGTCAAACTCCAAGGTCAGAGTCAAAGTTGTTAGTATCCAAAGGAAGGATTACATATGTGAAGTATAAAAGCCCTAGCACCAACCGTTTAACAGTTATAAGGTCAAATATGATGGTACCCAAAGAAAGGTCTTGTCACAAGGAATACACATGTGAAATATGAAAGCCATAGCTCCAACCGGGCAATGTTAAAGTTTTTGCGGACAAACAGACAGACGGACAGGGCAAAAACTATTATCCCCGAATCTTCGATATGGGGGCATTAAAATCCTTACAAACAATGATAAATATCGGATTAATTAATAAATGTTCTACCAAGCCTCACTCTTTACTCCAAACGAAAATATTAAGAAGGAGATTGAAACTTAATTGGGAGCACTGTACAACAAAATAGTTGAGAAGTGGTGTTAATCAGATGTGGGTACACAATTTTAAGGTCGTCGATAAGGGGGGTTCGATCGCACCCCTTAAAAACACTCGAAAACATATCATTTTTTAAACATCATGTGTTTAAAAGAACGATGCTAGATTTGTTCAGTTTAATAATTTGTAAAAACAAAAACCAATCTAAAAAAAAAAAATTAAGAATGCACCATTTTCCACTAAAATGGTACCCATTTCTGAACAAAAACCTTAAAAAAGGAACATTAAGAAAATCTGAAATTGTGAAATTTTACCAAAATCAATAGCAATAAAACTAAGTCTTTTCAACACTTTATACAACCATACCCCACGATATCTTAAAGACCAGGCTTTTTGACATCATAAACAACTGTTTCTTCAATAAAAATGTAAAAGGAAATTTTGCATACCGTGTCATTGGTCATCTACATACTTATTGTAATAAATAAATAGAGAGAGAGAGAGAGAGAGAGATTCTACAGACAAGTACTCCAAGGTTGATATCAAAATGATGCTCGAGTTTCTCATTGACAAAATCTATGCAATCTTCAACAAAATCTATGTAATCTATCTTTGGAGACCAGGTCCTCCAACAATCTGTTGGAATTTCTATAGGTACTATTTGTGCAACGTTATTAGCAGTATCTTTATTTTGTACTCTTATGAAGCAGAAAATATGTCTCTACTTTGCAATTGGTAATTACTTTTGAATAAGATATGATAGGGCGTTTATATTTTACACAATATGACATAAATAATGGCTTCCAATCCACTAAAACACCGAAAGCGGGGGACCACATTTTTTTTAAAGTTGCTTGTTTAAACCAACATTACAGTAAAATAAAGATAACTTTTCTAATTTCTAGAATAAGAAATTTGACTTTTCTTTTGAATTTTTAAAAGAGTTTTGCCATTTTATTTAGTTACTTAGATACTCTTATGTTCAGACATGCACTTCCGCAAAATAGCGAAAAACATCGGTACTTTATTTTTTTGTATCGATGTCTCATATCGACCCCCTCTGCATCACAATGCATCGGTTGATTGTTATACTCCTAAAATATATTATTATCATCTCTCTGCATATGTGGTTTATAAATGTCTCACAGTTGATTCGATACGCAAGAGCATGTTCTGCATACGAACATTTTCTAAAATGAGGCAGGCCACTGAAAAATAAGTTGCTGATACAAAGATATCAACAATCTTGTTTAAAGTCAACATTATGCAAATTCTATGGTCGATACAATGACCTTTTTTTTGCAGATATATTCCAAATCAAATACAGGTCAATGTTGACTTTCGTACAAATTGAAAGGGTTTCTGTTTTTGTAACATCTGCTAGGTTAATCAGCACGTAGTGGGATACATAATCAACACTCGTGCATGCACCACCTTCATTGTGTAAAAAAAACAAACAAACAAAAAACGTGTGTTTCACATTTATTTCGACTGGATAGAATGGATTAACTTAAGCCATGTAATGACAAACTCTGCTTGTCCAACGTAACCGTCCACTGAAAATGAATTAAAAGATGAAAACTAAACACATGTAAATAAAATCAGTACTTATATTAGAAGAGTCCAATGTATAGAATAAAGGTTTGTTTTTTTTTTTCAATAATTTATTTGACATACTAGTATTCTTTGTTCGTTTGCTCACTGTGTTTGAAAACAAAGTAACTGAATGCGTTGCACTTTAGTAAAAATGAAAGCAAATATAAAATAATGATTTTGATTCTTACAGTTTCTGTCAAAGAAGGCAAGAATCCAGGGAATGTCCCTTTCTTCGATTTGTCCATTTCTGTCCACGTCTAAGTGATGAAACAGAATCACAGCCTCGAAAGATGACCCAAGATTTCGCTCACGCCAATCCACTAGAAACTCGTCGCTAGTTACCGACTTATCATCTGCAATTATTAAATTTCTTGAATAATATCTTTTTTTTATACAAATTACTATTTTATACGTTTTTGGTGAAATTTTGTGTGTGTGCAATTTTTAGGGGTTGGGGCCGGGTAGAGAACTGGGAAACTTTAACTCGAAACAATAGTTGAACGTAGACGTCAATGTATTCTCTTTCAAGGGGGAGAAATCACCTTAGATACATGCATATTTAAAAATATGCCAGGCATCTTTCAAAATACAGTATATTGTCGCTGAAATATTAATTGTTGTAAGTCGAAAATCCAAACTTTTCAGGAGAGACAAAAACTAGAACACCAGAAACGACCTGCATAAGTGGAAACAAATTATTTTGGAGTTTTCCATGATATCATAGGCCAAATCTAATGTCATTGAGTGTGACAAAATGACGGGAAGAAATAAGACAATTTGTTTTCGAGTTTTTGGTAATAATGTCTATTTAAGACCTTTTGATTTTGTTATATCCAAACGGTATTATCAATTTACTTCAAAGAACAGACGTTTATAAAAAGCAGATTAGTTAACCCGATAGCCACAAACTTTGCGATGTAAAAGAATTTAATTTAATATTTGAATTGATCAATTGGCCTAGAAATACGCCGTGTTTACAGAACATAGATTCAGGAGTGTAGATTTTAAAATTGCAATAAAAATTTCCCGCCAAAATCGACTTACGACAATTTAATATTTCAGCGAAGAGATACACACATTTGAACATATAGTTCATAACTAATGCATACGGTTTCGATCAAAATCGAAGAAAATTCTTTGGAATTCCACCAGTGTTAGTTTATAGTTGTGGTCGTGATCAGCGAGATGAAAAACCCATCGGGCTTCAGCGTCGCTTCCTTCCGGAAAAGGATTGGCGTGGACACTTAAAAAAGTTTAAAAAGGACATTGAATTTCAAAATATTCTGCATATAGTTTCGAATGTTCCTACCAAAAGTATGATATTTTAATGCCCCCCTAATTGAAGATTTCGGTGGCATGTAGTTTTTGGCCTGTTCACAGCTTGTATGTCTGTTTGTTCGCGATCTTAAAATGCTATCCTGATTAGTTGGAGCTAGGGGTTTCATATTTCACTTGTGCATTTGTGACAAGACTTTTCTTTGGGTACCAACATATATTACCTTTTTGACGTTGATCTTGGAGCTTGGCCCATTTTTGCAAATTTCTACCAAACTTTAACCTTAATTGGTCATAACTTTTGAAGGGTTGTTGCTAGTGCATTGATATATTTTACAAATACATGTACACAGTATATTCCTTGTGGTAAGACCTTTCTTTGGGTACTTTCTTTCTTTTTATCTCTTGGCCTTGGAGTTTGACGTACTTGCATTTGAGGATTTTTAACCTTACCCAAAGCTGTCATACTGGGGCAGTAATAATTCACAAACACATCTTGTTTAAATTTCTTGAATCTTGAGGTGTTTTTTATCATATGCATTTGAATTTACAAATATACGCTTGATTTTTTTTTTTTTTTTGTGGTAAAGACGCAGCCATAGCTAAAACGATTTAAGTTGCAAATGCATTAAAGCAAGATTACTTACCTTAAGAAAACGCAGCATAATATAAAGAATATCATTCTCCTGAAATACGAGAAAAAAAACATGTAACTTAGTTTTGATTGGATCAGAGTTATTTATTTTTAACAGCGTCGAAAATAAAAGAAATATTTTGACACCATGGGAATTACATGTACTTCAAAGTCAAAAACCATCATCCCATTCTTAAAATGTGAACAAATAACTGTTTTCAATATGGAAAATATAACATTTAGGTCAGTAACTGCATGAACAAGATGGATTGATTTGGATACCAGTATATAGAACTTTCATATTCAAACATTTTTTTCTTGCTTTAACTTGAGCTAGAACAGAAAAATACGTTTAACCCTTAAATCAAAAATGCGAAAGAGACCACAATGCGCCATTTAAGATAACACCATATCTATTACTTATCTTCGAAAAATTGCTTTAATGAACAAACGTTCACTATGCTAGTTTCAACTGTAGAACGATAAGATGTCCTCCTGTGTTATTGAGAAAAAGCATTAAATTTTCTATTTACTTCACGGCTTTAATTACCTTCTGTTTGCGTTCCTGTGTACTGTATGAAAAGGAAGTACAACGTCTGACACTGATAAGAGTGACTCCACATGTATGTACTTACAGGTGCGTGGCTTTTCCTTCGTCATGTCTTTCTTAGAACATGCAAGATTATCAAGTTCATCGAGCTCCTGGTGCATTTCAGTCAGTCAAAAGAAAAAAGATTACTTTAAAATGGTTGTGGAAGTACACCCTATAATAAAAATATTTTTTGTATTATACATTAAAAATTCTTGTACAAGGTCATCTTTAAAATAATTTTTGTTTGCCCTCTCCCGACTCAAGGTAAAAAAAAATGGATCGGTAGGTAGATGGAACATTTTCCCCATAAAATTTCAACATATTTGTTGACGGGATAAGAAAATTCAGGAAGAAAATACCGTTTTCTGGAAGGTTAAAAAAGTTTTTGAGTTGGGTCATTTTTAGCCAGTCGGTCGGGAGAGTCGAAACAAACATTTTTTTAATGATGGCCTAATTCTTTTATCCCGTACATGTATACCTATTTACGGTGATTAATAATCAAAGGCGAATCATTCAAGGGGAATAACTTCTCTTAAAGTAGCGTAAACATTCCCTACATTGCCCTGTCCTTGCACCTTGAGTTGACCCCTTACCCAGAGGTGCATAAATTTTACAAATTACTAAAAATACCCTTGCTAATTACACCTATGACTTGGTTTGCCTCCCGGATGCCCAGAAGCAGCGATTTTCAAAGAACTAAAGCATTTTCTGTATGATCAATAGAGCCCCGCCCTAACACCATAACCCCCTGACCAAGAAGTCATGAATTATATAATTTTGAAAGAGAAACAGGTGTTCATCATAACGATGTATATGTGTATGTCGGCTATGTACCCAGGAAAAGAGAAGATTTTCAAAGAATAAAAGCTTTTTCATGTATGATCAACAGGGCCCCTCCTCAACTCCAGAACCCCTTACCCAGGGCTAAAAATATCACCATTTTGGAGGAAACTCATGCTCATCATAACCATGTACTTAATTTGTCTGATTAGTTCCCAGGAGCAGAGAAGATTATCAGAGCATTAATGCAATTTCATTATATAATCAATAGAGACCCACCTTAGCACAAGAACCCCTTACCTAAGGACTGTAAATTTCATGATCTAAGTAGAGGTGCCCTTGCTCATAACCGTACACTTAGTTTTACTGCAAAATATTCAATGTACGAGAAGATTTTTAAAGAATTTTTGCATTATCACTAGAAGACCAATAGAACCCAACCCTAACCCTTACCCCGGGGTTTGAATTTTACAATTTTTGATAGAATGCTAAATGTCTATAAAAATCATGTCAACAGTTTGACTGCTTGATGTCCAGGCGTAAAAAAGAAGATTTTTGAAGGTTACATCAATTGACGGTTTTGGCTCCGGTCGGGGGGGGGGGGGGTTGAAACAGAAATTCAAAATCTTGCTCCCCTTTATTTAAAGATGCCAAAAGTGATTGATTTTGGTTCAGTAGTTTCAGAGAAAAGGGTTAAAATGTTAAAAACTTTACAAACTTTACACTTGATTCAAAACGCAACGGCATGTTCTACATATAATTTTTTTTCTAAAACAAGACATGCAGGCTACTGACAAATAAGCTGATGGTACAAGGATATCAACAATCTCTTTTAAAGTCAACAGTTTGCACATGATATGATCCGATATAAAGACTTTTCTTTTGCAAATACTGTCCAATACAAAGACCTTTTTTTGCAAATACAATCTTTCGTTAGATCAGATGTTGATTGACATCTTTCATAAAAAATTTTAGGTCATTATTTTCACACTGAATCGTCTACGGATTTTTCTGTTAACCCGGTCATGAAAAGGGGCACAGGGCAGGTGTGACCTGTTGACAAGGGATGCTGACTCCTCCGTGGCACCTGATCCCAGCCCTGTATTCAGAGATCCGTGTTTGCTTTGATCACAATTTGTATGGTTTAATTGGACTTTTTAACATGATTATTGCTCTTTATCTTCACATTTCATTTTGTTATTGCTTGCAAATTGAGTTCAATTAGATAATATTATATTCTTTATTAATTTCACTGATTTGATCGCAACAAAGTTTTAGTAACCAGCTTAGTAACCTGTTATTGTGCTTCTGATAATATGGTTGTCATTTTTTGTGTTTCCAGTTGAGAGTATCATTTAATCTTTCAGCTTTATTCTTGAAACAAAAGTATGTCGGAACTTTTGTCCAAAAAGCAAATTTAAATCATCGACAGATATGGCAAATGTTATAGATATTATTTAAAGAATACTAGTATTGCAAGACTTCAATCTCATACTTATCAAAATTAGGAAGTGGCCAGGTCGACGATCGAGGGCAGTCACGTATAGGATAGTGTTTTTCAAAGGGAGGGAGTAGCCAGAAAAATGATTTATTTTTAATTGTTTAAAAAAAAATAAAATCTTTGACAAGCAAACAAAAAATAAGGGGATAGGAAGTTTCACAGAACTCTTTTTATTTCAGGGGGAGGGGGGATCTTTTACCCATAATTGGTGAAATATTGTGGCATTGTTTAATCAAACTGCTACAAAAAGGGAAAGGGCAGTCGTCCTCAGAAAAATTCCCATCATAATTAACAGTGAAAGTCTGTTCTAGGACCCCCCCCCCCCAAAAAAAAAACAAATCCAAACAAATTCTTACCATGGACCTGTAAAGTCAAATAATGAATAAAAAACTACATTTAGCATTTAGTTTTATTTTCTGTTCACAGTGTTTATACACAATATCAAGATATGACCTTTCAGTCTGATAATCTCTACAAAGATGATCAGAGAGAGAGAACAAAAGAGAGATAAAAAACATGATCTAGGGTCAAATTGTTCACTTAATAAAATAAAACAGCGAGTTTAAAGGGTATTACAGGCCCATAGGAAGTAATTTCAGTTGGGTACAAAGAAACATTTTCAATTTGAAGGGGGGGTTACCAAGCAAAATTCTTTGACAAGCCCCCCCCCCCCCCCCCGTTCCTATGGGTCTGTATTTTTGGACACTGTAATCTCATGTATTGGATTATCTCAGATAAAAAGAATTTTATAAACTATTCCAGTGTCATAGCTGTGCATAAGGACAAAAAAGTGGTGTGCTTGACAAAAAGTTAAAAGTTTACTGTTGGAGGTTGCAATTAAACTGCACCCTTTTATGCAGTCACATATTTGCTTTAAAAAAAACAAGCAAAATCAAAAAAAAAAATCGTCATTCACTGCTTTCGGTGACTCTTAGTGGTTGAGATGCAGTTATAAAATGTCTGTTCTGTGTGTCCTGTCTTATCTGTTCATCATACAAAAAAGATTGAAATTTATGGGTTAATGAAATATGGAGATAACGAACAGTATTCAAGCTCAAAGTCCATTAAAACAATACAAATCAGGAGCCGAGCAAACACGAGGTGGGATCAGGTGCCATGGAGGAGTGAGCATTCCCTGTCGACCGGTCACACCCGCCATGTGCTCCTTGTCATGATCGGGAAATAACGGAAAAATCCGTCGACAATTCAGTGTGTAAATATTGGTCTAACAATCAGTATGAAAAACGTCAGGCATATGACTTAAAGTCACCACGTTTATCATGAAGCTTTGTCGTTAGGTTACCATTAACGTCTTTCTCTAGTAAAATATCCAGATATGAAACTGATATGTCAGACTCTGTGGTATCTTTATTTCAAGCTCACTGGAATATATCGTGTCGACATATGAATGGAAATAACAATTGTGAATTGATAATACGCGGTCGATATATGTAAATGTTGAGTTGAAGGCCACAGCAAGAGATTTCTTTTTCTCATGTATGAGATTTTTAATAAATTCTGCTTCATATGAATACAAAAATAGGTCTGCTAATAACGAACGCAATTGGTACCCATTGGAATTCCAACAGATTGTTGGAAGACCTGGTCCCCAAAAACCATATAGATATTGTCAATCAGAAACCCATGCATCTTTTTAAATATTAACTTCAGAGTATTTGTGTGTACAATCAGAATGTTTTTTTAACAAAATAATTTTGCAAATGACCAATGACAAGGTAAGTAAATTTACGAGTTCCATTTTATTGAAAAAACAGCTGTCAATGAAGTCAAAAAGCCTGGACTTTAATTTATCTTGGGGAATGATTGAATCAGAGTTGAAAAGTCGTAAGTTTTTATGTTACTGATTTTGGTAAAATTTTGTGATTTCAAATTTTCCAGGAGTTTCTTGGAATCTTTAAGTACCCACATCTGATTTACACCATTTCTCAAATATGTTTTTGCACAGTACTCCTGAAGTTTCTCCTTCACTGCTGTTAATATTTTAGCGAGGAGTAAAGAAAGAGGCTTGGTAGAACATTTACTGGAACCGCTATGTAACTTTGTTTGTAAGGATTTTTCTGAAGTTTCAGAATCCAATATAAATATGGTAATTCAAATTCATTTTGGTTGTTGGGAATATTAAAATATTCCAAACTGACATGATTTTGAAGAATTTCCTCCTTAGAAAGGGAGCTATGGGTATAAGTTGGATTGCTGCATGTAGAATTAAAGTTACAGTCAAGATAAAAGTTTCTTAAAGCTGCTTAAAACTTCACCATCAATGTCATGAGGTCAAATATCACAATACAATCCGAAAGGACTTGTTACAAGTAATGCAGAAGAAAAAAAATATGAAAGCACTGTCTCTTCTGGAGCAAAAGATAATGCCAACGTACGTTAAAACTAGAGATAAGAAGGTAAAACGTCTAGGTCAAGGTCAAAAATGACAGTTCTTTCTGATATGTGTTGCCACAGGTAAAGTACACATAAAATATGAAATTATTAACAATGTTAAAAAATGTTGAAAAGCACTGTAGGTTAAACTTCAAGGTCTTGAGGTCAAAACCATAGTATATTCAGAAAGGTTTTGTAACAGGTAAATGCACATGTAAAATATGAAAGCCCCATCTTCTAATTCAGAAGTTATAACCAATGTTAAAATTTTTGAAAAGTGAGTCAAACTTCAAGGTCAAGGTAACATGGTCAAAAATCATAGCATTTTTGGAAAGATCTTGTCAAAGGTAATGCACAGGTCAAATTTTAATGCCCTATCTTTTCTCATTCAAAAGTTATAACCATTGAATATTAAAATTGATGAAAAGTAGGTCAAACTTCAAGGTCATAGGTTCAAAAGCCAAAATATATTTGGAAAGGTCTTGTCAAAGGTAATGTATATGTCAAACATTAACAATCTATCTTCTCTCATTCAAAAGTTATCATCAATGTTAAAATTTCTGAAAAGTAGGTCAACTTCAAAGTCAAGGTCACAGGGTAAAAAATCAAAGTACACTTGAAAAGGTCTTGTCACATCTAATGTACAGGTGAAATATAAAAGTCCTATATTTTCTCATTCAAAAGTTATGATCGTGGTAACGTATTTGTGACAGACAGACAGGCTGACAGATACCGGTAAATGAGATTTAATGTCTCCTCACTTTCACAAGCGTAGTGGAAAATAATCCTGTTCATTTCAATATTCAAAGTACAAAGTCAAATTGGTCCACATAAAAGGTTTCTACAAATTACATGTATGTTTGCAATATACGTCTCATGTTGAGAAATAATTTGCTTTGTAGTGCCCTTGCTATACCTCCTCTCCCCTTTTTGTATCAGATATACAAATAATGAGAAAATGCTATGGAATCAAGTATCTTTTCTTGTACTAAAGACACTGTGTCAAGTGTTTTAACAGTATAATATAGTACTACAATTGTTATCAGCAAACACAGAAAGCCCTTTGCCCTCTTCTTTATCAGACATCAAATCTAACATTCACAACTGATTTCTCAGTGTGCATATTTTGTTCCTCGGCAAGTTTATCATGGCTTATGCATTCGAAAAAACAAATGGCAATAATATCTTTTTTCAATATTGAGGAGTCTGCCCATCAATTTCTTTTATCTCTCTCTCTTGATAAGATATACTGACACTGCATTGGTGTTACTGGTTTTATTTTACATTAATAAATAATGAACAAGAAGTTTTTAAAAAAAAATTGTAAACCCTATTTAAATACAAGTAAAGACAACCATGTTTCTACCACAGAATTCTTCAAAATAACACCTCTTTTTCAAACATGAAAATCCATACAAATTACATCAAATGTGTACATTACAACATGCATAAAAATTCATAATAAACATTACCATTTAGTAAATCGAATAACCCATTCCATGTCTATTCTAGGGCAAAATTATTTATTTCAGAGGATAACTGCCTCAAGTCATCAAGTGAAAAAATGCATTTGAAATGAGTGTTGTAAAATAAAATATTATGGAACAGCAACTTCCATATTCTGTTAATATTGCATTTTATATGTATTGCATTCACCAGTAAGTGTTTGTAATTTTACAGTACATTTTACAATATATTTCTCCTATTTCGGATACTTTGGTTAGTTTGGTATAAATGGTGCCATATGCAATATTCTAGAAAATACTACCTGCACATTGCTTGATTTTTCATGAAGAAAAATTTTCTTCTCATAAACTTAACAAATGAGACCTGCACAAAAAAATTAAATTTAAGTATCAAAAAATATAGATGTAAATATACCTTCTTTAATACAATTCTCAATGACAATGAATACTGTGTCTAATGATAAAGTTAAATGTAATTTCAGCAGCACCATCAAGGTGAAAAATAATGGTGAGTAAATAACAAGTGAAAAATCAGCCCATTGTAAATAGCTGGAGTAGGAATATGACAAATAGCTAATCAAAGGTTTTTTCCTTTCCCTTACATTGCAAAGGGGAAAAAAAGTAATTGTACATAACAAGTACTTATGGATAAGTTTCTAAATACCCAAAACATCATGGCAGTGTTACATTTTAACTGCAGGATACCTTCAACTCTATAAATAAGACAATTTCATTTAGTTTCTGAATCCAGAAATCTCTGATGAGACCGTAGCTCTACTGGTCTTTTCTTAACAAAGGCAGAGAAAACGAGCATTTGAAAGTATGACAACAGCAATAAATAAATAATGATTTTTGGTTTGTCTTTTTTGTGTCAAGTTTAATTGCAACTGGACAAAAACTGTAGTAGGAGTAGCCTTTTGAAAGAATTCATCAAAATTTCTTTTTAAGTTACCATGACAACACTGTTTATTAAAATCAAAAACCAATATACAGGATTATGTGTCTTTTGAAGTCTACTTGTGTACAAGTTTTATTGAAATCAGATCAAGAATATAGGAAAATTAGAAGAATTTCATAGAAATTTCTATTTTTAGAAACCATGGCAACTAGTATTGTACCGATAATCAGAGAACATTGATTGTCAATGAAAAAATGCTTCCGATTCCGATGATCGATTATTATTTTTCATAATCGATCATCGGAAATGTACTTCATATAAAATGCATTCTGGAATTTTCCATTCCCGGTTTAAAATTTATTTCTTTGTAATGAAAGAAAATGGCATCTGGTGTCAACATTCGCCATACTTATGTGTTACAAAGCCAACTGACACAAAACAAAGGTGATTAAGAAACAAAAGGTGCATATATAGAAAGTGAAAAAGAAGGAAAACAACAAAGAAAACAATATATTATATATTTTATATATTCATGTTAAAGAAATAATATGAAATACTTGTAATAGTCTGCTTTTTATATACAAAACTATGAAATCCGAATATAATCGATAAAATTGCATCAGAAGCAGTAACCGATTCCAACCGATGATTGATTATAAAAATTAACTGATGTCCCATCACTAATGGCAACTCTGTTCTGCAAAATCAAAAACTGATAGAGAATTATGTATCTTAGTGTAGTGTATCGAGTTATATTAAAATCTGACCAAGACTGAAGAATTTTACAGAAATTTCTATTTTTAGTAACCATGGCAATACCATTTATCAAAATAAAAAAAAAAAAAGATTAATAGAATAATGTATCTTAGTGTACTCTAATTGTGTACCTATTTATTTTGAAAATGGACTAAAACCGTAGGAAGTACCGGTAGTGTTTTGAAAAAATTTCACAGAAATTACCATTTTTTAGGAACCATGGCAACACTGTACATGGAAATCAAAAACTGATACACAGAATTATGTATCTTACTGTTGTCTAGTTGTGTACCATGTTATACTGAAATTGGACCAAAACTGTAGAAAGAGTATAAGCATTTTGAAAATTGTTTACAGACAAATTAACAGATGAACAGACAGATGACAGACACCTTACTATCGCATAAACTCTTCTCGTATAACATTGAAAAATAGACTCAAGTTTTTTAATTCATATACATTGCTTCATATTTGTCTATATTTCTAAAGAATTTTAAATTAGTCCTACTTCAGTACCAAACATGCATATATTTACCCATATATTCCTCTGTAACAATGACATTAATCACAAACAACAAAATTACAAGGACATCCTTCTCTAAGGTATTAAATGTTTGACACTATTTAATGCAATTAATAGATTTCCTAGATAAAAATATACATTAAAATACAATTGTGGTAATAACAATTTAAACAATTTTGATTTAATTACTTAAGACATAAAAATGCCAACCTTTACTTGACTTTATTTAGTATAGCTAATTAAAATACAAGCCAATACATGTACATGTACTAACATTACAACACTGTCTTGTACACCCCTACCTATTTCATTATCTCTCATAAATATAAAAATGATTTGAGTTCAGCACAATGTTAGATCCATCCCACTGTATCTCGCCCTCCTGCTTTTTTTTTTATTTGTTACAAACTTGTTTTTAGCAATCCATTAAGATTATGAAGACATCTCTCTCCTTCATTTCCAAGTTCTGAAACCTACACTGAAATTACACAGGACACTCTTTGATCTAATATTTAAAAGACCCATGGGAGATTCCCAACACAAGGAATCATGGAAAATTCCTGATAGGCTCATATTCAGCCAACCAGATACTTTTGAGTTGGAGGGAGACACTCTTGCTGTCAGAAGATCCACAACCAGACCAGTTACTAGCCACCACCATCACTGAGATTTACGGCCAGTTACTTTCCTTTGTCTATTCCTAAAACACACATATACATTACTAACTTACTTAATCCTCTTCATGCATTTCAGCAAATAAGGCAGCTTACCGTATAACATGTATTTTCTGTGGGTGGACATTTTTGCAATTTGACCACTTGAAAGGTAGCAAATTAATTTCTGGGGTTGCAATAATCTCGGAAATTCATTTACAGGATTTGATTACTGATATAAAGGATTTGGTTGAACACTCTGTTTTAGGTATTTTACTATATATAGATTACAAGGTATAAATCATGCAGCTCTACTCTCTTTCAGTTTGTGTTCATATAACATTTATTTCATACCCCAGTAAGCATTTTTTTTTTTTACAATTATACAGTAATTAGAAAAATAAGGTGAAATCAGACTAAAAACTACCTTGATATCAGCCACACTTGTCAAGTTTGAGAAGAAAAGATGAAGCATTTAAATTATATCTGAATTATTTATCTAAAGAAAAATTTGTGATTGCAATTTTTGCAAATTTGTGCCATCTGCAGAAATTGGACAACCTCAGAAAATACCCTTTATACAATATATATCTGGTACATGTAATAATTTTTTTTAAAAACATAAAATAGACATAATTATTACATTTTCAACAGTGAAATACTGTGATTTATTTATTGAATAAAAGTGATATTCTCTCACAGTGTGAAAGGATACCCAAAATGATATTCTCTCACAGTGTGAAAGGATATCAAAGTAAGTAAATTATAATTTCTGGCCTATCATAAGGTAGAGATAGTAACTAATCATCTTGACAGAGCTAAAACTGCACATTTCTCCCCAAATATGTTATGCTATGTAATGTTTTCAATCTCACAACTGCTAAGCTATGACGTCTCAACCGCTCAACTATGACATCAAGCCTATAACACCGTGTTAAGAAAAGACAGAGGCAAAGGGAAAATCAAAGAAAATGTAATAAACAGAAAATTCAATGTTTTGTAGATGAATATGGAATTATTTTTACTTGTGAGACAGGATTTTTTGGATATTTTCACTCGTGCTTCGCACTCGTGAAATATCAAAAAATCCTGTCCCACTCGTGAAATAAATTCCATATTCATCTACAAAACATTGAATATCCTCTATATCCAACTGAATTAAACCTTTAGAACCACACTGAATTAAACCTTTAGAACCACACTACACATTATTAACATTCTACTGACTTATAGTACATTGTTTTAACATTTACAGTAATAATTAAAAATGTCTCATCTCACATCTTGTAAACCATATCAAAATTCTAACAGATTTTTACAATTTTCCTTTAGAGAACTACTTAATTGGTCATACCTGGCTTCCGATCTGGATGATGTATATTCAAACCACATAACATGTGGAATTAACGTTGAATCTCTTAGCATTAAAAATTCTCCAACAGGACTGCAAAGACAGAAAAAGACTGATACTGAGGCCAACTTTAAAATAATGTTTGTTTGCCCTCTCCCAACTCAGGATGAAAAAATTGGTAGGTAAGTGAGAAATTTTTTCCCCAGAAAATTTCAACATCAGTGCTGAATTTTCAAAATCTATTTCCGAAATTCATTAAAAAAAAAAAAAAAAAAGCTGCTTCCTGGAGGTAAAAAAATTTTGAGTTGGGCCATTTTTAGTAGGTCAGTCAGAAGAGGGCAACTAATTTTTTAAAGGTTGACCTGGACTTTTTTTAAGCAATACTATACACTACTGAGCAACTTCTCTCAAAAAACATTCAATTAAACTTCAGAATCTTAAACATCCACAAGTCAAATATCTTTGATACATCTAAGTGAGACTGTCCTGACCAATATTTGAACTCCATTATACCTTGGAGCTTTTTTTGACAGTCCATTTTATTCAAGATTTTGAGGCTTAATTTTAAACAATACATTTATTTTATTATGAATTAAACATACTGTATACAGGGTTATTTTTGCCCAATGTTATTTTCGCCCTTTCATGCTTGAAAATAATTTTGCCCAGTTTTAAAATCACCCAAACACAGTAAAGCTAAGGAGATACTGCTAATTTCTTTGAGTTTGCCCCATTTTAAATTCGCCCTCTTGCAAAGAGGGCAAATGTGGCAAAAATAAAACGGGGGCAAAAATTTCCCTGTATACAGTATTAGAGAGAATTAGACAGCAGATACTGCCTTTTGAGGCTTGACCGTATGTCAGAGACTGTGTTCTCGGGCAAAATGCATTTTGTCTACCCCTCGAACCAAACTGATTGCCTGAGGCCTAACGACCTCAAGCAAACAGTTTAGTTCTTGCATGATGGGTCCAACAAAACACAGGTTGCCCTCGAACACAGTCAATATATCTATCTATCTTTCTATCTATCTATCTATGTATATATATATATATATATATATATAATATTAACAGTATGCTTGTTAACATTTTGAACTCACTGAGAGGCTAAATGTGGAAAACAGGGTGTTAATATTAATTGTACTACAGCAAACCACAAAGCTCCCAGGAAAATTCCTAGCAGCGCCCCACAGGAAACCTGTCCAAATGTGTGATAGCCTAGGTACACTCTGAAAATAGATACAAATGTACCAACATTACCTAGTAAAATCTATACATACAGGTTTAACTGAGGTAGAATTTTGTGCAATAGTTGTCTTACAAAAGTTTATATAAATTATTCAATTGGTCAAGTGATAATAAAAATTATTACATATACATATATTTTCAGCATCATGAGATGTAGATAAGGTGAAATATAAGCTATGGCTATACATAATGTACAAAATAAGACTTTGCCAGTCTTGTAATAGTATTCATAATCCCATTAAAAAAAGAATAATCAATCTAACTCTTGCTTAGGTAGCCATAAATTACCTCATACCACTTTTCTCTTAAAAACCAGCTAAAGACTTACCTACTATATAGAACTGCTGAGGATAATGTGAAGCATACAATACTGACTAGATATTTCCATAAATCATCCATCAAGCTGTGATTTCTATAAACTCTGTAATCATGATAAAACAATAAAGTATCAGCGTATTATGTGTACAAGTGTAAGTAAATATTTTTTTAATATCATTATTTAATAATAGGCTTTATTATATGATAAATTCCTAGCTCTCTGATTGGCTGAGATCCAACACCATAGAAAAAAATACTACTTTATATTCACATCATATGACCTTTCATATTTTTTTTCTTTATTGGACTAAATATAGATTAAGAACCCTTAGTAATAAAAAGTTATTTTGAGTTAGATGTCAATTTCTTTTCCTACCCCCCCCCCCCCCCCCTTTACTATGATGCTACATGCCTGATTTATTTTTTTTCTTTAAAACAAATTCAGGAATTTCAAATTAATACAACTGTTTATGTTTATTTTCACCATCATATTGATCTCAAAAACAGCAGTAATTGTATAATAAGTGCAAATAAATCATGATATAAATACCGTATAAATAAGAAGAACACCATGTAAGTTGAGAAAAACCATGCAAACTGGGCATGACTGGATGGCATCCCATACTCTGTGAAGAGTACAGCTCGATCTGACAAAAAAAAAAGAAGTATACATTAAAAAGGAGAGATAACAGAGTCTCTTGTGCTTGTTTGCATCGTATTCTTAAATGACTTGGAGAAATGGCTGTCCTGCTTTTCCACTATTTTGTTTAAGTCCTGTCTGCTTTTCCACAATAATTACTTCACATTGCTTTTCATTGGAATAGCAGTATGACTTGTTGTGGAAAAGCAGGGGGTTTTTTTCTTGGTAAAGCAATGACTAATTGCAAAAAAGTGGAACAATAGGCTAAACCCCAGAAGGACTGAGTGAACTAGCACTTCTATAACAAAACTAATACCCCATTTCTCTCACAGCACACTCAAAACAAATATATTTGAAAGTTTGTGTTGTGGTCCACAAAGGTATTTTTCTAGGGATGGGTATCGCCAAAAATTTCGTATTGCGATATATCACAATTTTTTCCCACAATATCACGGTAATATCATAATATTTTTACAAGCAATTTTTACAATGATTTTAAATTAATATTCATAACTTCCCCGAAAAGTATGCTGGAAAAACATAGCTTCATTTTTTTTCATTTTTTTATTTACATAATATCAAGCAATTTTGGATGCTATGATGCCTTTCTTTTACCGTTTTCAACATTGATTACACTTCCTGTAATTGTAATTTGAAAGATAGAACAAATAAATGAATAATTTCTGGAATTTATAACTATGTACCTAAATACCGGTATTTTAGTCTCCGTATCACGATACGTATCACGCAATTTAAAATCACAATATACCGGTATACCGATAAAATCGCACATCCCTATATTTTTCACTTACAAACTGTTTAACCTTGATCCAAATGATGTTAGTTCCATATGTAAACACAACACTGGTCATAAGCTGCCTTTGAGGTTTAAATGGGCTTTCATTATTACTGCATTACAAAAACCAGAAATCTCTGACAAGACGTAGCTCTACTAGTTTGTACTTATTACAAAGGAAGAGAAAAGTAGCACTTAGACTTGAAACTTTGCAACAGCAATAAATAAAATAATGATCCTTGGTTAAGTCTCTCTTTGTGGCAAGATTTATTGCAATCAAACTAAAACTGTAGGAAGAGTAACCATTTAAAAGAATTTTACAAATTTCAATTTTAGTAACCATTGCAACATCAGTCATCAAAATCAAAAAAACAATTAACTTAAAGACAAAATATTGAAATCAGACCAAAACTGTAGGAGGAATAGCTTTTTGAAAGTATTTCACATGAATTTCTATTTTTAGTAACAATGGCAACACTATTCAACAAAATCAAAAACTGATGTAAAGAATTATGTATCTTTATGTAGTCTACTTGTGTGCCAAGTTATATTGAAATCAGACCAAAACTGTAGGAAGAATAGTGTTTTAAAGGAATTTCACAGAAATTTATATTTTTAGTAACCATGGCGACATCCTTCATCAAAATAAACAAGAGGCCCAGGGGCCACATTGCTCACCTGAGCACTCTGGCTAGGAAAAAAAAAACAGTACAGTATTGGGAGAAGGGGGGGGGGGGGGGTATGAGTAGGGCTGGATACCGGTACTCGGTACCAATACCGTACCGAATAGTTACTTCAAAAATACCGGTAAAATACCGTTTCATTTAATACCGGTACTAATAACGGTACTATTTCTTAATCTTAGAAACATTTTAATACATTCAAAATGACTTAAAACTCGCTAAAATAGAATTCTCCGCACATTGAAAGGGTAGGCTAATTAACGAAATGGATGCTTAGTACGACACTTGCTTCCAACTTTCAGTACGTATATCTCTTTTATTAAAAAAATTTAAATACATTAAAATTAATCGTGTTTTAACTTAATTAATAAAAACTGATAATAAATGTAAATTAAAAAGGCAAAATGTCGAAAAAATCTGATGTGCATTTCTATCCATGTTCTAATGTTTCGTTGTTTATTGCGACCAAACAAAATGGGTCCTAGCAACCACGAAAGTTGTGTATACTTGTGATTATGTATCTATTCAAATTAATTTGTTTGAGATTCAATTTATTTGTTTTGTTGGTCATTTATTAAAAGGTTGAAATATAAACATAGTTTATAAGCTCATTTTAGGTTATAACATTGAAAGGTTGATGATTGGTGAAAGCATATTTGTTATGAAATCAACCCTTATTCTCATTCATCAAGGTATAGTACCGTATCGTTAAAAATACCGTATCGTTTCAAAAATACCGGTATGGTATCGTACCGTTTCATCCTTAACGGTATCCAACCCTATGTATGAGTTGAACAAACTTGAATCTACACTTCCTGAGGATGCTTTTGAATAAATGACACATCACGGCTTTGCTGTTCTTAAGAGCATTTTTTTTATTGATATATCCTTTATATTCCTTTGAATAACTATGATGCCCTGCAATAGCCCCTCTATACTCCTGGGGGGTGGGGTCAGGATTTGAAAAAAAATTAATCTTCAATACCTGAGGATGCTTTTAAATTATTATGACCAATCATAGGTTTGCTGTTCTTGAGAAGAATTTTAAAGATTTTTCCTATGTAAAACTTTGATCCCCCATTGTGGCCCCACCTTCTCCCAGAGGTCATGATTTGAACAAACTTGAATCTACACTACCTGAGGATGTTTCCACATAAGTTTCATCTTTCCTGGCCCTGTGGTTCTTGAGAAGAAGATTTTTAAAAGATGCCATTAATCTAATTCCTAATTATTTCCCCTTGAAAGAGGGTGTGGCCCTTCATTTCAAAAAACTTGAATCCCCTTCATCCAAGGACACTTTGTGACAAGTTTAGTTGAAATTAGACCAGTGGTTCTTGAGAAGAAGTCGAAAATGTGAAAAGTTTACAGATAGACAGATGGACAGACAGAGGAACAAACAGACGGACACTAGACACAATGTGATCAGAAAAGCTCACTTGAGACTTCAGCTCAGGTGAGCTAAAAAGCCAAATATTTGTTTAAATTCAATAATATATTTTGTCAATTTTGTTTTTTTTAATATTATATAAAAACATTTTTGCACATTTCAAGATATTCAAAATTTTGAATTTTGCAGTATTTGGGCAGGAATAAGCCTTTACTGCATAGAGTTCTTTATAACAAGAACAGGAAATTTTCTGCTTTCAAACCTTTACATATAAAGCAACCTATGGTAAGTACAGTAAAACTCGGTTATAGCAAAGTCCTGAGGCCCTTTGAATTTACATCGCTATATCCTTAATTCATTATATCCGTATGAGGAATTTCTTAAATTATGTATAGCTAATTTGCAATAAACATGACTGTTTTCCTTTATGTATGACTTCTGAATATGTTCAGGAAATATCTTGAAGAACTAAAAATTTTAGATGAATTTAATTTCATGCATACATTAATGAAAAATAGGGTCGTTTTTTGGCTGACATGTTTCATACCAATTGTTAGGCCTTTGTTTTTGTACTGAAACTTTTAGGGCCAATATCACTAAGTATAAAAAGTCCTTCTTTTAAAATAATTTCTTTTTCTTCAATATACCAGCTCTGACATGATAAACAGGTGCAAAATACTTTCACAATCTGATCTTTAAAAAGTACATGTTTATTTCAAAAAACACATTATTCAATTTATGTGGAATATTTGTAAAATGTTAAGTGAAAATCATTGCATTTAATGAGTACAAAATTTTGGTACCCACATATTTTTTTTTTCAAATGGAGTGAAACAGTGCCGTGACCTGGGCAGTGCAGGTAATGACCTCTAAATAATTACCTCTAAGGGGCCTATGCTCTCTGATCATGTGCTTAAGAATCCAGTTACATGCTTCATTCAGCAGAAGACCGGTAAAATAAGAAATCTGAAATTTAAAAAAAATATAGCTTAAAATGAAATTTTAAAAAATGGATACAAAATGATTATTGGCTTATGTTTTTATAAACACTGTATTAAAATATCATACATATGACACTATATGATTGCAAGAATTCTTCATAAGAGACTCACAACATTTTTGATCATACTTTTCCTTAATAATTAAAATTTTGCCTTTTCAACTCAAAATCTACAGTTGGTACTTGCCAAAGTCAAGGTCAAAGGCCAAGGTTAACTCAGATGGTATACATTTAAAAACATCTATTTGTGATTTAAGGAATCACTGTCTGGTTTGTTGGGTATGCCAGGGCACCAATGATAGTTGGAAACATGGGATAATTTGCATAATGGGCAAAGCTCCTTATGCATAAATTATCCCATGTTTCCAACTGTCGTTGATGTCCCTGGCATAGCCAACAAACTAGACAGTGATTCTTTATATTTACATTTATATATGAAATAAAATTGTAAATATAAATTTTTAAAAATTATGTCTAATAGATTTAAAATACATGAGGCACCACATGTTAATTTCAATAGTCCCTGCCCACTGACGTCAGACACAAAGACAGCCGCACAAGATTGAAATGCATATTAGACTCCTGACCTTTCACTTCGTGAAATTTATATTCAGATGTAATTATTAAGAAATCAACTCACCAAACTGTCAAAGAGTTAGAATTTCAGAGAAAACAATTAGACATGTAAATATTTACCCATGACAGTGAGAATAGATAATTCTGTGTCTGATTTACAAATACTGGTAACAAGGCTGAAGATAAAAGTCAAGGCCAGCTCTGCCAGAAACAAATCAAAATATGTAATTCTGATTTACCTATGAGGAAAGTTATGAAAATCAGCATAGGACTTCCTAAACAAATATAAATACTCTAATCAATTGTCAATCCTCGGTTGATTCCGCTATGCTCCATAAAAACCTCGGATGTGATTGGTGAAGGAATATGCATCAAATCGATACATTTCTCTGCCGGAAACTGCCTTGTATCTCATTCCATATTTTGCTCTGCATAAAGTTCTTCAAAATTTTTTTTAACTTGTCTAATTCTTCCTTGTATATAGGTATTGATTACAACCTTACATTTAGTAGTCTTTGAAAGCAAAAACATAGTATCGCCGTAAACTGCCTTGTATCTCATTTCATATTTCGCTCTGCATAAAGTTCTTCAAAATTTTTATTAACTTGTCTAATTCTTCCTTGTATATAAGTATTGATTACAACCTTAAGTTAGTAGTCTTTGAAAGCAAAAACATAGTGTTGGGCAAGCCACATAGTAACTTAAATTTCAAAGGTATAACATTTGGAGGAATTTCAAATAAGATAATATGACTGTATCCGCAAAATGGTAGAACACTGTTTACGTCCGAGGTTAGTATGCGAGGCACGAGTCACCCAAGGAGCTCCGAGTGTGCTTTATTTGCAATATCAAAAAGTCAAGGTTTAGGTCATCTCTGTTGGCAGTAATTGATTAACATCCTAATGAAGCCCTGCATGAAACAATCTAATTGAAATTAGATCTTACAAGCTCTCATATTTTGTTATGTTGGCTTAAAACAATATAACAAAATACAGGAGCATGAGGGATCTAATTTAATTAGATTGCATGTGCATGAAATTGATGATATTCTGAACAACTTGCCAAAAATGAATCTAAACGTTCAGCTAAACAAAATTTTTGATGCAGACAAATATGGTCATATTTTGTCTATCCACATTGGTACATTACTTTATAAATGCTTCTTAAGGACTGTGTAAACACTTCACTTATAATTTTATTTTTCAAAGGGCTTTATGAAAATTTCTTCCATACTAATACAGTTGATCTCAAAAATCAATATAATGTATTCATCAGTTTGTAAGTTTAAATAAATCTTCAATTATGACACTCTTGTACATCATAAAATATTTATTCACAGCATGGTAATCACTATAGGAATCATGTGGCCATGCTGTGATTTTTTTTTTACAACTTTTATCCACAGCCTAGGCCTCTTTCTGTCCCCTCTTTCTATTCATATAGCAAGTACAAAATTGAAGATGTAAATGCTTCTCTTAAACCTACATATATAACCTTGTTGTCTTGATTTTTCAATGACCATTAAATGCTTTTTATATAAACAATTTAACAAAAATTACTGCAATTTGTAATAGAAGATTATTCATTTTTTCCACACAGGTATTGAGGAAATGTTAACTTACAGTATGTAAATCTCTTCTAAATAAAATCAATGTGATAAATCCAACAATGGTAAAAATGGGTAAAAGGCTGCACCAAGCTAGAATACATCCTACAAAGTCACCTGAAAATATAAATACAATTCGTCAGTTTCAAAAGAATTTCTTACAGTTGCTCATTTATGTAAAAGTATGAAAGCGGTGTGTGATAATTGTAATTTTCAGCCTTTCAGGAAATAATAAGAGTGAAATCTTCAAAAGTTGCAAAGCAAATTCTTATAGTAATAGAAAGGCAGAATTAGACAAACCAGACCATGATCAGAATTGGGCTTCTGAATTCTAGAAGGTGCTCTACCAACTTAGCAATCTGCTCAACTGTTAAACCAACCTGTCTGGCCATTGCATTTCTCCCTCCCTACTAGGAGAGGTCTTTATCCTTCTAAATAAACCAGACTCATACTTGGCTGGTTTTTACAACTGTCACTTCCAAGGCAATGAAGGCATGGCACTTTAACGAGTGTAACAAGAAGTGAGAGAATGTGAAAGACCAGCCCAATTTAAGCCCACACCCTCTGAACTCTACACAGCAATCTTGTCAATGGCAAACAAATCTGCCTGGCCATCAAATCCCTCCCTTTATGTTTCTGCCCCAAAGATATCAAGTACATTTCTGAAAGGTCTTTCCGTGTCGCTTGCAAGGAACTGAATGTGAAAAGAATGTGGAATATGGGACGGACTAGACTTGGATTCAAATATGAACCTGTCTATAGATATGCACCTGTCTATATATCAGGGAGATCTATAGACAGGTGCTCCATAAAGGTGAGAAAGAAATGTCTAGAATTGAATACTCCCATTTCATTTCCTCTATAGAGTAGCAAAACAATTTATCAGACGGTAATTTTTATAATAAACTGCTATAAACACACACCAAAACCTTACCTGTAGAAGTAAAATTGGTAGTTTTATGATATATGTAACTTGATTTGCTCCATAATTCAGAGCTAATAAGGTTATGAAATATGTTTTCAAAATAGTAGAAAGTTTGAATACTTCTGCATTTTAGCCAATGACATGCACTCCATATAATTTAAACAAGGGCAACCAAAGTGCGAAGCTATCAACGAAGAGGCAATATGATTAAATTTGCAGGTGTATCCTACGTGTAGGAATGGGAGATAACCGCAGTATTTTGATTAATATTTACAGATGTGCTAGTGACTCCAAATGTGTAGATAAGGCAAATGAGTCTGATGGAAACAAACCTTTTGGATATTCTACATGGGTTAAAGATACAGATTTCCAAACCACATCAGTAAAAGCATTATCTGTTTGTGTGGTCTGCATTTTGTCAGCATCATCCATTGCACCGGAAGTGATTGTTGCGCTTGCGACAATTCCGACGGTGTTTATCAAAGACAATGCCATTGGTTGGAATCGAATAACTGTAAACAATGTACCCGTACGGTTTTAGAACCTGAAATCTGATTGGACGTAAAAGGGGATTTCCAAAAATATGGCTGCTCCACGAACACATGCTCTTTCATTCAAAATATTGGCAGAATGTTCAACAACAAAAGCAAGAGCCAGTCTCATGAAACTTCCACATGCAACAGTTGATACACCTGTATTTATGCCAGTTGGTACTCAAGGAACTTTGAAAGGCCTTGTACCTGATCAGCTGCGGGAATTAGACTGTCGGATTGTATTGGGGAACACGTACCACTTGGGGCACAGACCGGTGTGTATCAGTATGTGTAATGACAGCTGTCTTAGATAATCATATTTCATAGTTGAGATACAGAATAATGTTACCATTAAAATGACACTGGGGATGGAGTGTTACAAACCACATATGATTGTGTTAGGCTTTCATGAAAGTACTATACAAGTCATGCTGCATATTGATTCAAGATTGTAAAATATATGTTATAACTTATTTTGTGAAATCTTTGAAATGAAAATACCGATGTGATACAGGTGTAGAAAATTTAAAAAAAAAAAAAGCATAAAATCATCATTTTGATATTAAAGGTGCTTGGACACAGATTTGAAGTTAATATTTTCTCAGATTTTCTGTATAATTTCATGACTTATATGTTGCTATAGCATTTCATACTAAAATATAATAAAAATCTTATTTCATCTCAAAGTTATTGAAACTTCAAATTTCTGGACGCGTTTGATTGACACATCCTTGCACTTTCACAATTTTTAATATTATTCTTAATACTTAAGAAAAGTGGCAGTTTTGTTGTGTATTAATGAAAAGTATTAAAACTATAATCCAGAAAATTCAAAGTAGAAATGTTCGAAAGCAAAACCCCTCACAGTATTGTCAGTCCGTGCTCAGTGGTGTGTGCAGACTTTAACAATTGAACACACCCGGTGAATCGTAAACATTAACAATAACAGAGCTCGTGCCCTGTTTACAGAAACAGTTTACGTTTCATGGGTGTATTCAATTTGTTAAACTCTGTACACAACACTGAGCACGGGCTGACGATATTAGTGAGGGGGTTTGCTTTCGCACATTTCTACTCTGAATTTTCTGGATTGTAGATGTAATGTTTTTCATTAATACAAAACAAAATCGCTTCTTTTCTTAAATGTTAAGGATAAAGATAAAATTTGTGAAAGTGCAAGGATGTGTTAATCAAATGCGTCCAGGAGTTCGTAGTTCCAATAATTTCCAGATAAAATAAGTTTTTAATTATTCATGATTTGAACAAACTTCAATGTGCACTACCTGAGGATGCTTCCATATCAATATGATTGATCATGGCTTTGTTGTTCTTGAGATTAAAGAAGATTTTTAAAGATATTTCCTATATATGTTCTTTTGTAAAACTTTGATCCCCCATTATGGCCCCACCCTACAACTGGAGGATGCCTTAAACAAACTTGAATCTACACTACTTGGGGATGATTCCATATCAAATTTTGACTAATTGTGGGTTTGTTGTTCTTGAGAAGAAGATTTCTAAAGAATTTTCTTATACATTCCTATGTAAAAATTTGATCCCCCATTGTGGCCCCACCCTACCCCCGGGGGTCATGATTTGAACAAATTTGAATCAACACTACTTGAGGATGATTCCATGTCAATATGACTAATTGTGGCTTTGTTGTTCTTGAGAAGAAGATTTTTAAAGATTTTCCCTATATATTCCTATGTAAAACTTTGATCTCTCATTGTGGCCCCACCCTACCCCTGAGGTAATGATTTGAACAAACTTGAATCTACACAACCTGAGGATGATTCCATATCAATATGACTAATGGTGACTTTGTTGTTCTTGAGAAGAAGATTTTTTTTTCTATATATTTCTATATAAAACTTTGATCCCTCATTGTGGCCCCACCCTACCCCCGGGGGTCATGATTTGAACAAACTTGAATCTACACTACTTGAGGATGATTCTGTATCAATATGACTAATTAAGGCTTTGTTGTTCTTGAGAAGAAGATTTTTAAAGATTTTTTTTCTACATTTTCTATGTAAAACTTTGTTCCCCCATTGTGGCCCCACCCTACCCCCGGGGGTCATGATTTGAAAAAATTTGAATCTACACTACTTGAGGATGATTCCATATCAATATGACTAATTGTGGCTTTGTTGTTCTTGAGAAGAAGATTTTTAAAGATTTTCCCTATATATTCCTATGTAAAACTTTGATCTCCCATTGTGGCCCCACCCTACCCCTGAGGTAATGATTTGAACAAACTTGAATCTACACAACCTGAGGATGATTCCATATCAATATGTCTAATGGTGACTTTGTTGTTCTTGAGAAGAAGATTTTTTTTCTATATATTTCTATATAAAACTTTGATCCCTCATTGTGGCCCCACCCTACCCCAGGGGTCATGATTTGAACAAACTTGAATCTACACTACTTGAGGATGATTCCATGTCAATATGACTAATTGTGGCTTTGTTGTTCTTGAGAAGAAAATTTTTAAAGATTTTCCCTATATATTCCTATGTAAAACTTTGAATCCCCACTGTGGTCCCGCCCTACCCCCGGGGGTCATCATTTGAACAAATTTGAATCTACACTACCTGAGGATGATTCCCTTTCAATATGACTAATTAAGGCTTTGTTGTTCTTGAGAAGAAGATTTTTAAAGATTTTTTTCTACATTTTCTATGTAAAACTTTGTTCCCCCATTGTGGCCCCACCCTACCCCCAGGGGTCATGATTTGAACAAACTTGAATCTACACTACTTGAGGATGATTCCATATCAATATGACTAATTGTGGCTTTGTTGTTCTTGAGAAGAAGATTTTTAAAGATTTTCCCTATACATTCCTATGTAAGAGTTTGATCCCCCATTGTGGCCCCACCCTACCCCCAGGGGTCATGATTTGAACAAAATTGAATCTACACTATGTAATGAAGGTTTCACGTAAGTATAAACTTTTCTGGCTCAATGGTTGTTGAGAAGAAGATTTTTAAAAGATGACACCAAATTTTCACCAATTCTTAATTATCTCCCCTTGAAAGAGGGTGTGGCCCTTCATTTGAACAAATCTGAACCCCCTTCACCCAAGGATGCTTTGTGGCAAGTTTGGTTGAAATTGGCCCAGTGGTTCTGGAGAAGAAGTCGAAAATGTGAAAAGTTTACAGACGGACGGACAGACAGAAGGACTACAGACAAAATGTGATCAGAAAACTCACTTGAGCTTTCAGCTCAGGTGAGCTAAAAAGTAACAGGAAAGTAGAAAATATATGGCTGAATTGGGAATCAAACCTAGAACCCCTGCATCACTAGTCAGGTGCTCTACCAACTGAGTTACCCAGATCAATGTCCTGCTGGGCCCAAACCATTACAGAAATAATATATTTATTATGCCCTGATATATTCTGAAGAAAACCTTTATTTGTCTGTCAAAACATTACTCAAGATTTATTGTTGCCACTGTTTATACTTCTTATCTTTAGTATAAATAAGTTGTGTATTCAAAATCAACACATGCCCCTGATTGGCTGTAATTTCGAGAATTCACTGAATTTGGTGGTAGTTTGCTTTATATTTAAATTATTTTGCAACATAGGCTTTTAAAAAGCATTTAAAAAGTATTTCAATAAACAAAAAGAACAGATTAAATTTATTAGAAAACAAACTTTTTACTGGTGTAAATGAAGTTTGAAAAACTTATGGTGTTGTGTGTGACATTTTGGGCAAATTAACATAGTACTGAAGAAGTTGCCTATCCTGTTAGTATATAGGTCCCTGCTAATATCCCTCCAATATTCATGATTTTTAACCTAATTAGACTAAGGGCAATAAGCACAACATCTCCATTGCCATATTGTTGATGCTTGCAGACTTATGAACTGGTCATAGCACCAAATGTGATGGGAAGGGAGAAAATATGACAGACAATTAAGACCAGGATTCGAACCTGGGTCCCTTGAACTCTAGACAGGTGCTCTAACAACTGAGCTATCTGGTTATTTATGTCTGCCAATTTAACTTGCTTGGTGCCACAAAAGGAATAAAGAATACCATGAGCCAAGGTCAGATATGTAATTTGAAAGTATAAATTCTTTTCATGCAATAAACTTGTTCACTCTTTGAACAAACTTTCCATTAATGTCCAGAAACCAAGTATAAACATGTTATATAACATGTTGCGTAAACATGTTAATCAGAATAATTGTATTTTTATTTCAGATGAAAGCTGTATTCTATCAATTTGCACCAGATCAAATTATAAACTTGGCTATTTACTAATATCTCTGTGGTGGCAGCTTGAATAAAATTCAAGCTAGCCTCCTGATATCAATCAACAGATAGTGTGGATTTTTTATAAGCAATGACTTCCTTAAACTTACCTCACACCAAACTATCAAACTGTGGTTTATGATGGTGTATATTTCATATCAAACAAGTCCAATCTGTCGGTAAAAATGTCCTTACTTGTGCCAATGTTTAAAAAAGTTTCTCATGAGTCATGGCTAGTTCTTCATATACTTTAATTTCAATAGGGTGTTAAATATTATCCCTTGTGGCACTTTTCATCTTTACATCATTCCTAGTATGACAGTGTGGTTCATTATCTTTTATTTGTGACAACTTTAGAAGCTGCATAAAAATGTAAGGTTTATAAATTATTAGCTAATTATTTTATCTTGATTATTCAGGGTCCAGAATTGCTGGAGAAAGCTGGTGGTTTACATGAGTTTATGAAATGGGACAGAGCTCTTCTAACTGTAAGTTGTACCAAGTTTATGAAATGGGACAGTGCTCTTTTAACTGTAAGTTGTACCAAGTTTATGACATGGGACAGGGCTCTTTTAACTGTAAGTTGTACCAAGTTTATGAAATGGGACAAGGCTCTTCTAACTGTAAGTTGTACCAAGTTTATGAAATGGGACAGGGCTCTTTTAACTGTAAGTAACTGTGATTAGTCATGATCTTTCTCTGCTTAAGAATGCATGGTTTTTAAATTGTTATTGTATAAAGACATACATTTGTATGAACTATAATGCGAAGTAAAATAATGACATCATCTAAACCTTATATTTTATGTATATCTTAATTTTGATGCAGCAATTTTGCCCTCCATGTACAAATGATTTTAAATAATAAATGATGATGTCTAAAAATAACTATGATTAATATTGAGCTATAAGCTTCCTGTCTGAAATGTCTCTTTTGGTGGCATTCAATCAGAACTCTTTGTCAGTCATGTAAATGAAATGCAACTATTCTGACATTATATGAAATTAAATCATTACCTGTTGTGGTAATGTGTGTTGTAGGACAGTGGAGGCTTTCAGATGGTGTCTCTCCTAAAACTGGCGGAAATCACAGAAGAAGGAGTGAAATTCCAGTCCCCCCATGATGGGTCAGAGATGATGTTAACTCCAGAACACTCAATACATATACAAAATGCCATAGGTAACTAACTTCAGACCAGAATGCCATAGGTAACTATCTTCAGAAGATAATGCCTTAGGTAACTATCCTCAGACCATAATGCCATAGGTAACACTCCTCTGAAGATAATGCCATATGTAACTATCCTCACACCATAATGCCATATAGGTAACTATCTCAGGGTTCTCCATCATTTCAAATTTAACTGTGGCGCAAGACTTACGTGAAGTGTTAAATTTCACGGTCATTTTGCAACCGAATTCGCGAGGACACAGAGACATCCCCCCCCCCCACACACACACACACCAAGGTACACGCGCTATTATAAATAAATATTAGCTATAAGTATCTGAAAATAATAATACAAGAAATAACGAAGTTCGAAGTGTTTAACCCTGATTAAAAAAACTAGTGTTCATTAAACGACAGAGGAAATTCTGGTAGGTCACACTTGTATTCAAGCTTTCATTCATATAAATATATTGTATTTGCAACTTTCGGTCTCAGTTGACTTTAGTATCGTAAAACTTCTGATTTAGAAAAACACTTTGGAAATTCTAAAGTCATTAAATACTATTTTTATGGATTATTTATATTAATTTTTCAACATTACAACAATACACGATTACGATACATGTGCTATTTGATTCACATTGACAAATCAATATAAGTTAGACGTGATTACCTTGAGTAAAGCTAGGTAATTAATTACCCTAGTATTAAACATTTAATTTGCAATTATCCCAATGTGTGAAAAAAGGGTTTCTCTCTTTTCATTCATGCGTAAATTCCAGTAAGCCGAACAATGGCCCCTGATTTGAGTTAATTTACGATTTAAACTAAGAAAAACCGTACTTTATTTGGAGGTTCATTTTGAGATTTATAATTTATACTTTCATCTTCTTGATCGACAATATTCTTAACTGTGGCGCTAATTTTTAACTGTGGCGGAACTGTGGCGCTGATTTTTTAACTGTGGCGCTAGGGAATTTAACTATGGCAGGGCCGCCACGTTAAACGGCTCATGGAGAACCCTGCTATCTTCACACCATAATGCCAAAGGTAATTATCCTCAGAGGATTATACCATAGCTAACTAACTTCAGACCATAATACCATAGGTAACTAGCCTCATACCATAATTCCATAGATAACTATCCTCAGACCATAATGCCTTAAATAACTAGCCTCAGTCAGACCATAAATCCTCAAACCATAATGCCATAGGTAACTATTCTCAGACCATAATGCCATTATAGGTAACTCTCCTCACACCATAATGCCATAGGTAACTATCTTCAGATCATAATATCATAGGTAACTACCCTCAGATGATAATACCATAGCTAACTAACTTCAGACCACAATACCAAAAGGTAACTAGCCTCATACCATAATACCATAGGTAACTATCCTCAGACCATAATGCCATAAGTAACTAGCCTCAGTCAGACCATAATGCCATAGGTAACTATCAATAGACCATAATGCCATAGGTAACTAGCCTCAGACCATAATGCCATAGGTTACTAACTTCAGACCATAATACCATAGGTAGTTAGCCTCAGCCAGACGATAATGCCATAGGTAACTATTTTCAGACCATAATACCATAGATAACTATCCTCAGAAGATAATGCCATAGGAAACTATCCTCAGAAGATAATGCCATAGGAAACTATCCTCAGAAGATAATGCCATAGGTAACTTTCCTTAGAAGATAATGCCATAGGTAACTTTCGTCAGAAGATAATGTCATAGGTAACTTTCGTCAGAAGATAATGTCATAGGTAACTTTCGTCAGAAGATAATGTCATAGGTAACTTTCGTCAGAAGATAATGTCATAGGTAACTATCCTCAGAAGATAATGTCATAGGTAACTATCCTCAGAAGATAATGTCATAGGTAACCTTCGTCAGAAGATAATGTCATAGGTAACTTTCCTCAGAATACAATGCAATAAGTAACATAATAGATAACACTTCATACTATAGAATACTTACAATGCTAAGGTAACTAAACACCCAACACTCCATAGTACAGAATGTCATAGATAACTGAACACTCAACACTCCACAGTACAGAATGTCAAAGATAACTAAACACCCAACACTCCATAGTACAGAATGTCAAAGATAACTAAACACTCAACACTCCATAGAACAGAATGTCAAAGATAACTAAACACTCAACACTCCATAGTACAGAATATTAAAGATAACTAAACACCCAACACTCCATAGTACAGAATATCAAAGATAACTAAACACTCAACACTCCATGGTACAGAATATCAAAGATAACTAAACACTCAACACTCCATAGTACAGAATGTCAAAGATAACTAAACACCCAACACTCCATAGTACAGAATGTCAAAGATAACTAAACACTCAACACTCCATAGTACAGAATATGTCAAAGATAACTAAACACTCAACACTCCATAGTACAGAATATCAAAGATAACATTGAACATTCCATTCAAATTTTATTAAAATGCCATAAGTCACTAAACATGGAACATACCATACTGCAGAATGCTGTAGGTAAACATTATATTACAGAATGCCAAAGGTAATTAACCACAGAATACTTCATACATATAAAAAAGTCATACATAACTATACAATTACCTTACTCTATATGTATACAGAGTGTCATACATAACTAAACACAAACCACTCCACACATATACAGAATGTCATACATAACTAAACACAGACCACTCCACACATATACAGAATGTCATACATAACTAAACACAGACCACTCCATACATACACAGAATGTCATACATAACTAAACACAGATCACTCCATACATATACAGAATGTCATACATAACTAAACACAGACCATTCCATACATATACAGAATGCCATACATACCGGGTAACTAAACACAGACCACTCCATACATATACAGAATGTCATCTTAACTAAACACAGACCACTCCATACATATACAGAATGTCATACATAACTATACAATTACCTTGTACCATAGGACTGGCGGTAAATTTAGATTTTGCTTTCATGTTGCTGTGGTGTATTTGCCAGAAGAATCACAGTTTTTTTAAGTCACGCCCACCTTTTGGCATCAAGCCATACTGTGTCAAGACCTTGACTTATGAATGAATGATGTCAATTTCAAGACCAAGGCAATGGCTGATGAATGAATTAAGTCAACATTTTAAATTTCAAAAATTCTTACATTATTTAGCTTGTCGGTGTCCGCTTCATAAATGGTTCTGTATGTTTAGTAAATGATACGTCCTATCTCGAATTCTCGTCATTTTCTTTCCCGTCTCCAAATACATATAGCAATTTCACATCAGAAGTCCCCGCATTTTTTTTTACTTCCAATACCATTTCAAACTTTCATTAAAATGTCACAAATCATTTCATTTTTTTTCTGTACGCCGATTGCCATAAAGAAAAAGTTCAATGCCGATGTTTCCCATATCCATCCCCCCTTTTTTCCAAAAAAAAAAAAAAACGATCTAGAAAGATAAATTTTCTTTCAGAGTTGACGGCTTGAACATAAAAGCCTACAATCGCTACCCCTATACCTGTACCTGACAAAAATCATGTTTTCTGCGTCTTCAACATTTCAAAGATACAATATCTTCACACGTACCAATTCCGATTTTTCAATCAACAACTTGTAGTAGCAGTGCCGCAGTAAAGTATGATCCTTGCAGATGGAGACAGCTATTTATACAGACTCCGGACCGTGTCTTGACACCTCGTAGTAGGCGGTGCTATTTATCAACTCGCTTTTCTCTCATTGGTCCTCTGGTACAAGTAACTTACACAATAGATATTAATTGGTTAGCTGTAAATACACTCACAGTTTTTATTCACTCGGGGCTCCGCCCCTCGTGAATGAAAAACTGTGAGTGTATTTACAGCTAACCAATTAATATCTATAGTGTAACTATAACTTACTCTATACGTATACAGAGTGTCATACATAACTAAACACAAACCACTCCACACATATACAGAATGTCATACATAACTAAACACAGACCACTCCATACATATACAGAATGTCATACATAACTAAACACAGACCACTCCACACATATACAGAATGTCATACATAACTAAACACAGACCACTCCACACATATACAGAATGTCATACATAACTAATCACAGACCACTCCATACATATACAGAATGTCATACATAACTAAACACAGACCACTCCATACATATACAGAATGTCATACCTAACTAAACACAGGCCACTTCATACATATACAGAATGTCATACCTAACTGAACACAAACCACTCCACACATATACAGAATGTCATACATAACTGAACACAGACCACTCCATACATATACAGAATGTCATACCTAACTAAACACAGGCCACTTCATACATATACAGAATGTCATACATAACCAATCACAGACCACTCCATACATATACAGAATGTCATACCTAACTAAACACAGAATACTTCATTTATATATGTTATAACATTTACACACAAATCTCCAAGAAAAATAAACAAGAGGCTCAGGGGCCACATTGCTCACCTGAGCACTGTGGCTAGGAAAGAAGCAAAAATCAGTTTAGTATTAAAATGCTTAAATGCATAAGTGGTCCCGACCTACCCCTAAAAGGGAGGGGGGGGGGGGTTATGATTTCAACAAAATTGAATCTACACTAACTAAGGATGCTTACACATTTTTTTTTACTAACTGTAACTTTTTCCCTACAAGTTTAAACTTTCATTTTGGCCCCTACCTACCCCTGAGGGTCATGATTTGATCAAACTTGAATCTACACTATCTGAGAATGCTTCCATATAAATATGACCAATCAAGACTTTGCTGTTCTTGAGATGAAGATTTTTAAAGATTTTCCCTATGTATTCCTATGTAAAACTTTGATTGCCCACTGTGGCCCCACCCTTCCCCCAGGAGTCATGATTTGAAGAAATTTGAATCAACACTACCTGAGGATGCTTCCATATAAATATGATCAATATTGGCTTTGTTGTTCTTGAGAAGAAGATATTTAAAGATTTTCCCTATGTATTCCTATGTAAAACTTTGATCGCCCACTGTGGCCCCACCCTACCCCGGGAGTCATGATTTGAACAAACTTGAATCAACACTACCTGAGAATGCTTCCACATAAATGTGACCAATCATGGCTTTGTTGTTCTTGAGAAGAAGGTTTTTAAAGATTTTCCCCATGTATTCCTATGTAAAACTTTGATCACCCACTGTGGCCCCACCCTACCCCTGGGGGTCATGATTTGAAAAAAACTTGAATCTACACTACCTGAGGATGCTTCCACATAAGTTTCATACTTTCTAACACAGTGGTTCTTGAGAAGAAGATTTTTGAAAGATGCCATAAATTTTTCATGAGTTCGCAATTATCTCCCCTTGGAAGAAGGCGTGGCCCTTCATTTGTACAAAATTGAATCCCCTTCATCCAAGGATACTCTGTGCCAAGTTTGGTTGAAATTGGCCCAGTGGTTCTGGAGAAGAAGATGAAAATGTGAAAAGTTTACAACAACGACCATGACGACAGACAACAGACAAATTGATCAGAAAAGCTCACTTGAGCCTTTGGCTGAGGTGAGCTAAAAACTAGTAATTTTGAAATGAAGAGTTCAGAGAGGGTGATTGAAAAAAGTACACTGTTCCCCCCCAAAAAAATCGAGATATAACCATCGGTGTAAAATAAACCCTTGTAATTAAATGTAGGTAATATATTTCAGGTGCAGATATTATCATGCAGCTTGACGATGTTGTACACAGCTGTATAACGGGACCTAGAGTAGAGGAGGCAATGTACAGGTGTCACCAAAAATCTACAATTATCCAATAACATCACTGAATATATTCAGTATTGTTCACTTTATATGACATTGTGTATTTATGAAAAATATGTCAAGTTCATATACTTAATTCAGCACAATAATTATAAATGCAGAAATACTCTCATATTTATTTTTGAGGTGGAATGAAGTACTGGTATCTCTATGTTGCAGTTTTGTTTCTCCATGTTTTATGTAAATCTGATTCTTTCTGTTTTAGGACAATCAGGTGGCTAGACAGATGTATTAAAGCTCACAAAAGACCACATGATCAAAACATATTTCCTATTGTACAAGGTGGTCTGTATCCAGAACTCAGGAAAAGGTGTGCTCAAGGTACATTTGTTGTCAGAACCTGATAGTAAATCACAAACCCTGGTAGTAAGATAAATACTGGTGTCGTATTAGATGCTGGTCTGTTTTAACATGACATTCAAATTTTAGTGAAACATAATTAAAGTGGTTAAAGTTAGATGTTTGAACAGTTTTAACAGAGGACTAATGAGCCAAGTTTATTTTGGTTGGTTGTGGTTAATAACTTAGCTTTAATGTAATTTCAGTTGACAAAAAGAGGTTTTTAACCCTAGTAGTGCTGAACCCGGAATTTTCCGGTAAACAAAGCCATGTGCTGTGAGCTGACCCTGAAATATTCCGGGTGACAGCAACAATATTTTTAAACCAATATTTTAGGCGGCCAATGGAAATTTTGTCTAATAAAAGCACTTTCCTTATTTGGTAATAGGTTTGAATGAATAAAAAATTCCATTACTTAAATGAAATGTAATTGGTTGTGTAAATTTAGACAGGTGAAAAGGTCATGTTTATTCCGCGTGATTCAAAATGGCGGCATATTCAAGAAAACATTTTTCAATGTTCTAGTAAAGTTGTTTAGAGACTAAAATCACGGTAAAAAACTTGATAGATATTTACTACAAGATGTTTTTGACATTTTATAAGCAGAAGATTATGCTAAACATTTTAAATGTGAAATTTGCTAGACGGCGATCGACCCATGCCAAGGTTGGATTCACGGGTGTAGACTTCGATATGTCCGAGTTAAAAATGATCCTAAGTATTTTATTTCATATAAACTCAACAGAAATAAAGACAATCATATCATGACTAATGAAAACAATAGTTTAAAGAAGTCAGGTTAAGAGAGAAATACAGCAAATGTCGAGATTCCACATCAAGGCAAAATCAACAATGGCGGACACTAACTTTTGACGAAGGTATTTCATACGATGTGACTACACAAACATTGAAAAGTTGTACTAAAACTATGTCCCTGTATAAAAAATCATCTGTATTATCGTCAGTAAGCATCATAGTGAATATATATGAATAAAAGTTTAGTCCTATGAAGAAAATGTTGTGTTATTTATAATATATTTGCTTTACCTGTAAATTACCTATTTGTTTACTCAAAGAATGAAAACTTGCTATCAAAATATTTGAAGTCCTATCTCTGCTGAACATTTTGATGTTTAATGTGTCTATGTTTTTTCAATAAAATTTGAATTAAATTGCCTAAACAAATGCACCCCAACGCAGGCAAAAATATTCAGCTCAGAGCACTAACAGTGTGTATTTTATATAGAGCTTTTAGGGTTAACTCACCTTAACAAAGGTAAAAGTTATAGGAGCAAGTCCATTCCCAAGTAACCATAAGACCTACCTGGACCAAACTTGCATGGATGAGTTCTGATAGACTCACTTCAGATGCTGGATATGACCTAAATTTTCTGGATGATTGAACAGGTTAATTGATCCATGGGTGTTCACTACCAAACATGCTTCTTTTGCTGAATCTCACCTACATTTTACAAGTGATTGAACAGGTTAAGGTTTAGAGCAGGTCCATTCCCAAACAATAATAAGCCCTATGACGACTTCACTTGCATGGATGGTTCATCTAGGTTCCTACTAAGACTACCAGATATTGGATGGAGCTTCGGTTGCTGCATCTGACCTACATTTTCTGAATGAAAATGTGTCCGAAGTTCCTAATTAACTATAAACTCTATGTTGATAAAACTTGATAAGATGATGCAACTAGGGATGCACACTACCAGACTTGCTCCGGTTGCTGGATCTGACCTACATTTTCCTGATGATTGAACAGATTAAAAGTTTTTAATTAGGGTCCATTCCTACATGTAAGTTACTACAAGCCTTATGGTGACTGAACTTGCATGGATGATGCATCTAAGGATGCTCACTAGGCTGCACCTGACCTATATTTCTAGATGAGTGACAAATTTTGAAGTTTTTGAAGCATGTTCACTCTAAAGTTGATATAAATTTTACTTTGTCCAAACTTGTATAAATGATGTATCTCAGAATTTACACTACCAAACATGCTTTGGATACAGCATCTGACCTACCAGGATGATTTGACCTACATTTTTCAGGTGATTGAAATAGTTTTTGGAGCAGGTCCTTTGGTTAGAACTATGAATCTTATCCAGACCAAACTTGCATGTATGTGGCATCTTAGTATGCACACTACCAAAACATTCCTTTGATGTGAGACTTTGCCTTCATTTATTAATTACATTGTATGATGGGCTTTGTAATCTTTGATTACCAATGTGTCAGTTGGTAGTTCGAGTTTACTTAAATGTGCCACAGAGTTGACAAAGAGGAATAACTAGGAATTACTATTGGTGGTTTAAGGTGTTATTATTGGTATTCACAGAGTGAAAGAGAGATGTACCAGGCTTTGCTATTGGTCATTTTATGTTGTATGTGTTTACAGAGTTGACAAAGAGAGATGTACCAGGCTTTGCTATTGGTCATTTTATGGTGTATGTGTTTACAGAGTTGACAAAGAGAGATGTACCAGGCTTTGCTATTGGTCATTTTATGTTGTATGTGTTTACAGAGTTGACAAAGAGAGATGTACCAGGCTTTGCTATTGGTCATTTTATGGTGTATGTGTTTACAGAGTTGACAAAGAGAGATGTACCAGGCTTTGCTATTGGTCATTTTATGGTGTATGTGTTTACAGAGTTGACAAAGAGAGATGTACCAGGCTTTGCTATTGGTCATTTTATGGTGTATGTGTTTACAGAGTTGACAAAGAGAGATGTACCAGGCTTTGCTATTGGTCATTTTATGGTGTATGTGTTTACAGAGTTGACAAAGAGAGATGTACCAGGCTTTGCTATTGGTCATTTTATGGTGTATGTGTTTACAGAGTTGACAAAGAGAGATGTACCAGGCTTTGCTATTGGTCATTTTATGGTGTATGTGTTTACAGAGTTGACAAAGAGAGATGTACCAGGCTTTGCTATTGGTCATTTTATGGTGTATGTGTTTACAGAGTTGACAAAGAGAGATGTACCAGGCTTTGCTATTGGTTATTTTATGTTGTATGTGTTTACAGAGTTGACAAAGAGAGATGTACCAGGCTTTGCTATTGGTGGATTAAGTGGAGGGGAATCAAAGGATGAATTCTGGAAAATGGTGGACATTTCAACAGATCATTTACCTAGAGACAAACCTCGCTACTTGATGGGAGTAGGGTGAGATTTTTTTTTTAGTAATAATTTTAGAATGCTATGTTTGTTTCAATATATTCTTCCTTTACATACAGTGTATGTATGTACTCTCTTGAAATTTCTTCCAAAAAAAAAAAAACTAACATTTTTTAAGGTGATTGAGTGATAAATTATTACCAGTATTTATATAGACTGTGATACTGGTAAATTTGAATTCTGTCTTAAATGTTGTTTTGTTTTTTCCTCCAAGAGAAGTGAATTAACTTTGGTTAAAGTGAGAGTTAATCATCTTAACCATGCTGATAAAAAATTAGATATTGAATGTATACATAAGTGAATGTTTCTGATCAAAATTTTTTCATTCTCTCCTCCAGAACCAATGAGCTAATGTTAATTAAACTTGGCACAATTATCCTTGGTTGAAAGGAATTCAGTTTTATTCAAATGAACGAGGGCATGCCAATTCCAAGAGAAGATAATCACAAATTGGCAGAAGTAGGGTTTGGTCAGTTAAAAAGTTTATTTTTGAGAACCACTGGACCAGAAAAAATGTAATATGAAAGCTTCCTGACATATTGTTGATTCAAGTTTATTCAAAGCATGGCCCCTGGTCATAAGATGGGGCCATAGTAGGGGATCAAAGTTTGAAACAATGATATATAGATAAAAGTCTTTAAAAATTTTCCCTCGAAGAATTCTTTTGGCCATGATAAGTCATACTTGATGCAAGAATTTTTAGGTAGTGCAAATTGTTTAAATATTAAAATGGCTGTTGAGGGTAGGGTGCAGCCATAAATAAAGATCAAAGATTGTGAATACATAAGAAAAAATCTTTAAAAATCTTCTCATTGACAAGAACAACAGGCAAAGATGAGATACATCAATATACAAGCATTCTCAGGTATTGTAGATTCATATTTGTTCAAATCATGGCCTGGGAGTGGGGATGGGGGTTTTGGATGGCCACAATAAAGGATCAAAGTTTTACATGGGATTGTGTGGAATTTTTCTTTCAAGAACAACTGGGGCATGATTAGTCATATTGTTATGCAAGCGTTCTCAGGTATGGTATTGCTGATTCAAGATTAAAATCATTGGGGGAGGGGGGGGGCTATAGGGGATCAAAGTTTTACATGGGAATGTATAGGATAAAAAAATCTTTTAAAGTCTTCTCAAGAACATAAGGACAATTATTAGTCATATTAATATAAGAAATAGGAAAAAAAACTATCTGTAGATTGTGTAGAGTCACGTTAGTTTGAATTATGACTTGAGGGATGGGATGAGGTATTAATAGTAGCTCATAGTTTTACATAGGATTATTTAAGGATATTTTTTTAAATATGTTCTCAAGAACCACTGGGCCATGGTCATTCATATTGATATGCAAGCATCCCAATGTAGTACAGATTCATATTTGTTCAAAACTTGGCTCCTGGGGTTAAGATGGGGCTTAAATAGGTATTCAAATTACATGAGAATTTATAGGAAATAGGAAAGAAATTCAAGAATAGCAAAACCACACTAAATCATATTAAAACATCTTCAAGTGTGGAAATGAGCTTTTTCAAATTATGGACCATGGGGTTATCATGGGGCTAAAATAAGCAATAAAATTTTACACAGTGCATGTGTATAGGAGAAGAAGGTCTTTAAAAATCTTTCTCAAACAGCAAGACTGTGGTAGTCATATTTGCATTGAAGCACCCCCATTGTTGTGATCTTGACTCCTGACCTCTTTGGACTTGGGGACCTTAATAAGGGTTAAATTTTTCATGGGAATAGATGAACTAGAATCTTTAAAAATCTTTTGAAGAACAGCAGGGCCAATGTGACACAGGTGAGCATTGTGGCCCATGGTTCTTTTGTTTATATTGACAGCTTTGCTGTTGACCTTGTGGTGTGTGTGGCTCTGGGCTGTGATATGTTTGATTGTGTTTTTCCTACCAGAACTGCTGTAAGTCAATCTTTTTTCATTTGCTATATGTACTTAGTAACAGATATCACATTTCTATTAGAATATAAAAATAGTATGCCTGTTAGTTTATGTGTTTGACACTGACATTGGATTTGGAAGAAAACATTTCTTGACATAAAATGCATCAATTTTACAGAGGTTCGGCAATGCATTGACATCCACAGGGACCTTAGTTCTACACAGGTCAGAGTTCGCTGAAGATTTTCATCCAATCGAGGAAGACTGTTTATGTTCGACTTGTAAGAATTACACGCGGGCCTATCTACACAGTATCGTAGAGAACGAGGCAGTGTCGTGTTCTCTTATCACTATACACAATGTAGCATACCAGGTACAGTAGTAATATTTTGTTACAAAAGAAAAAAAGAATTATTGTACAGTCAAACCTCATGATCTTGAACTCAACAGGACTGAGAAAGAAAGCTTAAGATATCTAAGGATCTGAGATATATTTAGTTGAAAATGCAAAAAGAAATACACTGTAGTGGTTGGAACGTTCCACATATCCGTGGTATTTGCGTTATCAATGTTCCAGATACCAAAGTTCATCTGTAGTAATATATGAGTATTTATGACAAACTTCATGGAAATTTTTCCTGGGATAGCCCAACAGGAAATTCTTTTTGAATTTTTTTTTTCAATTTAAAAACATTGTTTGCTACTGAATTTTATCTTTTTAGCTACGACTGATGAGAACCATGCACAATAAGATAGTGGAAGACAAGTTTCCCGAGTTTATTCAGGACTTTTTTAACAAACTGTATCAAGATGGTGATTACCCTCAGTGGGCCGTAGATGCACTAGCTTCTGTCAATGTCCAGCTTAAGAAATCCTGATTGTGGCTTAAAAGACTACAAAACAGGTGAAATGAATTGACTGTGTCAGCAGCTATTCCTGAAATTTTCATAAATTAATTAGCAGGAACTGGATAAATAGGCAGCAAGTATCCTTGAAATAGATGTGTGCAATTTGACAACAAGGTGCTCAGTATGTGTGTCTGGATTCACAGGCAACTTGTGTGATGTTTTCTTTTACATTTAGAATGGAAGCTGGCATCCACACAATATTGATTATTAATTTTACTAATTGCAAGTGCTTATAGAGGTAACAGGATTTCAAATACAGATACTAAGTTCCATTTGTCAGTTTAGATACTGAAGCAGACATCTGACTGTGCATTTCATCAGCTGTTTTTAAGTGTCAGTATTTGTAATTCCTTTTTAGGTTATAAAGATGAAAAAGATATGTGCTATTAAATTAAGGTCCCATTTCTTTTATACATTCAAGGGTCATACATTTGGATCTGTAGGAATCAAATGACTCAGAATGTTAACTCAAAGACACAGCTGTCACCTTCAACTGTAATTGGAAACCTTTTTACTAGAAGTCAGAAAAAGTAAAAAGGGAAACACGTTTTGCACACCTGTATTATATTCAAGAAATATGACACTCTTTATTCAGACATTAAATTTTATCTATGTGTTGGAAATTTTTTATTCTCTCCATTATCGCAATCATATTTCTACTGGGTTGATTTCAATGGTTATATATATATATATATATATATATATATATATATATATATATATATATATATATATATATATATATATATATATATATATATATATATATATATATATGATTTTTTATAAACAAAATGAATTAATTTTTTAATCACATCCTTTATTGTACAATAACTCCACTATACTATAAGCCATTTATAAATCCCAATCACATTTCGTTATCATGTTATACTCTTCAACACTGGTGGATTCGATGGGGATCCCCCCCCCCCCTTTGTGATCAAAAATATACGTAAGTCTAATAAATTCATTAAATTCATTTTTTGATGAGGGGTATTACATTTATTATGCCCCGCCATGAATATGGCCGGGGCATATAGTGTTTGTCATGTCCGTCTTCCGTCCTTCCGTCCTTCTGTCCTTCCGTCTGTCCTTCCGTCACACTTTGCGTTTAGCTCTGTTCAAAGCTCAGTTTCAAAGAAACTATCCAAGATATTTTTATCAAACTTCATATGCTGATAGATATTGATGAGGGCTATGCAACTGCATCAACATTTTTTGACCTTGACCTTTCCTTTGACCTTGACCTCACTTTTCTTAAATTAGTGTTTAGCTCAGTTTTAAAGATACCATTCAAGATAGTGTAATCAAACTTCATATGTTGATACATACTGATGTAAGCTATTCAATTGCATCAACATTTTTTTGACCTTGACCTTTATTTTGACCTTGACCTCACTTTTCTTAAATTAATGTTTAGCTCAGTTTTAATGAAACCATTCAAGATATTTTTAACAAACTTCATATGCTGATACATACTGATGAGAGCTATTCAACTGCATCAATATTTTTTACCTTGACCTTTCCTTTGACCTTGACCTCACTTTTCTTAAATATGTTTTTAGATCAGTTTTAAAGATACCATTCAAGATAGTGTTATCAAACTTCATATGCTGATACATACTGATGAGAGCTATTCAACTGCATCAACATTTTTTGACCTTGACCTTTCCTTTGACCTTGACCTCACTTTTCTTAAATAAGTGTCAAACTTCATATGCTGATACATACTGATGAGAGCTATTCAACTGCATCAATATTTTTTACCTTGACCTTTCCTTTGACCTTGACCTCACTTTTCTTAAATAAGTTTTTAGATCAGTTTTAAAGATACCATTCAAGATAGTGTTATCAAACTTCATATGCTGATACATACTGATGAGAGCTATTCAACTGCATCAACATTTTTTGACCTTGACCTTTCCTTTGACCTTGACCTCACTTTTCTTAAATAAGTGTCAAACTTCATATGCTGATACATACTGATGAGAGCTATTCAAATGCATCAATATTTTTTGACCTTGACCTTTCCTTTGACCTTGACCTCACTTTTCTTAAATTAGTGTTTAGCTTAGTTTTAAAGAAACCATTCATAATATTTTCATCAAACTTCATATGCTAATACATACTGATGTAACCTTTTCAACTGCATCAAAATTTTTTGACCTTGACCTTTCCTTTGACCTTGACCTCACTTTTCTTAAATTAGTGTCAAACTTCATATGCTGATACGTACTGATGAGAGCTATTCAACTGCATCAATATTTTTTGACCTTGACTTTTCCTTTGACCTTGACCTCACTTTTCTTAAATTAGTGTTTAGCTCAGTTTTAAAGAAACCATTCATAATATTTTCATCAAACTTCATATGCTAATACATACTGATGTAACCTTTTCAACTACATCAACATTTTTTGATCTTGACCTTTCCTTTGATCTTGACCTCACTTTTCTTAAATTAGTTTCTGAATCAAACGTCATATGCTGATACATACTGATGTAAGCTATTCAACTGCAGCAATATTTTTTGACCTTGACCTTTCCTTTGACCTTGACCTCACTTTTCTCAATTTGTGTTAAAATGTTGCATTACTAATATACCCTTGGCGGGGCATTCATGTCCTATGGACATATTTCTAGTTATACTTAAAATAAGTCATAAACAGTTACAAAAAATACTAAAACATGAAAGCTTGGGAGACTTTGCACCCTGGACTCCCACCCCAACCCCTAATTGGTTGCCCCCCCCCTTTTCAAGAATCCTGCATCCGCCACTGTTCAATTTCCCTTTTCCCCCTCTTTTTCACAGAAGGGGCGGGTGGGGAAGAAAAAAAAGAAGAAAAGAATATACTTGTAACAAAAACAGTCATTTTCTGAATTAAGCTTATAAAAAAATTATTAAAATGCTAAATTTTTTAAACAGCTAAAATAAATTGGAGTAGCATTTATGTTGTGCAAGATATTCAGGGTTGCAGAATCTTAATTTTTAAATTTGAGTGCTTCAAACTACACCCTACCAAGCATTTAATGGTGTAGATTAACTCTGCCAAAGATAGGCTTAAAAGAATTATAGGACTATTCAGTCTTATTCAACTAATGGCTCTTGGAGCTATTTATTTTTCTGCACGACAAAGAAGGGTGTCATTGTTATATCGGCCTGTTCAGTATGTATTAGCTTTGGCCTATTTCTCGAAGTATTTGTTAATCTATTTACACCTGTATAAGACTTTGCAGACAGATTATTGATAAATCCTTTTAATACGACAAATGCTCATTTAAACGCTGTATTTTAAAAGTTAAAACACATTGTGTGACTTTGTGTATAGTTATGTGTAAAAGTCTAGTACCCTCGACAAACACCACTGGAATTGGTAAGTTGCACATTCTTGCTTTAATCATGTTAATGTTTTAAAGTTCTCACACGCAATCTGAAAAAAAGTCTTGGTTTCATATTTTTTATGACATAACTGCCTATAATGCCGAGATCGTCACTTGATAAAGGGAACTAGAAAAAAGTTTAACATGAAATGAATTGCCGTGTTTACCTGGAGGTACTTCAAATTGAACAAGGAAAATAATCAAAGAAATCATTTATCAATCACACTGACTGAAAACCCTTTCACTCTAAATGGTGGCTCTTTGAATGTTTACAATTAATCACTCCCATGGAAATAAAATTACTTTAAATTCATGAATGTTTTTAAGGAGGTTATTTGAAACCCTAAAGAAATCAAAGCGTTTAATGTTTAACCTTTCCGACTCGGAAGCCACACTAATCAAAGTTTTCTTAAGACGTGAATTAATTACTTCAAGATAGGCCTGGGTACAATTAGAGTTGTGCGTAATAATCGATGTAAATGTCATCAATTGACTTAGGATAATTATACAGAATGTATACTCAAAGTTGACACGTGACACCCGATTGATGCCACAGATCTGGTGTACTTATATCGCTCAGGATCTGGCAATTTTCATTCTTATAACGGTCTTACCAGAGAAAGGTACGTCTTTTTTTTTTTTTTTTTTTAAATAAAGGTACTTTTTTTTTAAGATATATCTAAAGGAATTTCTGAAATTTTTCTCAAAAATGGCGATAGAATTTGAGACATGTTGGGATATTTTTTCCGTTCGAATTTTTTGTCGAACACAAGGAAAAGATAAGTTACCTATATGGAATGTATACTTGAAACATTAGCATCGTCACGTGGAACATCGATTGATTCCAGTGTGTCCCTGCATCGCACAAACTCTGACAACAATGCGAATTTCAGGAAAAATACGTCTACATCTCTCTCTCCTTTTTAAACAAAGTAAAAGCTATGCTTTCTGAACTGGAACAAGAAAATGTTACACATTGTTAAAAGCATGTTTAATGTGTATAAATAAAGCATTACACATTTTTTATTTCAAAGTTGCCAAGTTATGGGAGAAAATCACCAAAATAATGAAAGAATTTACACAGCTGTTACAAATATTTTCAATAAACGTACACTGACAGGATATATATAAAAAACGGATTTTTAAAAAAGCACTACGTGTATTTATTTTGCATATAAAAAAAAAGAATATGTTTTTGGACATATATTGGGTGTTTCCTCCATGTGAACCAAAGAGATATTGCAATACAATGCGCGTTCTAAGCTTTGCGCGGGAAAATCAAGTCATGACTCACGAAATTCAATTCAGTTTCGAATATCGGGGTAATTAAAATGGATATTTTACAAAGTTCGCTATCGTTAATATCCTAAATACAAACACTCTTTCATACAGATCTGTTTGACATTACTATACCGTTATGTTTCAAAGATATAAGGAGTTTATACACCATCAATTTCCACCCACTGATTTTTATGCCGAGGGTGAAGAATTAAAGCACTGTAATGTTCTTGAATTGCAATAGATAACACACAACCCACTTTTTGATCGATTGTTTATCGATATGTGGTTTTTTAAACTGCCACCCAATAAATTTTTCATTTCCTTACAAAAATAACTCTCCTATGAGGAAGCGCAATCAGCTTATCCCGTGACATTACAACCACAATATTTAAACATGAAGGTGTAATCCTATTAAAGTCGTCGCATGCATCATCATGGTGGGAATGTGTTGTAGAATACCATTAAAAGGATCAGAGATACCTAAAACTGGCCACTTTCTTTCTTTTCAGACAATTTTAACATGGACTTGGTCGATCCATCTGCATCAAAAGAGGAGGCAATGCAGGCTTTACACTACTGCACAAGAATGGAGTACTTCGACATTGTAGACGCAATATTGAAGACTCATTTTGGAACAACGAAGCTTTCGGATCTTTCTAGTCAATGTATGGAACTTTTAACAAATGTCGTGAAGTCTGGTTCGCTTGAATCGCTAGAGATGATTCTAGACCATGTGGATGAGAATTTCCTAGCAACCCCGCTAACTCAACGAACCTTCGTGACAAAACTACTCACAACTGCCATCACGAATGGGAAGGATGTGGTCTGTGGTACTCTAATTAAGAGGGGCGGAGACCCCAATGGACAAATTAACGGTACGACATTCCTACATGCTGCTGTAGCACAGGGTCAGGAGAATCTGATGAAAGCGCTTGTCGAGGGTGGTGCTGACATTTCCTTGAAAAACAAAAGAGGAGAAACCATCATTTTTCCAGTTATAATGTCTGATATCTTCAATAAGGTAAGATATTTATATCTGACTGTTATATGAGCTTTTGATGCTTTCTTGGTGTATGAAAGTAGACTTTGAAATAATAAAACTCTTGCTGTTTCAGGCTGACTTGGTAAGTTGGTTAGTTGCTCGAGGAGTGGATCCTAAAGACACGGGTATCAGTGGAAAACAGCCCATACATGTGGCAGCGGCCCACTCCTCTGACGTTATTTCACGTCTTGTTGATTTGGGGTGTGACGTCAACCAAACAGACGTTATCCACAAAGATACACCCTTACACATAGCTTGCTGTCGGTGCAACGGAGAAACAATTGAAACTTTAATCAAATGTGGGGCAAAATTTAATCTTGTGAACAACGAAGGAGAAACGCCACTCACAAAGTTACTGAAATTCGCTACAGACGCCGTTAATTTTCACTCAAAGTCAAGGATGAATTTAGCCAGACAGTTAATGAAATATGGATTTATTAGCAAGCAAAGCAAGCTTTGGAAAAATGTAAAACAGAAAGTTGGGAGAAACAAGGTTCAGGAGCTGTATAAAAGACTTCGATTGGAGAACAAGACAGTTTCCAGCCTCCAGCACCTGTCCAGACTAGTCATCAGTGATAATATCAAACCTGTCAGTGTTCGGAAGGCAGTCCATACCCTAGCTATACCTCCTCACCTTAAGGACTATCTCATGTTTTCTGATTTCACGTTTGGAACAAATTTTTCTTAATGCAGTTCATGCAATACAAATTTACATTTGGTGCTCAGACGTTTGTGTTAAAATCATTATGGCCTGTGATAAAAAGTGATCTCATTTTTGTTAACTTATTAAATTTTTAGTTGTTGAAATGAGTTGATTTGTTTCTCTTTAAAAAAAAAAACAACAGAAAAATTCTGTTTTATATGTCAATATCTGTATGTGTCTGCACTAGCAACTATTTTGGTAATCTCTGTACTATTTCAAAAGCAAGTTAACATAGACAAATAAAGCGGAGATATGACACCACATAATATCCAAGCACTGCATGCATCTGTCTATAAAACATACATGTTGAATACATGTAGAAAGCAAAGACGTCCACGGTGTATAGATTAATATGATAAAAGTGTACAGCGACCATTTAATATGGTCCTTTGTTTCAGTCAGAAAATCGCAATGTCTGTTTATAAATTTAATTTACAACGTGGATATAACCACATAAAGTATCTGATGAGGCAGATTAGAGGAGCCCCACTTGTTCATCCACGACCACTGCATGATTCTCTACCTATGCTTCCAAAAATATCTCGGTGCTTGGATATAAATATGACTAACCCCCCCCCCCCCGTTCTTGGATCTCTCGTTAGCTATGAAATACTCGGATCTTAATTCCCGTCTTGTTTTCATAAATTGCCAATCGGAGATCTCTGTCACGAATAAAATGCAGTACACTAGATCTATGGTGAGCATAGCATAAATTACACCAATCTGTGTGTCATAACCGATTTCAAATGCAGAATAAGAGCATTATCATGAACCAAGCGATAATGCATTCGGTAAGATTCAGGCCTGTAGAACGCGAGGGGGCAAAGGGGGGGCGCCCCCTCCAAACTTTTTCTAAGTGTAGTTTGTCTATAGTAAATTTTCCTTTAGATGTTGGTTCCCCCCTTTTTGATGTTGTAAGGTCGAGCACAGGCAAATTCCAGGATTTGGACGGTAAATTAATTTTTTTCTTTTTGCTTGACAGATAATTTTGGAAAGTTGCCCCCCCCCCCCCACTTTTGGTCAGTGTAGTTTTTTTTATTTTGCTTGTCAGATTTTTTTGGGGAAGTTGCCCCCTCCGCCTTTTGAAACCGTTGCTACGGGCCTGAGATTTACTCTAGTTGTTCAGTACCCGAGGACTATTCGAACACGCTGAAGAAGCCAGTTATGATATTAATATTTCAGAGATCCTACTTTTAATTACTAAAATGTACAATCAAATGATCTTTTTTTAAACATACCGAGTATCAGAGACTGGTATTTATTGACACAAGAAGTAAGAATATCCGCATGACTGACCACGAAGGTGAAGGACATTGCTTAGGTCAGCAATAGCACGAGATTTTTCTACCAAAGACCGGAGACGGGAGAGGGGCGGAGAACCATTAACCAAATTCCCTTCGTCGATGATGCAGTTGTGGAGTACATTTTACTTTTTAATTTTGTCTCTGTTACATGTATTATTGATGGGAATTTCGGCTGGTAAGGATATTATGTCGAAATGCAATGTAGTTCACACTTTCTATTTTCAAATATTACAATGTCGGTATTATAAAAAATATATATATAATCGATAATCAAAGATTAATAACGGTACTGACATCGTTTTTTTTGCTGACTGTATGAAATTATCTCAATCGTCTCCGTTTGACAATTATATTTGATTGGTTCATGTATCGCCACGATGGTAGGACGGATCATCAGATAGGGACTAATTGCACAAATGGGATAAAAAGATCATTTAACATATAATATCCAAATTTGGATATAAATTTACAATACAGAAAATGAAGAAAATATATTAAGAGATAAATACTATTTTTATAAAAATTGTAAATCCCCTACGTATACGTATACGTGTATATCAAAAGCAAACAGCTTTTGCTTGATAAGTTTTAGCTCACCTGAGCCAAAGGCTCAAGTGAGCTTTCCTGACGGAAGAGCGTTCAGCGTCTGTCTGTTGTGTGTAAACTTTTCACATCCCTTTCAGCAGTGTTCAGGCCTTTGAACTCAAAGATACCACAGAGTCTGACACATCTGTTTCATATTTGGATATTTTACTTGAAAAAGACATTAATGGCAAAATCACAGCAAAACTTTATGATAAGTATGATGACTTCAACTTTCTATCATTAACTTCCCTTATTTTTGTAGCAATATACCATTATCACCTGCTATGGAGTTTATGTCTCCCAGTTGATTCGATACACAACAGCATGTTCTATGTATGAACAATTTCTAAAATGAGGCAAGCTGCTGACAAATAAGGTGATGAAACAACGATATCAAGTCTTGTTTAAAGTCAACATTTCTATGTTCAATACAATGATACAATGACCTTGTTAGCAAATGCAATCTATCATTAAATCAAATGTTGATGTAAGTTTTTCATACAAATTGTTAGGCCATTAATGTTCAAGCTGAATTGTCTTCAGAATTTTCTGTTTGCTGCATCATGACAAGGAGTGCAGGTTGAGTGTGACAGGTCGACAGGAGATGCTTACTCCTCCATGGCACCTAATCCCACCTCTGATGCTTTTAGAGGTCTATGTTTGCTCTGCTCCCAATTTGTATTGTTGTATATAGCCTCTTTTGCTAAACAACTTTAGGCTGTCAGAACATGGGGTGCATTTGGTGTAACACAATAAAGAATGAGGGTACTTTTGATTTGGATTTGGCACATGATATTTTGGTATTCTATTGATGAATTGGGTTCTTGTGATATAGGAAAGGGAAATATTTTACTGATATCATGTTTCAGTTTTCTAAAATATGCCTTAAATATGGCTAGATGAGTCATTTGGTACAAAATGTTTACATTTTTACACAAAGCTTGCTATAATATTTTATGTTTACTTAAAAAAGCTGGTTTCATATTGTCTCGTCAGTGACTTCTGGGTTAATCTTTGCAATAAAATTAATACCTATGACAAAGCAAATGTCTTGTTGATTTACCAAGACCAAGAAATTATGGAGAGTAATTGTGTTATAAATCCAGACTTGTAAGTTTGTAAATCCGAACATGCAGTTGTATCAATTTCATAGTTAGACATGTAAGTAGGTAATTCCAACATATTAGCATGTAGTTTTGAATATAGTCATACAACTGTGTCTGTTTGAGTTTATACTATAAATGTATGTATTTTTAGCTCTTCTGAGCCATAGGCTCAGAGAGCTAATGCTGTGGCCATTTGTGCGGTTTGCATAAACTTTTTAGAATATGGGCCATAACTCAAGAACCCCGTGGCCAATAATTGTCAAATTTGTCGCAGGGTATCCTTGGCCCAATGGCTCTCATTTTTACTAAAACTAGGGTTGTGACCCTTAAACAAGGGGAGATAATTAGGTACTGTGGAATCATCATTGTTCGTGGGGGATCAATGTTCGTGGATTTCACGGGTGACCCTTATCCACGAATTTACATCCCCACGAACAATTTTTTGTCAACGTAATGATTAATTAAATCTACCAAATAAACGAGCTGCCCATGAAATTATATCCCCATGAATCAATAAAGTTTTGCTTGCCCATGAACATTGACCCCCGCAAATTTAAATGATTCCACAGTAAATAAAACCAAAAGTACTAGTTGCTAAAAAATCTTCTCAAGAACCACTGGGCAGATTATAACCAAACTTACACAAAAGGATGAGGATATGTTGTAGATTAAAATTTGCACGGAGAATTGCCCTAGGGCAAAGGGCATGGTCTCAAGGTCACTTCAAAGTTGACCAAAAATTACATTTTATTAAAATGTTGATATTTTGCTTACTATAAGGACTAAGATCATCAAATCTTGTCAGTTGATGCATCTAAGGACCTCATTGTTGACTCAAAAGACAGTCACGGTGACCTACTTTTAAAATTTTGCAGCAATTCTTCAAAATGATTTAGAGGCATATTTTGGACAATCTAAGGCCTATGATCATCAAACTTAGTCAGTTGATGCATCTTGGGTATTCAAAGTATGTCAACTAAAAAGTAGGTCACCTTGACCTACTTTTTGAATTCTATGGCTAATCTTTTTTAAAACATTTAAGGTCATTAATTTAAATACTGAGAGGTTTAGAATCATTAAATCTTGTAAGATGATGCATCTTGGGGCCATAAAACATATTTATTAAAAAGTAGGTTGCAGTGACCTACTTTTTGAACTTTGCAGGCATTTGATTTCAAAGTCTTTTAGAGGCATATTTTGGAAATTTTAATTCCTATGATAAAACATATTTATTAAATTCCTATGATCATTAAACTTTGTAAGTTGATGCATCTTGTGTCCCTGAAAAACGTCAACTGAAAAGTAGGTCACTGTGACCTACTTTTGAAATTTTATGGCTATATTCAGCGATTTTTTTCTACCCATTGGGAAAGGGTCCGGTACCGGTTCAATTGGGAACAAATAGCATTGAAGTAGAACAAAGGAGAATTTTCTTTCATATAAACAAATGAAACGTATTTTGTGTTTATTCCAATCTCATTACCTATTACTCCATGTTTAAAAGAATAAACAACAAGTATTTATTATTTTTCATATCAATGTCCCTTGTTTTCGCATTTTCATGCTTTCAATTTGTCAAAATGTAAGACACTACGCTGTCTACAGATCCCGCCATATTACGACATCTCTACTTTCGATTTCAGCGGAAGTGAAACAATTATAGTCAACTTGTACAACGTTTCATATAAAAAGAAATATGATGTCATCGTAGTCTGTTGCTTGGCAGTTGAATTGGGAATTTTTAGTCTCAAAATTGGGAAAAATTAACGTTTTTTGGCATTGGGAATGGTACCGTTTATCGGTACCAGTTATGTAAGGAAAAAAACCGCTGTATATTTGAATATTTTAGGTACTATTTGGCTTAGAAACATCAAACTTCGTCAGTTGGTGTATCTTGGGTCCTCAGAGTAGGTCAACTGAAAAGTAGGTCACTGTGACCTACTTTTTCAATTTATATGACTATAATTAAATATTTTGGGTACTAATTGGCTCAGAATCATCAAACTTTGTCAGTTGATGCATCTTGGGTCTTCGGAGTATGTCGACTGAAAAGTATGTCACTGTGACCTACTTTTGAAAATTTATGGCTTTGATTAAATATTTCAGGTACTAATTGGCTTAGAATCATCAAACTTTGTCAGTTGATGGTCTTGTTAATGTTGTAAAATTTGCTTTTCCGTCATTTCCGGCATGGATACTTAAGAATTTACTCCAATTTTACCCTGATTGATCAGTATTGATATCATATTTGTACATTTCATCTACTTGTAGTAAACAAGACATTAAACTTGAATGTGTTTTTATATAGTTAACCTGTCATCTCAATGTCTATATGTTTTCCGGTATTCTATACAGCCGCGCTGTGATTAAATCACAGACAATTTATAAGTCTACAAATGTAAAGTCTACACTTTTGTTGAATATTGATAATGAGAAACTTTGGAGGGATATAAGTGCCACAATTCTTTTTTAATGTTTATATTTTCTATTTTAATTTTAGCTTCTTGTTTAAAATTTCCAAATTTTATTGTTATTTATCCTTAAACACTACCAAATACTAGAATAGTGATGCTGTCATACAAATGTACATGTCCCCAAACTTTGGACAATCAGACAATTTAAAGTAGTTGATGCAAAGACAAATTTAAGGTGGGCAAAATCAGATTCTCTCCGCAGAATGATGACAAAGGGACATAGTTATTGTTAACAACTATTTTTCTACAGAGTAGCTCTACTTGATACTGATATGGCTGTAGTCATAGCACATCAGTAGAAAATCAATTTGTAAAATTAAAAACAAAGCAACAATCCCAGCCAAGACTGGTCCTTAAAGGTTAAGAGTGGTTACATGTACTACTTAACCATGAGCTTACAATTCTACATTCTGTTATTACAACGTCCATTGCAGCTGATTGTCCTGCTGGTGAGGTACCATGTCTTGATGGAGTGGGATGTGTCAGCAGAATTAAAATATGTGATGGCATATCACAGTGTCTGGACCAATCAGATGAACTCTTCTGTCTAAAGAGTAAAGGTAAAATAGTGATTTAAGCTAGTAAGCCTCATTTTCAATTATGTTTTGGCAAAAAATGAGACATGGTTGGAATTTTCCACTTTAAATGGTACATTCTTTGATGGATAACAGATTGAAGCCTCAAAGCAGGAGAATGCTCACTGGAAGCTCTGCATCCAAGAAAAAAAATGCAAGGATGATAAACACCTCAGTGTATGCTCTGGATGCATGTGATGTCTTCCATTGAATGTGGCTGGCCAGGGACATCATTCATCCTTCTGTCTTTTTTTTTTTCTGTCTGTCACAAACTGTTCAAGATATTTATTGAAAATTCATACCCTGATGTATGTACTTATTGATGAGAGTTATTCAACTGTGACATAATTATCTGACCTTAACCTTTACTGTGATCTTGACCTCACTATTACCTATTTTGTGTTTAATCTCGGTTTCAAAATAACTATTTCAAGATATTTTATTGATACTCATATGCTGATATATATTGGTGGGAGGTGTTCAACTGTGTCATAATTACATTAATTTTTCATGTAGCTGATGATGATGTGTTCTTTTAGGGATTATACAGTTCTTAGTACAAACAATAAAAATGCTTTCTCTCACGTCAGTACGGGAATCACTGTTGCAACATTAATTCCCGTACTAGCAAAGAAAAGACATTTTATTGTTTATAATTGTATAAATATTAAATAACCATACAAAGTAAAATTAAGTATGTTTTATTATTGATATTTATGTCATTGTATGTTTCATTGATGGAAGGGTCGCTGCTCAGCAAATCTTTACAGGTGGCTTGCTTAGTGGCATTTACTGATTGATAAACGACTGTGGTTTTTATAATAAATAAAGGACATACAATGTAACACACTGAAGGTAATATATTTCCTTTAGCTGATGATCCACTCTGCGATGAGAACCAGTTTGTGTGCTTCAATGGTGAAAACTGCATATCAAGGACACTGGTTTGTGACGATGCCCATGACTGCTCCGATAGGTCTGATGAGGATATCTGTGGTAATTAACTTTTTTTAAAGATAAGAATATAAAATTTTTGATTTTTAAACTTGCTTTGTGAAAAAAATTTACAACAGTACACTGATAAATCTTTGTTAAAAAATGTACAACACTGGTCAATCTGTTATGAAGTAGATCTATATAAGCATATTGACAGGAGCATAGAGAAATGTACCGGTACTAATTATAGCCCCAGGAAACAAAGTTTGGGGGTATATAGGAATCGTGTTGTCTGTCCGTCCTTGCAATCTTGTCTGGGCTATAACTTTGTAATGGAGAATCAGCGGAAGCTCGTACTTGGTATAAAGAATTTGATTATGACCCGAGAGTTTGTTTTGACCTTCATTCATGTTCATTCTGGCAAGTTCAAGGTCACTGGCAGAAAAAGTGTAAAATTCTTTTCTAGGATATAACTTTGTGATGGAGAATCATTAGAAGCTCATTCCTGGTACATGTACTAAGATAATTTATGACCTTGATCCTAGGTCATTTTGGCTGTTACTTTTTAATGGTGATTCATGGGAAGGTCATTCAGTACAAAGGTTATTTAAGACCTGAGAGTGTAGCATAACCTTGAAACAAGATCATAGTAACAAGCCCAAGGTCACTGGCAGAAAAATAATGAAATTTATGACAGGTCTATAATTTTTTAATGGAAAAACATTGGATGTCCATATTTCACTCAAAGATTTATATATATATATAACCAGAGGATGCATCATTTTTTTAAACCAAGGTCATTTTGACAGGTCTATAATTTTTTAATGGAAAAACATTGGATGTCCATATTTCACTCAAAGATTTATATATATATATATATAACCAGAGGATGCATCATTTTTTTAAACCAAGGTCATTTTGGCAAGTTCAAAATCACACTTACAAAATTGCAAATACTGTATAATTATCATTGTTTGTGGGGGACCAATGTTCATGGATTTTGTGGATCACCTTTACCCATGAATTTACATCCCCATGAACATTTATTTTGTAAACATATTGATTCATTGAATCTATCTTATAAACAAGTGGCCACGAAATTACGTCCCCACAAACAAGTAAAATTTTGCTTGGCCATGAACATTGACCCCCACAAATTAAAATGATTCCACAGTAGACACATTAAAAAAATGCAGGGAGAGGTATTATTTTGTGAGCTCACTCACAGCACCTCTAGTTAGAATAGAATTAAATGTACATTTTTTTAGTTCTTCAACTATTAACAGATCCCCATGAACAATGTAAAAAGGAAGGACTATATCTGTGTCGGAACAATCAGCAATGTCTGAACACCAGTAGACTGTGTGACGGCAAACCGGACTGTCGAGACGCCACAGACGAGGGCGGTCAGTGTGGTAAGGTTTTCTATCTGGACCTTACTGTTCTGGAACCCATGAAGTAAAATTAACTTTAGTCCTTTTCACAATCAGATTTCTCAAAAGGTACAAATCAAGAAAAAAGATAATGAAGAGGTACTGGAAAACATATCTATGTTTTAGTCAAATGTGATCAATGTTAGTAAGTACTTGCAAGATCCATGTACCTTTAGTAAGTATATGTGTATTAAGCAATTTAACCTCACTAAAAGATCTTGATGAAACCCAGTGATGTAAATCTAGGGGTTGGATTTTGCATTTCATGGTCAGGTTAATAAATGGGTGATCATGATAAATTTATGAATTCAAGCTACAACATTTGGATGCTGTGATGATGTATACAAGTAAGGTTTTCTGAACAAAGTTTGCTCAACATCCCTCTGTCAATCCATATCTGTAATATTTAGGGATGTCAAAATATTTATTTTCCTTAGTCGATTATTCGTTTGCATTATTCGAACGATAGTCGAATGTTCAGAACATTTTCTGAAAATAAAATTTTATTTCAAACTTCACTGATACATGACGTATTTATAACTCAAAAACCTTTTTACTTAAATCTATTTAAGAAGTAACATCAAAACTAATGCAACGTATCGCATGATTACAATATGTATATGAAATAAATTAAGAAACCCAATACTCTAAAATGTATGATTTCCCTGTCAATCGAATTCATAATACCGTCTGTACATGTAGTCAGTGTTTATTTTAGTGAGTATTGCCGATATTTTTTTTACAATTTAAAGTTTATTAGATTGCTCTGGCTATGAAAATGTCCTTAACAGTTTAGAATGAACGTGAATTGTTTTAATAATTATCGAAGAGTCAAAACACGACACAGTTATGGTTTGTTCATTTCTTTTGAGCAATCTTATAACAACAAAAGATAATTGGTAAATGGTATAAGGTCAAGTCCAATTAATAATTTTACAAACAAAGCTCAGTATATTGGTGGGTGATTTATTTAAATGACAAAGGCAGTTACTGACAATTAATTCTCGCAGTAGTGAAGCACTTATAATTACTGTACTTTCTATACATACAATGTACATGGAAAATCAAATGTTTTTTTAGCTCTTTTTGGTGAGGAAAATTTTTTTATCGACTGTCTCTGAGGAAAGACGGTTTCACAATTTTGTGACGAGGATTTCATCACTCTTTTATTGCATTTATTAAATTTTAATAATATTCGAATGTCGTTTCATTATTCGATCGTCGGTTCATTCGACTGATAGTCGAATAGTCAACTATTCGTTGACATCCCTAGTAATATTATACATTTATTGACTGGGTTCAAGGGCAACATGCGTTTTTGCGGACCCAAGAACCAAACTGTTTGCCTGAGGCCGTTTGCCTGAGAACACAGTCAATAAATGTTTTGTTATACCTTTTACTTATTTATTTTATTATTATTTTTTTGACATGTATGTCGAACACCAACAAATGCAAATGAGATTTAGCTGACCCCGCCCATTATGTGACGTAAGTGGTCGACAGGTCCAATATCTCACTCTGCGGTCAAACATCGATTTTTTTATGCCCACTCAGTAAAACATTAGAAATGTTAGACTCTTTTGATATTGATTTATATAGGAACAAATTTTTAAAGGTATAACAATGCCTTTTGTTGGCATTTTACATTTTTTCAACTTCTCAAAAATCATTAAACCAATATCAACTTAACTTGACATAAAGAATCCTTTGATGGAGATTCAAGTTTGTTGAAACAGTCATGCCCCCTCCCAAAGAGAAGTAAAAAAATAATAAATTATAGAATAATCTTAATATGTTAGCATTCTCATTTAGAGTAGATTAATATTTGGTCTAATATCTTGCCTCAGGACTAGGGTGGGGCCACAGTGGAGGATAAAATTGAAATTATCACAGAAAAAATCTGTCTTCTGAAGAACTTTATGAGTACAGAGGATAGAGTCAGGAAATAGATAAAAAGTAGAAGCATATGATATTTGTTTCTGAGTTGATAATTTTTTGATGATTGATGTTCATGATTTATTGGAGAATAATGTCCTCAGCATTTCTTTGATCTCAACAATATAACTGTAGTAGAATAGAAGACAAAGCTTTAAGGCATATAGGGAAACATATATATCTAAAAATCTTCTCAAAAGCAACAGGTCCACAATTAGTCAAATTATATGGAAGTTCTAATGTCCCATGGATTCACGTTTGCTTACATCATGGTCCTTGGGACTTGGGTTGAACAACAACAGGAATAAAAATTAAATTTTACATTGGATTTTATGTAGAAATCTTAACAAATGTCCTTCTACAGAACAGCAAGGTATAAACAGTCAAACTTATATAATAGCAGGGTTTGACACTGGTAGCCCACTAACCCAATACAATGAAAATTGAAGTCGGTCTACTAAACTAGTATGTTTGCTCTACAGAACTAATGACATTTGATATACATGTACATGTACCACACAGTCACTGAAAGCAGTTGTAAAGACTTATTCAAGAAATTAATAGCATATTCTGAATTTTTTGTGAGTTTAAAATACTGTTTGAATTGTTGCTGTCAAATGAGACTGTCAAACTTTGTTATGGCCTTACTTATTGTTTTCATCCAATCTATCAGTAAATCTTGCTTGCATCTTCATCATTTAAGTGTTTGAAACTAATTTCTTAGAACAAAGGATAAAAGAGGACACTGCAATTATCTGGGGTAAATGTCTCATGATTGGTTACAGAGGAGGCCAGGACAGAGTGCGATTCTGGGAAATGTCACCACATCTGTGTAACATCTCCTACTGGAGCCACCTGTAAATGCAATCCTGGATTCCATAAACTGAAGAACCACACATGCATAGGTACTGTGTATGAAATTTGTAATTGTATTAAAGAAAACCACAGCTAAAGATTCAATCTGCTACTGTTTATTTTAATTGAAAGAAAAGTGTTTCAAATAATGTGCTCATTATGACAGCAAGTTTTGCCCTCTCCACTTTTTTAAAGAATATGAGACTTTATAATTCATCAAATGTTATAATTAAAAAAAAAAAAATAAGAAATCACTTAGTATATAAATTCTGCTTGCAATATCATAAGATATGCAGTACAAAGTATAGTGTTACAGATACTGATGAATGTGAGGACAATGAACCACCATTGTGCAGTCATGTATGTCGGAACACTCCTGGTGGTTACGCATGCTCCTGTTACCATGGTTACAGGCTCACAGACGAAGGGAAGTGCAGGGTTGAAGGTAAAAATCTGATATGCTTATCTTAAAGGGTATTTATCATGTTTCTGATGTTTTTTTAAAATTGAATATATTTATATTCTTGTTACATATTATTATCATTTTATCATTTAATAGCATGAAAAAGTCATAATTAGGAGAGGAAAAAAATGCCAAAAATTAAGAGTCCTTGCAGTAAAAATCTTCACTAATTAGATAGCATGTCTAAATGACAGTAAAATGTCATTTGTCAATTCTTAAGACTAAATGCATCAAACAGATCTGGCATTAAACAATTTCCTATACAGTATGGATAGTGGAAACTGTAACATTGAGGATAATTCTTTGGCAATGGTCATGTGTCCATCAGTCTGTCTGTCTGTAAACAATTTTCAAAACACTACTCCTCCAACAGTTTAATTTCAATATAACTTGATACATAAGTAGATTACACTAAGATACATAATTCTGTGTATCAGTTTTTTGATTTCAATGAACAGTGTTGTCATGGTTACTAAAAATAGAGATTTCTTGGAAATACTTTCAAAACCCTACTCCTCTTACAGTTTTAGTCTGATTTCAGTATAACTTGGCACACAAGTAGACTACACAAGATACAATAATTCTCTATCAATTTTAGCTCACCTGAGCTGAAAGCTCAAGTGAGCTTTTCTGATCACCCGTCGTCCGTCTGTAAACTTAGTGGAATTTTTCTATGGAGAATTATTTTTCACCAACAACCAGAAATATTTTTTAACATAACAACTGGACCAAGCGATTTTAATTTTCTAGCAAAAAATTTTATTAATAAAATTATGATTTAATTTAGCATCTTTACTTTTTATATCAAAATTTTTTGAAATATTGTGATAAAAATCATTTAAGTTTATAAAACTAATTTAATTACTGTAAACCAACTATTATTCATGATTTGTTAGCCATAATTGATCCTTGACTATTTATTTTCCCAATCAAGGAAACATTCTTTATAAATACAGAATTAAATACTTAGTGATTGGTTTGCCATTGGAGATATTTATGAATAGAAGAAGGTTTCAATGCTTGCAGATATTTCTCAGATGTAAATAAAAGCTGCTTTACAGTTGTCAATAGTTTTAAATTTTAAAGAAAATTTATGTACAAGTACTTTTTGTTCATCAATGAACAGCTGTGTATTTCATCTTGTTTCATTAGTTATGTTAATGTCAGCTTTATTATATCCAGGATCTCCTCCTGTCTTTCTACTGGCTCATGATGGTGAAATCCGTGGGTATGAAGTGTTTCAGAATAGATCATTACCTGTCCTCACAGAAGATGCTAAATTGTATGCAAAAGATCAAGATGACATCAAAAGTATGGGTGAGTCAGTATTTTTATGTGAAGTGTCAGAGTACATTTTGCCCGAAATTCATAAAAAATTTATACATGTGAAAAAAAAGTTCAAAAACACCAAGTGAATTAATTCCTTTAATTTCAATAATGTTTTTTTTCATTTGTTAGCTTTAGGACCAAATCAGGTGCTGTATTTCAGTGACACGGGTCATCAGAAGATTTATTCCTCTGACTTGAATGGGGACTGGAAGGCACACAAACATGAAGTTATTAACATGGGTAGGACTATATTGCATCAGATTTTAGGACCTACTCAGCAGGTGCCCTATAGTGATCAGTCTGTCTATCCATTCCTCTGTCCATCCTATTTCATTTGTTCAGAGTATATCGATCATCTCTTCTTTGGCTCAGTCAAGCTCAAACTTCACCCATAGAATGCATGTGGGTAGAGGCTATGCAGTGATTTCTAGATCAAATGTCAAGATCAAAAAACAGATATATCTCTTTGTAAATTCCTTGTCTGGAGCATTTTTCCCCTTGACCCAGTTGGGTTCATACATCACCCATAGAGTACCTGTGGTTAGAGGTTGTGTTGACCTTGAAACAGTTTTCAAGGTCCAAGGTCAAGATAAAAATCTCTTTTTGTAAATCCTTATCTAGAGCCTATTTTCTCTCCCTTTGGCCCTTTGCTCAAACTCCACTCATAGATTGCCTGTGGGTAGAGGATGTAACGGAGTGTCCTTGAGCCAAGTTTCTAGGTAAGTGTTCAAGAGCTGCACCTCCTTAATCTCTTAAGAATATAATAGCTATAATGTTTACCTACATACAGGGACCTGTCTTGATGATGAATTTACAACTCATCAATAACTCGACGATCTTTAACCACAGAAAATAAAACTAGGCTTAAGATAGAAAGAAATAAGATACTGAACAAGAGGAATATAATTCAATGTGTTAATTTTCTCTATATGTGCACTCTGACTCAATAGATCTGAAATCACGAAACTGTTAATAATAATATTTAAATTTATATATTTAAAGGTCAACACATACAAGTGAAAAAATTACATGTTTATATTTGCACAGATTCGGAAACCAAAAATTAAGTTCCATAGAGAAAATATGAAAAATTGTACAAATTTTCATTTAGTGGACCTAATAAGCTCTTTAAAAGAGCAAGAACAAAATAGTGTAATGGGATAAATGCTTCATTTTTGTGTATTGAAAAAAAACAAGTCATAACTACACTTAGTTATACAGAGGAAGTAGAGCCATCACTGAAATCAAGAAATGAAGCAATGATTTTTTTTCCAGGCCTGAAGAACCCTGAGGGAATTGAAGTGGACTGGACTACTGGACATCTGTATGTAGCGGACAGTGGTAGGGGGGAAATTTTGGCCTGTCTGGGGGACGGGGAGATGTGCACTAGTGTGGTATCTTACATTCATCATCCCAAAGCTCTAGTTATTGACCAGAAAAACAGGTAAAGGAATGTATTTATTTCATATCAAAGAATTGCTTCCTATGTTTGATTATTTTGGAATTTTTAATTTTACTTAAACTCATTACTTTACTAATATTTTTTAAAACCCACAATACTCTTATTATTTCATATTGTCTATGGCACTTATTTTATTGACATCATAATTTGGACACAAAACTTAAGTAATTAAGACCTGATTATAACCATTTACATATGATAGCAGGGCTTTGAAACTTTTTCTTTATCATGAAATATTGTTGAGAGCAGAAGAAAGTCATAAAAAGCAGAAGTACTTTTATTTCAAAATTCAATGGTTTCAAACACATTTGTTTGTCGAATGTTATACTAGATGTTATACTGGACTGCTGTCTGTTTTCTGCTGCTTCCTGTGTCCCTATCTTAGTGGGGATTAGGGACTTTTCTTTCGTCTATTTCCTTCATAGCTTCTTCCATTTCATCCTCATTTTCTTGGTCATATTCCCCACTATCTTCAGGGCTATACTGGCACCACTTTGGACACTTCTTTCCCAGGCAGAGCAGTATGGATATTTTATTTACAAAATGGTGGCAGTTGTTTGTGTAGAAACCGTAATTGCCAAACTTGTCTACATAGTGTTTGATGCAGCTTTTGATACAACCCCTACTTAGTCTTGTGTAACCTGCTGGACGTTTTTCTTTTGTCATGGTACACACATTGCCGAGGTTTGGGTAGTCGTATTTAACAAGAGCAGCATCACGTCCAACACGGTTTCCAAATTCTAGGTACATACCATCAATATAGATCCAACGATGGGAGAACTTAAAAGTAAATCTGCTTGGAGGTGTGCGACGATCTCGATTAATTCGTCTGACTCCAAAGTTCATGCAGGCTAAGTCAGTTTCTCCAAAATAATATGGCATTGTATCCTCTGTAAGCAAATTAGCATATTGAGAATTCACAGTTTGCCTAATTCATGTTACTGTATAAAAATATACTTTATTTTTAATCCAAAAAACAAAGGAGAATTTTCAAAGATTATAAATGTTTTTGTAATCATTGTAGCAATTATTTCTACTTTTTATAATTTGGCATACAAGAAAACTGTAAGGATTGTACACAGGTCACCTGTGTGACTCAGGTTAACTTTTGCTATCCCTTTTCATCCTTGGTCTTCTTTTCTCAATTTTGACTTATCCAAAAGATTGGGTCCTCACTTTTTTTAAAATTTATGTTTAGCTAAGTTTCAAAGAAATTATTCAAGATATTTTTATCAAACTTCATATGCTGACCCATACTGATAAAGCTATTCAAATGCATCAACATTTTATGACCTTTACTTTTCCTTTGACCTTGACCTCACTTTTCTTAAATTTGTATTTAGCTCAGTTTCAAAAAACTATTCAAGATCTTTTTTATGTAAGCTTAAGCACTGATGCATAATTTGGTGAGAATTTTTCAACTGTGTCCAATTTTTTTTTTTACCTTGACTTTCCCAATGACCTTTGACTTTACTATTTATTGTGTATATAACTCAGTTTTAAACAAAGTATTCAAGATATTTTCATCAAACTTCTTACAACAATCAAAAAACTAATATATTGCAATATCATTTCACTAAAGCAGAAGAGTATCAAGTTTATAATATGGCATTTTCCACAATATATCCTCTAGCTTTACTTACTTCTCTTGGGACATGCTCGGCTGTTTCCTCGTGTTGGATAAACCCCAAAGATAGCACTTTCAGTGATAGAAGTGGTTATATAAACAAGAACCACTGTTATAAAGACCTGCCAATAATAGAAAAATACTTACTTTCTACCAAATAAAAACAGACCTCTTTAATGGCAAAGAGTTTGATAACCTTGTATGACCGACGATTAGCTAGGGGGTGTCCACAATGTGGCTTGAACCTACAACCCTCAGATTAAAATCCAACGCTCTACTGCCTGGGTTAAAGGGTTATCCCACTAGCTAGTGCTAGTAGGAGTGTGGCCTCACTATTTACAATACATAGCCACGTTTTTAATTCTGTTACATTTGTATCTCTTTTCCCTTAAGGTGTTTCCCCTTAGAAAAATACATCGTTTTTGAAAAAAGAGTAAAAGATGTAAAAGAGTAAAAAAAGAAAGGTCTGGGAATTTTTACTGAATTAGGTTAAAAATTAGGATTTTTAGGAAGTAGTAGTTATTTTGTTGTAATGTATTTATCCCTAACTTTTCTGAAATAATACCTTTTTTTTTATCTTTACTTTGCATCAATAATAGGTAATGTTACTATTGAATTGGTTTTTCAAAGCAATCTTTAAAATGTGAAAAATTTTCACTTTTGTTTATTGAACATGTATAGGTTGAATTGAAAAAAAAAATAGTGAAAAACAGTAGAAAAAATAGAATCTTTAAGATTAACAATTTTCATTGAAATTTAAAGACTGAATATGATGAATGTTTTACTTAATTTTTAAAGGAAAGACCACAGCTGTGTTTAATATAGTATTCTTGTTTTGTTTAGTTTTTTTTTTTTTTCAAACAAGAACAGAAGAGATTTTTTTCAGTTTAATATATTATAATTCTACCACTTACCCTCATAGTAGTCTCTGTCGTGTTTTATCCTGGTCCGTGTTTTATCCTTGTCTGTCAGAGACAGTCTAATGGAGGACTGCTTACTCATTAGATGAAATATTCGGAGTCTCTTAATTTGAATTCAGACAGATGATTATCTGTTACATATGGCTTTTTATGGGGCCATCTGATGTAAACATTTGGTGGGAGTGAAGTGAAAATGGACACTGTGTCGGTGCATTGCATATCCTGGGGTACACTTTAGCTCGATAGGATATCAACATTTATGCTTCATTTAGGTACAATAATGTTGCAATTCCAGAAATATTTTTAAAGTGACAGTTATATTGCAGAAATTGTGATACACTTCTAATATTTGAAGCACTGATTTTTATGCCCCCATATCGAAGAGTTGGGTGTATATAGTTTTTGCCCTGTCCGTCCGTCTGTCTGTTTGTCTGCAAAAAAATTAACATTGCCCATAACTTTTTGATTGGTAAGAGCTATGGCTTTCATATTTCACATGTGTATTCCTTGTGACAAGACCTTTCTTTTAGTACCATCATATTTGACCTTTTGACCGTGACCTTGGAGTTTGACCCAGTTTTGCAAAATTTTACCGAACTTTAACCTTGGCCATAACTTTTGAATAATTGGTGCTAGGGCTTTCATACTTCACATGTGTAATCCTTGTGGCAAAACCTTCCTTTGGATTCCAACAACTTTGACCCTTTGACCTTGACCTAGAACTTGGACCTACTTTTGAAAAACTTTAACGCCATATATTTTGAACAGTTTGTGCTAGGGCTTTCAGATTTAGTATTTCTATTCCTTGTGACAAGACCTTCCTTTGGATACCAACAATAGTAATCCATTGACCTTGACCCTGGAGTTTGACCTACTTCTGAAAAACTTTAACCTTGGCCATAACTTTTGAATGGTTGGTGCTACGGCTTTCGTATTTCACATGTGTATTTCTTGTGAGAATTCCTTTCCTTGAGCACTATTTATTTTGACCATTTGACATTGAACTTGATGTTTGAGTTCTTTTGTTAAACTTTAACCATTTCCATATCTATTCAATGGTTGCTGCTTTGGCTTCTATATTTCACAGGTATATTTCTTAAGACAAGACCTTACTTTGGGTACCAACATATATTGATTGCATTTGAGAAAGGTTAACCTTTGCTATAAGTTGCCATACGGTGGCATCAGTGTTTTACAAACACATCTTGTTTCCAATATATTCTGGTGTCTCACAGGCAATTAATTTTTTTTCCTTGAACACTCTAGTAAATAAGGTAGCATGGCCATTTATTTTAACATGTGCCACATTTTGTTGAAACAGTTTGTCAAAAATACCATATGTCTTAGGCAATATTTTCTCAAAATTTCAATAAAGTATAATTAAAAAAATCAAACTAATTTTGCAATATTTATTTCATTATTCATTCCATATGAATATGAGACACAAGTTGTAGACAGTACTTGATACAGCTGACATATGCCTCACTCTCAGGAATCTCACATTGTTATAGAATTCTTCTCATACACCATTGAGGACAAATTACTGCTTCACACATGACTTTGGAAATTTTGTTTACAAAATGGTGACAGTTGTTTGTGTACACATGGTAGTTGCCATATTTCTCGGTATAGTTTTCCACACATCCTATGACACACTCAAGACTCAGTCTACTGAAGCCAGCAGGCTGTGGCTCAATCTTCAAGGGACAGACATCACCAAGATTTGGATGGTCAAATTTAATTTTTGCTGCATCCTTCCCTATTCTGTTGCCAAACTCCAAGTATGTTCCTGCATAGTAGATCCATCGGTGAGTGGGGTTGAAAGTGAATCGACTGGGTGCATTTCTCCGCATTATTGGAGTTTTTCTGTGTAAACCATACCTCATACACATGAGGTCAGTTGTACCAAAATAATAAGGAATGGAGCCAGCTGTGGAAATCAATAAAAGTTTCATATGAGAATTGCAGATAGAACTTTAAAAAAATTTATACATTTTTTGCCTTGCCATGCATGAGGCAGAGGCATTTATGGCCACTTGAATCCATCGGATTTGACCCTGGATTCAGTGGACTGGAGTGGATACACTGGAAAATCATAGTCTCACTGATGAACATTTATAATCCCTTTATTTTTTAAAAAGAATTTCTGGACCTTGCTCCCTCAAGATTTCATATATCAACAGACATCTCCATCCATTCCCCCTCCACTGAGGTGCCTCTGGATCCACCTCTTATTTTTGATGCTATATTTATAAAGTATAACACATTAATTTTGGAAGAACAAGAAATGAGTGAATTTAGTAAGAAAATGACTTACGGACAGGAGGGCAGTGTGAAGCATCTCCTCTTGGTAGACCAAACAGTATTCCATAAGACTGAGTGACCCATGATAAAATGCCAAGGCTGACTACTGTCTAAAAAGGAAAAGTATTGGGTATAATGTCATCTCTGTGAATGTAATTTAAATTCAAGACATGTGGTCCCTCTTGATCTATCAAAGGTTAAAGGTTAGAATCAGTTATGACATAGATCCATTATAGGCAGTAAAAAGAATATTGCTGTAGTCTGTTTCTTTTAAAAAACAATAAATGAAACTTGTATATTGTAAAGTGGTGAAAACTGAAACAGAATATAACTTTTTTTATTTATCATATCTCCAAATGCTATTAAATATGTACAGCTTTAATTCCTAGCTGTATTTCCTTTAATGATTTAATCAATTGACAATCACATGATAGTATCACTAGCATTACCTAAACTCCCTGGACATTATAATTTGCTGAACACCAAAAAATAAGAGTTCTAAACACTTTCATGGGGGTAAAAGTGATTTACAGAGAGTTAAGGAGAAAGAATTATTACAATACATTAGTGAATTTTTTTTCTTGGCATATCTTACTGAACATAAGAAAAAATTGCTGTAGTGACCTTCCTGTTCAGCAGGAGCCAGTAACCCATGAAGAGAAAGTGGGGATCCTTTAACTAGATAAAAGAACCCCCTCCTAAACCTTGAAAAAGAATTACAAGAGAAACAAAAGCACAGAAAATATCTTTATACCTGAAGGTATAATGGTAAATATTTCCTTTTTAAACCACAAAACATGACAAAAGTAGATGAAAAATTGTTAATTTCATAAATAATCGTGTAAAAAATGACTTACTATGATTTTCGGTTGCATTGCTGCATGGAGATAGTGATTCAGATAGAATAAGACAATCAGACATCTAAGGTTAATAAAAAGGAAGCATTCAATCAGTACCTGGTTTATTTGCAAGCTTCTTTAAATTGCTGGAGGTGAATTTGTACATATGTTTCTTTAAGTTCTTATTTCATGAAGAAAGTGATAAGATCTATTTTAGTCTATAAACAGAGGGGTTGAAGACATTTATTTGTCACATGCAAGAAACATTTTGTTGAAACTAAAGTTGTGATGTGTCACTAATGATACCGTTAGTTCTGGCAGATGTGAACTAAATTTATATGACATACTTTAAAATGAACAGAAATATATGGTTTTTGAAATTTCAGATGGTTTAGAATATACTTTGTCACCCTGTAAAATCATTTCACAATCATACATCAATTACTTTAATACATTTTGCAAAAGCAGAAAATAGTTATAATTAGAACACTTAGTTTTAGTATTTATGGTCATTTTAAATTTTGACATAATTTGATGTAAAAGTGTTTTCTTAAAGTGTTGTCCAAGCCCATCTCTAGCTATTTGATTAATTAATTTTTTTTTTTTGGGGGGGGGGGGGCATATATTTATCCAGAAAGAGTGAAATACTTTGGAGATTACTGTAGGTTATTTTCAAATCTTTATGATAATAATAACCATGTTAAGTATATACAGTTGAACTTTGGTATCTTGAACACTGATATCTCGGAATACCATGGATGTGTCGAAGTGATTTGGAAGTCCCAACCCCTTATTCTTTAAGTATTTTACCCCGGATGTCTCGAATCCTCAGATATCTTGAAGTTTTTTCTTGGTCCCATTGGGTTCGAGATAACAAGGTTTGATTGTAGCTCCAGTTATTCTTTGAATAAGAGGTGCTATCTATGGTGAATTCACCATGCAGCTTTTTTTCCTTTGCTGCCAGAATATGGCTGAAATACTGCCATCTCGGTATTAATTAAACAACAAATAATCATCCTATTCCTTTGTAAATCAGTAGCATCTTCATTTCTGTATTGAGGATAATTATGTAATTGGTGACTAATCAGTTGTTAAACAAGTAAATTGATTAATATACTAACTGATGCAAAAACCTCATTGATAATCTACTATTATTATTCAGCTATGAACATTGATGTAAATAATATCTCTATCCTGTTTTGTAGACAACTCTACTGGTCTGATGTTGAAGACCCTCCCAAGATAAAGAGGGCCAATCTGGATGGCAGTGGGACAGTGACCTTTCTTTCTGACCATGTAGGATACGCTAGTGTAATGATCCTGGACTACATATCAGAGCGCCTGTTCTGGGTGGACAAGCTATCCCCCAAACTGGAGAGTGTCCATTTAGATGGCTCAAACAGACAGGTCTGATGCTCTTAATTGGTATATTACAAAAAGAGTATTAATTGGGAAATATAATCTGTATAATAAATGTAGATTTTGTTTTTTCTCAGGCTAAGACTCCTTGGTGATACATGTAAGAACAGATTTGATCTGTCCCAGTGTTATGCTCTTGGCTTATATGTACAGATCTGTTTGAAGTGAAGCTCTCTTGCATCCTAAGGCCTCAGAATATTTCAACCAAAAAGTAGGTCACATTGACCTACTTTTTGAATTTCATGGCTATAATTAAATATATCAGATACTTATTAATATAGAATCATCAAAGTTTGTCAGTTGATGCATTTTGAGCCCTCAAAGTGTGTCAATCAAAAAGCAAGTCACAGTGACCTACTTTTTAAATTTCATGGCTATATTTATATATTTCAGATAGAAATTGGCTAAGAATCATCAAACTAAGTTAAAACTAAATATTTCAAATAATGAGAATCGGTGAATCATTAAGCTTTTTTTTGCCCCTGCCATGAAATGGCCAGGTACAGAGTGTTACCCTGTTTTGTCATTCTGTCATTCCGTCATCATTCACTTTCCGCTCATTGTATATGCAACAGTTGCACACATTTAACTCAAATTTGGATGGATATGTCATAGGAATAAGCAGGTCAAGTTCAATTTGGTCATGGTCCAATGATTTTGACAGAATTATCCCTCTTGAACTTAGAAAAAAGAAGAAAATTTTCAGTTTCTGCTCACTAACTTTTGTAGGGATGTATGTATAAGGTTGAAATTACATATGCAGGTATTTTATCAGAAAATACAGTTTAATTTTGAATTTAGTCATGGTCCGATGATTTTTGACAGAGTTATCCCTCTTGAACCTTGAAAAAAATGAGAAATTTTCAGTTTCCGCTCTCTAACTTTAATGTAGGGATGTATGTATAAGGTTGAAATTGCATATGAAGGTATTTTATCAGAAAATACGGGTCAAGTTTGAATACAAATTTAAAACTAAATATTGTATTTGAAATTTTGCCTGCTTGCGGGGGTATTTGTGGCGTTATAATGACACATCTAGTTTAGTTAATGCATCTTGGGTCCTTGGAGTATTTCAACCAAAGAATGGGTCACAGTGACCTTCTTTTGGAATTTTAAGGCAGTATCTAAATATTTTGGATAAAAAGAGGCGTAGAATCACTAAACTTTGTCAGTTGATGCATCTTGGATCATTGGAGACTATATCATTCAGCCAAAATGTTGGTCACAATAACCTACTCTTTGAATTTTATGGCTATATTAAATTATTTCAGATACTAGTTGGCTTACTATCATCAAAACTCTAGAGTCACAGAGTAAGGAGGTGATCCTTACATAATGGGTTTGAATCCACTGTGGGACATGGAGACCAGTCCTTCAGATGAGATTGTATAAACCGAGGTCCTGTGTTCCAGTAGGTGTAAGCACGAAAAAGATCCCTCATTGCTCAATGGCCCTGAGTGCCAAGCATAGGTTAAAATTGAGTAACCAGTTACTTTTCCAATTGAGTACCCAGTTTTCCTCATAGTTTCCATATCAATAATTTATCTCATCCTCTACTTATTGGTGGATATAAAACACAAATGTACTGTATATGAACTTTGCCAGTTGATGCATCTTAAGTTCTTAGTTTGTGTGTTAACCAAAAATTAGGACATGGTGACCTAATTTTTGAATTTCAAGGCTTTATCTAAATGTATAGGATACAAAGAGGCTTAAAATAGAAGTGATAGATCAGCAATTCAAGGGATTTGGGCCTCTTGTATGTGTATGTGCCTTGTGACTTATTTGTACAGATTTTGTCTATTTGCAGTGTAGGCCTGTTGGCTTATATGTACAGATTTTGCCTACTCCCAGTGTAGATCTCCTAGCTTGTATGTACACATTTGACTATTAAATGAACTTAGTGTACAGGGTTGTATTTACAGATTTTGCCTGTTTACAATCTAAGGAACCCAGTCAGTATAGCTGTGTTTGAAGACAGAATTTACTGGACTGACCTTGGCTGGCGTGCACTCTTTTCTGCAAATAAGTTCACAGGCCATGACATTCAGCATGAAATCTCTGGTCTACAAGGACATGCTGTTATACTGGTTATGCATCCAGCTCTTCAGAATTCAAATCTTATTAGTAAGTGAGTTTACCTTATCAGTTTTCATGCCCAACCATGAATATGGACAGGGAATATAATATTTGTCATATCCGTCCTTCTAATCTGTTCTTTCACCTGTCCATCTGTAACATTTTGTCCTTAGTTCACTTTCAAAGAAACTGTTCAAGATAGTTAAGCAAAAATTCATACACTGATTTACAGTAAAACTTGTCTATTCCAGATGTTGTGTATTGTGAAATTTTGCCGTTTATGATGTATGTAAATTTAAAGACCCTTTCATTGAATTCAGTTGTTTAAAATGTTGTTTAATTTGGAATTTTTCTATTCTATGGAACCATCGATGTTGGGATTAGACAAGTTTCACTGTATATATATTGATAAGAGCTATTCAACTGTTGATATTATATTACCTTGACCTTCCTTATGACCTTGACCTCATTGTTTCTTATTTTGCATTAAGTAGGGTTAAAAAGAAGCTATGCATAATATTTTATCAAAGCTCATACAATGATATATATAATGGTGTGGACTATTCAACTGTCATAATTTTCTGAAGTTGACTTTACCTATGACCTTTACAATTTGTCATTTTGCATTCAGCTTTGTTTAAGAAATGATTCCAAGATATATTCATTAAATTTAATACAAAGATACAAATTGGTAAGATAATTCAACTGTGTCTTAATTTCTGTTCAAATTATTTTCATTAAACTTCATAAAAAGATACAAATTGATTAGAGCTATAATTCAACTTTGTCAAATATTTTTTACCTTGATCTTCTGTATTATAACCTTAACTTTCACCATAAATTGTCTTGTATTTAGCAGTTTAGACGAAACTGTTCTTGATATTTTGATCAAACTACATGCACCAGTAAAAATTGATGAGAGCAATTCAACTGTGTCATTATTTTCTTACCTTGACCTCACTAATGACCTTGACCTCACTATTCCTTCCTTGCATTTGCCTAATTTTGCATTGTGTATTTTCATCCAAATTTGTATATTGATACAAATTGGTGAGTACAATTCAAGTGTGTCAAAAAATTTGACCTTGAATTTTACATTTTTTCTTCATATTGCTCATAGTTCATGTTTAATTCCAAAAAGGATTTCTTCAGAAAAATTCATTCATTGATAATCTGTGTAAGATCATTTGTACTATACATACTTAAGAGATCATTTATAAAGAACAAGGTTCACTTAGGGTCTTTTTGGCCCAGTGAATTTCTGAAAAATCAGAAATGCTCAGTTTTAGTTGAAAATGCATTAAATTCACTTGAACCCTTGGTAACTGCATATCAATTAAAAATGACATAATTTTCTCTCTAGTCCATGTATTACAACATCATGAATTGCATCATTTTCCTCAAATCTTGAAAATTTCTTTAGAAATGGATAAAAATGTAAGTTTCTTTAGAATATTTTACATAGCCCCTAACCTCTGATCTAAAATGTTTAATTATATAATGAAAGAACTTTTTAAGAAAATTCTAATCCATGAAAAAATTTTTGGATTGCAGGGTGGGTTCATCTTTTAATTATTAGTTGAAGATGCTCAAATTCACTCATCTTCTTCAAAATTCAAGAACATTGCAGGTTCACAAAGTCTGTTTTTCAATACTGGGACTCTCAGGGAAATTTTTTGTATTGGAAATGAAAGCACTAAGTCTCTCCTTTATTTTGATGTTCTAAATGGGACATTGGGACTTGGTCAGTTAATTGGTTATATGGACAGGGCCATTTTATGGAGTTAGTGAACCTACCTCTGTTAAATATGACATAAACTTGAAACAATGAAACTTTATTTAGCTATGGGATAATATTTGGAATGAGTCAATCTCCAACCAGAGGAGGAGGGTACGTTTCTCTTTCACTGTTGCGACACAATGTTCCTTGGCCAGGGCATTCATATCCTATAGACATATTTCTCGTTATTTTATCTTTCAATCTTATAATAGTTTGTCATCGATTTAGAAGATAAAGCCAAATTAAGAATATTAACCCATCTCTTTGATGACCCTTAATTCTATCTGTAAAATCTGGATTTTGTTATATTGGTAGAAATATCAGAAATGTGAAAAAGAAAAAGAACAATATTTGCAAACATTATTTGATAAACATTTTGAAATATGTATATGCCTGTTTATTTTTAGGAGATACCTGCTCTGGGATAAAATGTTCCCACATGTGTTTGCCAACAAGTGATGGACATCGGTGCATGTGTCCTCAGGACATGCATCTGGAAAGTAATAATATCACCTGTCAAAGTTAGTTCAACTTCTACTTAATGTTTTGGTGTTATCATCAGAGGGTTTTATATTCATAATCAGATATGATTATAAAATTGTAGTCTTGTATACTTATAGTATTTAACAAAAGTTGTAGCATATTGCCTTAGTCATTATCCTCAATGCCATATACATGTAGATATTTTGAACCCCTTTTTCCACTAGTGTGTCTGTTCATCGGTGTATATGTCAAACTTTTCATTGTTTCTTTGTGTACTTGTATAATAAATGTTCTAAGAGATCGTAGATTTCAAGTGATGAAAAGATATTGCATCATACAACATTTGGAATGTTGCTATGCCTCTGTTTATAGGCCTCGGTCAATACATATATATATATATATATATTCAAATATGCTTTTGAATTTTATTTTGGATATATCATAACATGGATTGAAGGATCAATATTAATTTTCATGGTATCAAAATACTGCCAATCTTTATTTTTATCCCTGGATGATTTTCAGTAAGTTTAGATGTGCCCAGAATTTACCTTGGAGCAAAGAAAGAAATTCTTCAATTCCCCCTGTCTTCTGTTGGTTACCAAGACAGCCAAGTCAGGACTGTGATTGGTGGAGATATCAACACTGTTCCAGCAATGAGTATTTGTCCAAAGCATCAAGTACTGGTGTACAGTGACATCACACGTGATGTCATAGCTAGCATCAACATCTCCGTGGATAGTGGATTTTCTCGGTCAGTCATTTACATTAGATATCCTAAAGAGATGCAACTTTATTTGTCTCCTTCTTGTCAACCATTCTTTAAATTGCATTTCTTTCTTCAATGTATAAATGGTTTAAAGTCACCTGACTGAAACACTACAGTTGAATAGTAATGTTCTGGAATTGATTCACTTTTTAGTTAGATATTATTATCCTTCAACCCTAAATTTTTAGTTTAATCTGTAAATTTTTCAGTGAAAGTATTATATATTCCAAACATCTTCAAGCAGTTGAGAAGTTAGAAGTGGACCCAGTAACAGGAAATATTTTTTGGATTGATGTTGGAGAAGTATGTCTCATTTGTTACTTTTTAATCATATCAAGGCCATCAGAACACGGGGGTATGGTGGGTGTAATCTCCCCCACCCCAAATGAACACTAAGATATCATTTTTAAGACAAATGCATTATTCATCCTTTTAAAGTATGCTGCTAGATTTTCTTTAATTTGTGAAAAAATAACTTCAAGGATTCACCAGAACCCACTAAAGTGGTATCTATTTATAAAAAAAATTCTGGTCCAGAAAGGGGGCGACCCCTCCTAGACCCTCTTCCACACCCTATTTCCAGAAATCTGGAGATGGCCTTGCAATTGCCATTGTAGTTGTTATTTCTCTCAGGTTTGAGTTAGCCTCCATAATTATTTGTACCATTGTTCAATATTTATATATGTCTATGATCATAATGATAAACGAATTTAGAAATATATACATGAATAGCATTTTTTCATATTTTTGGCCTGTAATAAAATAGATCTTTACTTTTGCATATATTTTTTAAAGAAAACAATACAAATTGTGATTCATTATGATAAATGTTTGAAGAAATATATACTTTTTTTCATGCTGCATATTTTTGATCTAGTATAAAAAACTTATGCATAATTGTTTTGCAGAAAACAGTAGAAGTTGCAAGTCTGAGTGGAAAATATCGCAAAGCACTGCTATCATCAGACCAGATAATTCAGAGGCCCACATCCATAGCTATTGATTCTTCACAAGGGTTTGTTGCTTATTTTTGTCCCCCGCTTTTGCAAAAGTGAGTGGACATTAAATCTCATTTGTTTCTCAGCGAATCCGTCTGTCAATCTGTCTGTCAGTCTCTCCATCTGTCTGTCTGTCACAAAAACTTTAACCTTGGTTGAATGAGAGAAGGTAGGGCTTTCATATTTAACAAGTTCATATCCTGTATTAAGAAGTTTCCAAAAGTGCTATGATATTTGACACCTTGACCTTCCATTTTGATGTTTTTTGATGTTTGATGTTCAAAAATTTTATCTGCTGCTAACTTTTGAAGAAGAGAAGAAAGAGTATTCATATTTGACATGTGCTTTACCTGTTTCAAGATCTCTCCAAATGTACTCTGTTTTTTGACCTTGTGACCCTGACCTTTAAGTTTAAACTACAGTCTTTTTCATTCTTTATGCCCCGCCATGAATATGGCCAGGGCATATAGTTTGTCATAGTTGTCTTCCGTCCATGTGTCCTTCTGTCCTTCCATATGTCCTTCCGTCGCGCTTTGTGTTTAGCTCAGTTTCAAAGAAAGTATTCAAGATATTTTTATCAACTTTATATGTTGATAGATATTGATAAGGGCCATTCAACTGCATCAACATTTTTTGAATTTGACCTTTTCTTTGACCTTTACTTCAGTTTTCTTTAATTAGTCTTTAGCTCAGTTTTAAAGAAACAATTCAAGATAGTGTAATCAAACTTCATATGTTGATAGATATTGATGAGAGCTAGCTATTCAACTGCATCAACATTTTTTGACCTTGACCTTTCCTTTGACCTTGACCTCACTTTTCTTTAATTAGTCTTTAGCTTTGACCTTGTCCTCACTCTTCTTAAAGTAATGTTTAGCTCAGTTTTAAATAAACTATTCAAGATATTTTTATCAAACTTAATATGCCCATATGTTTTAGTGAGAGCTATTCAACTGCATCAAAAACTTTTGACCTTGCACTTTCCTGTGACCTTGACCTCACTTTTCTTTAATTTGTATTTTGCTTGGTTTTAAAGAAACCATTTAAGATATTTTTATGTAAGCTTATGCACTTATACATAATTTGGTGAGAATTTATCATTTATATCCATTTTTTTAGATTTCAATTTCAATTTAAAAAAAAACTATTCTCAACCAACTTCATACACTAATACAAATTTTCATGTTGCATTACTAATATACACTTGGCGGGGCATTCATGTCTTTTGGACATATTTCTAGTTTTACATTGGCAATAACTTTTGAATGAAAGAAGATAGTGCTTTTATATTTTACATTTATGTTATCTATGACAACATCTTTTAGAAAGGTAAATCGTTTATGACTTCATGACCTTGACCTAGAACTGTGAAGAACACACAAACAGGACAGTTACAATATGACAATAAGTAATTGTCTCCTAACCACTAAGACACCAAAAGCGGTGAACCACAGTTTTTTTGAATTAGCTTGTTACTTGTTATGATTATTTATATAGAGTCTATATAGCTACATATTAAAAATTATTTCTGGAATTTTTTTTTTTTTTTTGAGATTCTTTTCTTAATCTATGATAGTTCTATAGGAATTTGATAACAGATAACAGAAAAAATGTTTTTCAGGAAAAAAGTACAGACAGAACAGCCTTCAAATGCTTAAATTTCAATAACTGAAATCTACTGTAATTAAGGAATGTATTGTTGTTTTAAAAGTTGTTTATATAACTTTTTAGCATATTGTACTTGTCTCTGGTGGGTGTGTCTCCATCAATCCTCCAGTGCTCTTTGGATGGCACATTCTGTAAACCTTTGCCAGTGGAAGTTCATCATCCAAATGACCTTCTCCTGTATGAAGGTCATTTATATATAGCTGATGATGTTGGAGGTGTGGCGCGGATTATTTCTGTAAAGCTTACCAATAGAGGAGCAGTTCACTGGCAAACATATCTTGTACAGTAAGTATGGTTAATAGGTTAATTTAGACATTTTCACTTTTATATTTATACTTGATATTTTAGCTCACCTGAGCCAAAGGCTCAAGTGAGCTTTTCTGATCAAAATTTGTCCGTTGTCTGTCGTTGTTGTTGTAGTTGTTGTCGTTGTTGCTGTAAACTTTTCACATATTCATCTTCTTCTCAAGAGCCACTGGGCCAATTTCAACCAAACTTGCCACAAAGTATCCTTGGGTAAAGGGGATTCAAGTTTGTTCAAATGAAGGGCCACGCCTTCTTCCAAGGGGAGATAATTAAGAATTTGTGAAAAATTAATGGCATCATTAAAAAATCTTCTTTTCAAGAACCACTGTGCTTGAAAATATGAAACTTATGTGGAAGCATCCTCAGGTAGTGTAGATTCAAGTTTGTTCAAATCATGACCCCTGGGGGTCGGGTGGGGCCACAATGGGCGATCAAAGTTTTACATAGGAATATATAAGAAAAATCTTTAAAAATCTTCTTCTCAAGAAGAGCAAAGCCATGATTGGTCATATTTATATGGTAGCATCCTCAGATAGTGAAGATTCAAGTTTGTTAAAATCATGACCCCCGGGGGTCGGGTGGGGCCACAATGGGCGATCAAAGTTTTACATAGGAATATAGAGGAAAAATCTTTAAAAATCTTCTTCTCAAGAACAGCAAAGCCATGATTGGTCATATTTACATGGAAGCATCCTCAGATAGTGTAGATTCAAATTTGTTCAATTCATGACCCCCGGGGGTCAGGTGGGGCCACAATGGGCGATCAAAGTTTTACATAGGAATATAGAGGAAAAATCTTTAAAAATCTTCTTCTCAAGAAGAGCAAAGCCATGATTGGTCATATTTACCTGGAAGCATCCTCAGATAGTGTACATTTAAATTTGTTCATCTCATGACCCCTGGGGGTCGGGTGGGGCCACAATGGGCGATCAAAGTTTTACATAGGAATATAGAGGAAAAATCTTTAAAAATCTTCTTCTCAAGAACGGCAAAGCCATGATTGGTCATATTTAAATGGAAGCATCCTCAGATAATGTAGATTCAAATCTGTTCAATTCATGACACCCCCCCCCCCCACTCCCCCACTTTTATATTTAAACTTTTCAACCTTTCAAGACTGAACTGATTTCTGCTTTTTTCTAGCCATAGTGCTCAGGTGAGGGATGTGGCCCCTGGGCCTCTTGTACTTATTGGATTGTTTCTTTTTCCTCTCTAAATCAAAACAACTTTTTATTTATTGAGAACAAATAGTTTTTCCTTAGTTTACATGCCTCTTCGGGAAATGATTCAATAAATGCATTTATTAAAAGAATAACATTTTTTTTCAGAGGAAATGGAAAAGCAATAAAAAGAATGGCCATATATGATAAAATTCTCTACTGGGTAGAAGATAAGGCAACCAGTGTATTTTCTCTCAATTTACAAAATATTGAAGAAGAAAGCAGTGTACTTCATAATACCATCCCATTATCCAGCATTATAGTATCTACAGTCAGCAAAATAGGTAAGAGGAAGAATTTCCCATTGTCATAATTGTGAGGCAACTATGAATGACAGTATTAATTATGTAAAAGGAAAATAGAAAAATTGCAATTAAATGTCACAACATATATGACTCCCAGTATTGAATATAAAAGAATTAATAGAAAAATGGTTCAAAGTTTATAGACAAGTTATTGAACCATTAATGAATAAAATGAATTACTGTATTACAAATCTTGAGAGAAGTATAATTTTGTTGGTTTCAGCTGAGACTGCCTGCAGTATTAACAATGGTGGCTGTTCACACTTGTGTATTCCAGTGTCTATAAAGTCCAGAGTCTGTAAATGTAGTGATGGATTTTTCCTTCAGAAAGACAACACTTCCTGTGCTAGTAAGAGACATCATCTAGTTCTACCTAATAAAAGTATACAGACAGGATACATTTATTACACAGTAAATAATTATTTATTACATTAGTAAATTATACAATAATTGCTGTTTTTGAAGTCAATACAATCATTTAGCCACCAGAGGAGTACAATATTCACAGAGACTGAAGGGAGAGGTGAATATTGTACATCAAAGGTGGTTAAATCATTGTATTGACCTAAAAACGGCAATAATTATTTTATTTTATGATTGAATGATAACAGACTTGATGAAGATTGTTCTTTGCTTAATTGTAAGTTTCAACATGTACACATTGTAACAGAAAAAAGAAATGGTATGATTAAAATGTCAGCTTCTCAGTCTGTTGTGTCAAGTTTAGCAGTTAAACTGTTTTAAACCCTTCTTCATTAAAGTGCACATTATAATTAATTGTTACATTGGAGAAATGGTTCACAGTCAAACCTGAAAGACTCGACGCAACAGACTGAAAAGATGTTCTGGACATTTAAACATGCTCTGTTATTGTGGTTTGACCAATCTTGCATTGTGAATTACATGTTCTGACATTGGACTGTGCATTTTGTTCAGACATAGGCCTAACATTTTGAATACCTAATCAAGATCTGCAGTACAATGTACTTAAATGGAATCAAAATCGTCGATATTATTAGACGAATCTGCCAGTAAACTGTTAATGTCATATTGCGAATCTGATAATGGCTCAAATTTCATTTCAAATGCCTCAAAATACGTGTAGCTTGCAGCAGAAAATTTTTTTCTTTCTCCTTCACACAGGTTTCAGTATGAAGGGTTTTTGAAAAGATTTCTGACATTTTCTGTTTCATTTCGGGCTCTGTCTTGCCTGAGTATGTTTTCAGTGGTATTCGTAACATGACAACTGAAAACGAATCTGTTGAATCTATGGTGTGTACCAGGGTTGCTCTCAGAGAATGATTTAGTGTACCTCTGCAGTAGCCCTGCATTGTCAGATCTCCCAGCCATCATGTTTCCTATAGTATTATGTCAAACCAAAAATGAGAATTTAAAAAAAATACGTTTTGACCTTTGAAAAACTGGCACACTTTGGACTTAAAAGCATTTGTCCTTCATGAATGATTTCACTTGGCATAGAGGATCATCTAAAAAATAAAATAGAATTAAAATAGATCTATTATGTGTAAATACACCAAATGCAACCTTTGATTAAAAAAAAATTATAATCGTTCCTTATAATTAATAAAACAGATTTAGGGTCTATATTTTACTAACTTGGCATTGTGTACATCCTTCCTTCAGCTGTGTTTGCATTGCTCTGGTGGTTTTTTTGTGAATTCATCTTTGTCCAAATAAATGTAAAGATGGCCCTCCGCATTATGCCAGGCGCTGAAATCTGAGATCCTTAAGTGGTGTAAATTTTCATGACATTTTGGCATCCAAAATACAGCACAATATTTAGAAACACTTTCTTTAGGAGTTTAACATTGTTTTCTACATCAAAGAATCTATACATGTAACTGAGTTTCGAATCATTCTTTTCAATACGAGGGTAGTGTGAAATTCTTCCTTTACCGCTCCATTTTTACTTGGTAGCAGCCACGAAAGTGAATTGTGATTTTTGGAAATCTCTCCATGGATACTGTCCATTGAATTTCATGAATTCACAGACAAATGTCTATTAAGTCCATGTCTAATAGAAAACAAAGTGCTGTGTTTACAGAGCTCACTACTGATTGTTCTTGCTTCTGTGTAAAACTTGTACAATGCAAAATCCAGGTTTTAGTTTGAGTGATTCAAAATCGGGAGAGAGATATAAGCCAATTAAAGAGCTAGGAATTATTCAATGGTATGATTTCTACAATGTTGGATATAAGCCAATTAGAGAGCTAGGAATTACTGTATGTGTACTTAAAAAGCGGGCTTCATATTTAAGAGGCTTTGGCGCAGACAACGATGGGCTAATTCATGAATACCTCTAAGAAATCATTTATAAATACAATATATGGCACGGACATGTATAGTGTTAATTCATGATTTCGCCAACAACTCCATACCCAGTGATTGCGCTAAATTTTGAATACACCAATTTATGTACACATACAGTATTCAATCCTATAATAAAATCACCTATTATACAATAAATAATAATTTACTACGAACAACAATCATTGTATGGTGAAACTATTGAAGTTTCTATTCTAGAGAGATGGATGAATTGACTGAAACATTACATTCATTTCATTTAAAACTATTTACCACTTATTAACGAATGTAAGTAATCATTTGAAACAGATTATTAAGAAATCTATTTTTTTCCCCTGGATCAACAGGGTGCAAAGAACCAAGTTGCCATTGTGAGATTCACAGAAATTGTTCAAACACTCTAGGTAAGTCCTTTTGTATTGAGACAGCTCTCCTCTTTCCTCTCTTTTTAGCTCACCTGAGCCAAAGGCTGAAGTGAGCATTTCTGATAAAAATTTGTCCATTGTCTGTTGTTGTTGTCATTTGTCATTGTCGTAAACTTTTTACAATTTCATCTTCCTCTCCAGAACCAGTAGGCCAATTATATTGAATCTTAGCACAGATTATTCTTGGGTGAAGGGGATTCAAGTTTGAACAGATCCTCTTCCAACTGGAGATAATTAAGGAAAAACTTGGGTGGGGTCATTTTAAATTCTTCTCAAGAACCACTGGGCCAGGAAAGATGAAACTTATCTGAAATCTTCTTGACATAGTGTAGATTCAAGTTTGTTCAAATCATGACCCCCAAGGGTAGGGTGGGGCCATGATGGGTAATCAAAGTTTGACATAAGAAAACATACTTTACGAAAAATCTTTTTTACAAGAACAGCAAAGCCATGAGCAGTCATATTAATATGGAACCATCCTCGGGTAGACATACTTGCCAAACTCCAAGATGTAAGAAGAGAGTCATGCATGACCCTCTTTGGAAAGTAAAAGACCTGGTCATGACTTGTAACAATATTCACAACATATTTACCATGATTATATTTCATATTGCAGATATAAAATAAGCACTGTATTTAGAATTATTTTATTGAAAGGAATTTGTAACTTACAATGCCAAAATTTGAATAATTCATGAATTTATTGATTAAATTTACATGATAAAAGGGCATTGAAGGTTTCATTGTTTAGTATAGACCTGAAGAAAGTGTGTATTTTTCTTTTTAGGTCACCTGAGTCACATCAGGCAGTCAAACTGTTGGCATGGTAGTAATAAGCATTGAGTCCTCTACCAAAATTGTGAAATTCATGGCCCCAGGGTCAGGGGTTCTGTTGCTAGGGCCGGGCTATATAGATCATATAGTGAAAGTGCATTCTTTGAAAATCTTCTTCTCTACTCCTGGGTATTATTGAAACAAATGTGAATACATAGTTATGATAAGCAAGGGTGACCCTACCAAAATTGTGAAATTCATGGCCCTAGGGTCAGGGGTTCTGGTGCTAGGGCGGGGCTATATAGATCATATAGTGAAAGTGCATTATTTCTTTGAAAATCTTCTCTACTCCTGGGTATTATTTAAACAAATTAAATACATAGTTATGATAAGCAAGAGTGACTCTACCAAAATTGTGGAATTCATAGCCCCAGGGTCAGGGGTTCTGTTGCTAGAACGAGGCTATATAGATCATATAGTGAAAGTGCATTATTTCTTTGAAAATCTTCTTCTCTACTCCTGGGTATTATTTAAATAAATTAAATACATACTTATGATAAGCAAGGATGCCTCTTTCAAAATTGTGAATTTCATGGCCCCTGGATCAGGGGTTCTGGTGTTAGGGTGGGGCTCTATTTATTATATAGTGAAAATGCATTTATGCTCTATAAATCTTCTCCTCTGCTTCTGGGTATTATTTAAACAAACTAAGTACATTGTTATGATAAGCAAGGATGCCTCTTTCAAAATTGTGAAATTCATGGCCCAAGGGACAGGGGCTCTGGTGCTAGGGTGGGGCTATATAGATCCTATAGTGAAGGTGAATTATTTCTTTGAAAATCTTCTTCTCTGCCCCTGGGTATTATTTAAACAAACTAAGTACATTGTTATGATACGCAAGGATGCCTTTTCCAAAATTGTGAATTTCATGGCCCCAGGGTCAAGGGTTCTGGTGAAAAGGGGGGGGGGCTATATTGATTATATAGTGAAAAAGCAACATTTCTTTGAAAATCTTCTTTTCTGCTTCTGGTTAAAAAGCAAAGAAGCTAAGTGTATAGTTATGATGAGCAAGAGTGCTTCTTCCAGAGTAGTGAATTGCATGACCCCTGGGTCAGATGTGCTGGTGTAAGGCTCTTGATAATATAGTGAAAATGTGTTAATTCTATTAAATAATCCTGTCTGCTCCTTAGTGTGAAGCAGATAAACAAAGTGATTACTTATGATGAGCAAACTTCTGGTCCCAGGGTGAGAGGCTCTGGTGTTTCCCGATGGGGGGGGGGGGGGGGGGGGGCTCTATTGATATAGTGAATCTGTAGTAAAAATGCATTATTTCTTTAAAAATCTTCTCTGAACCTGCACATATCAGAGGCAAAAAGAGTAAAAGTTTTAATAAGGAAGGGTATTTTTACCAGAATTTTGAACATCTGGACCATTTGGTCAACTGTTCTGGTCCTGGCTTGGGCTCTATTAATTTGTAATCTACTGAGAGGCGTTATTCCCCTTTGCCATTTACTTTTGATAATTAATCACTGTAAATAATGTACTTGGAAGGTTAATAGAATAAGAGAATTATGCAAGAATTTTTATTGTATAATACAAAAAGTACTTTCAAAGTTTTAATGATCAGGAAGACTTGTAAGTAATAGATAAATAAAAATGAGACAAAAATAACTTGTCTTATTAAATGTTTATCAAAGACCAAGAGAGGCCAATGTAAGCGATGCCAACAAGGAATTAAGACAGTACAGAAGCACTGATTAGTTTGTTAATATACTGTATGGTGATAGTGATGAATGGGGAACAGATTAGAACCTAATTTATGAACTGTTAATGAATGCTAGACTAATTATTTTGTCCTGATCATCCTATTTTTCTTGCTTTTGGGCAACAAAGCTTCACCTTTCAGTTCATTTTATACTATATGGATCCTCTAAATTGTTGTATTATACTCAGGTGACCGTTAAGGCCCTTGGGCCTCTTGTTTAAATACTGAAAGCTCTTGCAGAGTCTGCATTACTGTTTGGAAGAACAAGGGAAGTTTTAGCTTATTTTGAAATTATTCAAATTAATTTAGGAATGACACTAATTCTTGGCCAAATTATTCGAGAATAACCTGGTTTGGGTCAGTTTACGCTTTATAATCCGCGAAGCGGATTATAAAACAATTCATTCCTTATAATTTAATTCTAAAATCATTAAACAACTCTGGGTGTAAAATTTCGTTGCTTTTTATTAGTTCAAATTTGCCGCTCAATAATACAACCATAGTAACGGAAGTGATGGGAAGCGAGGGGAGGTAAAAACTGATACATAGTCCTAGCAGCCATGTTTTTTGTTTACATGTGGTAAGATCCGAGTTACTGTTTGAAGTTAAAGGTACATTTATTAAATCTGGAATTTTCCATGAATCCTGAGGACTGGAAATGAGAGGATTGCATGGATACAGACGATTCAGCTGGTTGTCAGGGGGGGGTGTCCCCATACCAAACCAGGTTATACAGAAATAATTTGTGTTCCTTTTTGGATATTAACCAATCAGAGGCTAGAATACAAACAAAATTAAATTATTGACTTATAAAGGTCCCTGTTCAAATCTTGGTTTTGAAAATGATTTGAAGATAATTTTTATCCTCAGGCCTAATAAACAATTTAGATATAATGTACAGTTAGTCTCGTACTATCGTTGATCACTTTATTTCATCCAGTGAAAGTTGTTTTCCAAGATTCTTTAATATGTACATAAATATTGTTTGTCTTTTTTGAGGTGTTTTCCTGCTGGCCCAGTTCTATCGGGCGCCAATTTATAATGAGTTCAAACTTCGATTTGTCAAAACATCTCCCAGATAATTATTAACATTTACACTGATAATTTACCGATACATAGCCTACTGTGAGTAGCCATCAGCATTGTTTACATAGATCCAAGCTTGGGGCTGATAACTGGAAATGACATGTGCAAACTAATTTACAAACCAAATCAGGGAATTTTCGGGCTGTTCAGCAAAAACTGGGTTATGGGTTGAAAAATCGGGTGTAACCCAATGGAATTGGGTGAGTTCACAACTATGCATGTAGTGTAGATTTAAGTTTGTTCAAATTATGACCCCCGGGGGGAAATGGGGGCACGGTTTGGCCACTATGGGAGATTAAAGTTTTACATAGGAAAAAGAATCTACTGATGAAGAACAAACAGGGCTCTAGTTACTCAGGTGAGCATTGTGGCCCATGAACCTCTTGTTCTTTGTGTTATATGTTTTTCTTTGTTGACAGAGTGTGGAGGCCTTCTCTGTGATATAGATCTGTGTGTCCCGCTAGACATTGTTTGTGATGGAACCAATGACTGTGTAGACATGTCAGATGAAGACGGGGCTCACTGTTCTCAAACAACTCCAAAGGGTCTGAAATTTCTTATTATTAATGAAACAAGCATTCGTTATCTTTACTTCAAATTTGAATAAAATTAGTTAATTCTAATAATTTCTATCTGCTGTGGACAGCATTTGATTTATAGAGGTACAAATATTGTACATGATTCTGGTATTTTTTTTCAGACTGTGGACCCGGACATTTTGCGTGTACCTCTGGGGAGTGTATTTCTGGACACCTTGTCTGTAACGGTCATCCAGACTGTCCTGATGCCTCAGATGAAGGACATCAGTGTCATCAGGATTTACCAGAAAGAGTGTGTCCTACAGGATATGAATTTCAAAAGGATAAAAAATCTTGTCAAGGTAGTGTGTCTGTAGATTTTAGATTTTATAATGTTATGCATTATCTTTTAAGCTTTGAATTCATGTAATGAATAAATGTGAATTTTCAATCTTCAGATGTAAATGAGTGTAAGGATGACAATGGGGGCTGTAGTCAGGTGTGTGTTAACACTGAAGGAGGCAGAAGTTGCCACTGCTCACCAGAGTTCATCTCGAACACCACCTCATGTATTCCACCAGGTCTGATTGGTTTGAATACATTTTCAGTACTCCCTAGCATTCATTTTGAACACCTCATATATGTCATATTATCTTAATGGTATTTTTTCATAAGCTATTAAATAAACATAACTAGGTATGTTTTCATCTGAGTCACTTAGGTGACCTATTGTTATCCGTTTTTATACCCCCGCTCCGAAGGAGAGGGGGGTATACTGTTTTACCCTTGTGTGTCTGTCTGTCTGTCCGTCTGTCTGTCTGTCTGTCCGTCTGTCTGTCTGTCCGTAACAAACTTTGGTCACAGATTTCTCAGCAACTACTCATCAGAGGTGCTTGAAATTTTAACACACTCTTTGTTTAGGCATGCCATATGGTGGGATTCATTTTTGTACGAATTCGATGTCAACTTCCTGTTTATCCGTGCGTTTGTCCGTACCATACATAAAAAAATTTGGTCGTAGTTTTCTCAGCAACTACTCATCGCAGATGCTTGACATTTTAGCACAATCTTTGTTTAGGCATGCCATAAGGTGGGATTCATTTTTGTACGAATCCGATGTCAACTTCCTGTTTATCCGTGCGTCTGTCCGTATCACACATAGCAAACTTTGGTCGCAGTTTTCTCAGCAACTACTCATCGCAGGTGCTTGAAATTTTAACACACTCTTTGTTTAGGCATGCCATATGGTGGGATTCATTTTTGTACGAATCCGATGTCAACTTCCTGTTTATCCGTGCGTCTGTCCGTATCACACATAAAAAAATTTGGTCGCAGTTTTCTCAGCAACTACTCATCGCAGGTGCTTGAAATTTTAACACACTCTTTGTTTAGGCATGCCATATGGTGGGATTCATTTTTGTACGAATCCGATGTCAACTTCCTGTTTATCCATGCGTCTGTCCGTATCACACATAACAAACTTTGGTCGCAGTTTTCTCAGCAACTACTCATCATAGGTGCTTGAAATTTTAACACACTCTTTGTTTAGGCATGCCATATGGTGAGATTCAGTTTTGTACGAATCCGATGTCAACTTCCTGTTTATCTGTGCGTCTGTCCGTACCATACATAACAAATTTTGGTCGTAGTTTTCTCAGCAACTACTCATTGCAGATGCTTGAAATTTTAGCACAATCTTTGTTTAGGCATGCCATATAATAGGATTCATTTTTGGAACAAATCCGATGTCAACTTCCTGTTTATCCATGCGTCTGTCCGTACCATACATAATAAATTATGGTTGTAGTTTTCTCAGCAACTACTCATCGCAGATGCTTGAAATTTTTTCTTTGTTTAGGCATGCCATATGTTGGGATTCAGTTTTTACAAATCCGATGTCAATTTCCTGATTATCACTGTGTTTGTCCATAACCGAACTTGTGTATTCACATCAGAGCGGGGGTATTATTAGTGAGCATTCGCTCACAGACTTCTTGTTATGTGTTGTTATTTTTTCACATTCTTGACTTCTTTTCAATACAGCTATGCCAATTTCAACCAACTTTGGCACAAAACTAGGTCACATCCCCCTTGTGATTCTATGCTTCAAGATTTATCAAAAAAATTTATAGCCCATAAGAATGTTCTCCTTAAAAGATATTTTCAGTTGACCCTCTGTGTATGAACTTTGACCCCTCAAAAAGTTATTACCCTTTTCACAATAAAAGCTTGTTATAATCGTTACTCCACTGAAACCTTTAACCATAAAGAAACCAAACCTTCACGTACGTCTTCACCTAATTTAATTGACTCTTCAATCTCTTCAGTGCAAAAGGATTTTTTGACACCTTTTTTGAGTTATTGCCCCTGAAAGTTTTCAATGTTTGTGTTACATTAATTTTTTTTTCAAAAAAGAAACAGTAAGTTGTAGAGACATGGGACCAACTGTATTAAATTCTTCAACCTTTGACCTTGAAATTAAGGTCAAGGTCAAATGTCAAGGTCATTCAAAATATGAAGATTTTAGCCCTTTTTCTTTAACTTCTGTGTCTCAACATTTTTATGCCCCGCCATGAATATGGCCGGGGCATATAGTGTTTGTCATGTCCGTCTTCCGTCCTTCCGTCCTTCCGTCTGTCCTTCCGTCACACTTTGCGTTTAGCTCTGTTCAAAGCTCAGTTTCAAAGATACCATTCAAGATATTTTTATCAAACTTCATATGCTGATAGATATTGATAAGAGCTATGCAACTGCATCAACATTTTTTGACCTTGACCTTTCCTTTGACCTTGACCTCACTTTTCTTAAATTAGTGTATAGCTCAGTTTTAAAGATACCATTCAAGGTATTGTAATCAAACTTCATATGTTGATGCATACTGATGTAAGCTATTCAACTGCATCAACATTTTTTGACCTTGACCTTTCTTTTGACCTTGACCTCACTTTTCTTAAATTAGTGTTTAGCTCAGTTTTAAAGATACCATTCAAGATAATGTAATCAAACTTCATTTGTTGATACATACTGATGTAAGCTATTCAACTGCATCAACGTTTTTTGACCTTGACCTTTCTTTTGACCTTGACCTCACTTTTCTTAAATTAGTGTTTAGCTCAGTTTTAATGAAAGCATTCAAGATATTTTTAACAAACTTCATATACTGATACATAATGATGAGAGCTATTCAACTGCATCAATATTTTTTACCTTGACCTTTCCTTTGACCTTGACCTCACTTTTCTTAAATTAGTGTTTAGCTCAGTTTTAAAGAAACCATTCACAATATTTTTATCAAACTTCATATGCTAATACATACTGATGTAACCTTTTCAACTGCATCAACATTTTTTGACCTTGACCTTTCCTTTGACCTTGACCTCACTTTTCTTAAATTAGTGTCAAACTTCATATGCTGATACATACTGATGTAAGCTATTCAACTGCATCAATATTTTTTCACCTAGACCTCTCCTTTGACCTTGACCTCACTTTTCTCAATTTGTGTTAAAATGTTGCATTACTAATATACCCTCGGCGGGGCATTCATGTCCTATGGACATATTTCTAGTTTAAATATCATTGCATTATTAATATGTCCTTTAAAAACCAATTTGAAATTTCTTTTCTTAAACCCTAAGTCTGATTCATTTAAAAGTTGTTGCCCCTTTCACCATAAACCATGTTATTGCCACTCCTCTGAAACCATAAACCATAAAGACTCCAAACCTTCACTGATGTCTTTGGTTTTTCAAGACAAAGATACAATCTATTCAGTGTGAAAGGATCTGATGACCCCTTAAGTTATAAGTAAGTTGTAGCCCTTTTCTTTCTTTGAGCTTATCATTAAACCCAAAAACTTTTAAGCGAATAGTCGCAGAAACATGGAAACAACTGCAATATGATTCTTGACCTTTGATCTTGAACACATGGATAAGGTCTAAGGTCAAAGTCACTTTATATTCTTTTAAATTTTCATTTTTTTAATCTTTTAAGCTGTTTCTGGTTTCGTCTTCATGAAATTAAGCTGTAGAGAAAGAAATGCAAAAAATAAATTTAATTTAAAGAAGGTGGAAAGAGACTCTAATTGTTCTGTGAACAGTTTGTCTTCTAGTATTCTGAAAAGTTACAAGACTCTACTTTGTCAAACATATGTACAAGCATTCTCATGTTATCATGAACCAAAGTGGTTCAGAGTCAGGGCTTTGGATTGTCTATAATTAGGCTGCTGGACGACCCTGTACCCAGTGTAGAATAGTCACCTTTTTCCAGTCTAAATGATGTTATTTTCCCAGTTGTCATAACAAGACATCAGAACAAAAATGACAAATGTTATGCATGTTTTATAACTTTTTGAAATGTTAATTTTTCCCAGGTCTCCTCAGAGTATCGCTAATTTTCCCAATATTATGGTTCTAACCCCTGTACCAAAGTCACATGAGAGCCCTAAAATTGTAGACTATTGGGTATGGATTAGGATGCAATAGGGTCCAAAGCTTTACATGTATACTTTCTTAAAATTTCTTCAAAAAGACATGCAAAATTTAGAAGAAATATATCTTAAGGAAGATTCTATGACTTATATATAGCTAGGCATTGAGCTAAGTTCAAATGAATTAATAACACTTGTTCTTTATCTAATTTTGTGAAGATATTGAATATTTTTTTCAAGGTATATTTTAATTTATATTTAGATCCCAGGCCTTATTTCTTGTTCTTGGAACATACTACTCTAACAAGATATGACTTGGATCAGCAGGGGGAGTTTATCACTATTTGTGCTGCGGAGCCTTTTCTGACTTTTGATGTAATCATGTCTACTGGTGACATCCTGGGAATATCATCTGCAGATTCAAAGGTCTGGTTCCAGTCTCAATGTATGTCAGGTACACAGGCACTTAGGGCATAGATCACCCCTTTTCCAATTCTCTTCTTTTTTTAATAATCAGGGTTCGACATCTATTCATATTTTTTCTGATATACATGTACTTCTCATCAGCTGGCTTGGAAGTCCAAGAGCTGTAACTTCGACTTCTTGCATTCTTTACAGTACTTTGCACATTCGCTGTTCCACTTGCCCAGTGATATTGTGACATTTGGTTACAAGGTTGTATGCTTAACAGAAGTATATACATAAATTTTTATTAATGTCAAGCAAATTCGAAACTTTTTCATGCACCAAATTTTTGGGCATTATTATGTGCATAATGTCAGTTGGTCATAAGTTGAGGGCTGAACAAAATTTACTCAAATGTGAATGATTTAATTGATATAGAGGAGAAAAATAATGGGGGGTGTAAATATTCACTATATTCACAGTGTTGATAAATCTGTTAATTCAAGAAACAGTGAATAAGTTTGAATTAAAATCATAGTTTTATTTTTTTTGGGGGGGGGGGGGGGGGGGATATGTGTCTATGCTACTGGTTGATAAATATTACATTTTCATTCAGTAATTATGAGTTGTATTTGTCATTTAATTAATTTAAGAGCCATGTTTTCCTAAAATTCTAATCAGCAGATAATGATCCTGAATCGATGATTAAACAGCTGTTTAAATAGCCAACACTAGTTGTTAGATCAAAACACGAGGGTGTTGATTATACCCATTCATAAGTAACATTGCCTTGGGCACCTGTCCTCTGATCATGCAATTTTTATCATTTTGTGTAAACCAGTTTTTTTTCAAAATTTTTTTTTATTATATTAACTCTTGGACTTCCTTTAGATATGGAATATTATTTTGTTGAAATGTTAAAATGAAAATATTGAAAGAGGAAGGGGATTCCTTGCCTTAAGTGCCTGTGGTTTTGACATATTATCTAGACAAGTATAGCCTAATGATGGCATTCATATAAGCCCCTGTCACATTGTAACGATTTATGGCTATGATTCATTACGAATTTAGAAATTGCAGCAAATTTGGCTTTATCGTAGAGGTAGTCATAGGATATCTTCCTTATTCATGTTGAATCACAGCAAATCGCAAAACTCTGCAATTGTTTTGAGCATGTTCAAAGCAATCGTGTACACAGCACGATTTTTAAGTATTTGTAGACAATCGCACAACACCAGCACTGCACTCGTACAAAATTCATAGTAAATCTTCGATTTCGTGTGACTTTCACGGAACGTCGTAGTAATCGTGACACTGTGAGTGTCCTTCGAGTTACTGAGAGTGTCCTTCGAGTTACTGCGAGTGCCCTACGAGATACTGCAAATGTTCTTCGAATTGATAGGAACCTAGTACGACTTTCCCGCGAATATGATACAAAAAAGGATGATTGATGGCAAGTGCTGTAAGAGTACTGTGCAATTGAACTACGAGTTAATACAATATAGGCAGATGTCGTCTGATGTTAACCCTTTCGAAATGAAAATACCACCTAAAATAAAAGGAAAGATGATAGGAAAAGTGAAAGAAACTGAAAATGCATGTGTCACAGAACCTATAAAGGCCGTGTTCAATAAATTATTAAAGAAATTGAACATAATCAAAAGCTTCACACTGTGGCTTTTACCATGATCAAATAATTTTACTATGATGTTTAATAATTTCAAACAACTCTCTTTTCTATATGCATTTTGTTACATGTATATTTGTAAGAAATCGTCACTAATCGTAGGAATATCGTGTATGCATCATTCCATATCGTATTTCTTTGTTCAAGTATTGTATGTAACCGCGTTTTATCCTTCATAATCATAGAAATATCATAACCAGTTCGTAATGCAGTCGCCTAAGTTCGTACTTAAATCGTACAAACCTCATACTTTGTCGCATAGACATCATAGACACACTGTTCTAGCAGCAAAAAAATCCACATGCTATGGAAAAATCGCAAGACTAATCTGGCGAATAATGGCAATTTGCAACTTTTTTTAGTTCGTGGGTTATTGTAGCATAAATCGTTATAGTGTGCCACGGCCTTTAAGTGCCTATTTAAAAATTTATATTATTGGAATGTATGATTAGCTAATGTTTTAAATAGTAAAGCATTGTGTTTTAACTTTAAAAGGTACTGATACATCCTAAAACACTATTTTACATAATGTAGATTTAGCCTACTGTGAATTTGTCTAAAGCGAGATACTAATTTATACGCTAAGTTTTTAAAATTTAATGTATAGCAGTGAATTTAATCAAGCCTAACTATAATATATTTACTTCCTGATGTATTTAAACTACGTGCACTTCATATGCTGCTGTTGGATACATGGTTTATTTGTTTACCGGTATTTCTTTGTTTACTAGACACTACTAAGAACCAATCAAAGTGATCAGAAGAAAGAGGTTCTACTGAGCATGTTGGGAAAAGTTGCTTATGTGGCATATGATTGGTTGGGAAATAACCTCTATATTTCTGACATCTTAAAACCTGCACTGATTGTATGCCCAGTGAAACTTCTGAAGGAGGGATGTCTTTCATTGCTGCATGAAACAACAGGAAGTGTGGCTCTTTACCCAGTTAAAGGGTAAAATATTCCTACAGGGAGTGTAGCTCTTCACCCAGTAAAAGGGTAAAATACTCTAACAGGGAGTGTAGCTCATAACCCAGTTAAGGGTAAAATATTCCTACAGGGAGTGTAGCTCATAACCCAGTTAAGGGTAAAATATTCCTACAGGGAGTGTAGCTCTTCACTCGGTTAAAGGGTAAAATATTCCTACAGGGAGTGTATGCTCTTCACCCAGATAAAGGGTAAAATATTCCTACAGGGAGTGTAGCTCATAACCCAGTTAAGGGTAAAATATTCCTACAGGGAGTGTAGCTCTTCACCCATTTAAGGGTAAAATATTCCTAAAGGGAGTGTATGCTCTTCACCCAGTTAAAGGGTAAAATATTCCTACAGGGAGTGTAGCTCATAACCCAGTTAAGGGTAAAATATTCCTACAGGGAGTGTAGCTCATAACCCAGTTAAGGGTAAAATATTCCTAAAGGGAGTGTAGCTCTTCACCCAGTTAAAGGGTAAAATATTCCTAAAGGGAGTGTATGTAGCTCTTCATCCAGTTAAAGGGTAATATATTCCTACAGGGAGTGTAGCTCTTTACCCAGTTAAATGGTAAAATATTCTATGTAGGAACTGTTCTTTTTCTTGTCCACTGAAATATGGGACTGTGAGCAAGTCATACAATTACTATTTATCTAGAATACCATAACCATAATCAAAGTATTGTCATCTTTAACATGAAACGATCTTTCATTATGTCAGACAAGATATATACAGGTAACTCTTGATGGCTCGAACTTCGATCTCTCGAAGTTCTTGATCGCTCGAAGTGAGTCTCTGGTCCCGAATTTTCCCCCTATATAACTAAGCAAATTTACTCTTGATTTCTCGAACCCTTGATCTCTCGAAAACCTTGATCCCTCGAAGTCAAAATGCAGTCCCGCTATGCATATTCTATTAGAATTTACGCTCGATACCTCAAAGTGGCTATGTGTATACAAGGTTATATAATTAGCACCTTTACCTGGACATTTAAATGGCCCCAGGCAGAAGACGCAGGTCTCGAGGAACGGGATGTTTTAATCCAGGTGACATTTATGCTGCAACGTGATAATTGACGTATAATTAATCATATTTTGCCTATATGCTATTAAAATAATTACCATCGACTGTCTTACGATAATTTAGAGACGCAGTGTCAGTGAAAAGTAGTAATTGATTAAAAGACGAAACACTAATTTAAATTTTTATTTCGAGCCAGTGTCAAAGTTAAACGAAAAATGAAGACGCAGAAACAGCCTCAATGTCAATATGACGACTATTATTGGACAAATACTTACAGAACTGCGTTCGATGATCATGTTTGGCATATACAATGCAATGCAATGCTATGTACGGCGCTGTAAAATGTCGTTTTAATGTAACGAATGCGTAGTATGATGTCCGTATTACAAAGAATAAATAAATATACATGAAATGACGATATACATTTTTTGCTTTACTCAGTTTAATGAAATATTCATCTAAATTACGAAAAAATATCGTTGTTTTATAAAAACCACGTGTAAAAGGTTAGCACTGCATGAAAATCATTACATCCGGTAAGACTAATTTTAAAACCTGTCAACAAACCCGGAAAATTCTGGGCTCTTGAAAACTCGAACTCTTGATCTCTCGAAGTTTTTCTTCGGTCCCGCGGACTTCGAGGTATCGAGAGTTACCTGTATATCAATTGTCTTAAAAGCAAATCCTTCAGGTGTGATTTTAGAATTTAGTTTGAAAAGTACTTTGACTTTCAAAATTTTTAGTTTGAAAGTTTTAATTAAAGGCACTTTAAGCATAGACAAGATTGACATCATTCTTAATTGGCTTTCAGACTATTGTTTTGACTTTCAGACTGATGTTTTGACTTTCAGACTGATGTTTTGGTTTTCAGACTGATGTTTTGGCTTTCAGACTAGTGTTTTGACTTTCAGACTGATGTTTTGACTTTCTGACTGATGTTTTGGTTTTCAGACTGATGTTTTGACTTTTGACTTTCAGACTGATGTTTTGACTTTCAGACTAATTTTTTGACTTTCAGACTGATGTTTTGACTTTTGACTTTCAGGCTGATGTTTTGGTTTTCAGACTGACATTTTGACTTTAAGACTGATGTTTTGGATTTTAGACTGATGTTTTGTCTTTCAGACTGATGTTTTGGCTTTTAGACTGATGTTTTGGTTTTCAGACTAGTGTTTTGACTTTCAGACTGATGTTTTGACTTTCAGACTGATGTTTTGGTTTTCAGACTGATGTTTTGAATTTTGACGTTCAGACTGATGTTTTGGTTTTCAGACTAATGTTTTGACTTTCAGACTGATGTTTTGGTTTTCAGACTGATGTTTTGAATTTTGACTTTCAGACTGATGTTTTGGTTTTCAGACTAATGTTTTGACTTTCAGACTGATGTTTTGGTTTTCAGACTGATGTTTTGAATTTTGACTTTCAGACTAATGTTTTGACTTTCAGACTGATGTTTTGACTTTCAGACTGATGTTTTGGTTTTCAGACTGATGTTTTGAATTTTGACTTTCAGACTAATGTTTTGACTTTCAGACTAATGTTTTGACTTTCAGACTAATATTTTGACTTTCAGACTGATGTTTTGACTTTTCAGACTGATGTTTTGGTTTTCAGACTGATGTTTTGACTTTTGGCTTTCAGACTGATGTTTTGGCTTTTAGACTGATGTTTTGATTTTCAGACTGATGTTTTGACTTTTGACTTTCAGACTGATGTTTTGGTTTTCAGACTGACGTTTTGGCTTTTAGACTGATGTTTTGGATTTTAGACTGATGTTTTGGTTTTCAGACTGATGTTTTGACTTTCAGACTGATGTTTTGGTTTTCAGACTAGTGTTTTGACTTTCAGACTGATGTTTTGACTTTCAGACTGACGTTTTGGCTTTTAGACTGATGTTTTGAATTTTGACGTTCAGACTGATGTTTTGGTTTTCAGACTAATGTTTTGACTTTCAGACTGATGTTTTGGTTTTCAGACTGATGTTTTGAATTTTGACTTTCAGACTGATGTTTTGGTTTTCAGACTAATGTTTTGACTTTCAGACTGATGTTTTGGTTTTCAGACTGATGTTTTGAATTTTGACTTTCAGACTGATGTTTTGGCTTTCAGACTGATGTTTTGACTTTCAGACTGATGTTTTGACTTTTCAGACTGATGTTTTGGTTTTCAGACTGACGTTTTGGCTTTTAGACTGATGTTTTGGATTTTAGACTGATGATTTGGTTTTCAGACTGATGTTTTGGTTTTCAGACTGATGTTTTGACTTTCAGACTGATGTTTTGGTTTTCAGACTAGTGTTTTGACTTTCAGACTGATGTTTTGACTTTCAGACTGATGTTTTGGTTTTCAGACTGATGTTTTGAATTTTGACGTTCAGACTGATGTTTTGGTTTTCAGACTAATGTTTTGACTTTCAGACTGATGTTTTGGTTTTCAGACTGATGTTTTGAATTTTGACTTTCAGACTGATGTTTTGACTTTCAGACTAATGTTTTGACTTTCAGACTGATGTTTTGACTTTCAGACTGATGTTTTGGTTTTCAGACTGACGTTTTGACTTTTCAGACTGATGTTTTGGTTTTCAGACTAATGTTTTGACTTTTGGCTTTCAGACTGATGTTTTGGTTTTCAGACTGATGTTTTGACTTTTCAGACTGATGTTTTGGTTTTCAGACTGATGTTTTGACTTTTGACTTTCAGACTGATGTTTTGGTTTTCAGACTGATGTTTTGACTTTTGGCTTTCAGACTGATGTTTTGGCTTTTAGACTGATGTTTTTGACTTTCAGACTGATGTTTTGACTTTCAGACTGATGTTTTGACTTTTGACTTTCAGACTGATGTTTTGGTTTTCAGACTGACGTTTCGGCTTTTAGACTGACGTTTTGGCTTTTAGACTGATGTTTTGGATTTTAGACTGATGTTTTGGTTTTCAGACTGATGTTTTGGCTTTCAGACTGATGTTTTGACTTTCAGACTGATGTTTTGGTTTTCAGACTGATGTTTTGACTTTTGACTTTCAGATTGATGTTTTGACTTTCAGACTGATGTTTTGACTTTCAGACTGATGTTTTGACTTTCAGACTAATATTTTGACTTTCAGACTGATGTTTTGACTTTCAGACTGATGTTTTGGTTTTCAGACTAATGTTTTGACTTTTGGCTTTCAGACTGATGTTTTGGCTTTTAGACTGATGTTTTGGCTTTTAGACTGATGTTTTGACTTTCAGACTGATGTTTTTGTTTTCAGACTGATGTTCTGGTTGAATCGTGACTCCATTCAGAAGAGCACTATGTTGGGGGTACAGAGGAGGAGTGTAGTGGAGTTTGAATTTGTGTCTGTCAGGAGCTGTCTTGTTCTGGACCAGTTCTCAGACAGACTATACTGGATAGATCATGTTCAGCATGCTATTGAGAGCTGCAGTACTGATGGCAGTTACAGGTAATCAATTTCTTTTTTTTCTTTACCACCCAATTCCTCTGGATTCAGGTTGCAAATCTGTCTGAAGGTGAAGCCAACAGTTTATCAAGGTGTCATTTTATATTTTATACAAATATTGACCACAATTTTTTTTTTCTTTGGTTTATCTTTCACTGATGAATTTCTTTCATGTGAATAACAGTAGGATGATAGATTTCCTATTGAACTTTTAGTTAAAATGCATGGAATTTTTCAACTTCACTATCTACTGTAGATTCATTAATATACCCAAGGAATTCATTATTGTGTAATTTTGAGTGAAGCACCATGCACTCAAAAAATAAGATATCTAGGTTTTATTCTTACTGTGCTGAAATACATATAAAATCTCTTGCTCAATAGCCCAGATGAGGATTCCTGTTCTCGGGATTAGACGTACAAGTCATTTCATAATATTAAAGCTGAACATGATTTGTAAATAGGACACGCCATATTAGATTTTACTCTGATATCAGCACTGAGGTATATCCTTTGCATTCGTTACACCTGACTGCTTTATTGTCACAGGTATCGGCGTGGAATGGACGACAAGTGTTTGTGCTGGTTATCTTGCATTACCTTTGTTTACATTATATTGCAGGTTACATGTATTTGTTTGTATACTGCACTGACCTGTTGTAAGTTTGTTTGGTATCTTTCTCTCCTGCCATGGAAGAAGATCACAGTTATTTTTGTCGCTACCGAGTGTTTTACAATAGCTAGTATGTAGCATACATCCATCTACGCAGGTGACAACTGATTACACTGAACAGTGACTAAGTGAATGGTTTATATAGTGGTCCTCAGAAATAACCACTGAATAAAAGAATATGGCGGATAAATAACTTTTACAAATTGTGTTCAGCTTTAAGTAGTAGAGTAGAATAAGGAATACAGTATGTTATATACTAATTTATAGATGAATAAATTATATGTAATCTAGCAAGAAAAATTTCAAATGTTTAGGGATTTTTCTGATAACCAATGGCATTTTCCTTGGTTTATCATCTCCCTTCTTCTTTTCTGTGTTCTTCTAAATCAGTCCATACTTATTGTTTGATAATCAAGCTATGGGCTAGCTGTTACTCATGACCAGTATTTGTAATTTTTGCAGGAGGACCATTTTGTCTCAGGGATTGTACAAATTCCTGTCAATAAATGTTTTTGGAGATGACCTGTACTTCACTGATGAAGCAAGCAAGTCTCTTTATAAATATAACCGAATCACAGGACATACGACCATGCTGACCAATGACCTTCCATTCTCCAGTCAACTGAAGGTCATCCATCCAATTCTTCAGAATGCAGGCAAGGCTCTTATATATGTATTAATCCCTTCAGAGTTCATGTCCATCTCTTATGTGTACAGTTACTGTAGTGGTAATATATCTGCATTTTATTAACAAAGCAGAGACAGTAAAACGGACAGTTTACATAGGGTTGATATCCTCATGGATGTGGCAGTTTGCTGCTTTGTGAGGGAATATTTTGCGAAAAATTCCTTCTCATTTAGGTGAGCATAAGTGATGGTGACTCCCAGGATGAATTTCCATTTTCACTACATCTATAAAATGTTTCAATTTATAACACTTACCTGGTATTTTTGGACACTTTGAGCAGTTATTAATGACAGTATTTGTTTCTCTGTAGATTCCAGGTCAGATGTATGTGCCAAGAGATTCTGTTCACACCTGTGTTTGCCGACACCAGAGGGAGCTGTCTGTGCCTGCCCTGATGGATGGGACCTCATTAATAACAGGACTTGTAGAAGTATGTATTGTTCTTATACTGTTGACCACCCAATTTTCATGACTCCTTATTTTTGTAAGATATTTGGTAAAGTGAGTTTGACATTTTTGCAGGCAATTTAATTATCTTATGTAATTGATGCAAAAATAAAGTTCTCACAAATAAAAATTGATTAACAGTAGTTGATATACACAGGATAAAAACCCTCAGTTGATATTCTTTTAGGTGTTTTTTTTTTCATTACTGTTGTCAGTGTTTTTCATCAAATTGATTTCATATCAAATTTATCAAGTTTCAAATCAGTTTATTTCCCATAGCTGTAATTGCAATTCTAGAAATAGTATAATTTCTTTATGTATGGCAAACCTTATATTGTAGGTCCTCATGTGGTACCTTTGGTTAGCACTAAGACTCAAGTAGGAATATCAAAGTCACCTTTTCTACCAAGAGTTACTTCAACTCATGGAGATTACCCAACAACTAGTGCACCAAGGGTAACCTCAATGTCTATAATTACACGGAAAGTAACCTCAAAACCTTTTCCACCCAAGGTTGAGCCAACACCTATTCCACCTAAGCTGGATCCAACACCTACTAGATCCATGATGGATCAAACAGCTTCTTCAACCAAAGTCAGCCTATCACCTCTGTCAGCTGCCCCATGTAATTTACTGTGTATGAATGGGGGAACATGTTCTTATTCAAAGGACAAAGATATAGATTATTGTGTGTAAGTTACTTAATTCAGAGGGTGATTTTTTTCTATCCCTTGAAATAATTGATTAATTGCTTTCCCTAATGAATTGATATGAGTATATTTCCATTTCTATTTGTTTTCTCTGTGATAACTCTTTGAAAGTTAGGAGAGTTGATTTCTTGATCATTCTAAAGGAATGCAAATTTTGCCAAGCGAAAGGTCAGTAGGGAAGAAAGCCTAATATGCATGCAATTCTCGTGCGGCTGTCTTTGTGTCTGACTCTAAGGAGGCCTAATATGCATGTAATTCTCGTGCGGCTGTCTTTGTGTTTGACGTCAGTGGGCGGGGACTATTGAAATTGACATGTGAGGCCTCGTGTAATTAAAATCTATTAGTCTACATTTTTAAAATCTAAATTTACATTTTTATTTCAAAATGAAATGGAAATATAAGGAATCACTGTCTAGTTAGTAGAGTATGCCAGGGACATCAACGATAGTTGGAAACGTGGGATAATTTATGCATAACGGGCTTCGTTGTAACACCTTTGATGTATATATAACGGGCGTAATAACACCTTTTGGAAAGGCGTTATTACGCCTTTCCAAAAGGTGTTATTACGCCTTTCCAAAAGGTTTTATTACGCCTTTCCAAAAGGCGTTATTACGCCTTTTAAAAAGGCGTTACATTTGTATTACTCCTCTTTTTTTTCAATACATGACTTACTTAGTCCACCCTGGGGGCTGATTATAATTAGATTTCAAGGAAAAAAGATTTTTAAATATGTAAAATATTTTCAGTGTTAAACCAACTTAGTCCTTCTCTGATGCCAGACGCTTCTACCAAGGTGTATGGATTTCCGTCACAGTTTTCTCAACAACTGCTCAGTGCAGATGCTTGAAATTTTGGCACATTCTTTGTTTAGGCATGCCAAATGGTGGGGTTCATTTTTGTATGAATTCAGTGTCAACATGAGAGTGTATATTCACATCAGAGCAGGAGTATTACTAGTGAGCATTTGCTCACAGACTTCTTGTTTTTTTTCTATTTTTAGGTGCAGACCAGGTTATACTGGTTTTTTCTGCAATGAGGAGGAGCCAGGAGAAGAGGCCATTACCCCCAAGCCTCCTAGAGAAGAAGCCATCAACCCCAGGCCTCCACAAGACAACCCCTCTGTCATAGTTGGAGTCATCCTGGGTTCCTTGTTTACAGCTGTGGTGATCATCAGCTGCTTGTGTTACGTACAACATAAGAGGTAAATTAAGCCATATATAGACTCAGCTTTTAGCCTATCACAGAAACAATGTGTTTTAGCCAAACTCATCAGTCTAGGAAAGCTTTAGCCAATATTGTTGGTGTTCAAGTTTAAATATATTCAATCAGGCCCCTTGTCGGAAGGTACATACTCTAACTGCACAAAATATGCATGGATGCTTGGTTTGTAGAAATATACAAACAAATATGCATCATATTCTGCTTAAAATTGGGATGTTTGATTGATTTTTGTTTTACATCCCATTCAAGAATTTTTTGCTAATATGAGATGTCACTGTACTGGTGAAGGGCTTCAAAGTTATACCTTTACTCAACATTGAGGGTCATTGAGCATTGAGGGATCTTTATTGTGCCAAAAGATCTGCAACTTTTACTTTAAAGTGCTGATTGCTTGGCAAAGGAACAGTTGCTACCTATACATTTTTTTTTATCAACTTACGTCTGTGGCCTGGGCTTGAACCCACAACCTCCCGATCATGCTGTAAGTTGGAATGAGTAACCAGGTTAATCTAAGGCTACACAGTCAAATGACATTTGCCACAAACCCACCAATCTTGCTTGATAGGGTTATCACCATTCCATAATACCTGGGATACTTTACAACTGAATGACCAGGTGAATGTTTTTGGGTCATTTCCATTTAGGTATATGATACAATTTATATCAGTTATGCCTTAATCTCTCAGGTGAAATTCTGCAATTAAGGGATGATAATTTTTTGTCTCCCACTTTTGCCAAATGCAGGGAATATATATTTGGGTCTGTCCATCCATCTGTCTCTGTACCACTTTAGTTTCCAGATGATATCTTTAGCAATGAAATTTTACATCATAAACCCCTATGACTTAAAAAAGACTCCTATTGATTTGGATCAAAGACCAAGATCAGAAATTCATGTATTGTATTGTATGGTTTCAAGATGGTAACTTTAGTTTTCTTGTATTGTATGGTTTCAAGATGGTAACTTTAGTTTTCTTGTATTGTATGGTTTCAAGATGGTAACTTTAGTTTTCTTGTATTGTATGGTTTCAAGATGGTAACTTTAGTTTTCTTGTATTGTATGGTTTCAAGATGGTAACTTTAGTTTTCTTGTATTGTATGGTTTCAAGATGGTAACTTTAGTTTTCTTGTATTGTATGGTTTCAAGATGGTAACTTTAGTTTTCTTCCTACCTTCTATTGATTTTGAGGCCAAAGGTGAAAGGTAAAGGACACAAGTTCATGTAGGGTATGGATTGGTTTCAAGATTCACTTCAATACTCTCTATAACGCATTTTCATTTTGAGGTGAAAGGGTCAAAGGTCATGGTCACAAACATGTATATTGTTTGATTTGTCTCAAAACATATCTCAAACTTCTGTTCTTGAGTGGGGAACATGAATTCCCTGAATTAGTTTGTTAAATGCAGACTTCATGATTACTGCCTGGATTGAGAATGGTAGGATATAGGCACAAAAAATATATTTTATCATATTGAATTTCTGTTCAGTACATATATAAAAGATCATTAAAGAGTGACTGTTTGACATTTTGAGGATGCTTTGACAAAGGTCAAGGTCAAAAGTTTATTAATGTATATACATTGCTGATTTCATATACAGTATGTAAGTACACTGTTGGTCCAGATGCATGAATTTATTTCCTAGTTATAATATTGTAGCTGTCACAAAATAAGATAATTTTTTTGTCCAAGGTAAGTTGAAGGGGATGTGAAAACAGTCAGTTGATCAAATTTTGTTTGAATATCTGAATTGCGTGTTTTTTATTAGAGATAAAGTTCCAATTGCTGAGATCATTCATTTTCGTCCTCTGCTCAGTAATCGTCACTCTGAGGATAATGAGGAGCTCTTCAGTGAACATCCAGCTAGGACCAACCCACAAAACAATGATCAGAGCCATGATTATGAGGAAGTAAGCCCATCGGTATAGTTTTTACGGTCATTTGAGTCATCTATCACAAAATATTTGACAGCGATTTTACTGTTTCAGTCATAAACTTTTGAAATTTTCAGCTTTTATGCAATATTTTGAGAATAGTCTGAATTTGGATGTTCCTGCAATGAATCTTTCCTCTAAATTTATGTAAGGGTTAAAGGTGCTTGGACACAGATTTGAAGTTAATATTTTCTCAAGTTTTCGGTATAATATGATGACTTAAATGTTGCAATAGCATTTCAAATGGAAATAAAATTAAAAAAACTTATTTTATCTGGAAATTATTGAAACTACAAATTTCGGGACGCATTTGATTGATACATCCTAGCACTTTCTTAAAGCAAACTTTATCCTTAATACTTAAGAAAAGTAAAATTTTTGTTGTGTATTAATGAAATATATTCAAACTATAATCCAGAAAATTCAGAGTAGAAATGTAAGAAAGCAAAACCAACTCACCAGTATTGTCAGTCCGTGCTCAGTGATGTGTGCAGAGTTTAACAAATTGAACACACCCGGTGAAACGTAAACATTAAAAATAACAGAGCTCGTGTCCTGTTTACAAAAACAGTTATGTTTCACGGGTGTGTTCAATTTGTTAAACTCTGTACACATCACTGAGCACGGACTGACAATACTGGTGAGTTTGTATTGCTTTCTCACATTTCTACTCTTTATTTTCTTGATTATAGTTTAATATTTTTTCATTATTGCACAACAAAATTTCTACTTTTCTTAAGTACATGTATTAAGGATGAAGTTTACTTTGTGAAAGTGCATAGATGTGTCAATCAAACACGTCCCGAAATTTGTAGTTTCAATAATTTCCAGATAAAATAAGTTTTTTTTATTTTATTTCCATGTGAAATGCAATAAAAACATATAAGTCATGATATTATACCAAAAATTTGAGAAAATATTAACTTCATCTGTGTGTCCAAGCACCTTTAATGTATGAGTTGCGCTCCATTCCTTAAAAGTAATGGAGCCGAGGTCCCAAAGGTTTTTTACACTGTTTTAAATGCTTGTAATTATTGTTTGTTAATATATAATGAAAAATATATAAAAGATATACAGTAAAAATATATTTAATATAATAATAGTAGTAGTATTTAATTTATATAGAGAGAGAGTAAGGCGAGTAAAGTGTTATAAAGTAATTTAAATCCGTTTTCTGTCAGCAGCTTCGATAGCGTAGTGAGTTGAGTGTCTGACTATCATGGTGAGGGTACCAGGATCGATTGTCAAATGTACCTGTATGATTTTTTCTTAATATGAAAAAAAGCTTTAGTTAATGAAATTTTCTAAGTTCTTTCTTTGGTAGAGGCACAGAAAGGAGAATTTGAACATAGAAAATACCGTTTTCAGTGTAATTTGCAACTCTCCATTCCCGAAAAATAATGAAGCGCTCGAACAAAAGAGTGGCATCAGAAGTGGATTTTAATACATGATAAACTAGTGACAAGAAAGTGTACATGTGACATGAAGGTGGTTTGTAGAGAGTATGTTGAAAAGATATCCTTCATGACAATCAGGTGACTATGAAGGATTATGGGGTCTTCTGTATAAAATATAAAGTACAATCAAAGCCTTCATATCTTGAACATGATAGAATTCTAAAAAAAACAGTTACATGTATATGATGGTCGAAAACAATTAAGTTGAGTCTTGAATTTATAAATATATGCTCTTCAAACAAAGTTCAGAGGGGGATATGTAGGAATCACCTTTCCCATCTCTCTGTCTGTCTGCCTGTGTAATCATGTCCAGGCCATAACTTTGTAATGGAGAAACATTGGAAGCTCATACATGACAGAAAGTTTGCTTATGATCTGGGGGGGCATGTCATGACCTTGACCCACGCTCATTTTGGCAAGTTCAAGGTCACTGGCAGAAAGTGTAAAATTAACATCCAGTCTATAACTTTGTAATGGAGAAACACTGGAACCTCATGCCTGTAACAAAGATTGCTTATGACCTGAAGGTGTATCATGATCCTGACTCAAAATCATTTGGTCAAGTTCAAGGTCAATTCTAGAAAAATGTATAATTTCTGTCCTGACCATATCTTGTAATGGAGAAACATTGGAACCTCATACAAGGATTACTTATGACCTGTAGGGAGGAGTGTCATGACCTTGATCCAAGGTCATTTTGGCTAGTTTAAGTTCTCTGTCAGGAAAAGTGTAAAATTCATGTCAGATATATGATTCAATAATTCAGATGAATTTTTGTGTACATCATATGATTTTATTAAAAAGACTTAAATAGAGTCTTAAATTTGTTAGTTTTAAAAGCTGAGATTTGGCACTTTACAGTTTTCTCAGGTAAGGGGAGGGGTTTAGTTAAGAGGCATGATACCCCTACCAGACAGGAGCATTTGACCAGCTTATTCCTATACTCAAACAGTGTAATTATCTGTGGGGAGTTTATACCTGTACGTTTTTAGGTTTTATCATAATACAGTGTTTTCTACAGTAAAATATGAAGATAACAAACAGTTTTCAGTGTATTTTTTCTGATTTGATCCCTCTTAGATACATCATATAAGATACATCAAAAAAAGAGCAAGATTCACCAAAGGCCATAATTCAGAAAAAAATGTTAAAATTTAGCATACATTATGTTAAATATATATTGGGTTAATGGTCATTAAGTTAAATATCTATTTAAAATGATACAACTAGTTAATGTATTATGATATCTTGGAATGTGCATTATTCACAATTCATGAAATTTCTTCCAAAATGACTAATATTTCAAGCCATTTCCCAAAATTTTTAGACAATCTGCTCTGAAAATTACAAGTAAATATTAATTGATAGAACTGTTATTAAAATGTATTTACTTATTTTATTTTCTGATCAAGAGGTGTGCTCATACTTAAATTGTTTGTATAATCAAATACACAATATTTCTATAAATTAAATTCATTTGCAAAGCCCTTTCTCTGGTATGAGCACTTTGTAAAAAAAAAAACTTGTTTAATATGATATGAAAGCATGAAGTCTTTTATTAAAATCTTTAAATTGAAATTGGACAGAGTCGATAAATAGTCTGTAAACAGTTTATAAAGAGGGGCCCATTTTATGCATAAATGAGCCTTGCTCTTTTTGCATTTTAATGCCCCAGTTATTGAAGATTCAGGGGCATATAGTTTTTGCTCTGTCTGTCTGTTAATGTTTTTTTGTCTGTTTGTCTGCAAAAACTTAAGCCTTGCCCATAACTTTTGATTTTTTGGAGCTGTGGCTTTCATATTTCACGTGTATTCCAAGACCTATCTTTGTGTACCAACATATTTGACCTCTTGACTTTTACTTTGGAGTTTGACCCACTTTTGCAAAATTTTAGGAAACTTTAACCTAGTATAAGTTTTTAATAGTTGGTGCTAGGGCTTTCATACTTAATCAATGTATTCCTTGTGATAAGATCTTTCCTTGGATTTAAATTTTTTTGACATACTTTTGAAAAACCTTAACCTTAGCCATAACTCTTGAAAGGTTAGGGCTAGGTCTTTTATATTTTGCAGGTTTGTCTTTTGTGACAAGACCTTCTTTAAAGTTCCAACAATACTTTGACCTTTGAGAATGATCTACTTTTGAAAAACATTAATCTTAGCCATTACTTTCGAACAATCAGTGCTAGGGCTTTCATATACCACAGGTTCATTTCTTGTGAAAAGACCTTCCTCTAGGTGCCAAAAATTTTGACCTTTTTACCTTAACCTTGCAGTTAGACCTACGTTTGAAAAACTTTTACCTTGGCCAAAACTTGAATGTTTAGTGCTAGGGCTTCCATATTTCACAGATGTATTCCTTGTGAGAAGACATTTCCTTGGGCACCATTTATTTTGGCCTTGATGTTAGAGTTTGACCTACTTTTGAAAAACCTTAACCTTAGCCATCAGTTTTGATTGGTTGGTGCTAGGGCTTTCATATTTCACAGATGTTATTCCTTGTGACAAGACCTCTGTTTGGGTACCAAAGCTTTTATCTGTTGACCTTCACCTTGGAGTTTGACTTGCATTTGAGAAACTTTAACATTCACCATCAGCTGCCATGGGGGGGGGGGGGGGGGGGGATCAGTGTTTCACAAACACATCTTGTTAAATACAACACTTTTACTTCCTTTAGATGAAGAAAGAGATTGAATTACAAGTATTTTCCTTGGGGGGGGGGGGGGGTCATGCAATTTAAATTGCCTGCAAAATTGGTCATCTGAAACATAAAACTACTCATTATAGCAATGGTGTGATTAGGAAGTAAGCTAGGGTTACTCTTTAAGAATGTGTAAAATGAGTATTTGGAATGTAATAGTATCAAACTGAAAATTATTTGAACGATATAAATTTCCAAATTACAGTGTGTGTGTCTATTTCAGTATAAGTACAAGATTTGACTTAAAATTGTCCTTTTTTTAGTTGAGTTCTGACATTATGGAAGACCATGGTGAACTAAGATGGCAGCATTCTACTACCTCTGTAGATTCAGCATTTGTCAGTCACTCTGATGAAAATGATCCGCTGACTTCACAGCTTATTCCAGTGTGACAACTCAGATTTAGCCTGATTAAGTGAATCAACTGTCTTATGTCACTGGATCCAGCATATTGATGTATTAATTGATTGGTTATTTATTGTGTAAAGGTTTAGGAGATTTTGTGTTTTTGTTGCAGTGGTAATGAATATAAAAATTACAATGCATGAAAATTTGACTATATTTTGTGAAAATCATGAAATTGAATACATATAATTTGATGGCCATTTTCATTTTAAAAAATTTAAAAGAAATTTGTTGAAAAATAGGACAGTACTGTCTTTTCAATGTGACCACATATATAATTATTTATACTGTTTTGTATTTGCTCATAGAACAACAGATTTTTTTATCTGCATTTAGAACCTGCATATGTCCCTTTTAATGCAGGTTCTAGGGTAATATTATACTTCTGAAAATCACAGGTGGTGGTTTTTTTCTGATTTACAAAAAAATGGTGTCATTTTTATGTGTAGTGAGTATCTGTGATACAGCTGTATGAGAGCAGAAGGACAATTCAGCATTATATTAATTGATAAAATGTCTGAGTATTCAAGGTGGTTAAAAAAACACCATCTTTACAGGATTTCTGTATTGTATTTCAATGATTTATATGACACTACCAATATGTGACACATGAAATACTGTAAAAATAATTATTTGGTAATTGTGAAATGTTTGTTAGAGGTCATCCAAAGCATTTTTTCTCCAAATATTGTGCAGTAGGGATGGATTATTTTTTTTAATTTAACATTGGGAACTGTGTTTTTACAATTTTTTTAATGTTATTTGGAGTCAGCCAATCAATTCTGAAAGTCAGTGTAATGTAAGCAAAAATATGCAAATGCAAAAATGATTAAATTGCTTTGTTTCTGGAATATGCAAAAATGATTATAATGATTAAATTGCTTTGTTTCTGGTATATGAAATAAATGATTAAATTGCTTTGTTTCTGGTATATGAAATAAATGATTACATTGCTTTGTTTCTAGAACATTTATTCTGTCGACTTAATTGAACACATTTCTTGATTTATGGTATGAGAAACGTGCAATATCAGACAAGGTTTTCGATGTCATGCATGTACCTATACATGTGTATTGCTATTTGCTGAATTACTTTGAATGTCTTATATGTAGGTGAAGCCAAATCTGTTGTTTTTTGACAAATCAGTGATTAACAAAGTTTAAACTAAACTTATTACCGTAAACATTTAAATGTCTATACCAGTGGATAAATAGATATTAGTAACTTTATTTATTTGGTATTTTTATACAGATATTTTTTTTTCAGATTTCTATGAGTTTAATAATTGATGAGATTTGATATTTATAGATATTTTACAGTGTTGTTTATTTGTTAACATATGATTGTCTAAAAATGGAATATGCTAAAAATACGATAAACTTTATATCAATTTTGCAACAAATGTTTTCTATCTGATAATTTATGCTAAAAATTGTTTAAGATCTGTTTTTAGACTGTTTATGTATACATTTTGTGATTGTAAGCACCTGTGGCCTGTGATTTGAATAAACAGTGCATTTCGAGATTTATTTAATTATTCTGTAAACTGAGTGGGGCTGCAGCAGCTGAGTTAAAATTGCACATGAACTTTCAATTCAATCACTTTATCAGTAATTCTAATAATATTAGTTAAGAGTATTTGCTACATGCAGAGACCCAAAATTGGTACATGGATTGATATGTATTTTTGGACTTATTTTGGTTGTAAATGATGCAAATCAAATTTCAAAAATATTAAGAAATTTTAGTTTTTTGTAAAATTCAAAATTCTCAATTTTTGCTTTTCCCTCCTATAAATCTATAGAGCTTTTAAAAAGAAAAAAATATCATCACTTTATAGGTCTTCAATATATTGCTTTATTTTGATGATTCATTTTGGCAATATTTACAAAATTTGTGTATCACATGTGAATCGTTAAAATAATTGATCCACTGATCATTTCCAAAATCGCTTCAGTTTTAAAATGTTACCCATGGATATGTGTAAATATGTTTGCTATACATGTATTTGAGATGTAAGGAAATGGCATACAAAATATATAGAACTTTTGCCCAATCTCACTCGTAAAATTTATAGAATATCTTTAAACCAATTGAAAATACTACATGTACGTTGCTTGACCTCCTTCTAAAGTAACTTAGTGTTAAAGTTTGGCGTTACAAAAACAAAGGATACTATTTTCATGGGGTCTTACTTTTCAGTGAATATTTTCCTACTTATTAACATTAAAAGATTATGTTCAGATAAGGTTCCTCAGGTGAGGCCTTTTTATTTCGATGAACGATTTTGCCAGGGTCACTTTAAATAGACATGTCTTAAAATACATGTACTAGTAAAACTTGATACACAATTGGATTATATACCAGGAAGCATATTAATTCCTTTTTTTTTATTTTTGTTGAACGATGTTGCCATGGTAACTAAAGATAGCGATTGCTATGAAATCCTTTTAGAACGCTTTTTGACAAACTCAGCCTTACTGTAAAGCAAGAAAGACTGCAAGATATGAGTACCGGGAAAAAAGATCGCATCAACCGTGTACACAACATGCAAAGGTGATGAATATGTTGTGATAATTTTATTTGAATATTGTATCAAAATCCTTGGTCCACGGTACCTACATTCAATTCCTGAGACATCATTGTAACCTTTTCAACTTTTCTGCGCACGCGTACAATAAGGACGAGGAAGTGAAACAATATTTTCGTCTTGGGGCAGACAAAAAAATTTTTCTGCATAAAAGTAATTTTTTTAGGTTCTGCAACCTGTATTTTTCTGAAACCTAATACTTTCAAGAATTGAACAAAATTTGAATGTGTCATGCAAAAATTCTACTTTTGTCAAATTTTCCCATTTTGTGCCACGATGTCTCTTTGGAACACCTTCTAAATCCGACTTTTTGTTCTAATTTCAATAAAACTCGTTCGCAGTAGACTTTTCTGCGCAAGGTTCATGCTTCTGATTATCACTTTTAGACTGATGTGTCGGGGTTACAAGAAGACTATTCTAGGGCTCATACTTTCGATGAATGGTGTTGCCGGGGTTCCTAAGTAGGAATAATTTTTTAAAAATTCTCTTTTTATGACGCTTATCATTGGTTCAAGAAAGTGTACAAATGTAGAAAACATCAAGATATAATTCTGTAAATTTGAAATAATCAAAATTATCAAAAATATTATTAATCCCGGTGCTCCCCCCCCCCTCTTCGTCATTATAAGTAGTGTACAAACCAGTGTAGCTATTGTCTAACGTATTACATTACACAGTACGTACATATATGGTTTTTTGATTGGCTGTGATTAAATACAACAGCCTGCTTTAATTCTAATTGTAAATCTCGTGTATCTTATTTTATGTCTATTGATTACTATAAAACAATCCAGTTTACTTTTCGTATAATACAAATGTTACACAGTCCCGTTAGATCTCAAAGTTATTAAACGAATAAAATCTGATAAGCATTTATTAGAACAATAATATGACTGCGGTAATTCCTGTCCCCGCCCGCGGGTACGCTCATCTAAGGCTGTGACTTAGAGGTAAGCGCTGATGATTCTGAGGACTTCCGATGATATCCATCTCGTATTTAGAGCCAGAACAACAGGTGCACGTTTAGGCGAGCTATATAAACTTGGGCAACTATCCCGTTACAAAACTTAACACGAACCACTGTCACTTGTGTCGAAATCGTTTAATTTTTTCAACCCTGTTTTAATAATTTTCGCGCATTTTATTACATTTAAAATTGAGACATTAGGAGAGGAGACGCGATTCGTCACATCACTAATTGTCATTCAAGTATCTTGCATTTGATCAGTAACTGAGCCGAGGCAATTTCCTGTCGACTGTTTAAATTAATTTCACTGCGGTAGATTTGAATTTCAATCAATGTTTTAATTTGTTCAGAAGTGGACGAACGCAGAATAGGTGAGTAGTCATTGCGATATTCCATAAGTCTTAAACATTGTAATGCATTGTCTTTTTGCCATATTTTTTTTTTGGGGGGGGGGGTCAATAAGTTTATTTCAAATATTAATTATGGATGGGTTTTTGTATGAATAAAAAATATTGATAATAAATTAATAGTACTTATTCATTTATTAACAGTATTTTTTTTTTAATTACATGTAAATATATTATAAATTACATTGTAACGAAATTTACAAATTAATTTGGTCGCATGCGTGAATAAAAATTATAAACATAAAATAACTTAAAAAGTACTATGGTTTTTCTATTCTTCATGTGAGAGTTATGATAATAATCACACTAGAATACTTTTTGTATTGTGTTAAATAAGATAAAAAATTTTCTAGATTGTTTTCTATAAAGTTAATGCCTTGAAAAGTAATTTATGAAATTTGAAATCAATACTAAGCTTGAAGTATGAGTGTCTCTATTTCATTCTTAAATTACAATTCATAATTATAATCAGTTATCAATTTTCAGTTCTAAGGAAATAATTTAACTGAAGTGTGGCGCGACTTGCTATAATTAATTTCAGATTGAAAAAAATTACAAAATTTTCATAGCTTGTAACATGCCCCTTGAAAACAACAATGAACCTTCAAAACTGAAACACATTGCTTGAAAATAATATAATTAAAACATTTAATTTGAGTTTGAGTGATTATTGATCACACGAATTTGTTTTGTGCTTGTTAAAGTTATTTCTTCCTTGAGAGCAAATATTATCACTTTGATATATTCATGAAACTATTACATGTAGATATAAATATAACAAAGATTTTGAGTCTAAGCTCTCCGTCACCACCCTTTCCCATGCGATAGGGGAGGTATAAATCTTCTACAGCCTTTCGTAACTCTTATTTTACTTGAAAATTATGTAGATAAAATATTAATTTTTCTGAAGTGACCCTAAATCCAGCTACGCACTTTTGAGTGTAATTTGTATTATTACTATACGATGCATGAGAATCTCTGCTTGCTTGATATGAATGAGGTTCGAAATGTAGTTATTCTTTGTTTCAAGAGAAATTATCTTAATTATTATGAATAACTCACTCCCCACATGTTCATTGACAATAAATACGAAATAGGGATACGCATCACTTGCATACTTTTTAGAAGTATCTCTTGCGTGACGGTTTAGAGTACCGACCATCTAAACCCATCCCTATGCGTGATGCAACCCGAAAATGCACCCTTTTTTCGAACGTGCCATATGCTACGCGTGAGAGGAAGGAGAATTAACATAATTAAAGCATTAATTAAACTAGCTACCTGTATTCATGGGAATTTTCATATAGATTACGATGGCATGAGCATTGCTAAGGAAGCTTTGATTTAAAAATAAAATCCATTTAATTTAAGATTTTTCAATAGTAATTGGATTATCAAAAGACAAATAATTGAGTGGATCGATGAAAAATGACTCCGCGTTATTATATTCAACCTTGATAACAATTCAACTGCGACCAACTAATTCATTTACGTGATTGGTAGGTTTGCGTATATACCGGGTATATCAATGAGAACTATATTCGGCACAGGAAGTGATGTACTTTGTAACTTTGCTTATACATCGGATATATTCGACACAGGAAGTGATGTAGTTGTAACTTTGAATATTCACCACTTATTTTTTTTCCTGTGAAGTCAATGTTAAAATGATTAGATATTCAATTCAATATTCAAATTACAAAACTTTGTATTTCTTGAAACAAGAATTGTTTAAAGAAGTATCCGATGTATAATGATCCAAAATTTTATTTCTTTGAATAAAAGGCATGATGATTGAAAATAGGGTATCATTTGGAAGGATTTAATGATTAAATTTAATGATTAAAAATGTTTTACTTAAAGATTTTAATCAAAAAGAACAAAAATGACATTCCTGTGAAATATGGCAATTTTTATTTGGCATATATACCAATGGGAGTAAGAGGAATTTTAATATTAAACTAATGGGTATATATTATACAATAACACATTGAATTCATTTTGCGACATCGACAGTAAATCTTGTTAAATGTTAGATTAAAACGACAGTACACAGTTAATATACATACTGTAAATCTATTGTATTTGGCATCTAGGACCTTTGGCGGAAATTCAAGAAGTAAGCGTAGATTTTATTTAGCGCATTTTAAATGTGCTACTTTGACATTAAGCGATATATTTAATTTAGCAAAATGTAATACGTTTACGGTAATCAGGTCGGTATAGATAAAATTTAAAACAGGTAACACACATCACATACAAATAAATGATCGCCAATTTTGGCCTTGGATGTCACTTGTATGATAACTTGAGGTGTTTCAATAATAATTAAATTTTCATCATATTTTTACTTAAAAAACATGCAATTCAAGGTGTATGCAACCAACATAGTATTAACCTTGATCACATGGTCAAAAAATGATCCTCTGCTTTGATGAAGAACTAATTTCTTCGGACCACCAATCTGTCCCTCACTCTTCAAAATATTTTTATTGTCGTGCTTGCTTACTTATTAATATTTTACAGATGGCGGGGCTTCCAGTACATTCACTCGGTGCATTGAAAGACGAAAACGAAGAACCCGGGAAACCTGCCCTTTTCCGCCCGTACGCTCTCCCTTCCACCCCCAGTCCCCGGTACTACGACCCCAGAGGTCTTTCCTCCATCGCCCATCAAGTGATATGGGGTAAATGCAGTACTCTTAACTATACTTCATGCACAGGGGCTTTCTCCCGGCGTGTAATAATTATTTATTTAAAAAAAATCATATACGTTAATACTAAAACTACACGTATATGATTTTTTTTTAATAAATAATTATTACACGCCGGGAGCAAGCCCCTGTGCTTCATGTAAATGTGAATAAAAATTAAATTGTATATGAAGCAAAAAAATATAGCCTAGATAATTCCCTTGCAATGCGAAAGCGAGGGAAACGTGCATTTTAGTAGCAAAATAGAGATATCCATTTATAACGCAATCACATCAGATTGATCAAAACACGCGAAAGTTAAATTTGATAACTCGAGTGATTCTAACGAACAACAGGTTGTTTGCCCATTAAAGCATATCGCTGTCTTCTGCAATTGATTTTTGTGGCAAAGACTGCATCTGTTACCAAAATCTCAGTGCAAAATCACTGACGCTTGTCCTATTCTAGAATTTTAAATCTTTTCGTTTAAACCATGTATTAAAGAACGTGGGATAATTAATAAAATGGAAATGCATGTTGTATTTAAAATATATTTTTTTGAAAATCGGCTCTTTAATATTTTCAATGACATCAAAATACATTAGGTGCCATCACTTCTTTATTTTTCTCGACATTGTATTGAAAAATGCCTTAATGCTCTAGTTTATTCACCGAATTCCCATTCTAATGGCCTTAATTCAAATTCTTTATCAAAAGAGAGCATTTTTTTTAAAAAATATTAAATGGACCTCATTTTTTTCTTTATTGTTAACAAAAATAAGCCCCCCCCCCCCCCAACAACTCAAACAAAAAACCAATGCTCTGATTTTGTGTAGACTGGCCTTTTTTTAAAGGGCGGCTGATGGCATCTGAAAAAAAAATCAAGTGAAAATTTATGTTAAAAAGTTTAGATCTTTTGAGAATATGTTTAACAATCCATTAATTCAAATAGTCAAAACCTCAAATTGATCTTTTCCAGCACCGTATGTTGAACCTATCATGACCAACAGAAGAAGTGCGATAGGCGGAAGTAAACCCAAAGTTGCCACGCCCACTGTAGTGATGAAGATAGAGGAATATAAGAACGCAAACCCAACAATTTTTGCATGGGAGATCAAAGAGAAACTTCTTAAAGAAGGTTGATCTCTTAATTTCAAAACATTTTTACCTTAAAACACGAATACACTTTTGAAATTCTTTAATCAAATTTAAGTTCCTTTTATAGGAATTATGTGTTTCATGCAGCCTCTGTATCATCTTACAAACTCAAGGGTTTCTGGTCCACATAAATAGCGGAACGGATCAGACACCCTTCACTTGGGAAGCTGCCTCTGTATAGTGATTTGAAATGTAAAAACTGTCAAATCAATATGATTTTCCTTTACATATTTTAAACTGTCCCACAGGTGATAAATATTAAGGGTTTCACTTTTCATACAGGTGTTTGTACACAGAGTAATCTCCCGAGCGTCAGCTCCATCAACAGAATTCTCAGAAACAGGGCGGCAGACAAAACAGCGATGGCCTATGCTAGAATGTTCAATTCTTCTCTTTACCCGTTTCCACCCCCTGTCCCGCCACTGTGGGGCTCTATGATTTCCCTTCCGGACCCTCCGCCCCTTTATAGACAACCACAGACTTCACTGGACCACACGATAGTATTCAAAGCTTCAAATGAATTCCAAAGCCAGCAGGAGGACGAAGAAGATATCGAGACCAAGTCAAATGGTAAGGCGACAGACATTTCTAGGAATGTCTTCTTTCAAATGGTAAGGCCGCAGACATTTCTGGGAAGGTCTCCAGTCAAATGGTAAGGCGACAGACATTTCTGGGAATGTCTCCAGTCAAATGGTAAGGCCGCAGACATTTCTGGGAAGGTCTCCAGTCAAATGGTAAGGCGACAGACATTTCTGGGAATGTCTCCAGTCAAAGGTCACAGGTCTCCAGTCAGATTGTAAGCTACAATTGTCTCTAGTCAAATGTTAAGGCCACAAATATTGTCTCCAATCAAATGGTAAGGTCACAACTGTCTCCAGTCGAATGGTAGGTCCACAAATGTCTCTAGTGAACTGGTAAGGCCACAAATGTCTCTAGTCAAATGTCCACAAATGTCTCTAGTGAACTGGTAAGGCCACAAATGTCTCTAGTCAAATGTAAGGTCATAACTGTCTCTAGTCAAATGTTAACCAGTGAAATGTAATGGTAAGTCCCAATCAAATGGTAAGGCCACAAATGTCTCTAGTCAAATGGTAGGTCAACGTACAAATGTCCCAAGTCCGATTTTCAGGCCACAAATGTCTCTAGTGAAATGGTAAGGCCACAACTATCTCCAGTCAAATTGTATGGTCACAATTGTCTCCAGATTAATTCAAAATCAACAATTATTTTATGTCTTAGGTGAAATTCCAAGTTTTTGTTTATCTTTAGTTAAACGTTAAGGCTACAAATGTCTCCATCTCTTTTTATTTTTGCGTTCTTTGCTCTGACCACAAGACAACATTCCATGTCCAAAACTGTGCCGTTTTGGGGGATTGACATTTTTAGTATCTTTTAATTACAGATACATGCACTTCAAAAGAGGAAGAATCGGTGATATCCACTTCCAAACTCCGGCGAAACAGGACTACCTTCAGTTCGGAACAGCTAGATCTTCTAGAACGGTCATTCCAGAAAGCCCATTATCCGGGGGTTCAAACCAGAGAGGAACTCGCTGCCAGAACTAATTTATCAGAGGCAAGAGTTCAGGTGATTAGGGTTCATTCGATAAATACCATGCACTGCATTACATGACTTTGAAATTCTGCAACATGTTAAATAAGGTTTTCTGTGGAAAAATGACCAGCAAATCTTAAGTCTAGGAGCTACTCAATCTGTCCTTTTCAGACACCATGAAAATACCTATTCTAAGTCATTTATTATCAAACCCAAAATATCCTTCAGTTTTATTCAGCAATTCCACACAAATTGCTAACATTTTGTAGTCTATATCCCTTCCTCCATTTTGCTTTTTCTCCTAAATTTTCCTTGCGTCGTGGCGAGCTTGGCTTGTGTCACAAGTATCCACTCTTCAGAGCCAGATTTTATTCTTCTTTATCTATAAATGGATACCATTTTGGTAGGTTCTGGTATATTCTTGACGTAATTTTTTTAACATATCGAATAAACAAAATAAAACAAAAATAAAAAGCATGAATATTTTCAAGAGTTTTCAAAAGGGCGTGCGATCGCACCCAACATACCCCCGTTCCAAAGGACTTTGATGGTTTGTTATGCGGGTTTACTTTACTGACGACACCGATAGAGGGGCACTTTTTAAAACTTAAGAAAAGGGGAAATAATATCAGATATCAGAATTTAGGCATAATAGGCTAAAAATTCATATATTTTTGATAGAGTACTTTCGTGTCTTTGAAAATTCAGAAGGTTGGGGGGGGGGGGGTTTACACCATCCATACGTCAGGTGCCTGTGATTGGATGTAGAGTTACTAGACAGTATAATGTTAAAATGATTCCGTTATTGTGTTCGTTCTCAAATCTACATGTCCTACCAATCTTACTCAGTACTAATTATTGTCATCGATATTACAGGTTTGGTTTTCAAACAGACGAGCAAAATGGAGAAGAAGTCAAAGGTTTAGTTTTCTAAAACAGACGAGCTTTCCAGTATTTTCTCCATTCCAGTCAGTATCAGTGCCGCATACTTCCGGGTATGTCAATATTCCTATGGAAGGCAGAGTATCTGATCGATCAGCGAATTCTCAACACAGCCAAAAATTGGATTTGATCGGAAGCAAAGAGTCGGCATTTACAAGACTAAACACTCGAGAGGAGAGAAAATCTGTATGAATAATCGACGTTGTATCAATATCTAATTATGATCTCATACAAATACTAGTTCTTTAACCTAAAGGAAGCTTATGTCCTAATGAAAGGTTCGAAGAAACAGGCTGGTTATGTGCAATAGAACACGATTTCATTGTAATCGCATTTATGTTTTTAAGGGATACTGCTTTATACATAAATTGTTTATATTTTGTGTTTGAATTTTGTCTTTGTTTTAGCATAATTAATGGAATGATATGGGATTCTCAGGGATGAGGGCATAAGATTAAAAAAGAAACAAACAAAAGATAAATGTGGGATGTTCGTTTTTAGGCTACAGTTGGGTATATATTTAAAAGTGAATCAATATGCTAAAATAATTTCTTGAACATTGGGGGGGGGGGGGGGGTACATCATAAATTTATCTCCCAAAGTAAGTTTGGATACAAACAGTAATTGCCAATTTTCTCAAAATTAAAAGCATAATAAAAAAAATTGCAAACGCAGTAACATGTCAATTTTGATGAGAGCTGAAGCAGAAGAGGGGGGGGGGGGGGGGTGTTAAGTAGACCTTTAGGAAATGGTTGAGCTCTCTTTGGCAAAGGTATATCCTCCCACCAACCCAAAAAATCATTTAAATGAACATCTAATTTTGTTTCTGAAAGTTTCATCAAACATCTTTCTGCACTAAAATTTGTGAGTGCTGGGGGAGGGGGGGGGGGCTGCATTCTTCATGGGATTACATGTCTTTTAGCAATTGGCAACTAATACATTGGTAAACCAAAAATATTTACTTTGTTATAGAAGATATCAAGCATTTCTTTAAGGATGTATTTCTTGTCTCCATATTAATTCAGTAAATATAAAATACTATTTTTCATTACTACAGTTGAACTTCATTATCTGGAACACCAATATATCAAATGCCACAGATATGTCGAAGTGAGTTGGCCCAACCACTTTTTTGTTTTTTACCCTCAATATCTTGAACCTCGGATATCTCAAAGTTTAATCTTGGTCCTGTCGAATTTGAGATAAAGATATTTGACTGTATATTGAATAACCAATCACATACCATGTTTGATATTGTGGACACACAGGCATGTCTTCATTCTTAAGCATATAGTTTTAATCCACTGAATAATTTCTCCTTTACTATAACCCCCACCCCCTGCAAAAAAGGGCAGATATCAGGCAGATAAATAGAGTTACCCAAAGCAAACTATGTACAATCTTTATTATATAATGTACAGAAGCCCATTTAGGACCAATCAAAAAATATATTTGAATTTGATGTAACGAATTATCGAATTTGTTATAACAAATTAAATTCCTTATAACAATTTTTAATTCATTATAATGAATTAAATTTTGTTATAACAAAGGAGATGGGTGAACATATCATGCAGAAAGCCTACAGCTTCAGATATATAAAAATCATTTCAATTTGTGAATTTAGTATTTAGAGTAAAGTTCTCATTATTGAAATTTATGAAATTATAATAAACAAAACTTTTCTGAGGAAAATTTTCTCGGAAAAAAATTATTCTTTTATTAAAAAATACTGTGGTATTCGTGGGGTTCGAACTCTAGCAATAAAAATCCTGAGTATCATTTTCTTTCGAGACTAGCACGCTAACCACTAGACTACACAAGTTCTGATGAATAGTGGCATTTTTAAAATCACGTTTGTGATATGACCCTTGACTTAATGGACTTCAAGTATTTCTCGAAAAGATGCAAATGCTTTGTCATAAAAGTATATTTTTAATGTAGAGTGGGTCTTCGCTCCATGTTTTTGGAAACCAAAAAATGTATATTTTTATGCAAACTTTAAGGATTAACTTTCAAAAAAAGGGAGCGAAGACCCACTCATAACGAAAAATAGAGTTATACTGTGAGAATATGACTCTTTTTGCCCTCTTTAGTGTGTGTATAATATTTCATAAGCAAATAATTTCAAATTTTGTGAGATTTTTGCAATTTGTAGAGATTTTACATAAAGTATATTTTAATGTTAGATGAAATATCAAGGAAATTTTTTATATAATTAAAATTTAATTTTTCACCTTCATGTTTGTCACACTATAGGCTTTTTGCTCGTCATGTTCACATGCTATGTTATGTTCACCTGCATGTGACTTTCCAGGTGAACATAAGGATTTATATTTTATACATTGCAACAAAAATAGTTTGAGATTCAAAATTGATACAAATAGTTTTGGAAAGTTATTTCACTTTCACCCAACTTCCACTCAATTGAACATAACATTCAGGCACATAGAATCATTGATTCTCCCCCTCCCCAGTCCCCACACTATTCTCTATTTTTCTGAACATAAGTTTTTACTATTAATTAGCATGAAAATGTACATTAAGATGCTGAATCCCCCCCCCCCCACTAATGGACCTTAACACCCCCCAGCCCCAATAATTTTGGAGTTAAGAGAGAATTCTCCTCTATTGGGGGGGCAGCAGGGGGGGGGGGGGGTAGTCAAAGATCAGGTAAGTTGTTGATTTTTTTCCCTTATGACCCCCACAGCAATAACTGTATAACATAACATACTCTAACCTACTTTATACGATTATTTAAACATACATAGAAATAAACAATAAGATGTCTTTCTTTGTTCATGTGGGATTAACTGTTTCAACCATTGCTTTAAAAAGAAAATTACGCATTGTGTGTTTATTTCTGCAATAGTTGCAACTATGAATGAACAAAGAAATTAAAGCCTTTTATTGTTTTTTTTGAGTTAATGAGTTGTAGGAACTTGTCTTTCCTTAAATTTGTTCACTTAGACAGTAAGTTAAGACAATAATATATGTTTAACCAAAGCAACTTAGAAGAAAATATCTGAACAATAAAGGGGACAAATTATTAACTTAATATACCTATACAAAAGAGAACAAAAGTATATTAATTAAAAGATTTAGTATATACATGTAATAATATATCAAAAATTCAACAAATAAAGTTTATATCAAATACAACAATTCATACATTTATATTCAATGACATGATGTAATATGTCAATGGATAGAAATATAGTCGAAAATTTTATCATCTTACAAAGAAACACTACTTATCAAGTAAACATTTAGAGAATTTCAATATTTATTTAAAATAATGGAATGACAACTTTTGTAAATTTAAGTTTTACAGAACAGATATTAAAAGTTTTCTCTGGTAGTTCAAGTCAGTTATTTACATGACAAGATCTGAACATGACAATGACGACTAGGGCAAATAAAGGAACCATTACTTCGGAGTATGTGATAATCTTCTCCTTGTTCAGTTTCTGACACAGTAACACTTTGAATACAAATAATAAAACAATGGAGAGCAGCGACGACAACAGACGAATTACTGATGATCGATCGCGGTACATCCTCACATACACTATAATCACAAAGTAAGCACAGAGCCCGTCACATATGAATAGCGGAATAAATGCCTCGTACCAGCTGCAGTGAATGAAGCCCTCATATTTGAAGACTGCTAGGAAGGAAAACACAAATACCGATACCAGGTGTAGCCATATTTCAAAAATGGTGATACCGACCCATTTCAGAATTTCTTCTAGCCTAAACAGCATAGCTTTCCAAGTTGGTGTGATGTTTAAGTACTGGGGATTAAACTTTAATACATGACGAAGTTCCTTTTCCTTTCTATCAGTTTTAAAGCAGGATTACAGAGTCTCTTTTTCTTGCCATTTTCACTCAGAAAACCTAAAACAGAAAAAAAGTTTGAAAATTCACCTCTTGCAATCAGTTTTCAAGTTTGAAAAAGATTTTCTATATGATTAGATAACAGAAGTCAATGTCTAAATCTTTATTTTAATACACTCTCTGTACATCCAAGTTCTGACTATGAGTATGATTTGTCAATTGTGGCAGTTGTGCTATATGCAATATCGTTCCGTTGTAACTTGTATACCTCCCTAACCCTTTGGGTTATATTAACATCCCAGTCGACGGTGGACTAAGTACAAAGCTGTAATCAACTCTTCATGCCCAAGTCAACAGAGTTTTTTTGAAATAGAAAAAAGAAAAAACAATCAACCTACTTTCTTTTTCTTTGCATCTGTGCATGGAATGAACTTTCATCAAAAGGCCCGAATTATAATCGTAAAAAGATTTTAAGGGACAAAGACTAGATAGCTTAGTAGCAAAAACCCAATCCGAAAATTTCCGGAAGAAAGAAGTGGTGATAGTGAGGTGAGTGTTTATCATGTTTATTGTAGGGACGTTTGTACATTTTTTAATTGGTGTAATCTAAATACCACATTTTTGGTATGGAATATTTGTTTTTGTGGTGTTATATAGACAATCTAATTGAAATTAGATCTGTTGATTTGTTCATATACGATCGCTACACAAAGGTGTTATGTGAGCGGATCAAAGGAATTAGATTGGTTATATAGTATGCTGCTATTATTAATATATCATAATATGGCTTTGTACCTCTTCAGTTATATTTTTTGACTCAATTTTAGACAATTTTGGATATGTTAGATATTTTAAATTTACACGAATACATGTTTTATATAATCTTCCATATATAACCAGGGACCTATATAGTATATAGGTCCCTGTTATAACACCACTGTAGAAATATTTAAATTTATATTTTATTATGTGCTTAAAAGAAAGAGGGCGTACAAAGCGAGGACAATCCCCTCGCTCTGGGACATATTTCTCAATTTTTAAAGTTAACGGAAAAGTAATATTTTTCTAAAATAATGTTTTCCGTAATATGTCATCTTCAACACGTTTGATTCAATTTATTGAATGACTTTTTTGATTTATAATTTAATTGTTATTGAAGTTGATAGTAAAGCATATTTAGTGGAAAATGGGTTTATTTGAGTCATATAAAATGATTGTCTCCATTCTTCAATAATGTTTAAATGACGGAAATGTAAATGTAAAATCTGTTTCATGTTTCCAAAAAAATGGAGTCTGAACCCATTCTGTATGAAAATCAAACATCTCTGAAAAAATTTTACGCTTCAACAAAATTGTTTATTTATTTAAATCACACTGACGCACAACAAAACAAGCAGACTTCATAGCCTAGTGGTTAATGAGTTCAGTCTTACACCAAACTGTGAGCTTTGGAGAGTCAGTTTGAATCATGCGTGTTCAAACCTTTTTTTTTTTTCACAAACCTTTAAAACATTACTTTTAATCAGTGAAAAATAAATCATTAGTCAATAATTTATTCAACAAAATATAGGAAGCAAATGTGTAAAAGATTATATTGACATTATATTTTTTTGAAAAATATAACTTTTCATGAACTTTTAGAATTGAAAAATGTCTTTTCTCTCAGAATGGGGATTGTGCGCATTTTGCCCGCCTTTACTCTTTGATCATGCTGATATAATTGTAAATGCCCGCTGAGGGCCCTTGATTGGTGAATAAAGAGAACAGATCACATAGAATAACAGTAGATGATTGCTAAAATCTGCTGTTTCACGGATTGTTAGTCTTTACTAATGATCAGTCAATATATTTATCCCCAGCCCACCCCAACCCTACCCCATCATTTAAAGGGGGGTACTTAACTCTGTTTCATATTTAGAATGGGTATTTATTCATTAAGGAATGTAGATAAAATTCAGCTATTTTTATTCTAGAGTATTTTTACATGTAGCTTGAAAATTCTAACCAACATTCCTTTGTACTTTTGTGAACTTAAATAGTTAAATTTATAACTGTAGAAACCTCAGAGATATAAATGTTTTTTGATTTCCCAGTCTCTGTCATTAGTTTTGCTAAATATGTGACATTATAACATAATGAGTACCAATACTGCTATTGCTAAAAAATATCATCTTCGCAGCCAAGGGTTTTCGGTCCACTCCACTCCCCATTTATAGGGAGCAGAGTGGACCGAAAAGCCTTGGCTAGTGAAGATGAGAAATATATATCTTATAGTAATAGGCAAGATACATTTTCTTTTAATTATAATCATACTTTTGTTGACAATGTTGAAATATGAAAGAAAACTATTTCATTTACTTTTATAAAGTAAAAGATGGAGGACAACAGGAAAATTCTAATACTGTATGGAAGCCAGACAGGAACAGCACAGGATGTGGCAGAGAGGTTTGCTCGTGAGGCCAAACGCCGTTTATTGTCTACCAGAGTTATGGCCCTTGACGATTATAATGTTGTATGTCTACTTATAGCAACTCAGTTGTTGAAATTAAAATTCTATTATTGCATATATCTTATTTACTATCCTGATCATATTTACATAAAATTATATAAAATCATATAAATTATAAAGAAAATTCAAGGGACTAAAATATTACGCCGACTGAACAACATGCCGGAATGCACAACATCCGGATTCAACAAGTTTTACTGTATAATATATGATAAGTTTATATTAATAGTTAAATTACTGTCCTAGGCAAACCTAATCACTGAAGAGCTAGTATTGTTTGTATGTGCCACAACAGGACAGGGGGATCCCCCAGACAATATGAAGGTGAGCTACACAGGTGTAATTATATGTGCCTATAGATACATCAATATACAGATATGTCAGTAATATTTCTGAGACTCGTTAATTGTGAGATAATTTATATTATTATGTCAGACCTATTTCTAGGTATTTTGGAGATTTATACTGTAATATATAGATAGTTTTTGATAGACATGATTTTAGCAAGAGTCATTTCCCGTTGGTCGCCATATTGGAGGTATACAAGCCTGAATTCATTCATTATTCAACCAATTTTAACTTGTCATACTGGGCAATTGGGTAAAGATAACACACCATTATTATATTCGTATAATATATATTACAATGTCAGACCTTTTTCCAGGTTTTTTGGAGATTTATACTGAGGAAAAACCTGCCAACCAATTCACTGACAAAGATGAAGTTTGCTGTGTTAGGTCTGGGAGATTCATCTTATCAAAAGTCAGTGTCTTTTTTGGTCATTTTAGTCTGATACTCATTTTTATCTAGTTCTTTTTACATGTTTTAATGGACTATTACAATATTTCAGCATCAGATTTTTTTCTGCAGATTTAATTTTATAGCAAAGAAGTTATATAGGCGTCTTGTCCAGCTGGGAGCAGAGAGTATACAGCCAGTAGGATTAGCTGATGACCAACATGATTTAGGGTGTGTGTTCTTTATAGAGAATCTCTTTCTGACAACAAAGCAGAGACTACAATCAGACTAGATATGACTCTATAATTTACACATCCTATAAAAAAGTAAATACCTATAATATCCCATAAAAAAGTAATTACCTGTAATAACCTAAAGTTCCCTTTTATGCTCTTAGGATGAAAAATAAGTCATGCAGATTCTTTTTTATCTATCTGTATACAGCTTTGATTTTTGATTTAACTTTAATTAAAGATAATATGAAAATATACCCTGTATAGATATCTAGTCAAAGTTGTTTTTTAGACAAGCCTGAGGTGACTTTGTCTTTTTAGGGATATTGTTTACTTACATGATAAATTATATGATTTATCCAGAAGTTTTACCAGCTAGGTTAATACATGTATTTGTTATATATAGGGCAGATGCAGTTATTTATCCTTGGATGAAGGATCTTTGGGAACATGTTCTAAACATTTACCCTTTACATCCAGGTCAAGAAATAATTCCAGCTGATGTCAAGTAGGTCATTTCATACATATGCATTTAGTATTCAGCACAAATCCATAATATTAAAAAAAAGATTTAAAAAACTGAGATCTGACACATACATGTACATTCTTTGTATGAGTGAATACATGTACAAAGCATGAGTACATGTACGAAGCATGAGTACATGTATGAGTGGAAATCTATTTCTTTACAGACCTCCTCCCAGATATAGTGTGAGCTTTGGTCATGATGTGGAAGATCTCCGTGCTGTTTCTCCAAATCTCTCCAATGGTATATCTCAGTATGACAGGAATCATCCATTTCATGCTTCACTAATTAGCAACGAGCGAATTACCGCATCAGATCATTGGCAGGATGTACGACTGATTCGCCTGGACATACAGGGCTCAGGAATCAAGTAAGACTATGGTGACAAGTGTTTTTGCACTTTCAGAATTATAAAATGCATGTACATTTTATTACTATCATCAGAAGAAAATTTATTTAAGGTCCATCGATACTCTGATAAGAGAGATAACTCTTAATGATATAAATGTCTATTATTCCTTTATAAATTTGTTCAAGTTGAAATGTCTTTTTTGTCCAATTTTGCCCCTCAAGTTATTCTATAATTGTTTGTATTTTACAGTTAAACTTCGTTATCTCGAAGTTGACGGGACTGTTAATGAACTTTGAGATATCCGGGGGTTCGACATATCGAGGGTTATAATTCGAATGAACTTCAAATAAACTTAGTGCAGTGAACATGTACTTAATAGTAAAAACATGTCCAATTCCTTCTTGTTTGAAATTCTGTATACGATTTCTTTAATATATATGCACATGTATTTAGCATAAAAAGATTTTAATATCTTCTTTATAATTCACAAAATAAAAACAATGTATAATATGCACAGAAGTATAATCCTTCTACCAACCCGGCAAGTCAACCGCTAGCATCGTTTCCCCAAGTATACATAACCGGATATCGTCTATGCATCGTAAATTTAAAATCGGTCTCTGTCAGAATAACGAAAATGAAATATACAATTTTTTTAATTAAAAAAACATGTTCATAGATGTATAATTAGTTAAAATTATTTTACCATAATAAAATCAAATGCAAAAGAAGAAACCGGCACTTGTATGAAATTTGTCTAACTACAGAACAACAATGAATCACAGGGCATTATAGCACAAGTTTTCACTGCATATGATGGTGTGTACTGACGATTGTAAATTCTGCACGCTCATATAGGAAAAATAAATTCTAATTGCATTAAATGCATACAGAATTTTGTTTCACTGTGATGTTTATAGTTTTCACTTTCATATGCATAAACTATGCAAGTGCGCATATTACACATAGCATTAATTAGCGATTATCAAGATAAACGTACCCCAGCCACAAAACAATTAGCGTGTCATCCACGCATATGCATTAGACTTATACACACAACCTTTGGCTTGCATAATTAAAATCAAGGTAAGCCATACGTACACCTCGTATAATTATCGCGCTATTATCTGTTGATACAGGATTACAGGTAACTCGTGCCTGACAGACAGGTGGTTGTTATCAATAGAGCGTTCAGTTTACCTAACGGACGGTCACCAGAGCGGAAAATTATCCTGACTTCGAGATAACGCATGTGATTTAATGAATGGGTACACAATTTTACTTCGAGATAACCGGGGTATTTGAAGTTACCGTGTTCGACATAGAGAGGTTTATTTTAATCATTTATAAAGCAAATTTCGTCGGGACTGCGGCTTTACTTCGACATATCCGGGGTATTCGAGATATCCGTGTTCGAGATTTCGAAGTTTAGCTGTACTTAAGAAATATACATGTATTTCTTTTGGAAAATCATAAGAGTTAAGGGAACATTTTATTTGAGTGAACAGAGGGTTTATGAACCTTAAGATAAATATAAGTAGAATATACTTCATGTATATTTACTATCTATGTTGCTTAAATTGAATTGATTTTGTTGACAGATACAGACCTGGTGATGTAGTGATGATTCAGCCCCAGAATTCAGCAGAATCAGTGGAAGAGTTCCTAACGCTGATGAAGTTAGACCCCCAGCAGAAATTTACCTTACAGCACAACGACCCTAGTTAGTCATTATTGTACTTTGATGTATTTCAAAACACATTGTAGAATTATGAGAGTACCTGGGTATCTATACAGAGCCATATAGGGCGGCACTGTAAATATCCTTGGAAATACTTTTGTGTTTGTGACATCACAATATATTTTCCTGTCTCCATTCTTAATGAAATCACATTTATGTACATCACAAATATCCATTGAGCCTACAATTTCTAATGAATGGATGTTTATGACCAGAAATTTAGAGAGATTTCATTCATATGAATTGGGAAAAATGTATTAGTACATGTACCACTAAAATGTGTATAGTAAAACTTGTCTAATCCAGACACCACTGGTTCCATAGAAATTGGCCAGATTAGACAACATTCTGGATTAGACAACATTTTAAACAAATGAATTTACTGAAAGGGGCTTAAAGTCTACATCATATTAGGTGATATTTCAGGATACACAACATCCAGATTAGACAAGTTTCACTGTAATAAAAAGGTTATTGACTGAATATCAGGAAATATGCCTGACCTTGACCTTTGCACATATGCAAACCTTGCAAGCACAGTCTGCTTTACAACGCAAAAACCTCAGGCAGGCACTTTTCCTAATATTCAATAACCTATAATCTCCCAGACTTAGCAGTGTCTCACTTTATTCCTGCATTAGGTATAATGTATACAGGGAAAATTTCACCCTAGACACAAGTGGGCAAATTTAAGATGGAGCAAATTCAAAGAAATAAGTATAATTTCTTAAACAAAATTGTGACTGGGCAAAATTAAAACCGGGCAAAATTGTTTGCAAGTGTGAAAGAGAGAAAATGACATGGGGCAAAAATAACTCTGTATACAGTATTTATAATTATTAATGTGAAGTTTGGCTTTCCAGATGTTCCTCTTCCCTCTCAGTTGCCCAATCCTTGCTCTATAGGATATCTAGTCCAACATTACTTAGATATCAACTCAGTTCCCAGACGTTCTTTCTTTGAGTTCATGGCTCTGTTCTCCAGCAATGATCTGGAAAAAGAAAAACTTCATGAGTTCTGTACTCCAGAAGGGCAGGTAAGTAAGGTTGTATTGTAAAGATTTAATTTTAAAATGTAACATGTATCTTAAGGAAAATCTCTATGTTAAATCAAATATTTAATTAAATCATAAATCCATACTGCATATATATTAACTTTTATCATAACTAGTTGTTGAAGAACTTTTAAAGTTCTATGACTATGAAGACATGAACAAATCAATTTGTGCACTGATCCATATATCTGAAATTTGATTCAATATTTTTACGAATGCAGGGAACTGATTTTAGAGTTGGCAGGTACAAAGCACAGATGTCTTGTGAAGAACTGTTTTTCAAAGCAATACAAATACTAATCATCACTTACATTTTGCATATATGACATATCATTAGCTAGTTTGTGTATAACACATCTCTATGATTGTTCGTCCTTTGCAGGAAGAGCTTTATTCCTATTGTAACAGGGTGAAAAGATCCATATTGGAGGTAGGCACTAATCATTATAATAGGATCATAGAGTATTGACATGTTTCTTTCTAGAGAGATAAAAAAATATTCACATGCATTTGAAATGCTTATCATTTTACTGCTAAAATTAAGGGGAAACTGTAAATATTAATTACAAGTATTTGTTTTATTTATCTATTTATACCCCAAGTAAACAATTTTTTTTTTGGGGGGGGGGGGGGTCTGTCTGTGCAATCTTGTCCAGGCTATAACTTTGTAATGGAGAATCTTTGGAAGCTTATACATTAATATTGTTTATGACCTTGGGGTATGTCCTGACCTTGACCCAAGGTCATTGTGGCAAGTTCTAGGTCACTGGCAGAAAAAGTGTAAAATTCATGCCAGTTCTGTAATTTTCTAATTGCAAAACATTGGATTTCATGCAAAGATTACTTATGCCCAGAGAATGTAATTTTTTTTAAATCAAGGTCATTTTTGCAAGTTCAAAGTCATATTTTCAAAAAATGCAGCGGGGGGTTGGGGGTATTATTTTGTGAGTCACTTGAAGATAGGATTTTTCCCAACCATTTGAATATTTGATTATATGTGCTTGATTTGTAACACATGTTCTATTGTTTTCCATTACTTTTTTTTTCAATTTATTATTTTCTTGTCAACAAACAGGTTTTGCAGGACTTTCCACACACCAGCAATTGTCTCCCTTTTGAATACCTCTTTGATATTATCCCACAACTTCAGCCTCGGGCATTCTCTATTGCCTCCTCACAAGCTGTGAGTTAATAGTTAAAACTCCGACGAAATGATAAAAAGGGAAACAAAATGCCTTTCAGAGTGTTGTATAATTTTAGACAACTAAGGAAATTTGAAATATTTAAGACTTTGCAAACTAGAGATAAATTTGTTTGTGGGAAAGACAGAATCAGTATAGTTTATGTAATATAATCACAAGGAATGTAAATCCATTGATTTATTGAAATTATTTCAATTCTTCAAGAGTACTTGTAGTACCATAATTTTATCTGTTTGATGATTACTTTTTTTAATTAGTCATAATTCATACATAATTTATAATATACACATAATTACAATGTAGATACAAATGATTTTTATTTGGTATCATTAATAGGTTTTTCCCAACGAGATTCAAATATTGATGGCAGTTGTGGAATATAAGACCAGACTGCAGAAGCCAAGGAGAGGGGTGTGTTCAACTTGGCTTTCAAGGTTAAAGGTCACAGACAAGCCCACCATTCCAGTTTGGGTCAACAGAGGGACTATAGCATTCCCCAGAGAGGCTAATACACCTGTAATTATGGTTGGACCAGGTAAATGAGAAAAATTATAAAGATGTGTATAAATAGTAATTTGTTGATGTAAAAGTTATATTTGGTATGTATAAGGTCAGTAAACAGTTCAGTAATGTGTGATTTTTGTCTAAAAGGCACTGGGGTTGCTCCCTTCAGAAATTTTCTACAAGAGAGGTCAACCACACCATCTTCTAGTAAGTTCTGTGTTTAATTGTTACACATTACAGACATCTGTTTCATAACTTTTAAAGTACAATCTCCATTGAAAGTGAATCCATTGTTATAATAGTGTTCTTTACTCAGGAATTTTAAGTTAAACCATTTTTTTTTAATAGCTGGGTTTTAATATCTTATATATACAGAGATACTAATTATATCCTTATTTTCTTATAGGGAATGTTCTTTTCTTTGGGTGTAGAAATCATGATAAAGATTTTCTCTGCAAGGCAGAGTGGAATGAGGCAGTTATAAAGGGCTATTTGGAATTATTCACTGCCTTCTCCAGAGACCAGGTAATAACTTCTCAGATCCTGATCAGTGATTCAAATGTTATCACACAAGTCACATATACATGCAATAGACCTGCTTTTAAACTAGATAAATCTCATATTAGGAAGAAAAAATATATGTCCAGCATGTAATGATGGAGAAAGGGCCGTTACTCTGGAAACTGCTTGAAGAGGATAATGCTTGGTTTTTTATTGCTGGGTAAAAAACTTATGGAATGTTGTTCAAATACATGTATCATAAAATTATTTTAAAAACTATGTGTAGATGAAGAAAGAAGAATTTTACATTTTATTTGCTCTGAAGTATGGTATGTTCAGTAGTTCCTGTATATATATCACATGTAGTATCTGGAAAAATGTTTTGAAATGTACGAGGATATAAATTATATCATGTTAATATCAAATGCTCCTTTTCCTTGGTAAGTTAAAAATATTTTCTAAGTATTCTTTCATAGCTGTTTTAATTTTTAGAAATGCTAAACAAATGCCAGATGATGTAAGATCAGCTCTACTCAGCATCATACAACAGCAAGGTCACATGACCAGTGATAAAGCCGATACTTACATCCACCATTTGGAGCAGACTCGGAGATACCAGGCCGAGACCTGGAGCTGACAACTGTGATCGTAGTAATAAAATCTCAGTTTAAATCTCATTTATGATTTTGTGTCTGATATGGCATCCTCTGTGAAGAATGACAAGCCATCAGGCCATCTTTAAATAATGTTTGTTTGCCCTCTCCCGACTCAGAGTAAAAAAATTGGGTTTATAGGTTGGTGGGGAAATCTTTTTTCTAGAAAATTCAACATACCGATACGTGTTGACAGGAAGAGGAAATCCAGGAATAAGAAGAGAAAAAAAATTTAATCATTTCCTGGAGGTTAAAAAAGTTATGAGTCGGGTCATTTTTAGGCAGTTGGTCGGGAGAGGGCAAACAAACAATTTTTTAAGATGGCCTCACTTGTCTATTATTTTAAGAGGGTTCTCGAGACTGCAACATTGCTTTTCTGTGAAAGTACTCAAATGAAATGCATGAAGTCATAAAGCTTTGCCAAAAAGTCATCAGCTTGGACTTAATCCACATCATAAATTTCAAATGTTGGTAGTGGAAGTAGTATGGTAAACAAATACAAGAATTAACAAATCATGCACAAGTATAAGTAAAATTATTGCAGAGATTTATGGCAACAAAACATCATATACAAATAAATAACAATGGAGTAAATTACATGACTAGAGACAACAGCTCATAGAACTAAAATACTTCAAAAATAATTTAGCATGAAGATTTCCAGATCATGAAACGCTTGGCCAATGGCAATGGTGTCTTTTGTCATGCGACTGTGATTTAGTGAGAGTCAGTCAGAGAAGGAGTAGCTGTCACTATGCTGACTGTCGGATCCATTCAGCCAATGTTGGGGACCTAAAATGTAGCATTATTTAAATATCAAAATATTAATATGTATTACAAAATATACTTCTGGACCATCCTCATGCTTTTTGTGTAGAAAACTCAAGTTTTACTAGTATTAAAATATCTAGAATATTCCATAGGGATGGTATTGTTTTGTTAAAAATGCCCTGTATAGAGGATAAAACTCCATTTTATTGCAAAATTGAAACAGAGATTTTTAAAAAAATAAAAGGAAGACACCCATGGTTCATAATTCTTGCTAAGTTTCTCTTTCTGAGAAATGATAACTGTGAATCACTTTTTATTCGCAAGAACTTTATTTTCACCTAATTATGCAAGATCATTGCTAGCGAAAATGTCATTCTCGCCTATATTTATTGAAAATGGGTTATGTTAAGCAGTACCAAAATTTGAGGGGAAAAATCTTGCTTGTAAATAGCAAATAACTTTCTCCCCAAAATGACTTGTTGGAAAAATCTCGTGATCTACTTAAATGAAACTTGTGCTACTGCTGCTCAAGAGAAGTTTTCAAAGATTTTCTTTTATTTTCTGTTTCAATTTAAAAATATTACAAAATGGAGCATTTTATTGCAACCCCATCCTAGCTCCAAAGGAATGAATATTGTGGAAGTTTTCATTTTAATTTTTAAATTTTTTTTTTGGGGGGGGGGGGGTTCCAGTGGATTTGTAAAAAAAATATTTTTATTGACTTGCCATTTATTTCCTAATCTGCCCATGAAAAAAGGTGTTACTCTCTATTTAAAAACCCAACAGTCTGATTAAACCCAGACCCTTTCTCTTATCGCTGATAGAAGTGAGAGCTAGTTCTAATCAGACTGAAAAACTTAAATCCCCTTCACCAAAGGTTTTTTTTTTTTGTAGCAAGAATATTGGCCTGGTGGTTCTGGAGAAAATCTTAAAAATCTTAAAAATCCTTGGTTAAAAAATAAATGTCAAATGTTGCATTTAATATGAATATATATAAAACAATCTGAACCCTTTAGCTACATATGCAAGATTTATATATCAATACTGAACTACAAGGGTAAGAGAACTATCTTAGCATTATAGTTAAAAAGTAATTAGAAAACAAGATTTGTTTGTGAAACACTGATGCCCCCATATGGCAGCTTATGGCAAAGATTAAAGTTTCTCAAATGCAAGTCAAAATCCAGGCCAAAAGATAAAAAATGTTGGTACCCAAAGAAAGGTCTTGTCTCGAGGAATATACCTGTGAAATTTGAAAGCCCTAGCTGCAACTGTTCAAAAGTTATGGCGAAGGTTAAAGTTTTTTAAAAGTAAGTAAAATGTCAAGGTCAAGATCAAAGTTGTTGGTATCCAAAGGAAGGTCTTGTCACAAGGATTACATATGTGAAGTATGAAAGCCCTAGCGCCAACCATTCAAAAGTTATTGCCAAGGTTAAAGTTTTTTGAAAGTAGGTCAAACTCCTATGTCAAGGTCAAAGGGTCAAAGTGGTTGGTATCCAAGTGAAGGTGATGTCACAAAGATTACATATGTGAAGTATGAAAGCCCTAGCATCAACCATTCAAAAGTTATGGCCAAGGTCTAAGTTTTTCAAAAGTAGGTCAAACTCCTAGGTCAAGGTCAAAAGGTCAAAGTGGTTGATATCCAAAGGAAGGTCATGTCACAAGGATTAGATTTGTGAAGTTTGAAAGCCCTAGCTCCAACCATTCAAAAGTTATGGCCAAGGTTAAAGTTTTTCAAAAGTAGGTCAAACTCCTAGGTCAAGGTCAAAGAGGTTGATATCCAGAGGATGGTCTTGTCACAAGGTTGTCACAAGGAATATACGTGTGAAGTTCAAAACCCCAAGCACCAACTGTTTAAAAGTTATGGCCAAGGTTAAAGTTTTTCAAAAGTAGGTCAAACTCCAAGGTCAAGGTCAAAAGGTCAAAGTTTTTGGTATCCAAAGGAAGGCCTTATCACAAAAAATACACATGTGAAGTTTGAAACCCCAAGCACCAACTGTTCAGAAGTTAAGGCAAGGTTAAAGTCTCATAAAATTTTGCAATAGTGGGTCAAACTCCAAGGTCAAGGTCAAATATGATGGTACCCAAAGAAAGGTCTTGTCACAAGGAATACACATGTGAAATATGAAAGTCTAGCTCCAACCAATCAAAAGTTATGGGCAAGGTTAAAGTTGACAACAGACAGACAGACAGACAGAACAAAAACAATATATCCCCGGGATCTTTCGATCCAGGGGCATAAAAAAAACATTAGTGGTGAGATGAATTCTTACTGTGTGTTTTGGACGGGGATGAGTTTGAGGAGGGACTGGTATGTTCCCCGCCCTGTTGTTGCTTTTTCTGACGTGCCCGGGAGTTTTGGAACCACACCTGTGTCACACGTTTGCTGAGACCCGTTATCTGTGCTATCCGCTCTAAGTCCTGTCCATCCGGGTTACTGTCCAGCTGGAAGTTAGCCTGTAGAACCTGCAGCTGGTCCTCTGTGAAGGTAGTTCTTACTCGCTTCGCTTTTGATTTCTGGTTGCATTCCGAATCTGTTTAGTAACCAGAAGTCTGTGATGAGACTGTAGCGCTACTGGAGTGTATTTTAGTATAGTCTACTTGTGTACCAAATCTTATTGAAATCTGACCAAAACTGTAGGAGGAGTAATGTGAAAGAATTTCACAGAAATTTCTATTTATACTAACACATGGCAACATTGATTGTTTAGATCAAAAACCAATAAATTCAATAATTTTATCAAGTCTACTTGTGTACCGATTTTTACTGAAAATGGATTTAAACTGTAAGAGGAATAATTACACAGCTATTTCTATTTTTAGTAACCATGACAACAAAATAAAAAATCGATATACAGAAACGTATCTTAGAAAAGTCTACCTATGTACCAAGTCGTATTGAAATTGGACCAAACCTGAAAGAAGAGTAAAGTATACATATGTGCCGAGTCGTGTTTAGATTGGACAAAAACTATGGGAAGATCAGGATATTGAAAAAAAAAAAATTCTGAGAATTTTCTATTTCTAATAACCATGGCAACACCTTGTGTTGAGATCAAACACCGATACTTAGAATTATGTCTCTTAGTATAGTCTACTTGTGTACTAAGTCTTACATGTATTCAAATCGGACCAATCTGTAGGAAGATTAATGTTCTGAAATGGAATTTCAAAGAAATGTCTATTTTTTGTAACCAAGGCAACCTAATTTGTCGAAATCAAAAACCGATACTTTGAATTATATTTCTTTGTATAGTCTACTTGTGTATCAAGCATCATTCAAAACAGACCAAAACTGAAGGAAGGAAAGCGTTTTGAAAAGAAAAATTGCCTACAGACAGATAGACGGACGACGGACACCTTACTTCTGGTCTCTGACCAGTAGAGCTAAAAACGAGAACATTTTTGAATTTTGAAGAAATAAGTAAAATTCGTGTAGGGCTAAACAGTAAATCACGCTTAAATATAGCGAAGTGCAAGGAGAGAACAATTTAGATTCGGTTTAAACATAATTCATTTCATCCAATAACTTTATAATACGTTTTAAAACTATTGGAAATGAATATTAGTTTCCCCTAAGCGTAAATTCATTTTAAACTCTTCGTCGTAACCCTGTTTTACTGTACCTTTATTGGATCCCCCCTCCAGAAGTTCCATGTAGTGACTTTTACATAGGACCCGGTCCCCTTGTAGTGCGAACTCCTCCCCTGTAGACAGTTGCCTTTTACAACTGTCGCATGCAAAGCAGGCCAAATGGTAAACATTTTCCCGCGCGCGTCTCACCCAGTCTGTGGACTGTATGGTTCGGTAGCATTTAGCACACTTTGTTCCAAACTCTCTGCAAAAAAAGATATTACTTTTAATGAAAAGACAAAATATCAATCTTTTCAGTAACTATCATAAGATTTTGAATGGTATATCATGGCCAAAAAATGCCGATATGTAGTACACGATAGAAAACATAGCTATCTTTATGCTTGTGTCCCTCAAAAATGACGTCTGATAACTTTTTTTTTCTATCTTTGTCAAGGAATTTTTGCTTGGTGTGCCTCCCTCCAAAACTGAAAATGTTTGGTTGCGCCCCCAAATGAAATTGCTTCCTACTGGCCCCTTACATTGTGTAGAGAGATTGAAGATTGAATGTACCAATTAAGACCCCTAGTTAACAAGAAAATATATGTGTAGAAAGTTAAATCAGTGAAAGTCATTTTGACATTTTATTCATAGTCTTTCCATTTTGAATAAAGTCACTGAACTATTAAAACAGCCTTGCAATTTCTCAACTTTTCCCGGTATATACGTATGATAGTTTGAAGAAAAAAAAGTCTGTTGTATCTCACGATTCAAATTAAAATCTTTATTATCAATCACCTTACTGCTACAATTTTATTTTAAAATCAGCGGTTATTCTTTTTATTCTCTAATTTATTTATAAACTAGTGAATAAAAATCAAACGGACATTTTAAAATCAGTTTTTAATGAAATGATAAGGGTATTTTCACATTTGAATACTACATAGTAGTCTTGTAAAATGTTTTCTATACGTCAAAGTGTATGACTGATCTTCGTAATATCGCAAATTGTATATCACTTTTGACAAAAAAAAAGAAATTCATTTTGGCGAGATTTTAAGGCTCACGGTGGGACTCTGGCAATTTAAAAGACAGGGGTTTTAAGATGTATAGGTAATGGCTGAAAAATGTTTAAAATCTAATTTTATATGTATAATCCATATAAATATTAATTTGTTTTATATTCTCGAAGAGAAAAAAGGAAGAAAAAAAAATTTAATCTGCTCTAAATGCACATATGTAATTTTTCAAATCGACTTTTTTGCAAATTCCTTGTTGAAGACCATTATATACCACACTACATCAAAGCTACATTTTACCCCAAAATTGTTTGCTTTTTTAATTTGTTTTCTTATGATTTTATTAATTATAATAGAAATGGATGTTTTATGCATTATTTTAATCGAGTCGATGTGAAGGAAATTTAAATATATATATATATATATATTCCATGTATCTTGAGGACAATATTAAATTTCTGAACAATCGACTTATTAATGCTGAATAAGGTCAGATTCTATTAACTTTACACAGCTCCCTTTTTATTAAATCTTCTTTTTCAATTAATAAAATCAAAGCACACCCTTTCCCCTAGTCCCGTCATTGGACTATGTAATGACAGTATTCATAAAGAAATGTTTACGGTTTAGACTTCTTTTTAAGACAAGATGTGTTGTGAATTCTGAATTTTGCTATAGAGTAAAGTGTTGAGAATCTGGTAATCTATGTATAAGTCAAACTCTGTATTCAGAATTTACAAAATATCATTTTTACCACTAGCTTAGTACATACGCACTGTTTATCTAATACTTATGCAACTTTAAAATCACTCAATAAAAGTCATTATTTCCAAAACAATATTTAAAAAAGCAGTAAAAACAAGTGTTTTGAACTATACAGTAATAGATGCTACCTAGTAAAAAAAAAATCCGCAATAACTTGGGGGGGGGGGGGCTTCTTGTAAAGCATTGTCTACAACTACCCCTCCACCCCCATATACAGACAAGTTTAATAATCATTATTTTGAATTTGAAGTAGAGATAACCCTCTCTTTATTATTTAAAAAAAAACGAGATTTCAAGAAATTTTGACCTAAAACGAGACAACAGTAGCAATATATTCAGCCGAGATTCGAAGTTTCTCCCTGTTTAGTATGTCCTGCAAACAGCATTTTATTGAATCTGTGACCCTAATGTAAGGGGAAATAATACTAAATTAGAATCGTCCGGTAACACCCAAATATTTCCCGTCTTCCGACTGACAATTTTCCAGCTAATTAGTGAGGGATCGATTGGACAGAATTTGAATTCATCTAACGAACGCTGAAGTCGATCTTTGGTAACCCTCTCAATTGTTGCTAATTTGTACGATAAATGAAATTTAGTGGACTCGATGTGATGTTTGATCTTGATCTTTTGTTGTGAAATTGTCGTGATTTCTTGTTGGAGCTATTCGGTCTCTAGTGTAACAACCATGTTACAAAATGATTTGTCATTCATTATCATGATCAAAAACATTTCTCACACCTCTGTTTGTAAGTTATTCAGCTGGAAAACAATGTACAACCGAATATTTCTGGGATATACGGCGACAAGTCAGTTCGGCAAGCAATCTAGTCTTTGACTAATTTCTAAAATTCCAAAGACTTCTAGCATCAAATTTGTAGTAAAAACGGTGAATTAAATTTACACGTGTATTAAAAGGATTTATAAAGTTAGCCTAAAATACTCTGGAGACTGCATGGTAAAATTAAACAATCGTAATCGTACTGGACATCTCTAAAAGCAAGAAGCAAACTACAAATAAAATAAATAAATAAATACATGGAGTCTATACGTGGTGCTTTATTTAAGCATATGGAAAAGTGTTATTGGCTATAATTTAACATATCCCATATTTTACAATACGTTTGATTTCTGTTAACAAATATTTGAGAGCTAGAAGAATACTTATTATGACGTAATATTAATAATATGAAGATTGTGTCGTCATGTAACAGCTAGGTGCTCAGACGTCACAATGCTAAACTCTCTCGCCAAATACCTTGAATAATCGTTTCGACAGTAAATGTTGTCTTCTCTGATGAAGCATGATGTCTGTCGTTCCAGACCAATCTGACAAATACAACAGCGGAGACACCCCACGTGCCAAGCCTGACCATTCACGTGCAGAAGAAAGCGTTCTGTAATCAGATCCCCACAACCGTGACAAAGGTCACCATCAGACTGAAAAACATGATCAAACATTTAGTTTATGGGTTAAACATGCAATTTCAATTATGTTAACTCTAACAAAAAAAGGTAATAATAAAAAAAATAAATAAAATAAAAGAACGCCAACAACTAAAGTAAACTATACGTGCAGTTTAAACAGTTATAACTATAATAAATCAATCTTTTTTACTACATATCCACACTTTTCACTTATGTAAATCAAAGTATCTAATTATTTACTTCATAGTACACTGTAAATGAAACTATTACAGTTCTTACTGAAGTAAATCAAAGTAATTACCAAATACAGTGAGTCAAAGTTCCATAGTATTCACTACAGTAAATCAAAGTGTGTACATTTACTTTGACACTATACTAAACTCTAGTTTACTAAAGTGATGTAAACTATAATTTATTATAGTCAACTAAAGTGAAAGTTAATAAATAAATGTATCAATGTTCCATAGTATTTATTACAATAAATATAAGCTCTGACTATAGTATATCAAAGTAATTAAGTTTTTAATGAAGTAAATCAAAGTTCCATTGTACATGTATTCACTACTATAAAACAAATAAGAACTTTGACATTAAAGTAAACAATGGTTTAACAGGTTTTTTTTTTGTTTTGTTTTCGTTTTTGCTTATTTGTTTGGTTTTTAATTTTGGCCTTTGTTGTTAGGATAACCTAACATGGTGTTGAATTATTTTGTGCACTTTACAGCGACATAAATCACAAAGATATGCATACAAATTGACCAACTTCTCGGTAGCTTTTAATTAATTAATAAACATGATTGTATTGATAATGAAACGATGTGTTTATCACGTATCGCTTAAATCTGCATTCTTTTAAAACTTTATATTTCTTTAAAACTTATTTTATCAACAGTTTATCATTGCAATCTTATGTAACTATATGTGTTCCATTGATAATTAGAAATAGTTCAGATATGAGAAGTTAATAAGGAGCACATACCGCTGTGGAATGCTGATTTAACTTTTTAAATTGTTTTACATTTCTTGGAAAAGTTGTAAAGTGTCGATAAACTGCGGAAATGTTGTGTGGTAGTTGTAATATTTCCAATATAGTTAAAGTAATGTTTTAACAATGATCCAATATTATTAATTCTTTTATCGTAGATATTTCAAAACGGTCACACGGAGAAGACGGACAGATCATTGATTTCATTACCGTGGAAGGGAGAGATTTTATACCCAGATTTCTTGCTTGACTTTAACTTGCGTGCATCTCTCAGTGTAACACTAAAATGGATTGGTACCTACATGCTAAGACTTAAATGTTCAAGACATAAAATTCCAATATCATTAAGACGATAAACTGCTCATAAAGTCCCGCCTGCTTCTAGCAGAGATGGGTTTATGGCATCACTTTCCATCAATTTGTCAAATCTTAGTTTACGTGTCAAAGTAGTCTCCCCGACCGCGCGTCCAGATGCACGGCCGAGCGAGTCAGCCCCTTGGTGATTCTACCGTCATGTTTCGTTTGGGAGAAAGTCGTTAATTTGTCATTCCGATACTTAAAGATTCTAAGTGATATAAACAATTTAAGTTTTTGATAATTTTCGGGGTTATTTTATCTCTCGATTTTTTCTTTATGGACCGTCTCTTGTCAGCGATCGTCAATACAAACGAACTGCTCTTCTTTGTTCGAAGCCAGGCTTTTAACAATTTTATTAATATTTTCTTTCCTTTTTACTTGTTTTGAATTTTCTTTAGATTCTTCAAAAAGGGGAAAACAGCATGAAATCGAAAGACATTGACGCTGACTGTTTTTTCAACTTGATAATAGTATCTGTTGTTCTTAAGGTTATATTATGCAGGTTGAATTATGAATTATGATATATATATATATATATATATATATATATATATATATATATATATATATATATATATATATATATATATATATATATATATATATATATATATATGCTGAGTTCTCGTTCATATTAAACGTAATGATATATTATTGTTTTACTTTTTTTCTTTTGTTTGTCAAATTGTGTAAGCTTAATTGTATTTTATTTCAATCTCATTGCATAGGGAAAGCGTAAAAAGAAATACCATTCATGATGATATTCTTAGATACATAAGTTATATGTACCAGTTTATCTCTATGACAAGAGAAACACTGTGGCTCCCTGCGGCGTTGTGAACTTTGACATCAAGATGTAAAACATTCATTATTTTGTATCTGACTAAAAAATGCAATTTTCGAGTACAAGATACACACGAGTAGTAAACTTATCTGATTAACTCTATATTAGTTTAAAAAGAAAGATCTTTGTTACGTTGACAATTGACAAATATTTAAATAAAATGCTCTCTTTGTTTTATTTGCTTTTCCATTTCTTTCTCCGGCAATTTTTAATCATTCATATTTGTTTTGGTTTTTTTTTTTAATACTTAATGCATTTCAAAACCCAAGAACTTTCTTCTTTTAAAGACAAAATGACATGCATCGTCAGATCTTGAATCCGAAAAAATAGAAACAAATTTCATGAAATAGGAGAGTAATCGGTCTTAATGTTGAGGTCTTCCGGAACTTTTAAACCCGCCTGTCATGTGGAAAACACTTTCAATAAAATAAATGGGATTTGTAAATATAAATATATTATAAAATCATTTGTCACAATCTCGCGCGCATTTGAAGGAAAAAGCCCGGTCTAAGACCGCGGTAATTCTGCGAGCTTTCGTGACTCAATCCTGAAAAAGAAAATGTCTTAAAATGTTTTTACCGTGTCTCATTTAATGGACGGACGTTAACAACGCAGCCTGAGATCTCCAAGATGTTTAAGAAATGGATGCCTAAGTGGGTTCAACTCCGATCAAAAGATTTTCTTTAATGTGTTTCCGTAGAGGTGCATTTATACATGCAGTCGGAGAGGCATTTAATGGAATTCCCAGAAAGTAGGGTCTACAGGTATATGGGGTCCTGACATTGGAAAGGACTTTCTTTTCACTGTCGGAAATAAACTCGCGATCTTGGGACAAGTCCGGAATGTTCTTGGAGCGTGCCAGCGTGAAAAAGCGCGATTTGTCGGGCAGGACATCTAATGGACTATGGAGCGAAGTAAAATATTAAAATAAACAACAACGAAAAAGCATTTCATCTTGTCACGATAATGCATGTAACAGGGTGTACCTCTAACAGCTTTTAAAATATGTAAGGTTTAATGGCTTTCAGGAAAAAACGTTTCAAAAGTGTCTCTTCGCGTAAATGTTGTTTTATCAATGACTTTCTCTCATACATGGTTGCAGATTTATATATTTCTCCAATCTTTATACATTTTTCATACATGCTGTATATACAAAACTGTTGCATTTTAAACATGCAGGAAATGAATAACTTAGATTATTACTATCGGCAGGGCAATAATTATATCAGTGAAATTCAGTACAAAAGACTCTATTTATTTATTTTTTATTTATTAATTATTTATTTTAATTTTCATTATATCAATATTTAATTATTATATCACTGAAAAACTATATTGATGAAATTAATCATAAGTAAAAAAGTTAAAACAAATCATGTTTTTTAATAACGAAAATACTATAAATGACGAAAATGCTATAAAAGTATTGTAATTATCGCAGAAAAGTTAGCATAAATTGTTCTAAAAGAAATTTAAATTAAATCATGTTTCCCCTTGATCATAAACTCGTGAACAAAATATATTTTGAAAACAATTATTTTTTACCTTCATCATGGTACATAAGAATTTGTCAGGGTTTTCCTCTGATCCCGGGGAGGGAATAAATTCATCGTGTTCATAAGAAGCCAGCTCTGAGTCGCTGCCGTAACCGTGTGTTATCCTCATCGTCCAGTTCTCTGATACTATCAGCTTGAGGGAAGATCGCGATCATTAATAACCCTGCGCCAAATTGACAATCGCTTTTGACAAATTATGCTGCAATTTTACTCTTTATGTCAGATTTATTCCAAAAACTATTCACTCTTAGGAGAGAAGACGTGAGATTTTCTGAGAAATGTTCGACCAATCAAATCGCGGCAGTATCTCCAGTAGCCTGTCGCGTGCCATTCGTCGGTTCGTCTCAACAAGTGGTCGTTACGCGGTGAGGTCTATTAACATATTAATGTTGAAATGATAACAATAAATATCTGTAAGATATATAGGTAATGCATCACCAGATATTCTGTTTCTACACGAAATTTTCCATTGAATATATCCATTTATTCAATTGCATTTGATTTGTACATAGTTGTAAAAATAAATTTACTTATATTTTTGAAAGTAAGGGAGTTATATTTTCAATTTCTACAAAGAACTTATAGGTTGACTTAGGTTGAAAGACCGTAAATATGAAAGCACTAATAATCGAATTTGTATAAACAGAATATTTTGCAGTTTTGTGGCGATACAAGAGCTGCCCATCTGGCCTGTGCGTTCATGCTGTCAATTCTTTAATTTGTTAATAAAACATGCTGCTTTAATCAAATGAGTTTGTATCGAGACTCACCCGCTCTTCGTCAACACCTTCAATAACGACAAAAAGGGGAGAAAAAATAATAGCAGGGATTTGTCAGCGGGGATCCCCAGTCTTCATCACGCTGGGACAAAAGACAATTGTTTTTGTGAAACTCTTTTCGAAGTCTTAAAGAGTCTTAGAGTGAAGAACCGTGTGATCGTCAAAAGGCGTGAACAGGCTTTGTAGAGGGCGTCCTGTCGTGGTGAGATCACCAATATATTAAAACACAGCAAGGAAAACAAACAATAATTATAATTCATATAACATTTATTGTCCTCTCTCTATACATGTACAATGACTAGAATGGAAATAGCCAACTAAATGTAAGACAGATAGTGTAATATACAGGAGATAAACAAAGTACTTTGCTCTTGTTCTTGACCCAAAAAAAGGGGGATGGGGTAGTTTTTGAAAGTTCCTAAACCAGAACCTGACAAGGGCTCTGGTCTGGCTTCACCTCTGCTTGTTGTGACTATGGTCAGATACAGGAAAGGATTTATAAAATAATTTTAATTTAATTAGGTTTAAGAGACATTTAATCGCAGTTGTTCGTGTCATGATGACTTTGTTCTGTAGCTATCGACATGCGCTGTTTCGCGTGGTCTCGTTCTCCGGAACTATTAAGTTTGTTTGGAGTTATCACAGACAGTTCGAAGTTTTTAGAGAAATTTAGACACGATTTTGAGCTCAGAATTAAGTACTATGGATCTACATTCGGTGTAAAATTAGCCATCATTTCCTCCATGTGACTACCATTTTCCATTAACATCTTCGCGGTGAAATGACAGGAAAAATGATCAAAGATTTTCGAAAACGAAATAAGAATCCGCCATTTCCGCTTGGAAACTGGTTGTCATATGAGGGAAGTCGTTGCTGGGCAGACTTGCAGATATTGGTTGACTTTTTTTTTCACTTATCAAACATCAGAAAAACTAAACTCAAAAGACAAATACGTGTAATAGGAAGCAAAAAAGGAGTGAGACTCGCAGTTTTTGTTTGGGAAGTGAGATAACCTTTTGCAAATGTCTATGATGTTATATGCCTTACCATTCCGAAATTTTATAACACGGAACATTCAAATTTAAATAGCATCAGATTATTTTCTATCATCATTAATGAACATTGATTACCAGAGGCATAGTAAAACCGATGTGTAAAACTTTATATGTATATATTAATATGTATCCAAAGAAAAATAACGCTTTTAGTGTACATGTACCATGTAAGTTGAACAAGATCGAAGTGCATAATAATGCGTGTAAATGCCAGCAAAGGCCGTCATTATTAAATGCACTCACACACACTTTCTGGAATTGAAATATCTCTTTAAAGTTTCCGACTCGACAATATTTCATTATAACACACAAAACATTTGACGATATGAAATCAAATAGCAGTCTTCGTTATATAATGCCATTTCGTTGATGACTATATGAATACTTGATTAGGTGGCTTGTATTGACAGTCCGGCTAATTTTGAACCCTCTGTCCACCCGCTTTCTTTGTGGTCTCTTCCCTCCTCTAGGTACTCGCACCCAGCTATTGATCGGCTCAAGTGTTTATACAAATTTTCTTTTGCATGATCCATACATCAAAGACTACAACGACAATGACAAATTAAAAACTCTTCTGTATATTGTTATAGTATGGCTGATGGAAATATTAAAAATATATATAAAAGGAATGGAAAACAAATTGCTTGGAGTAAGCCTTCTGGGTCAATTATTTATATTTCACCAAAAGAAGATGGGCGAACAAGGTGAGCAAAATGCCTATGATGCGACAAGTAAGAAAGTGAATAACATAAACTTATACTTTATGTAAAATTTCCACAATTTGAAACAATTTCAAAAAGATTGAAATTATTCCTCTATGATACACACACTAAAGAGGGCAAAATGATCATTTCTTCACACTATTACACAACTTTTTCGATATGAGTGGGTCTTTACTCCATTTTTTTTTATTAAAGCTTACCCTCAAAATATGCGTAAAAATATACTTTTTCCGGTTAACAAAAACATGGGGCAAAAACCCACTTTACCTTAAAAATGCCCGTTTATGACACGTTCGTATTTTCCCGAGTCCATTTAGTCATGAGATATATCATAAACATGATTTAAATCCCGTCATTATAAATTGTGTACCGGTTGTAAGCGTGTCAGTCTCAAAATAAATAAATAAATAAAATAATCAAAAAAAAAAAAAAAAAAAAAAAAAAAAAAAAAAGAAAAAAAAAAAGAAAAAAGAAGATGTGCTTCAGGATATTTATTGCTTGGATTCGAACCCTCAAAATACCAGTTTTTTTCCAAATCATAGAATAATTTTTGCCGAGAGAATTGTTTTGTTTGCCATATTTTGATACCTTTTAATAATAAGAACTTTACTCTAAATACTAGGCTCAAAAATCGAGTATTATTTTTATTCTTTGGACATGATAGGAATTTTGCAGGCCTTGTTCGCCCATCTGCTTTATCAATACGGTGCACTAGACATTGTGTTACACTGAATCCCTGAGATCATTATATGATGCAATACTCAAAAAGCGCTTCTAACAGTCAAAGACATTCCGCAAAAGAAAAAAAAATAAAAGGTCGGATAAAAATGGCATAATCTCAAAATGAGTTGTAATTTCATTGAATTATAGAGAGCGGCTATCTTAAATGACAGATTGTCCGTGTTACTAGTAGAGACGACATATTAGAATATCACTGGACCCGGGAACCTGTCATTATTTTCATAAACCTCTCCAACACGATTGAAATAATTACACACGGATCGAACACGTTCTTTTAGCAGATAGAAGATGACAGGTTTTCAGCGTGCTCAGTAAAGTGGAAATGTTGACTGGAATTCACAGAAAGAACAAAAAAGATATGAGGCCATGCGCACTTAATGGCGATTTTTATTGCTCAAAAGTCGATTTTTGTGATGTTTGGTCATATATTTCTTCCAGATTTCCATACGTAGCTATGTAATATGCTTTATATATATATTTTTATACTCGACAAATATATCATATTTGGTTACAATAGGAGGGTTGTCCCAGGAAAAACGCGAACATTTTCAATATCTTTTGTTTCACTTATACTAAAAAGTTAAAAATTGGCAAATACCATAATCAGCATTTTTTGAATAATGCCTAAAATTTTCAATAAAATATCTATATATAATTTTTTTTTCTCCCGGGTAAACGAATCTCACAAAATACAGCTGTCGGTGCAACACTGACGACGTCAAAACGTAGCTCGTGGCGTGTGTGAATTTATTTTGGAATCGTGCATCTGATAAAATTCGTCTGAAGCATAAATTCGTTACTGTATTTAATTTTCTTTTAGTTACCAAGTTATCCATCTCAGATATTAGCGTTTCCAAAAGATCGCGGAATGAATTCTTTTAACGCATAGTTAAACGGCGGTCGCCACGTATGACGTCCAGCTTCTGACTTTTCAGTTGGTCTTCCATTGAAGAACCAGTCGAGCTATCATCGAACCTCTTGAACTAAGTATAAATCTATGTCCGAGATATATGTCTGTGTCGTTCCATCGTTTACATCTATTTTCCCGTATGGACAGGAGTTTTATCCCGCTAAACAGTACTGCTTGATAATTTGGTGCTCCGCATTATCGCCTTCGTCACCATTTTTGACAATATCTAACTAAAAGTGTTTTGGCATATAGCGTCATATTTTTGTCACTTGTGATGCCAAATTAATGAATTTTTACACATGAGTACTCCAGATCATAGAGTTTTTCTGGAAGTAAATTTTTCATAATATTTTTCCGTGTAGTCTGGTAATATAGTAAACTTCACTGACAATGATAAAACTCAAAAAACTACCGTACGCCGAGCACTGGTATTTGACACCATTCAAATACTATTTTTACATCCATATGGCATTACAACATTAAAATATTCTGTCAAAATAGCAAAACTTTCATTTCCCAACAATGTGCAAAAAATTATTTATTTTGGTCGAATACCGTATACCGTACTTTTCTGAACCAGAGCTTCTACTTAATTTTTTTTACTGAATATCACAACTCTTTGGAACGCAATATCTTTCGCATAGCATTCTTTTAAGTGAATATTTAAAAATACTCGGTGAGTAAAGCAAAATTTCCTACAAGTATCTCGTTGTAGCGCATCCGAGTAAGAAACTCAAGATTTTTACCTTTTTCACAGAATAACTGAACTATATATATTTTAGGGATGTCAAATCGGTCAATTTTTGATAATCGGTTACTCGGACGTTTTTCCGATCGAGTACCCGGGTACTCGGTAAAAAATGTAAATAAAAGTGTGTTAATTTTCTTGAGCCCCGTTAAGCTCTGTTAAACCCCAAAGCTGTTTTTATCACGTTTATAAATGTATATAAACAGTGCTTCCAACGGAAACGATTTTTTGGTGTTAAATTTATTTATCAAACACGAAAGACACAATTAATACATCAAAAAATATTAAATAATGCGGAAAATTCTTGGATTTTACTAATAGTCCGGTGCTTCCTAATCCTGAATAAGACAAGGGGTCACGAATTCACAGTGCTCACCGGAGTCTCATAGGTCGTGCTGTTCTTCTGAAGAAAATTTTCAAAAAATTTCCCCTCTTCATTCCTATGAAAAAAAAATCACTCCAATCTGGGGTCATTCCTAGCTCTGAGGCATGGGCGGATCCAGGAATTTCAGTTAGGGGTGGGATTTGAATAAAGGGTTGGAGGCCGGGAGTCTGGGGTCCGTCTTGAGACCCCAGTGGGTCCAAAAGCTTCAGAATGTTAGAGATTTTAAGAGTAAAATGAAACCTTAAAATTAGCTTCCATAGCTAGTATTTTCAGGACATTTTAGCAGAAGAAACTCTCATGTAGAAATATATTTTTAGTTTGACTTTGTTATGCTAAATAATGGTGATGAAGAATTATTGTAACGCTGATTTATTAAGAGTACCAAACCTCATATATATTTTCTCAATTTATCTTTTTCCTGAGTATTTTGATATGCAGATTTCATATCATGATAATTTTACCCGCTTTCCCCCCCTTATATTCATAAATAAGTAGTTTTAAATACACATATATATAACCCAATTTCTGGAAATTATTGGAGGGGGCGTGCGTCCCCTATAAATCCGTCAATGCTAGGGGTCATGACATTACCAAACTTGTATCAACACATCATTGTGATGCTTTAATACCAATGTGATTAATATGGCATTAGGTAAGAATTGCTCCACCCTAACCCCAGGATCACTTGGGAATATTTGCATTTCATTTAGTGTGGCACTACTTCTCTTGAAAAAAAAATGCAATTATGAATTTTCTATAAACACTTTGATCCCCTATTGTGGCCTTTGTGATCTTTAAAATGTAATGGTTTGAGACATGGATATTGGCCTGGGTAGCTCAGTTGATAGAGCGCCTGACTCGTGATATAGGGGTCCTGGGTTCTATTCCTAGTCCAGCCATACATTTTCTTCTATCCTGGTCATGGCACCAAGTATACCAGGAAAGGAGAAAAATGTGATGGACCAGACCCAGGTTCGAACCCCGGTCTGGTCCGTTTCATTTTTTCTCCTTTCCTGTTACATTTGGTGCCATGCCATGTCCTGGAAATAACTGGTGAAAGACTGTCAGGGAAGAGCTTGAGTTGGTTTCTTTGGGGACTGAAACCTTGAAGGAGGGAGGAATGTGGCAGTACGACGGGTTCGATCGCCGGTGACCAGATAGCTCAGTTGGTAGAGATTTGTGGGAATTAAAAAAGAGAATTTTGAAACTACACACGTAATTCCATAAATACATTGACATAATTTCATATTCACCATTCCATGTAAAATATTTACAGAATTTTCTTCATTTGACAATAAAAAAAATACACAGAGAAAGCAATATTAAATGTACTTTATTTCATAATGAATTAAATATTGCTGACTAGTTTTATAATCATACACTATGCCATTGTAAAACAATGACACCTCAATCTTTCTTATCTTGGTTTTTGTAAAAAAAAATTCTCCATTTTAGACAATGATCAAGCCAACATTTATGATAATGAATGGCATCTTGCGTAGCATCTTCACTTAGATTTTAATGTCATAATGGCGGTATGGCAGTAGACAAAGAATATGAAAATATGATGTTACTATGGCAAAAGGCAGAGAATATAAAGTTTGTATGTTACACTGACAATAGGCAGAAAATATGAAGAATGATGACATGAAAACGGTGATAATCTCATTTCCCTCTTTCTGGATAAAAATGTATTATGTATGATTAACAGAAAAAATGTTAAATACATATAATATAAAAATATACACTATATATGATAATGTTTTCAAATATATACAATTTCTTCATGCTCACAGTCAAAAATCACACTTATTTTAATAGTAAAAATAACCCAAACTAGGCTATAGATTCAAAAGTTTGAAAATTTTGTTCATGATTCAACATTACTGAACTGAATTTTAATAACAGGGAGACCAGTCACAACCTAGATATATATTTCAGATATGTATGCATAAAAAATATCTTCAAAAAGCTTCAGTAATAAAAACTGGAATGTATTTGTAGTAAGCAACCTTTCTTAGATCAAATACCAAAATGTGTTACAAAAGCAAAAACAGAATAAACTTTTGGCCTAAGAACTGTAGACGGGAACCAAAATGATTGTCAGATGGACAGTTCACAAGCTTAATCTTCACAAATGGTAACTATAAATTAAGATTTTCACCAAGAGAGTTTTATCAGCACAGTTTCCAAAAAATTATTCTACGTGTATTATTGCTTAAATGAGTATTAATAATATGAAATGAGTTTTACAGATGCATTTCTTAAAATTAACCATGTTCTGCATACTAAAACCTGATGTGTCTCTTTCCATGACACAAACAAATTTATATATCCATTTTCACTATAAAGTTAGTACTGCAGAATCCATGGTTTCTTCAAGTATTTCACAAAATAATTATAAACCTGTTTACTGGCATGTGGAGCGTCACATACACAATACTGACTAAATTCAACTAAACAGTCCATGAAATATGGGTTAAAAAGAGAAACAAAACTTGTCCAGTGAATATATATAGCACCAAATTAACAACTCACATACAACAGGCAACCTTTACATTAAAACATCTTGGTAGTCTCTCAAAATATGTTGGAATAAAAGTAAGAAATAAAAAGATGTAATCATGGCATGGAAAAATTAAACTCTCTGAGTTTAAAACATAGGTATATAGTTTTAACACTGAACATGCAGTATCAAATGATGATATCACAACCACTCCACAACATGATAATGAGACCTATGTTAACTGAAAAGTCTTAATATTGGCCAATATCACAGAACAGGACATATCAATATATAAAACAATAGAGATGACGATACATGGTGATATCATGGCCTACAGATGGATGATAGCTAAACAAGCCTAGCGTGTCTAATCAAGGCAGGAATCCAATTTTCATGCATTGTGACTTCTATGAATTTCTTACAAAAATGACCGCAATAATTAAATATATTGCATGACTGACATTAACCTTCAAAATCTCACAACATTCAAAAGAACAAAAACACATACAGAAGGTTCAGGCTAAGAAAATGACAGTTATTGCAAACATTCCTGAGATATACAATGTGTGTGAATGGCTACAGTTCTGTGCCATTACGTAGAGAATAACTCACATAAAACTTTATGATTACTAGCACTTAATGAATGGAATGCATGCATTCATTGCATTTTAATATTCACATGTACACAACCATGTTTCTTCATACACACCACAAAGATGGCCTAAAATGGCCAAAACCTAAAATTGCTTGAGAGGATAATTTATATCCCTCGTCCTAGCAGTATAGGATTGCATAGTTCCAGTATTTGGTTTTGATTTCTGTTTGATCATTATTCATCTTTGGCAGAGTAAAAAAAATGGCCATATTGACCAAGTCTGTTGATGGGAGTCAATAATTCACTTGAGTTACCTCCCTTACCAATCTTCTGAGTAGATATCTCCACAATTAAACTCTTAACTTCTCCTCACTTTATGTTTATTGAAATATTCCTCACAGATGTCCATTTATTAACAACTAAATTAACCTCTCCTCGGGAGGGGGTTTTAATACACGACCAAGTTCCAGTTTAGAGCCATTCATCTCTTGTCGACTTGGATTGTATGTTCCTCTTGTTCGTCGCTTTTTACGAGCCATTTTCAAAAATATTACCACACCTGCAAGAAATGAACAGAATAATAAACTTATAAAAAACTAAAAATAAATAAACTTATAATAAGCGATCAATAAACAACCTATGGTTTTTTTTCTTCCTACCCCTTTTTTTTTATTTTTCCAATTCAATAAATTTCAGTTTTAAGTTGTAAAATTAAAATATCAAATTTGTAAAAACATTAATCGAAAGGTAAAAAAGATGTAAGCAATTCTGAAATAATTATTCTCTATGAATAAATGTAATGGGAATTCTAATAATGTTAATAAATTGCTATAACTGTTAAGTATGATACTGTCTGACCATAAGAGCTTGATCCTGCAAGACAACCACCTACCTATAATTACTAATAATAGACACCCCGCCACCACCGGCCCCACAATAATCCAGATGTTGTCTTCCTGAGTTATCTTCCTGAAATCTGGGTCCTACAACAGAGGGCAGCACTAAACTCAGTATCTACACCTCCACTAATAATGTATACAGTAACACACACGATATATATATATAGACATTCTAAGGATCCCTTAAACATGCAGTTTTTAAATCAGTAAGTATGATTAAAGGAAACTGATCATCTACTTCTAAAATGAAATTAATGTATTTATGACATTTTTTCTTATAAGGAAGGAGATAAAAATGAAGCAAAGGAGATAAAAATATGAAGCAATATTGTGACAAATCATGGTTTAAAATAAGAAATGACCTAACTTGTCATTATATTATTTCATAAAAATGACAGTCTTATACTTGATTGATTCAGTAGAAGTTTACCTTGGTATTACAGAACTCTCCTATGTAGCCTGCCTGACATTTACAGTGGAAGCTTCCAGCTGTATTCACACACGTAGCTTCATTCATGCAAGGCTCTGGCAGACATTCATTTATGTCCTCCATGCAGTTGCTTGTGTTGGTCCAACCTGAAAAAGTATCAGTGAACTTTTGACAATACCTGTACATTCTTTTCTATCTATACTTATTGTAAAAGAAGATCTGTTTGATAACTTTATGAGAAAAGGAATTGATTATGGAACAAAAATGTAGTTTTGCAACCAAATGAAAGTTATATACTGTAGATTCCTAAATATACGCGAGGAATAAATTATCGCGTAATTACGCGAGAAGCACCACTCGCAAAATAAAATTACTCACTTTTATTTTTATGGTGCTTTAATGTATGTAAAATCTCTAGATAAATCACCGATTCGCAAATTATTGTTCCCGCGATTTGACGCTCTTGGGCCATTTTGCGATATTAAGTACTCGTGTAAAATAAGGAATTTACAGTATTGTTTGTTTTAGAGTAGAAGTTTCTTTATTTCCATTTAAAGTATTTTCTCAAGTTTTAAGAGTCTTCAAAATCTGAACATATCAGTCCTTAATTAATTAAAGTAGATTAAAGAAGACTTTCAAAATTAAATCAGAACACTTCATACATTACAGATTAATACATCTCTCTGAACTCTGCCCTTACCAGGTGAACAGTTACAGGTGTAAGCGTTGATTTCATTTATGCAGGTGCCCCCGTTTTCACATGTGACAGTCTCACATTCATCTATATCAGTGTAGCAATTTTTGTCAGTGTAGCCTGGGTGACAGAAGCAGAGGTAATCTCCCTGGACATTGGTACAGTTATAGCTCTGGGTGGGGGAACAGGGTGGGGCAGAGCTGGAGCACTCATCAACATCCTCCGTACAGTTCTTACCCTGCCACTCTGAAATGAGGTCAGGAAGAGGTTAATATACAGTAATATCTGCTCTTTTAGTGGTCTCAATTTTACAGAAATCAAGAGGTGATGTCACTAGAGAAGACAAACTAATTAAAAAAATAATCATGACATTGGCCTTTCCTTTGACATATCAATTTGCATATCCTCTGTGCAATGAGGATTTAAGTGACATCAACTATAACTGACAAGAACTTTACATTTGAAAAATCTTGCAAAACAAGAGACCCATGGGCCACATCACTCACCTGAGCACATTGGCTAGGATGAATATTCAGTATTATTCTCATGGCATGGTCTTACCTTTCTTACATGGATAGGTATAGTCTATCAGATTTCTAATCTCTCTACAGGAATATTCAGTATTATTCTCATGACATGGTCTTAGCTTTCTTACATGGACAGGTATAATCGTCAGATTTCTAATCTCTCTACAGGAATATTCAGTATTATTTTCATGACATGGTCTTACCTTTTTTACATGGACAGGTATAATCTGTCAGATTTCCAATCTCTCTACAGGAATATTCAGTGTTATTCTCATGACATGGTCTTAAGTAACAAGGTCCTAATGTTTCACATTTAACACCTGTAAAAAGAAAAGGATACAATATAACATTTTTAATCTGAGGATGGAGTGTTACATAGAATAAAAAGACTTCTTATACAAACTTTTATTAATATGATCTACTCAGTTGCAAATTCTAATGGGTACGGTTTACAAAGCAAAATATAGCTATTTTATGTTCATCATGAATTCACAACCCAGTGTAAACAAGTCTCTCTTTTATCTTAAATATATTAAGTCACAAATCAGTATTTACTTTACAAATACTACCGGTAAAATCCATATAAAAGGCATTAAAATCATATAAGATTTTGAAATCTTATTAAGCTGCCTCACATTCATGAGATCATGAATTTCCTAAAATAGCACTGAATTGCAACTTAAAATTGCAAATCTAAGTGATCACAAAACTCTGTCTAGAATCCCAAGGAAAGCAAATATCCATTAGAAAAGATCCACCTTTGAATACCAATTTCAAGATGAGAAAAAAAATTCACCATTTATAATCAGTTTAACTTTTGTGAAACTTAGCAGAATATGATCCAACGAATCTAAAACAACTAGAGAATATCCTTCTCGTTTGTAAACTGTGTGAAATTTAACAGACACTCATCTGATGACAATATACCTGTAAGCTAATTACAGGTGTTTACACCAATAGGTACACTAAATTAGTTTACCTGGCCATATAATCTAGGGTCAATCCAAGCAAATGTGAAGAGCGCTGTCTAGTAAATCAATTTGCTGTGTTTATGCATTACTCCTTATCAATTTATGAGGTTTGCACTCAGATACTTCATATTCATTATTGAACTCAACATTTACAATGTAGACAAAGCTTTAGTCACCAATAACAAATCATCTCTAAGGAAAAAGAAAACAAAGATAAAACAGTTCTGTTAATCCTAAAGTCATAAAACTTCAGATTATCCTATTGAATAATTAAGTGCTTTCCAGATATTCTTAGTCAAGTACACAGACAAAAGACCTTTGATGTCTACCTAAAATGACTGCCTTTTGCTTTTGCATTGACAGTGTGGCCCTTGGGTACAATACCCTGGTATCTAGGTTATCCATCATAATCACAAACAACTCCCCAGGCAATTCACTTAATTTACATCAGCAAACATGTGTGTATCATTTGTACACTAGTATATGTGACTAACAACGAGACTTTTTTACAAGTTTTTACACCTGTATCAGTTTGTAAGTACAGAAAATAATGTCCAGGTATGATACAGACATGGCCTTTTACTTTCTCCTCAACTCTTAATTTGAAAAGAATAAGTTCAGGAAGGTAGCGTGATAAAACATAAGCCTCATGGGGGCTGCACATTGCAATAATGATCATGAAATTTTCAAGAGGGTTTACAATTGATAGCATCTAATTGAGCATTCTTAATGTGAACATCCACATATAAAATGTGAACATCCACATTAACATATCAATATGATAATTGTTGAATATCTTTTTGTGTGCACATTAGGGGGGATAGATGAGTATTATAGTGAGGACATTCACATCCATATGTTGTTGAGTGTTTTGTGTGTGTGTGTGGAGGGGGGGGGGGGGTTGCTAGACATGGACATAACAGGGACATTCACACATTCATGTGTTCCTTGAGTGTTTGTGTGTTTTGTGTGTGTGGTGGTGGAGGGTAGGGGGAGGGGTGATAAGTATTCTTACCATGGACATAGAGAGGACATTCACACATCCATGTGTTGTTGAGTGGAGGCCGGGGTTTACACAGGCCCCCATTTTGACAGGAAACACTGTCACAGTCCACGACAGTACAGTTCTCTCCCTTATAACCCTCTGTACAGCTACAATTGTATCCTCCATCATAGTTCAGACAGGTCGCTCCATTGGCACAGGGGCTCTCTGCAGTACACTCATCATAGTCCTCCCCACAGTCTGGGCCTAACAATCAACATTACGTCATAGTTAAATCATAGTCAATACTTAATGGTATCTTACACATTCCATGAAAAAGTTCTATTACCTTGCTATAATGTTTGAAATAAGAACATTCTCAAGTTGATATTTATTGTTACATGGGACTTTGTAAATCCTGATGATCCTAAGCCTTTTTTAGGGTAATTTAAGGGGTCATTTTGTTGTATATCATAAAACTGAAGGACAAATTTATAACTTAGTAAATAAGGGCTTACATATAAATTCAATGACCAAACTTTTTTGACATTATCTTCTTGTCATGAAGCCATGTGTTATATTGACAAAAGAACAACATTAATTATGCATTTGAATTGAAAAATCTATCAATTGCAAATGTAGATTTTACAAAATTTGATTCTGTTTTTTTTTATGATTACCTGTGTATCCAATCCCATCACCTGAACAGTTACAGTAGTAGCTTCCCATTGTGTTAACACAATGTCCTCTCTGACAGGGCTGGTTTTCACATTCATTGATGTCTTGGTTACAGGAGTGGCCATCCCAACCTTAAACCAAAGGAAACAGATCACTACAGAGAAAATTCTGGAATGACTGGTCTTTATAAGACTGTAATTTAGAGTCAAAGGGTTACGGAGTTATCTACATTGGGTGAGTAGGTCTACATGTAAGATCAGTCTACATTCAGTAATTTCAATTATCCAAGCAAAGAGGATTAATAATATCCATCATTTATGACATCTTTAGCAGATATATACTTACCGTCAGTACAGTTACAAATATGGTCATTTATAAGGTCGACACAGGTACCATTGTTCTGACAAGGTTCTGATCTGCAGTCATCAATGTTATTACTACAGTTCTTGCCATCAAATCCTGAAAATCAAAAGAAATTCCTTTTTATTCAGGTTGTTACTTGAAGTCAGTAGTTCCAAGGTCAGCAAAATGGGAAAGGAAAGTATGTGTTATTTTGAGTCAATAGATGAATATCCTGTTACCTGTGACACATAAACATGTGTAAGTATTTCCTGCATAATTGTTGCTACAGGTGCCCCCATTTAAACAAGGGAGATCACTACAAAAGTCCTTCTTCACATCACAGAGAGACCCTGTATATTCCACAGGACAAGAGCAGCTGAATGGTGGCTGGTAACAAAAACAACAAATCAAAGTTTAAATATAGAAATAAATAGTAAAACACCTGATACCTGTACTTCCCAGTTACCGTACCACCATACATGTAGTTAGGGGTTACCTTAAGGTCCTCCCTTCCCCCTCAAAAATAATTTCCCCCATTTAATAGATATTTAATTTACCTGTTTTCCAGTTTCCACATTACATGTTGCATTATTTTGACATGGACTGTCATTACAGGACTGTGTATTCTGTAAAACAAAGAGTTAACTGTACACACAACGTTTGCAGGCATTTCCTACTTATTTCCTTATACACCTTACCTAGACATGATTACCAGCCATTATTTAAGCTTTGTTAGACTAATTCTGCCTTTAAGGTCTGTTAAGTAATGGCATGTTTTAATACTGCAGAAGTCTGTAAACTGACTGTATTTATGTATTTAACTTATGTCTGACATAAGAAACAAAAAAAATCCCTTCATTACATGTGCATTTACACTTATTATTCCCTTCATTACATGTGCATTTTAACTTATTTCAAGAGTTTTTTTTCATTTGATCCAGGTTATTTTTTATTGATTAAATGCATGTTGTGCATAGTATTTTCCTTATTTATTAACTATCAGTCCCAATAAAAGAATTGAGGCATCACATTTTATAGATTCACACAAGTCATAAATAAGGACACACAAAGTAGCTATATAAGGTAACTATTGATTTCATTGCAATCTTGGTATTCTGTCTATATATATATCTCTCTCATGATAATGTCAACTCTTCAAGGTTTTACCTTGTTTGTCCTAAGAAATCATATTCATGCAAGGAAGCATTTTATCAATACTGAGAAAGCAGAGCATTCTAGAACTTATAAATTGTGCAATTTAGATAAAATTTAGGATTTTAAAAGTAAGATTTATAATTCTTGGGTATTTTCAAAGTGATTGTATATTCATGTTGTTATAAACATATAAGAACTCTACATTGATTTAAGTATCACGAAGACTTGTTAACCAAAAACATACTAAATAGTTATATAACCATGAAAGAAACCATAATGAAAGCACCTTGATTTATAAATGTTTGATAAATTCCTGAAGCATACAGGTTCAATGGTTTACTTACAGGTGTGTCACAGGTATTTCCTATGTATCCACTGGTACAGTTACAAACAGCTGTCCCCCCATCGTCTGTACACACCCCACTGTGTAGGCAGGGGTCAGGATTACAGGGGTCTGTGTAGTTCTGACACCTACAGGAAACGGACAGACAGACTGTGATCACAAGAATGATGGAGTACCTCATGACAATGCTGGATTTTACATCCTATTTTTCACATCATAAAAATGGAGTGTCAACAAAAATGATAAAAAAACGTCCTCAAATATTGTCATTCAGATGCCATCAAACACAGGCTACCGAGAAAAAAATCCCACCATGTTCACCTTTGTCGGTGAACTCCACAGACACTTGATAACAGGTAAAAAGCTTCTCAGCTGAATTCCATAGATTTCCTATTGACAATTCACTAATGTATTAGGTAATATGTTGTACTGGTGAACAGGTAAACCCAACTCCTAAGGTAATATTTACTACCTGTACATTCTACACAGTACTATATTATACAACCTTGTCATCAAAGAGACCTTCATAATACTTCAGGTAAAGGTAAAAAAAATAATGTTTGAACACAGGCCAAGGCTGGCGTGTTGTGTGCCTTAATGCTTAGACAGCTTTGAATATTAAATCCACAATGAATGAAGGTTTAAATCCATACTGCTGAGAATCAGGAAAGCATTTACACATTTTTCCAGTAAAATTTCAATTGCCTTTGAATAAAAAAATGGAGGGAAAATGTCTTCAAAATATATTGAAACTTGATTATTGTAAATTAAAAACATCTCATTCATAGAATATGCAGTTAAAAAGTTCTTGTTAAATCACTCTATTCAAAAATACATGTAATTTAGAATTGAGACAATGTGCATTTTGAGCAGACTTAACACAAATGTATGCACTCGAGATCTTTTTCATAAACAAAGCCCACTTGGTCATTGATCAAGACCCAGCTGCTACCACTAGTTACATAAAAACTCTGTATAAAGATGACTTTTCAATAGCTGTATTTTCTCAAACACATCATCTGTAAACCTTTTGTGAGGATGCTAATAATCTATTTTGTACAGCATTGAATCTGAAGTATTCCAAATAAGAGATTATGAATTGAGGTCACATTATTGTTAGAGACTGTTTAAATAACCTCAATTCTTAGTCTGCTCAGTCCTAAAGACAAACAGGAGATGACATTTTTCTAAAGATAATGTATGCCCATACAACCTTGCTGTCTACCACGCTATCACCTCTTTGCTTGTTGAACCTGTACTTTGCTATATGGTTTCAAAATGTCTCACCAAGAAGTAACAACACTGATATTTCACTAGAAAGAGGAGAGAACCACGAAAATGATGAAATTCACATTTTTTGTCCCCCTTTACTCGTTCAGGCTACAAACTACACTCTACAATTGTGTGTAAATGGTATTTCCCTTTCAGAAAAAACAAATTGTAAAATGCTGAAAGTTCACAACAGACAACTCCCAGCAACAGACAGGACCAGAAATCTTAGGTCAACTGAATGACTCATATAACTTATGTATCTTAAAAGACCGTCATTCCAGGAATTACGTGAAGTACTTGATGATACATGTATATGCAGAGAATTTTATGAAAGGTCACAAAGTCAACGTCCTTATTGTCAGAAAAAAAATCTATCTATCTCTCTTCATTTCACAACAAATTTCTTTATTTTCAATTCATATGCAACCTTTATATCTTTAAAATTTTCTTTGGTAATTATTAGGATAAAACCTCTTGTAAAACTTGTAAATTTATATTGAACTAATTTCTAAGTCTTCATGCAATATGAATTCTTATTATGGTTCAATTATCAAAAGCGAGATTTTTTTTTCCATACAGCCATTCTGAAAAAACTCTAAATTTACTGGCAGACAGAAAAACAGCAAATAAATTTTAATAATAACCCCTGGTTTTAGTCAGCAACAAAAGAAGGAGGACATTTAGTATTCAAATTCAGACTTAATTCATCCAATGTATCAAAATATTTTTTATACATGTTTTCTTTCCAGCCTCAATGAATGCTGAGTGATATACCATTTGACATGACCACATTCAATTAACAGATCTAAGTATCATCAAGTATTGTGAAAAAAAAGCCTAGATATATTGTATGATTCAACAAGTGCCAGAACACAGTCTACTGATTCTGTACATAAGACAAAACAAACAACTCCAGAACTTACCTTGTACCACTGTATCCATTTCTACATTGGCAAGTAAAGGCATTGACTCCATCCACACACTTCCCACCTCTCCCACATGTAGGAGGTGTTGCGCAATCATCCACATTTTTCTCACACCAGTGTCCACTGTACCCAGAGGGGCACTGACATGTGTACCCATAATAATCCTCCTGACATACTGAGGAGTGCTTACACTGATTATAGTTACACGACCCAGCAATGGAACATCCATATTTGTTCACATTCACTTCCAATGCTTCAAAGTACTCCAGGTAAATTGATGTATTGTAGTTGGTAAACTCATTTTTTGTGTAAAATGGAAGCAGAATTCCACCAATTCGTACTTCCCGCAGACAGCCTTTGTAAAACAAGTTTTCTCCGACCCCTTGGTAGTAACCTAATGAAAGCTTTCTGTTGTTCTCCTCATTGGTAAATACTGCTGTCAGATTGATGGTAGGTCCACTGTTAAATGTGAAGTCTTTGGAGATGTTTCTACTTGGGCCTTTCACAGAGAGTGTCATATTTGCAACATTTTCTCTCAGTGTCACTGTGTGGAATTCCCTATCACTGACATCATAATCTACGTCCACTATTTCTGTCTGTCCGTTCCTGACATGATACAAAACCTGAATCCTGCCTCCTCGAATGCGGATCTTAAGGACGTAGGGACCATTTTGGGCAAAGAGAATCAATCCATTTTTGACTAAGGATCTCATTTGGATTGATATTTCCTTAATTCTTCGACCTGGATTCAATGTTGGAATGTACTCCACACGACTTGAGGCATCAAATAATGCCGTAGATATACCTAATAAGCGAAACAAAAGTACACTTTCATTATTTTATACAGGCATATACAGTCAAACCTCATCATGTATAGAAATTTTCGCCCTTGCTTTATTTTCGTCCCTTTCACCCTAGACACAAGTTGGCAAACTTAAGATGGGGCAAATTCAAAGAAAAAAGTATAATTTCTTAAAACAAAACTGTAACTGGGCAAAATTAAAATGGGACAAAATTCTAATTTGTATACTAGATTAATACATTGGATATATATGTACATGTCCCTGTAACTTACATTCGAATCCATTACGAAGACTTCGGCAGGTGGCTGTTTTAGGGCAGGAGTCTTCATCACAGAAATCAATCTCGCTACAGTTCTTTCCCCTGAATCCCCGAGGACAGTCACATCTGACATGAAATAAAATTCTCATTAGCAGAAATTCAACTATCACTTACAAATGCAAACTAGATATATACGTCAACCTAGTATATTGTACATTGTTACATGAGACTTAATCTGAATCATCACTGTATTTAATATCCTCATTAAAGAAAGGGTTACTATACCTGAAGTCATTGTAGAAAACATTGGAACAAGTTCCATTGTGCATACATGGAGACTCATAGGTACAAACATCATCTGTGACTTCATTTTGAACTACCCCAGTGATGTTTGTCAATGAAAAATTACTAGCAACTGAAGTATTTCCAGGGAAGAAAACCAGTTTATTATTACTAATTTCAGCATCCTGAATGGTTCCTTTATAGCTATCTAGCTGAGTCAGTTTTGGGATTTGGAGTCCATTCACTGTGATAACATCTGTCTCCCTTCTGACACGGCCTGACTGTTTCAAGTATTGAGGAATTTCCCCGCCAAAGATCAGGTATTTTGCATCAAAGTTACAATTTCCTGTAGACTGAACGATCTGTGACTGGACAGGATTTCCATTTCTGAAGAGCTGAAATTTCTGCCCTTTAAGAAATCTGACACCTACAAAATGCTGCTGGCCATCATTAATCAATGTGTCATTGTCCACAATGAACTGAACTGTCTGAGATTCACACAACATGAGTCGACTGGCCAGTTTCCCCTGGTAGATTTCTAGGGTCAGAAAGGTTGAGTTGTCATTGCCCAGATACATAATGAGTCCGCTTGACTCACGAGTTCGGATAAACATGGTCGATTCTACAACATTTCTAAAATCATCTTTCTTATCTTGAGGAATACTAAAAGTGGTAAAGCTAATTTGTGTGTTGTCCTTGGCAAAAGTAGCAGGAATATACACTGAAAAAACAAAATCATGTATTGAAGTCTTCATTACAATATAAATGGTAGTTTTTAAGCATAATTTAATTATGGGATTTTAAAATCTAATTTACTCCAAAATATGATTTTTAAACAATTTTTTCCATACTGTGTTAAGTTCTATACCTTCATCACATCTTTTTCCAAGGTAACGACGGTTACATTTACAGAAGAAATCATCCCACAGATCTGTACAGGTTCCACGGTTACTGCAGGTGTCGGATTTACACTGTACTTTTCTGTCACAACCTTGCCTTAAGTTTAGAGCATAATTACTATCATTCTGTTCATCTAAGACAACATTGTCATTCACAGTCATGTCTTGCATGCACCCTTTGAAGGCTACTTGTGACTTGGTATTTGACGTTCTGGTGACATGGCCAGTATTTCCAAAGAAAAGCTCTTTCCTTGGAAATGAATTTGCTACATGGCGATAATAGACTACTTTTTCACAAAGAGTCAGATTGTTGACACAATGTGGGCTGTTTAATCTAAAAGAAATTTGTCCCTTGTCATCTGTGTCTGTTGCATTAAGTTGGTAAAGAGATATGCTATGCCAATTTCCATCATTGACTTTAACCGGAATAGGAAGATATGCAGATGTTATTGCAGTTCCATATGGTATATACCCCATGTATATCAATCCCTCAAAAATTTCAATATGCAAAAATATTTTGGTAGAATAATATTCTCCACTCCACATTATTAATATGGCATTTGATAAAGTGGTTCTAAAACTGAACTCCACAGTGATGTTTCCAATTTGATCTAAGATGCGCTCAACTGAAGAAGAGTGTCCATTAAAAGAAAAGGTTGTTTCGATTGTGCATTCTTTCCCTGTGAATCCTGGAGCACATTTACAGTAGAAGTCCTCCTGAACTGAAGGTAATTCCGACTTAAGATACGGAACACAAGTAGCTCCATTTTTACAGACAGTGTTCCCACCATCTTTACAAGCTCGTAACTCTACCGTACAGTTTTTTCCAGCAAAAACCTGGTCACTGGAGTCCGGCTCTGCAGCACACTGGCAGTTGTAATCCGCCACCATATCAATACAAGAAGCACCATTCTGACAAGGCATATATTCTTTACACTCGTCGATTTCTATTTCACACCTCTCACCCCTGTACCCACGTGCACACCTACATTCATAAGCTGCTACCTTGTCAATACAAGTGGCTCCATTTTGACAAGGTGTTAATTCCACACACTCATCAATTTCAATTTCACACCTTGTTCCTCTGTATCCAGGTGCACACTCACAGTCGTAGTAATTTATCCGATCAAGACAAGTAGATCCATGCTCACACGTGTTGTTTACACATTCATCAATGTTTGTTTCACAATTTAGACCTGAAAAAAAAATTTGCAATCAAGTACAGGGTATGTTGTGTAATAACAGCAATAAAACAAATAACATGGTAATTACAAATTGTCTAAATATAATAAATGACAATATTCTTGTGTCATTACATCCCCCCTCCCTTCTTACACCTTTTTTGTTCTCATTAAAAATTTGAATTTTTAATTAATTTTATAAACAAAGTGTGATTTTTTATACCTGTTATTCCAGGAATACACTGGCAGTAGTACCCAGCAGCATTAGCATAGGAGAAATCTCCTAGACTAGGAACCTGTTGAAAGGTAGAAGGTTTAGATCTCTCTAGACAGGTGCCATTGTACTGACAAGGACTGGACTCACATTCATTGATGTCATTCTTGCAGTTCTTTCCTAGGTACCCATTGTGGCAGGTACAATTGTAATCCTGTCATACAAAATAATATACATTATAAGATTTAAAAAACTGTTTTAAGTGAGATAACCTGCATTTCTTATCAAATAACAACTACTAATACTACATAAAAAAATTATATATATATATAAAAAAAAGGCAATTAGAAAAATGTTTGTGCACCAAGAATAAATTTTATCAAAGAAGTTTATGGATTTAAAAAAAAAAAAATTTGACAACATCTAAAAACTGAAATTGAAATGAATTGGTAAAATGCTTTTTTAAAAGGAAAAAGTTTACTGAATAGCATTATCTTGAGGTTTGTATATAAACTTAATACTAATTAGTAAACTTTTCATTTTATCTTCAGGTACACTGTTACCTTGATGAGGTCAGAACACGTAGCATCATTCTGACATGGATTGGAGGCACAGTCATCAATGTTCAGCTCACAGTTTGTTCCATTAAATCCTGTGTCTGTGCAGTTACAATCATACCTAGAACAGTCACATACATCATCAAAATATATAATAAAATCAGGCAATGTTTCATTACTGAAAGCATTTGTACAAGTGTTTAGATTATTGCAAGTTTATTCACTACACTAAATTTAATACATGTAGTATTTTCTTTCTCAAAAAGAATTTTAGAATCACAATATAGAATAAGGAAATCTATAGCACATCACAAGACAAAAACAAAGATAACACATCTATATCATTAACAAACATAAAGACAATTACTCACACACACCAGTAAATATTTAAAAACCTACAACCATATGTTAAAGTTTCTCATTTATATATAGGTAAAAGAAGGAAATTTTCAACATTCTGTATCATTCTACATGCTCATAATGCAACAGACAATATCAACTGACAATAAATGTCAGTGATATTTAAGCCTTAAAGGCATATACTAAAAATTATCCTATGTTTGTTAGAGTCTAACTTTAGGAGGATGTTGCATAACCTACACTTACATATATGTCAATGTTCTATATTGCCGAGCGAAAGGAAATTTTCAAAATTAGGAAAATAAGCTTGAAGAAAATGTTCATGCATTGTAAAGTTCTGAATAAAATTTTTAATGCAGGTCTTCCCAATACTACCCAAACATACAGTAACATGCAAGTAACCCTTACAAGATAATCTAATAGATTTCCTTAATTTCATGAGAATCAGTTGAAATAGTTTTATTGTGTTAATGGGGAATGAAACATTCATGGCTTGAAAACAAACTCTGTGCACAAACTAAAAGGAACATACAACAGCTGGCATGAAAGCAAATTCAACAAATTCAAAATCAAATATTGGGTATTGATTTAAATTAATAAAAATATGATTAAGGTCCTTTCTTCCCAGGTAATAATAAAAATATTAAATATTAAACATCTGGAAATGAACAACAAAAACAGGGTCACATGCTAGAACTAAATAAAAAGAACCAAGCATCAAACAGATCGTACCCAGTAGAGTCGGGAGGTAAAGTGCTAGGGTCAAAACCATCCAGTCTGTCACAAATAAAAATGATGTTCTTTACTGGGCCAAAGAAATAATAAAAACCACAGCCTAGAAAATTCCCTTTCTCATCTAATGAAAAACTCTGTACAAAATATATGTGTGTGTTTTTGCATACAGCTTATGACTGTATACATGTATATGGTAGATACAGTAACTTAACCTCAAATTGTTAAATCTATACAATGAGGATGCTGAGTTAGACTAACACAGTTATACTCTGCTGCTGTTTACATAATTTGTTCAAAAACTACTGATGATACTGTCTACTCTTTAGTTATCAATATTTTCCCTGAGGTAACAGGTACTTGTAATATTTCTACAGTTGAGATCAAGTTTGCCTGACATACATACCCATTGATATGGTCAATACAGACACCGCTGTTCAGACAAGGATTGGACTGGCATTCATCTATATCTGTCTCGCAGTTGGGACCTGTGATTCCTGGGATACATTGACACTCATAGCGAGCTATTCCATCAATACACGTGCCCCCATACTGGCAAGGAGACGACTCACATTCATCTATGTTAGTTTTACATCTTCGATCTGAAATCATATATTCATACAAAGAGAATAAAAAAGAAATGTGATATGACCATTAGATTACAACCATCATACAGAGAAGATAAATTTTGAAATGAGCACAAAACCTCAAACCACATTTGTAAAAATATCTTCATTTCTCTGTATACTTCAGACTGCTGCATACTTGCTCAGAATTCTGTAGTAGGAAATGAATCTCTGACCTATTATCCTCAACAAGAGATGAAATTCAGTTAACATGAAATACCTGTGAATCCTGCAGCACAGCTACATGTAAAGCTCTCAGCATCAGGGAGGCAGGTGCCCCCATTGTGACAGGCAGGAGGGTCTCCCTTTACCTCATCAGCTGACTCACAGTAGGAAGTAGACAGCTCACAATTATTACCTATCAAAAAAGAAACAGCTAATTAGGATTATGAATAGCAGAAAAATACAGTCAAACCTTGTTATCTCGAAGTCAACATGGCCGAGAAAAAACTTTGATATATCCGAGAATTATATAAATTGAGGTTAAAATACAGAAAGAGAAAGTTAAATACATAAAGAAAAAGTGATTGGGACTTCCAACTCATCCATCCATGGTTTTTGAAATATGGATTTTTAAGATACCAAAGTTCAACAGTATAAACATAAAAAAGATTTTGAATTTTAATGCTACAGTACCTGAAATGATTGGTTTGTTTTCTATTATCACTAACCTGTGGCATAAACTCCATCATAAACAGGTCCACACAAACAGTTATAGTCTCCATGTGTGTTGGTACAGGAGCCATTGTGAAGACAGATAGCAGGGGATGAGTAATTACACTCATCAATGTCTAGTTCACAGTTTACACCAGTAAAACCAGACAAAAACTCCAGCTTCTGGCCTTGACCATATTTGGTTAAATTGACAAGGACCTGTGGACATTCACAACGGTACCGTCCTAACTCATTATGACAAGTTCCTCCGTTCTTACAAGGAGAGGAAAGGCATTCATCTATGTCTTGTCCGCAGTCATTGCCTTCTTTTCCTGCTCAAGTCAATTATACATGTATATGGGTTATCAAATAGGTAAAGAAATGAAATTTATAAATCATAATTCAGCAATGATAAAGGAAAAGTTATCATAACTAGTGTAAAAACATGCATTTTGAAATTTCTACCAATGCACATAAAACAACCATAAATATGTAACCTTATTTAAGGCAAAGATGTCAGGGCTGCATTGAACATTGTAGCAGTTTCTTCCTAAGTTAGATATCTAGGTTATACACACTATATGAATTAACGCATGTTATAACTAGGCTAGCATATCGTTAAAGATCATAGCGGCTACATAGTGCCATGTAGCTGCTACAATCTTGAAAGCAGCCCAGATCTTATGAAGTTACTTTATTCATTTATAGAAGAAACTACATAACAACTTTATGTTACATGATATATAAACTGGTTAAAAGCTGCATAATTATTTAGTGGTGATTCTATAATTTTTTATGTCATGTATAATGTATAAAGTACATGCACCTTCAATTATATAGATTTAGAATAATCAAGAAATTTCTGACAAGGGAATAAAACAGACAATAAATGTGCAATCTTGGATATGTATATTCAAAATGAGAGCACAAAAATTCAAGGTGCAAGTGGTTAAAGAATCAACAACCTGTGCTTAAATTGCTTAACATTATGAGATTACAAACCAGATAGTCAAACAGATTATGATAATAATAATAAGAGTTGCAGGTTACTATTAAAGTGTGTGTACAAACCTATAGGACAAGCACATCGGTAATTGTTAATCAGATCATAGCACACAAATGGCAGCGTACAAGGTGACCCCTCACAATCATCAATATTTGTGGAACAGTTCTTATCCATGAAGCCTGTCGCACATGTGCAGTTATAGTCATGTGACCCCAGCACTGAGCTACAAGTGGCACCATTCAGACAGGGCTTGAAGAAGCAAGCATCATACAGATGTGAGCAGTTCTTACCCATGTATGTTGAAGTGCAAATGCACTCATACCCATTTACTCTGTCTTGGCAGGTGCCCCCATTTTGACACGGATTTGGTTCACACTCATTAATATCAGTCTGACAGTTAGATCCTGTAACAAATAAGGAATGGATAAAGCTTCAGGTAAAAGTAGATTCTAATTGAATTTTTTTTACTGACTACATTGCTAAATAAAGTCAACAGGCAACAATATTATACATATACATGTACATCTTTTTTTATTATTCTAAGTGGTGAAGATACATGTAGAAATCAGAGAAAAACATTAACTTTTCTCTTAATAATGTAGCCTGTACATGAACATGTACTTGGGAAAAGTAACACCACTTCTTTTAAAATTACACCAAATTTGCTTTATATACAATTAATTTTTTAAACAGCGAAATCTAATATAAAGATTGATGAATGACAGATACCAGTGAATCCCGGGGCACATGTACAGTTATAAGCATTCTGGAGATTGTGACAGGTCGCTCCATGTTGACATGGCTGGCTGTAACATTCATTGATATCTACAGTACACTGTTTCCCTGTCCAGCCCCCCATACAGCTACAGTTGTAGTAATTAAGATAATCAGTGCACGTCCCTCCGTTCTTACAAGGCTGCGAGACACATTCATCAATGTCCACCTCACAAGTCTTACCGGTCCAACCCGCTACACAGTGACATTTGTAGTCATTTATCTGGATGAAACAAAATAATACAGCATTATTTAATCAGATATAAATTAACATTCTATATGATCTATACTTTTCCTTCAAAAAAGATAAAGATTACACAAAAAATAATTTAATATAAAGAGCTAGGTTCACTTTATGCATAAAATGGCCCTGTCCTTATACTTATTATGTGACTATCACCCATGTCCTGTTTCAGACATCTAAAGTACCGTATATACTCGCCTATAAGTCGGTTTTTTGGGAGTTAAATGTTGTTCCAAAACTCTATGTCCGACTTATAGGCGAGTCATAAAAAGATAGTATTTTTCTGCACGGCGAACTGTAGTGATTTATAAAGATTTCCCATGATTATCATTGAACAACGTCTGGATATATTATATCATTTATGTATTCTAAGATTATACATAAAGCACAAGTATCTTAAGTGTGCATTTCTTAATGATTTAAAATTGAATATCGGCGCCATTTCTAAAAAAAAAATATTAATCGAAACCAGGTTAAAACATTAGAGCATTAATTTTAAATTGTCAACTGAAACTGGCAAAAAGTTGTACCGACTTATAAACGGGTCAATGGCAAATCCCTCTAAAATAACCTCAAAAAATACAACCGACTTATAGGCGGACCGACTAATAGGCAAGTATATACGGTAGAGACTTAATGCTTTCATTTCCTTGAATAAAGTTTCCTCTGAGAGTTAGGTATTGGATAGCAGGCTTTGTGAAATTGCAATGTTTTTGAATTTGGCAGAAAATAGGTGTATATGAGTACATTTACCTTCCACAAAAATATGTGCACACCTCTTGATCTAAAAATTTAAACGTTTTATTATTGTCAGAAACAGTTATATCATTATAAAATTGTACATTTTGGACCAGAGGTTAAGCTCTATCTGATATTTTGAAAAACAGCTTAAACTTTTGGCCATTTCCGAAGAAATATTCAGGACGTGGCAATGACACATTTCATGATGTCATAATGCAATATTTAAATTGCTGTGTTTTTCTACTTAACCAACTATGAAATTGATTGAATGCTATTTTCGTATATACTCATGTGTAGAAATATACACAGAGAAACTGGCACTAAAGTGATGTCAGAATGAAGCTACAGAGATGTTAATAAGAATATAACAGTATAGGGCATAGAGAAATTCAAACATTGAGAATATTTTTGGTGCTTTTAACCATGTAAAATGTAACTACAAGTTAAGTTTAGTGTGAATTATTGGTGTGTAAATCACACCAACTTGCATGCAGGCATATTTTTCATTAAGCGCTAGCGCATTCATGAAATATGCCTACATGACAAATCTGTGTAATTTACACACAAATAGCTCCAATAAAACCATTCCTTTACTGACTAGCAAGAAAATTATGTCACTTTCAATAGAGATGCAGTCATCAAGGGTCCAAGTGATATTTAATGCATTGCTGTCTAAAACTGAGTGGTTTTGATTTTTTGGAAATTCACAGGGCCAAAAAAAAAAAAGGGCCCTAAGTGAACCTTGCTCTTTGAGAAATTCCTGATATTGTTTGTAGTAAAAGTATCAACCTGATCAGAACAGGTGGCTCCATTTTTACAGGGATTATTGTTACATTCATTTATGTTTGTGGAACAGTTTTTGTCTGTAAAGCCTGGTGAACAATGACAAAGGTAGTCATTCACTTTGTCTTCACACCTGTCAAAAGATAAACATTTTTGTATAACAAGAGGCCCATGGGCCACATCGCTCACCTGAGTAACTTTGGCCATGCTGTTCTTTACCAAATTTCCCCCCTTGTAATACCTATTGTGGCCCCGCCCTACCCCCAGGGGTCATGATTTGAACAATTTAGAATCTACACTACCCGAGGATGCTTCCACATAAGTTTCAGCTTTTCTGGCCCAGTGGTTCTTGAGAAGAAGATTTTTAAAGATGTTTCCTATATATTTCAATGTAAAACTTGGATTCCATATTGTGGCTCCGCCCTACCCCCTGGGGTCATGATTTGAACAATTTAGAATCCACACTTCTTGAGGATGCTTCCACATAAGTTTCAGTTTTTCTGGCCAAGTTCTTCTTGAGAAGAAGATTTTTAAAGATTTTTCTTACATATTTCAATGTAAAACTTGAATTCCCTATTGTGGCCCCGCCCTACCCTCGGGGGTTATGATTTTTACAATTTAGAATCTACACTATCCTAGGATGCTTCCATAAAAGTTTCAGCTTTTTTGGCCCAGTGGTTCTTGAGAAGAAGATTTTTTAATGACCCCACCCTGTTTTAGTCTTTTCTTGATTATCTCCCCTTGCAAGGGGGCTTGGCCCTTTATTTTATCAATTTAAACTCCCCTTCACCCAAGGATACTTTGTACTAAGTTTTGTTAAAATTGGCCCAGTAGTTCTTGAGAAGAAGTTGAAAATGTGAAAAGTTTACAGATGGATAGACGGACGGACAACGGGTGATCAGAAAAGCTCACTTGAGCTTTCAGCTCAGGTGAGCTAAAAACCATGGAGGTAATATTAAAAATGCAACTTGGACTGAACAACTATAATTTACCAAGATTATGCTTTATAACTCTGAGCTACTCTGAATAAAAGAGTATAACTGGAACTGAACAAGTAATGTAAAATTGACCAAAATTCTGACTGTAAATTATTCTTCCATAATGATATAATACATGCTGCAAAGTGAGCCAAGATATACAGATATAATAGGACATGAAAGATCCTTGAATGATTTTAGATCTTTATACTATAGTAGACTGACTAAAGCTTTATTTTCTCATCACTGATTGGGATTGAGAAACCTGCTTACGTAGCACCGTTTTGACATGGCTGAGGAGAACACTCATCGATGTTGGCATCACACTTTACACCTGTATATCCAGCCACACAAACACACCGATACTCATTCTCTAAGTTCAAACACGTCGCTCCATTACGACAGGGCGAGGAAGTACACTCATCAATGTCTACACAACTGCCAGAATTATCTATAACAGCAAGATATTCAACACTGTAAAATTATCTCAAAACGACATATCCATGTCATTGTTTAAATTAAAGCAACATGTGTCATTTAAAGAAAGATTATTTAATACAAAGATTTTGGTAAGAAAATATTAAACACTTTGGAATGCAATACACAAGCACCAGTTCTCTAATTCAATATGCTTCTTATATCTTGCCTGTGAAGCCTGGTTTGCAGATACAAGCATAAGAGTTGGTACGATCCTGACAGATTTGATTGGCTCCAGTACAGTTGACACCGAGACAGTTGTCAAAATTGACTTCACACTGCTTCCCCTGAAATCCCTGCACACAGTTGCAGGTGTAGTCACCCACTTCATCCCGACAAGTCCCACCATTCATACACGGAGTAGAAGCACAGTCATCTGTGTTCTGAAACATTTCATCAACAGTCCAATACAAAAAGGCTCACTTTTATCACTTTGTAAATTATCTTACAGCTTACTGTAAACCAACTTTTATTTGCGTGCGAGAAATTTTCGCGAGGTTCACGAGAACCTCGTCATCGCGAATATTTCTCGCCGCGAAACGGTCTTTAAAGTCTCTCTTTCTATTAACAACAGATAAAAAAAGGCTTGATCGCGAAAATTAATCGTCGCGAACTAGTTTATCCCCGGTAAATCGCGAAATAAAGTCGTCGCTAATAAAAGTTGGTTTACAGTATTTTGCAAAATCAGATCAATGAACTACATGTATTTAATTGCAATGTGTAAAAAAGTAAAATTTAATAGAAATTGTTGAAAATTCCACACATATGACAGATTCTTACAGTTAAACATTTCTCTCCCTCATATCCAGCTGGGCAATCACATCGGTATGATCCAGGAAAATTATAACATGTGCCATTACCACATAAGTCTGGGGTCAGCTGACATTCTTCTACATCAATATTACATCTACTTCCAGAAAAACCTACAAAACATCATTATCATTAATATACACACACATGCACTTGTCTTTCAGCATGTTTTGAACATACCTACATCATTTAAACATTTTTTTTTTTACAAATATGCATCAAGTGACATTCAAATGATTTACATGCTTTTACATTAAGTACCAGTGAATATTCTATGATGGCCACTTTACCTGTACCAGTACAGTTACAAGAGTAGGAATTTATGCCATCAATGCATTCTCCATCCCCACAGGGATTCGGTGCACATTCATCTATATCTTTCTCACAATTGGTTCCAGTGTATCCTTAAAGTGTCAAACAAAGAAATGGGTTGGCTTAAGGTTCATTATCCCTCTCATAAGGGAAATAACTCTCACTGGGATGCACAACTATATTATCTTTTTTATAATTGTCAAATTAGATTTCTTTGGGAAAATCATAAGCATTAAGGTAATTTGATAAGAATGAACAGAGCTATATTGATATATCTCATGTTACATTCAGTCTTATTCTTTTACCACTAAACTGTTTTTAAAGGTAGCAAAAATAGCCATCATTCTCAGAATTAAAACAAAACTAGAACTTTTGTGTTGTCATTTTAGCATGAGATAAGATTATGGTGTAATACTGAAGTAAAGTCTGACTGGAAACTCAGCTTTGACTAAGAATATATAACTAAGACCAACCTGATTATTTCATTCTATAAAAATAGTGCTTACCTTGTATACACTGACATCTGTAACTCCTTACTCCAGAGGTCTGACTTAAACAGGTACCGCCATGAAGACATGGACTCACACTACATCCATATACACCTATAAAATACATATATCAAAGGAAAGGTGATTCACTCAAATGCAGAGTAGAGTGTTTCAGTGAACCTGTCTAATGAAGATACAGTGAGGAGTCTCGAGCAGTTTGTAAGACTGAAAAGTTGATTAGGGCATGAACACGGATCTTCATTTCTAATTTTTGGAAAGAAAATTTGGAGTATCTAAAGCACTTCTTAGGATAACCTTTGAGACTTGAATCCAAGAAACATGTATATTTAAGAATGCATTATCACTTCTACAAACCCCAGGTTTCAAATATATGTCAATTGTGATGCAGAGGACAATTTAATTCATGATCAGCACTGGTGAAAACAGCACAAAAAATTGGTTTCCAGAATTATTAAAAAAAATCCTAATGACATACTCAGATCATTTTCACAATTGGTTCCATTGTAGAGGTGAGCACACTGACATGTATAACCGCCAGCTTTCTCCAGACAGGTGCCGTCATGTTGACAGGGGTAACTATAGCAGAACCGAGACACCTCATCTGAAACATGGACACTTAAAATAGATATCCTGAAACATAAATCTAGATTATCGTGACATACACCGTTAAACTATGTTATCAACCAAATACAGTTGAACTAGATTATCATGACATTTACAGTTGAACTATAGTTGAAATTCGGTATATCAAACACTGATATCTCGAATACCATGGACATGTCGAAGTGATTTGGAAGTCCAAATCCCTTATTCTTTAAGTATTTTACCACAGATATCTTAAATATTCAGATATCTCGAAGTTTTTTCTCAGTCCCATTGGGTTCGAGATAACAAGGTTTGACTGGAGATTATAATGACACATACAGTTCAACTAGATTGTCATAAAACATATACTTTAACATTAAAATTGCATCATGGTCAGTGTAAACCAAAACTCATCCCATCTGCTTTTAATTGTAGAATAAAATTTCATACAGGTCTGGGTAATTGTTTCTGGACACATAATATTCTAGAATGAAAATTAAGGTAAGTTGTGTATAAAAAAAATTGGTAGCAAATAATACTAAGTATATACCCAAAGAAAGAGGGGCGCAAAAAAAATGAATAACATAAATAATTGCATATTTAAAAAACAGCATTTTCTCATCCTTCAATTTTTCTTTATGATAAACTGTCATCTGAAAGCATTAATCTTTTAGTGGGATCTAAAAAGAAATAAACAAATGAAATACTAGCAGGTTTGCATTCTATTCTGTGCAGTCAGTTTTGCATTAATGTTGACAATGGATCTGCTTTATCCAAATGTATATTTTAATGCTATATGTCATTATTACATCACAAATGACATACCATTTAAAATTACAAGTTATTGCCTCCACCTTGAATAATGAATAATTTTGGCATGCAGTTGCATGTTAATTTATACTGCAGACTTTCTCCTTGTATTATTTTTTTAAAAAAATTTTTATCAACATGATCAATGTTTTGAATTCAAATGCCTGAAGTTTTGATGATCAGTTGAAATTATATCTTCTGTTACTGAAATGTTTTTTGATCACCCAGAGAAAAGTTTGTCTTATCTTGGAATGTCTACAAAGGGATTTTGATAAGAACTCAGATAAAAAAGAAGCGTATATACACCTTTCTGTCAAAACCAAAACATGATCAGTTTATGCAAAATGTCTCAATGTTTTATATGATATGCACCACAAGGTCCTGACAAAAAGCACGAACAAATTTTATAATTAATTCATTTAAATACTGCATTATAAATTACTTCTGATAATAATGATTTTTTTGCAGCAAGTTTAAGGTATGCTATATGTGCCAAGTGAAAGAGTATCACATATTTACAGACATTCCATATTAAATTCACAAAATTAATATTTGTTTAAATTGCATGGAACCTTGAAACTCAGTTTACAAAATCAGAGTTAGTCCAAAAGAAAATCTTTAATTAAGTTGTTTGCATCATTTGATGATTAAACTCACTGTGTTACCACTGTTTATATGTCATTTTCTACTACAATTATTATTTATCTTCATTTACTTTATCATTTTTTTTTTTAAATTTATTATTCACTTATCTATTACTCTCTTTTTGTAAAGGGATATATCATGTTGAAATTCATCCACATCACATTGTAATTAAAAATATACAACAGTTGACTTAATTCTTAAAAAACTGCACAATATACCATGTATGTTTTTGTTTTCTAAAATTCTGGAAAAAAAATCACAAATTGTTAAGCTGTATTTAAAAGCTAGGCCTTTTGAAAATGGGATACATGATTTCATATTCACACTGACCACTGAATTTGCTAAAGTGAGTACTTAACTCATAACAAATATATTAAGAAATCTGGAGTAGTTATGAAAAGACATATGGTACGTGTCATATAACCATTGCATACAGGCAGTCTATCTAAATTCAAGATCAATTCTTTAACAAGAATATGACTGATATGTCTACTGTTAAAACCTTTTAAGTATTTTATTCACTGAAATCTATAGAAATGAAGAACTGAAAAAAGCCCCTAAATAAACTTAAAATGGTTATTTCTTGCCAAGTGTAACAAATGTATACTGTTGTATTGGAATTCTCTTTAGACAACTGGCCAGGCTTTAGCCTATGTAAGGCTAAAGCCTGTCCTATTCATTTCATAAAACCTTTACACTGATTTTTTATCAACATTATCCTTTGCATTCATCACTGGAAACCCATGGTCAATCTTGCACAAGGCTTTGCATTTAGCATATAGGCTAAAGCTATTCACTTCTCTAAAAGGAATACCATGATTGGCACAATGGTGTGTTTTGCTATTTGGTAGTAGAGACCTACCAGTATACATAAAACCTTTATACACAAGCTCTTTTACAGCTGATTGTGAATCAAAGTTCACATAAAAACAGTTTTATGAACATCCCTATGACGTTAATTGAGGGTATAATTAAGCAGTATATGATTGTGTATTTGATGGTCGGAGCAGGTGTGACCAGTGCTTACCTGTGGTTTGAGCCATTGTTACAGACACTGTCAATAAATATACTACAATCCTCCTACTTATCAACACAGACATTTTGTTTGGCACAATGAATTCACTAATTCTACAGTCTTCAACAATAGACTAAATGTAATCCATACAAAATAGATATCACATAATAGTTGTATGCGTCTTCACAGTCTCCAGAAAATGTAAACAATTTCACCACATCCTCTCACATGGTCCGTGTTCTTTAAGGGCTATTTCCACTGGACTTTTTAAAATATAGGTCTAAGGTGTTGATCACAATTGCTTGTCACTATGTCCCAAAGCTACACTGTAGTTTGAACTCCTACTAGATGATGATTGATTAATGAGCCATAATTAACACAATAACCCTCATTCTTTAGGAATAACAATATACCTGTCCAGGTATTTTCTTTGAAAACCTTTCAAAAAAACTTGGACATAAATGATTAGGAAATAAACTGCAAATAAATATTACATCATCAAAAATCAATAATGGTTTGCACTTAGCACAGTTTCTTTGATTTTACTGGCAACACATGTAACAAAATTTCCTCCAGACAAATATGTTCATTGTTGTTTACACCACTCAACTAATTGATCCAAGAAATTAAAAACATATCCAGAAGTCAAACAACGAAAGAACATAGATCACAGGCCGTACAAATTAAGGACAGGTAAACTCAGGTGTCATAGATCACTCAAAATCAATTCCACTGACATTACAGATTCATAACTGCAATACGGGATTCCACAACCCAGGTTTTAAAAGGGAGCGTTTTAACGGTGACTCACAATCCTTATTCACCTGAGTAAAAAATACCACTGCTAGTTTTCACACATGTGACCCTGTAGAAAATTAAATATTCCTGTCCCGTTTGTCAGTCATGCATTGCCAACGTCTAGCACTCTAATCATACAGACCATTCCTACACCATTCCTTAGGTACTGAACTATCAGGGATTATCCAGGATAATCTCCAGCTTGTATACCTTGAGGGCTCCACACAGAGCATCAATCAGTGCTTGAGACATGTTCACAGATTTTAAGTTCATTACTTAAATTGTCCCCAAGTATTATGGATCTCCAATTATCTTAACATTGAGACTGCAACAATTCAGGAGGGATAGAAATCTGATCCTTGGGGGTAAGGAAGCTGATAAGGTGTTACAGAGAGAGTGTCTCCCCAAGATAGGTATAACTCCTTGTTACCCTTCACCCTTCACTGGTTTAGAGTGTCATTGTTATAAAAGTATGGACACATTTCAAGGTCTTTTTACCTGAACATGCTGAATATGAAAATGGCTTAGATGCAAACTGCATGTAACAAAAGGTGAGACTATAAATATTTGTACATTCCTCTCTGACAAATAGTTCTCATCAATCAATCCTGAATATAGAGTGCTTGTCTTTTGTGTAAATATTCAATATTGATGCAGACTGATGACCAGTGGAGAAAATCACCAATTTTAGTGTGTGAATTTTGAAAAGAAAGAGTGTGTATCTTTACCATTTCATTGAATGCTTGTTTTACCAAACTTCTTGCATATACTGTAAATCAACTATTATTCCCGACATCTTTTATTCACATTTGTCAGTTTGAAAGCAATCCGTGACAATTAATTTTTACGATTGGGGAAACTTTCTCTACAAATACAAAGCAAAATAAATGGTTCGCGGTGATTAATATTTGCGAGTTAAAGTAGGTTGAGCACTCATGGATATTTCTCGCACGCAAATGTAAGTTGGTTTACAGTATATATTTTGAACATGTTGGGACCAATTGCCCAAATGGGATAACAGCAGGGGATCCAGGAATTTCATAAAGGGGGGGCACAGTAGAAGGCAGGGGGTCTGGGGGCTGCATTGAAGCCCCCAGCGGGTCCAGAGTAAAGACCTGGTGGGGGTTTGGGGGCAAAGCCCCCGGAAACTGACGAATTCTAACAAATAAGAGGTGTTTTTTCCCTTGATTTTAGGATAATACAAACAAAATTTCAAAAAAAAATTCAAATCGCACTGGGGGGGGGGGCACACCCGGCGCAGCAGCGCTGGATCTGCCTTTGGATAAAATAGCCTGTTTGGGATATAATATTCAAAATGCCTTTGGATAAAATAGCCTGTTTGGAATATAATATTCAAAATGGGATATAAATTTACAATGCAAAAAAGAAAGCTATAAATATGATATATCTGCATCAAAATACTTAAAAAGAAATAACTTTTGGTTAACAAGTATTTCTGTCTCCCCACTGATCTCCCAGCAGATTCTAAACTTCTTGGGGGTCAATCTCACAAATTGTAGGGTAATAGAAAAACACACTCGCCAAAAGTTATTGCATTTAATATGTGGATTTTCCTACTTTCTTGCTTTGTTGATTAGAAGGGTACCTTATATGAAACAGTTTTAGTTATAAATTTTCTTTACTAATCGCAGAATTCACAAAAATTTCCTCCACACAAACATTCCCACATTATCAGAACTTAAACATGACTTCTGATTTTACTTTGGTTGCTTCATTTACCTTTCAATGGTTTCAAACAGTTCCAAATGGCAAGAGTATGTGAATGGCTAGTTAGAGTTTTGCCCCTTTGTCCAAACTAGGGGAGTAAGATGTTCTACGGCCACAGAGGGATGTTTGGAACTGTTGAAAGGTATAGAAGAACAAGAGCAGGAGTAAAATATACGTTGAATAAATGGATACTAATGGACTGGGCCATGCATATGATGCCAGACATAATACCTAAAGCCTGCAACAAAATAACATCACCTTAATCAACGGTTTTTACAATCTGTACCTCTGTTATGTACTGAGATATGTCTGAATTTTCTTTCCCAAAGACCTACAGGTCTACAGCTAGAGAAGATAGTGCAATCTATAAGATGGATGCAATCTATGAGACGTATACATGTATAAAACTTATATTATTTTTATGCCCGCTGTGAATATGGCCAGGGCATATACATGTAGTGTTTGTTATGTCCGTCTTCCATCCTTTTGCCTGTTCGTTTGTCACACTTTGCATTTAGCTCTGCTTCAAATAAACTATTCAAGATATTTTCATCAAACTTCATATACTGATACAAATTGGTATGAGCCATTCAACTGCATCAAATATTTTGATCTTGACTTCAATTTTCTAATATTTGTGTTTAGCTCAGTTTCAAAGAATTTTTTAAAGATATTCTTATCAAACTTCATAAGCTGATACATATTGGTGAGAGCTATTCAGTTTCATAAAAAAAATTTTGACCTTGACCTTCCCTTTGAACCTGACCTTACTTTTTTATTTTGCATTAAATAACTCAGTTTCAAAGAAACTATTCAAAATATTTTTATCTAAACAAATATATTGATACATAATGGTGAGAACTATTCAACTGTGCCCAAAACGTATGACCTTGACCTTACATTTTTTGCATTTGGCTCAATTTCAAAGAAATTATTAGATATTTTATCTAAACACATTCACTGATACATATTGATGAGAACTGTGTCCCAATTTTTTTTACTTTGAACTTCCCTATATGACCTTTATTTTATCATTTATTTAAGAAATAATTCCTGCATTGGAGGAATTGTTGGAGAATATACCCCGATAGTCGAGAGATTTTAGTTGGCAAAAAAGAAAACCGAGCCCAAAGGGCGAGGTTTTTATATGCCAACAAAATCTTGAAACTGAGGGGTATATTCTCCAACAATTCCTCCAATGCAGGAATTATTTCTATTCTGCTACGACGAATCTTTTAAACTCCTATATAGAGAAATGGAGAAGTAGATGTCATCTTCGACATAAGTCCCTTTTTACGTCACAATTGAATGCTACTTCTCGTTTATTTGCATTTCATGCATTAGAAAAAGTACAAGGATAATTTGTTGACGATGTTTGTGATTTATTGGAGAATAATGGCTGCGGCATCTCTTTGACCTTTGCAATAACCGTGGTAAAATGTGTCATAATTTTCTGACCTTAACCTTCCCTGTGTCCATGACCTCACTATTTCTCATTACCCTAACCTTTAACCGAAGAAGCAAGCTACATTTCTTTTCATGTTGCATTACTAAAGAATCTGGGTGGGGCATTCATGTCCTCTGGACATATTTCTTGTTATTATGGCTTTCGGTTTTTCCATCTGTCTTATCTAATACAATAAAGTTATTTAAAACAAGAGGCCCATGGGCCACATCGCTCACTTGAGCACATTGGCTAGGAAAAAAAAGCAAAAATCAGTATTGAAAAGTTTACAGGGGGAGGGGGGTTGAATTTTAACTACCTAATGATGCTTTCATATCAATATAACAAATGGCTTTGCTGTTCTTGAGCAGCAAAATTTTTCCTATATATTCATTTGTAAAACTTTGATCCCCCATTGTGGCCCAACCCTGCCCCCGGGGGCCCTCATTTGAATAAATTTCATTCTACACTACCCAAGGATGCCTCCATATTAATTTGACTAATCATGGCTTTTCTGTTCTCTAGAAAAAGATTTTTTCCTATATAATCCTCTGAAAACTTTGATCCCCCATTGTGACCCCATCCTATCCCCGGTGGGGGGGGGGGGGGGGCATGACTTGAACAAACTTGAATCTACACTACCTGAGAATGCTTCCTTATAAATATGACCAATCATGGCTTTGCTGATCTTGAGAAGAAGATTTTTAAAGACATTTTCCTATATATTTCTATGTAAAACTTTGATCCCCCATTGTGGCCCCACCCTACCCCTGGGGGTCATGATTTGAACATACTTGAATCTACACTACCTGAGGATGCTTCCATATAAATATGACCAATCATTGTTTTGCTGATCTTGCGAAGAAGATTTTTAAATTTTTTTCTATATACTCTTATGAAAAACTTTGATCCCCAATTGTGGCCCCACCCTACCCCCGGGGGTCATGATTTGAACATACTTGAATCTACACTACCTGAGGATGCTTCCATATAAATATGATCAATCATTGCTTTGCTGATCTTGCGAAGAAGATTTTTAAAATTTTTTCTATATACTCTTATGAAAAACTTTGATCCCCAATTGTGGCCCCACCCTACCCCCGGGGGGTCATGATTTGAACAAACTTGAATCTACACTACCTGAGGATGCTTCCATATAAATATGACCAATCATGGCTTTGCTGTTCTTAAGAAGAATACTTTTAAAGATATTTTCCTATACATTTCTATGTAAAACTTTGATCACCCATTGTGGCCCCACACTACCCCCCAGGGGTCATGATTTGAACAAACTTGAATCTACACTACCTGAGGATGTTTCCACATAAGTTTCATCTTTCCTGGCTAGTGGTTCTTGAGAAGAAGATTTTTAAATGATGCCATTATTTTTCACTAATTCCTAATTATCTCCCCTTGAAAGAGGGTGTGACCCTCCATTTGAACAAACTTGAATCCCCTTTACCCAATGATGCTTCATGGCAAGTTTGGTTGAAATTGGCCCAGTGGTTCTGGAGAAGTCAAAAATGTGAAAAGTTTACAGACGGACGGACAGACGGACGACAGACAAAATGTGATCAGAAAAGCTCACTTGAGCTTTCAGCTCAGGTGAGCTAAAAAAAAAAACCCAACATTTCCATGAAATCAAAGGTTGCATCTTATACATGTATTATTTTCAAGATACCATAAGTTGATAAGGTCCATTTAATTACAATTAGTCTCATTATCACACTGCATACATCAATGACTTTCTACAACATTAATTGAAATTTGCATCTGTTACAAACCTACCACTATTACAGGTGATGCCATCTAGTGGACAGGTGTTCAGGCTCCATAGCACACCTACGGCCCTGACATTGCTGTTATCCTTGAAGGTCACCCCGGGACCCTCCAGCACACACCCTGTGAAGTCCCTCCCAATCACCAACCCCTCGTGTCCAGTCAAGTCAATGGTGAACAAACTGGATTGGTAAGTTGAATTAGCCAAAAATATCCTGTGTTCTATCCGACTTCCCTTTAAGATTTCCAAAGTCACTACACCAAGTGTGTTTCTCAGATCAAGGAGATACCATGCATTATTATTGAGCCTTGTGTTAGCTGTCACAGATATTTGACTAGTACCTGACTTCCACCGAATATCTAAACTTCCATTAATTAATTGTATACTAAAAAAGTCCCCTGACTGGCCCCTCTGGTAAAGTAGCTGCCCATTGTAACAAGTCTTGAAGGAGAAAGCCTTCTGAAAGGCATTACTAGGGAAGGTGAGTATGTTGTTGTTTATGGTGAGAGAGGAGTTGAAGGTTGAGTTGAAATATGCAGTACTGTTGTTGAGTGATGAAGTGAGTGGCAGCAACAGGAGGTAGTAAGCTGAAAAATAAATATATTGTACAGTACACTATAAATTATAATGAACATATTCGTTACCAAGATACTGTAGGAATTGCATGTACCAAGCTTCAGAATGATTTTACAGGCAGGGTTTTAAGGATTCATGTTTCAGCTCTTAATCCTTTTGCAGCTAGCTAAAAAGGAGTCTAATGCTCTCTTGAGTGTAGAACTCCATAGTCTTTAGCTATTTTAAAAAAATCATGTACTGTATATTCCCTTATGAAAGGGACATGGTCCAGCATTTCATAAAAATTAAAATTACTCAAGGGCAATGCAAATTTTTTTGAAATTGATCTTGTGATTCTGGAGAAAATACTGAAATTGCAAGTTTACAACGGACGAACTTTCAATCAGAAAGCTCGCTTATCAAGTTGCATGAGCCTTAATTTGTGAGCTCATAAATTAGAAATATTTATATAACATGGACTTCTTTCCTGAAATAAGAGGATTTTTATGGAAATCTTTTTATTTCTTTTTTGCCATATGCAGATGTCAATACAGTGTATCTTGTGCCTCATTTTTTGAGGGTTGGTATTGACAAAGAAAGATAACTCCTGAAATACTATACTTACTATATATGATAAAGTATTACTTTGCTCGTGCAGACTAGACACAGCTGTCCATACTCTTCTTTTACTATTTAGACTTTCTTTTAAAATTCCAGACGAACTGAAATATTCTCCAACTGCATTTCATGCATATTCTTAGCATTATCTCTTGTTTGAAAATATGGTATTGGGCACCCATGGGATTTTAACTCTGATCAGCATACGCTTGTAAATACATGAATTTTATTTCTGAAATTACATAATGTATTGACAATTTTTAAAAACTTTATGGCAGTTGACTTTCCTTGCAAGAGTTATCAAATGTTTAACATTAAAAGTAAAATGTATAAAATCACAAACAAGAAAAGAGAACGAATAACAGAGACCCACTCAAAAACTAGGTTTAGGACACACAAACAAGCAAGCACCTCTTTGATTTTTTATAAACAATAAAATGTTTTATACATTTTCCACTATGAATTCATATATTTATTCTGTACAATAAGATGCAAGTTTTACACCATAAAGTGAATTGATTTTATTTCAAATATTGAAACACCAGTTTCTTCAGGAAGACAAAATATTTTAAACTATCCCGATTATACATTGTATTTTAATACATGAACATGTATTATATCTATCTTAATTTTTTCCTTCTTTGTGTAAAGTTACAACAAAGTCCATGGAAATGTGAGAAATATCATACCAGTATTTATTATGGGTATCACAATGTAATCAAAAAACTACATAACATAGAAAAGAAATGATATTTAAGACATCCCTTCTCCCAAGTTTTTTTAAAACTGAATATGACATGTAATACTTTTTTACGTGGTTTGATTCAGTGAAAAAATGACAAAGTGCTCAAGGAGAAACAATTTATGTAAGAGCTATTTATAATTTTTTCAATGTGGTTATATTTATATGGAGTAATACTACTGGTGGTACTGTGCCTAAGCTGTGCAAAGGGGGGCAACTGTCATTCCTAATCCCTACAACCTTAACAGAATCTAAATTAAATATTTATATATCAAATCATTCAGGATATAAAAGAACACAGCTCTGGGATAGTACGGATAAGACCAGTGATCCATTTTCACCTCTGAGAGGGTTTTAAATATATATATTTACTGATACATTACAACAAGGGGCCTTCTTACTGATATAGAGACTTCAACAGATTAGATAAAGGCTACCCTTGCTTAGGAAATCATTTTATTTCAATTTTCAGTTTTAAAATCAATGGAAGTAAAAAAAAAAATAGTACATGCATTCCTTATATTTCAGTGAAATTTTGAAATTCAAGCAATTAGACATTTTCAAAAATCATATTTACTCTGTAAGAATATCAGTGAAAATTGTAAATATATATACAATCATTTTGGTAAAAATCTTTAGTTATTTGTTCAGTATTTTCATAATATTTTACATCTGTCCTAAAAAAAATCTTCATATTACTGTGTATTTAATCAACAAAAGGAACAAAAATGAGTAAATTCTTATTCACAACAAAGATTGAACCAAAAACTAAAGTTGGTCAGGAGACTACCATGAAGTGGAGTAATACTATAAATACATGTAACTTCACTGCCTCACACTTAAGTCTTGGATCTTATCAACATAATTTTGATGAACTCATCAATAGACCTCCATACAATGACTTCCCCCTGTTGCCCCACACTTCCCCCTATTTGAATTCACCTGTGCTCTACCTTTATTGGTTTACTGCAAACATTTCACACAAGACGGGTCATGGCATGTGTGGTATGTCGCAGTATTGACTGTGTAGTATAGTCCGTTTCAACTCTTATCAATGAATACACAATTCCCACTATAAAACTTTAACTTTGATCTCTCCTTTAAATATCCGAGACCCAATTATGGTTATAATGCTGGAAAATAAATTGTACCACAGATCCCTTTGTTTTTTGGTCCAGTTCACAAAAAGCATTAAATAATCTTGTTTACTGTCCTATTTTCTCATTATAGGTATTAAACAATGTGATGTACATAATATTCTACTTGACTAAAAACAAACAAACAAACAAAAAACAATTTCATAGAATTTATAAACTCTATAATTCCCTTTCAAACTACTTCAATATTGAGTAAACTTATTCTTAATTTTGCTGATGGAAAAAGACAGTTTCTTGATGAGTTTAGAAAAAATGGAATAAAAACTTGGATGTTATAAAAGTATATCATTGTTTTAATAGCCATATCACTTCTTAAAAATACCCATACTCATCCCCTCCTTCAATTTTTTTTATTTTGGGGGTTGGAATGGGGGTGGGGGGGAGGAACTCATCTTTTCTCAGAGAAATTAAAAAAAACCTGTCCCTTTCCAAGAACTCCCATGAAAATAATCTTTTATTTACATGAACAAAATATTCTACCGGTAATATTAAAAATACACCCTGCAAAAATTCAGGGAAACTTAAGACTTAAGACTAAATAGACAAGAGAATAAAAGAATCCTGAAACCTACAATAGTATATTATGTCTCTCTCAGGTACACAAACTGGAGCCATCTTTTGAAACAGTAAACAAAGAGATGATAAAGAAAAGTCCAAATGTAAAGTATGTATGTTATGATCAATTCACTGCATTCACTGACTGAAATGTTACTTATCTGTTCTGACTACAACATTAGACCTAAAAGGGAGCCACACCAGTAAGCCTGACTACAACATTAGGCCTAAAAGCAAGCCACTCCAGTAAGCTTGATTACAACATTAGACCTAAAAGCAAACCACGCCAGTAAGCCTGACTACAACATTAGACCTAAAAGCAAACCACGCCAGTAAGCCAGACTTCAACATTAGACCTAAATCCACATCACACCAGTAAGCCAGACTTCAACATTAGACCTAAACGCAAGCCACACCAGTAAACCTGACTACAACATTAGACCTAAAAGCAAACCACACCAGTAAGCCTGACTACAACATTAGACCTAAAAGCGGGCCAAACCAGTAAGCGTGACTACAACATTAAACCTAAAAGCAAACCACGCCAGTAAGCCAGACTTCAACATTAGACCTAAAAGCAAGCAACACCAGTAAGCCTGATTACAATATTAGACCTAAAAGCAAGCCACACCAGTAAGTCTGACTACAGCATTAGACCTGAAAGGGAGCCACACCAGTAAGCAACAGTAACAATAAGCCACACCAGTGAGCACCACAGCAAGCAACATCAGTCAGTACATCACTAAGCACCAACAGCAAGCCACACCACTTAGCATGACTGACAAGCAACACATTAGCACCAATAGCAAATTTTACCATTTAGCACCAATAACAAGCCTTACTAGTATGCACCAATAGCAAGCGATGCCCTTAGCGCTACCAACAAGCCACACATGATACATGTATTTCCAATAGCTAACAGTTAGCACCCATAGCTGGCCACAACAGTTAGCGTCAATAGCAAGCCACACCAGTTGCAGCAATAACAAGCCACACAGATAAACACTAATACCAAGCATTAATACTAAATCACACTAGTTAGCACCAAAAGTAAGCCACACATTAACACCAATAACAAGGCAAACTTAGTACCTATAGCAAGCTCAAAAGTTGGGATCAATAGCAAGCTAGTTAGAATAGTAAGCACCAATAGCAAACTATAGCTATATAGGATAAAGTGAAATGTGTAGGTAAATGGCTATTTAATCTGTATGAACACACAAACTGTATGCAAAATAGTCCATCCTGGAACAAATCCTCACAACTGATCAATAATTAAGGCACTGTTAATGACGAGGTCACACTGAGAAATCCCTACTACAGGTATAATACTGCAAGTATTCCAGGTATTTCAGGATCAATGCTGTCATCCTCCCATCTCTACACCTGGGATATGAATCTCTTACTTAACACTCTTATTACAAATTCATCATTCTAAGAACTTTTTATTTTTCATTCTTTGGGAACTCCAAGTGTCTATGGTACATCAGGTACATTTAGAGTTCATACACACCCAAATATAATTATAAACAAAGGGGGTTTTTCATGACATAGAGAACAGGGTGGGGATGGTTAAGTTTTAACATCTAGACTGTTGCTAAATTGGAACAGATTTAGTTCTCTCATATTTTGGTGATACATATATTAATTCAGTTGCCTAGGATGGGCCTGTTCTCCTGAAACCAATGTCAAAGCCGCTATCTGAAGTTTGGATAATTGACCACGCCTAATCTCTTTCCCTCTTGCATATATGTAAATTTTTTTGATAAAAGTCAAAAGACCCTGAAAGCATGCATTTTAAGTCTGTTTATTTAGACATGAAACAGAAAGACATTCTATGTCATTATACAATGATAAAAGAAGTTTCAAATTTTATACAATGTTAACAATGACATAGCAGATTTACCTAAATATGTGTATTGTTTGTAGGATATTTAACTTCAAATCAAGATATGAGTTACTGGACCATCTCCTATGTATGCTGGAGTTAGGAAATGGCAAAGTAAATGTATGTACAAAGAGATTAACAGAAGCAAAATAATCAGGATAATTAAATTGTATATTATTAGAGTATAATTATTGATGGCTCTGATTAAAGTGGCTCAAAAGATTAAAGATTTTGTCAGCATGAGAGAATTTACATCATCAGAAAAAAAACTTTGAGATTTAAAAGAATGTATCAATTTATATGATTTTTCTATTCAGCTTGTAAGTCTTAAGGTAACATTTGTAAAAGATTGATAAAATTTTTATTCTAAAAATTTGGACTTAAGGACTATCTAGTTCTTCAGAGCATTCCAGTCTAAGACAGAATGTGCACTTGGGCAGATCACAATCATTTCCATTTAACAGATGATCATTAAACTACTAAAAAATGTTATGGAAAAATTACTCATTCAGAAAATGGTCACAGCTAGCTGTGTCTAAATAATTATTTATTGAAGTGTCAAATGACACAACCTAAACTATACGAAACTGATACATTTATCATAATCTAGATACCAAAATTAAAAATTTGAATTCCATATCATTGTAACAAAGCAGTTTTTATCAGCTTATCACCATTAATAGTAGATATGAGACCAAGATCATAACTGTATCTATAAAAAGGCGGTGTGGGTTGCCAAGTTTGGTGATTAATTGGGTTTGGAAGGGAGGTATACCATTCATTTCCATTTGAAGTCCCAGAAATAATATCAAAGTTCTAATACACAGTTGTAAAATTCTTTTTATATGAGAACATTAGAAGACATTATGACTAACATCAAAAGAGTCATACCATTCACTGAAATGTGAAATGACTTTTAAAAATTCTTGTTCATTAAAATTCTTTCCCTGTTTGTTTACAGATAAATACATGTATGTTTAAGTATAGTGGATATATATAAATATTATATTGTTTTCAAGTTTATACAAGAATTTCCGTTCAAATGTCATTGTACAAACATCCACCTGTAAAGTAAACCTGCTTGGAATATAAAAGTATTGTGATTGCCACTGATTCATCAGAACTAAAATTAAACATATTGTATAACCTGTAATAGTGAACCTGTGTTATTTTTATTTTCTTTAAAAGGGCCTTTTTGGGATAATCTATAATATTACAATAAATTAAGTTATAATGTTACAAAAGAAAAAAAATCTATGATGATTTGTTCAATGATAAGATTTCATTTTATATCATAGATTTGAATACTATAATTTTCCTTGGTTTTCTGCAATAAATATTTTGTATAGTGTAACACGGTGTAATGATGACTTTCAAGACACTGAAGTAAAGGAGAATGTGTACCTTGGCATTTTAATTGAAACAACTACTGTAACAGTTGTAAATAACATATGTACCACTATTTCATATACAGTAAATCTTATAAATTCATCACCTGACCTCGATTCAAATTAAATTTCAAGGTCATTGAAAATGTTAATTTGAAATGTAAATACGAATCTTTGAAGGCAGAAAAGATTAGTATATTAAATTATAGATATTTAATTTTCTGTTGAAATTCTTTGTGTTTTATGATTCTGCTTTAATTTTGTTGTGCTTTAATTGATAAATACAAAATCATTATGGTGGAATGGGATATTGGTAAAGACCATCCATCAATCATTGACATCATAACCTCTCCCTATTTCAAATTTTCTTTGCTAATGATGAGCAAAGAAAACTTGAAATAGGGAGATATTGATCCTCCTTGTAAAAAAAAAAAATAATCATGATAATAATATAAAATATCCCAGATCTGCCACTGATCAAATCTTTATGCATGTTTTTTTATGCATAAGTTATTATATTTGGAAATTGTTTTAATAGTTGTAACCTTTTGTAATCATAATTAAACTAAACAAAGTACATGTACTTTTTCATAGACTGTAAAATGACAACTAAATTATAATTCTTGCATTAAAAATTGCTATAAAATTTTAAAAATTATAATACAGTGTATACCTGATAGAACACATCATAATCAAATACTGTATATGTTAAATTAATATGGTTTCTTTTAAGTTTATATATGATCAATTACAACTGTGTGTGCTGATTATAATAAATGAATAGAATGATTTACTCAATATATTGATCACAACTTTACATGCTGCTGAAACTCTAATTGAAAAAAAAAGAAACAAACAAACAAAACATCCAACTCAAATACTGGTCTTAAATTCATGCAGGAAGAAATGTCCTATGTCGATTTTATTTCAGGGGATGGTTACACAACATGCATCAGTCTGAGAGAGGGGGTTTAGAGAAACGCGGGCAGAGTGGAACGACATCTGCCACACACTAAATGATGTACAAAATTAGGCCCAATCTTTGATAGTTTTTTTTTTTTTTTAAATGAATCCCCCAATACATGGAATGCAGATTGCTTTGTTATTGCGCCGCCATCTACAGCATTGGTCAATGGGTCATCTACAATGTTTATACCTTAAACTTACCGAAATAAAACCCCACCTGTAGCGTAAAAGCTACCCCAGGGGTTCTGGGTGAAGTTCTCCTCATCTCATGACCCTCGTAAAGAACATTCCTCTTTCACAAATTTTGTAAACACCATTTCAAAACAGACGACAAATTTCAACATGTGAAACCCAACTTGACACTGCCAGAATTAACTCTTGGTCACGTGATCGTCCAAAACCGCAATTAACACACCTGAACAAAGAGCTTTCTATTTAATAGGTAGAGACATTATCAATTTGGGGAGAATTGCTGTAATATTTTGTGCACGATTAACATTTTGTTGTAAATTATAGGTATATCTTATGGCACCCAGGTAAATAATACCTGGATTTATGATATATGTCACGCTAACAATAACACGCTTGTCTATTGGGTTTAGGGGGAATAACTCTAGCACCATACTGGAATGTGCGACATTCTTTACGGCGTTGTGCTAAATCATGCCAGCTCTACTGAATGACAGGCCATTTTTAAAAGCATTTTGTAGCATATGTCAGAATGCTTATTAAACAAATTTTAATTTAAGTAATACTGCATTCTTTATCTTCTGAATTTATCGCTTTGTATTCAAGTTAACTCACTGTATTACAGAGAGAGAGAGAGAGAGGGCATACCACAGATTTAAGTAAACTAATTTTACAGGTCCCAGATATTTGCTTAAATTTATCTAAGAAATCAAAACGTGAAAATCACTATAGAATATGGAGAATTTTATTTTAGAAGTAAAATACAAATCATTAAATCTATTAATTAATCATTAAACTTTACCTTAGTAATACAGTATGTTACCAGAAATTGGGACAGGGATGTGTTTAGAAAGGAATGGAGTACATCCATTGTACATGTACTGCATTTCAAAATTTTAGCCAGAACTATCTATATGCATCAATATGTCTGTCTTGGTCATACAGCTCAATCAAGTAGAGAAATGGCTTGTGATCTGCGAGTTGTCACTTGTGGGTCAAAATTGAACATCAATTCCTTTAAAAAATTTATTATATTCATGTACTGTAAATTTTAACATTTATTGGTCTGCCCTGAATATGGCCAGGGCATAATGATTGATTTAGTATTTGTCATGTTCATCTTCCATCTTTATATATTCTTTTGTTTAAGTCTGTCACCTTTGCATTAATATTTCAGATTCATGCAAATAAACTACACTGTATTCAAGATATTTTTTTTTTCATTTCATGCATTGGTGAGAGCTATTTTTCTGACCTTGACCTTCCCATGACATTGACATCACCATTCTTTAGTTTGCCCGTTCACGGAAGCTCAGTCGGTAGAGCTCTCGCTCCATGATTGGGAGGTTGTGAGTTCGAATCCTGGCCGCGACTGACCTAAGTCAATAAAAAAGCAACTGTTCCTTCGCCATGCGCTCGGTACTTAGAAGTGAAAGCTGCAGGTCCTTGGAATGAGACCTTAAAAACTGAGGCCCTGTGTCATGGCAGGTGTTGGCATGATAAAGATCCCTCACTGCTCAATGGCCCTGAGTGCTGAGTAAAGATCAAAATTTGAAGCCCTTCACCAGTATATGGTGACATCTCTACATGAGTGAAAAATTCTCGAATGGGACGTTAAACAACATACAATTAATTAATCAATCAATCCTTAGTTTGCATTTAGCCAAGTTTCAAAGAAATATTACTGAATATGTTCCATTTATATATAAATATGAGGTGCACCACAGTTGACAATGGGTTTTGAGGGGGTGAAAATTTTCAATGTTACTCTCAACTACATGCAGTGTTAATTATTATACATTTATTGACTGTGTTCAAGGGCAACATGCGTTTTGTCAGACCCAAGAAACAGTTTGGTTCGAGGGGTCGACAAGACGCATTTTGCCCTCAAACACAGTCAATAAATGTTTTGTTATTACCTTTTACTTATTTATTAATTTTTTGTTATACATGTATATTTTGATGGCTTCCATACCAGCGAATGCAAATAAGATTTAGCTAATCCCGCCCATAGTGTGACGTAAGTGGTCCAATATCTCGTCCACAGGTCCAATATCTCACTCTGCGGTCAAACACCGATTTTTTTATGACTGCTCAGTAAAATATTAGGAATGTTAGATTTTTTTAAATATAGATTTAAATAGAAACTAATTTTTAAAGGTATAACAATATATTATACTGACTGTTTTACACAAATACAAATAAAGGTGAAGTACACAAGCATAGATTCGAACAGTCAATATTTTTTGGGATATAACCCATTGTCACGCTATGTTGACTTTTGCGAAGTTGTATCACACTGGAAGGTGTGGTTTCATCATTCTAAGGAGAACAGTGTTTTGTTTCTCAATAAATCAAATTCAAGTACATGCAATTTACATGAAAGTATAATACATGTATTATACTACTATGGACTGTTTAGAAGGGAGACATCACAAATTATCAGGTCTGAGTAGGATTGTCAGCCAAGAATGCTTGCACTTGAGGTGACAACCCTACTCAGACGTAATAATTTGTGATGTCTCCCTTCTAAACAGTCCATTATAGTTTTATTATCTTGAAGAATCTAAATTTAATAAAATAGAGTAGAAATATCAGTCAAACCTCTTGGGTTCTACTACTCACTGCTCTGATTCCATAATTTCAAAATAATGTTCATTAACAGACAACTTTGACGTCACCTTAGAATTTATTGTCTACCGATTCTGCATATATGTGAATTATCTCACTTAAAAATTTTTAATTTCATCTAAAGGGAAACAGTTAACAGTTGTTACCCTGCACACTTGCTTGCCCTTTTTCATTGTCAACAGAAATGAGACAACACAGTTGCCACCCTGCTTGTGAGGGAGACATCATGAATTGTCTCCCTGCACATGACACACATTAAGTTTACCAATCAGATTGACTGTATTATTCTGAAGGATAAATAACATAACTTATACAAAGAGCTATTAAGTACCAGTCCACATAAAAATCAGACAAAGGGTGATATATGAGGGTTCTCAGAATTTGATGATTTTCCACACATAGATTTGTTTTGAACTATGAACAATGTATGTAAAATGAAAAATGTTTTGAGTCATGGTTACCATGGAAACCCGGCCAAAGAAATTTCCTTAGCAACCGGCAATTTTTTCGATGTTGATGGACAAAAATTCACCTATCTTTAAGGCTTAAAATAAAATTTTAATACCATGAAAATTATTCTCCATTACTGGTGTAATAAAGATACACATTTAAAGTGTTTTAATAATGCAATGAAAGAAATTTAGGTCTTAAGTTAGTTCTGTGCTAGCCATTGGAAGGTACACATGTTTTGCAATTTCTGCTGATTCAGCATTTTTCGTGATTTTGGCAATATTCAAGGCCAAATTTAAAAAAAGGCCAGATTAATACAGCTGTTGCGTGTATTTCACATAAAAGCAGATGAATTTCTCTTTTAGAATTTGAAGTCAAATCCATGGGCCTTTTTGAAAATCAAATCTGTTGCCTAGCAACAAATATGGGCATTTTGATACATAAAATGAGAAACAATGTAAAAAGTTTACGGAAAAATCAAATGAATTGTTATCTACAAAAACGAAAAACAAATCTTAAAATAGTAGTATTAAATTTGGACTTCCTAGAAAATTATTGAATATTGTATAATTATTTATCTCCATAGCAACAACAGGTTCTCCATAGCAACGGGGCAAAGAAAGTTAATTTTGACATGTATTCATGTAATCTTATTAATATTTATTCAAATTAAGTCAGAAAAATGTCGTTGAGCAAAATTGACAATGAAATGTTGGTCTTATTAAAGTTTATTTTTGGTATACTTAATCAACCCATGGCAACTATTACCAGTACATGACAACCAATGTGCACTATGCCTCCTGTAAGATAGATTTGACTTTGGGATGATATTGTTTGTGATGGAAATGAATATTCAATTAATGTGTTGATGATTGTATATGTTGAGAGAGCGGAAAGAATATAAAATGTTCTATCAGTTGTTGTCATGGCAACATGCAATCTCCTAATAATTAAGCCATGGCAATATGCAATCCCCTTAGCAACTAAACATAAAAATTCATAATTCACCGAAAAAACATTCCAGTTCAAAGTAGGTATGAATGATGTCGAATGGAATGTAAAACAAATTCTGCAATACAGACAACTAAAGCATGTAGCAGGTCTTTTCAAAGTATTTTATTGCTTTATACACCTTAAGTAACAACACTTGAAAAGTTAAGAAGAATTAATTTCATTAAGAATGAATGTAACAACAAATCTCTTTTTTTTTTACTCCCACTTCGACCAGTGCATGTACCATTTTAGCCCTCTGTGTAAATTCAGAAGTGTAACTTATTAAAGCTCTCTAAAATGAATTGATCAAGATTCCTCAAATTACTGATACAAAGAAGATCGGCGAACAAGGCAAGCGAAGTGCCTATAGTGTAACAGACATAAAGGTGAAAAATTAAATCTCAATTACAAAATTTTCTTTGATATATCATCTAACATTAAAGTATACTTTATGTAAAATTTCCACATTTGCAAAAATCTCACGAAGATTGAAATTATTTGCCTAGGAAATAGCATACACACACACTAAAGATGGCAAAACGATCATTTTCTCATATACTATAACACATTTTTTTGATATGAGTGGGTCATCGCTCCATTTTATTGAAAGGTTACAGTCAAAGTTTGCATAAAAATATACATTTTTTGGTAAACAAAGACAAGGAGCAAAGACCCACTATACCTTAAAAATACACTTTTATGACACAACATTCGCATCCTCTAAGAAATACTTTAAGTCCATTTAGTCAAGGGTCATATCACAAACATGATTTAAGGAGGCTGGGGGGTCAACAAATTAACCACAAATTGACCACCAGATTTAACTTAATTTTTTAGATATGATCTCTCAAGCTGTCAACTATCATTTGACAAAGAAAAATTTCAAAAATTTTAGTTTTAAAATTTGATCATTTTCTATATCTTCATATGGAGCTCTTCTTCTAAAGGAGATCAATATAGTCTAAAAATGGCCACAACCCCCCAGCCTCTTTAAATGCCACTATTTATCAGGAGTTGTATAGCGTAGTGGTTAGCGCGTTGGTATCAAAGGAAAATGATACTCAGGATTTTTATTGCTAGGGGGTTCGATCC